TACTTTGCACATGGGATTAAGCCTGTTCAAATGCTTCGGTGCGCACAACGATTCGCAAAGGCAAGGTCAGAAGCTGACTGCTGTCTACCATTGAGTTAGGATACGTCCACGGATTACATCGATTATTACTAAATCAATGTCAAATACTGGACTTTTACACAATGGAGCTAGGAATAATTCAACAACGATTGGCGACCGGAACAGCAATAGCGACTTTTTTTGCTTTACTCGTGGGCGATTCCTTTCTGATGAGTCCCATCAGCTTTCGCAGAGTTATGTTCAATTCGAAATCGATGAGCTTGCTCGATTGGCTGTTGGTGCTGCAGAAATTGCAAGTAATGGGCCCCGAAAATGCATGAACATCGAGAAAATGCCGGACGGAATGCACAACAAAGCTGTTCACTTTACAATGGACAATGGCTTCCAAGTTGTGGGCAAGGTACCTAATCCAAATGCTGGCCAAGCGCATTTCACCACAGCCTCAGAAGTTGCTACTATGGATTTTGTATGATAACTCAGTGCCTGAAATCACTTTTTCGAGGCTAGATGCTGATGCCGGGCAGCTGCGAAACGTTATGAAGATACCCATACCTAACGTTCTGAGTTGGGGCTCTACGTCTGAAAATCCAGTGGGAGCTGAATACATTCTCATGGAGAATGTGCGTGGTGTTCAACTGAGCAAGTTATGGGATCAACTTGAAGTTGATGTGAAGTTCGAGGTACTCCGAAATATCGCCTTCTACCAAGAAAAGTGGTTAGATACTTCTTTCTCGCGTTATGGGAGTTTATATTACAAGAATGATGTCGGACTGTCAACACCAAGCGTGAAATATACCGACAAAACTGGAGTGACCACTGTGGATGACCGTTTCACAATTGGTCCATCGGTGAGCCGGCAAAATAATGATGATGGCAGGCTTAAAATGGATTTTGACAGGGGTCCATGTAAGTATCTTCTGTTATATGTTTCTGGTTTATTCTGACTTCTTGCAGGGACTACTGCAGCAGAATATGAACGTGCTACGGGTCTGAGGGAGTTACATTGTACTGGAAATATACCAAAACTCCCTAGGTCTCCTATTGCCATACACTATTCTGGAACATATCGACCTTCTCGAGAGACAAAAATTCTGGCGATAGAAAGCTATCTCAAAATATTGAAATATCTTCTGCCTGAGAGGTCTATCCAGACTTCCCATATCTGGCACTGTGACTTGCATGCAGAGAATATCTTTGTCAATCCGAGCAACCCGTCGGAAATCTATGGAATCATTGATTGGCAATCTACTGAATTGGCACCGTTATACGATCATGCTATTGAGCCCTACATTCTTGACTACAATGGCCCATCTCTTGATGGGCTGCTAGGACGCCCAAAACTCGCCGACATCCGTTCACTTTTTCGAGGTGATCCCGAGCCGCTAGCCGAACGCAAAACTACCTCACTATACACTAAAATGTCATTAGTGTCATCGTACAGGCACCTAGTGCACAAGAAAATGCCACTATTATTCAAAACCCTTGAGTTTCGTGAAACGCTTTGCTTCCAGCTGCTTTTTTTCGCTCGAAACCTCCTTGTTGACGGTGAGGCAACATACTTGGCACTATTAGCAGATCAACAGCGAAACAACTGGCAAGATATTCCAAAATTGAATCACACTAATGAGAAGTTTCCACTTTCTTTTTCGGCAGAGATGCTCCACCAAATTGAAAAGGATCATGCAGGGGCTTCCTCTTCCATTGAACTAATGCGAGAGATCCAGGAGATGATAGGACCCAAATACTTCTATGCACGCGGCATGGTGACCCATGATGAATACAATGAGGTTCGGCAGATTATACCCCGAGCTAAAGCAAAATTCATCCGCAAATATGCTCGCGATGAAGGTGAAATCGCAGAATTGGAGGGTGTCTGGCCATTTGATTGATTGCCAAAGTGTTCTTTGTCGTGGGAGGCAGCTTCAAAGTGATTTATTATTGCTGCTTTTTGGTCTAGGCCTTGGCTTTCATTGGAAAAAACTTGCGTTTACGTACTTGCCTAGTAACTATAGTGGAATGCCTTCGTTGCTGACACCTCGATGAACAATCTTTCCATTCTGTTTCGTCCGACGAGGTGCTTTTCATGTTTGTTCTGTGTGTAAAAATCATAGCAGCGGCCGCACCCAATATTAAACAAGATTTCATTGTACCACTATACCCCGTGCGCGACATGTGGAGCGTCAGCAGAGACCAGCAATTTCCTGGCTATTTCGTAATACTAGGGTACTACCCGTCTCATCCATTATGCTGAAGTGGTCTCCCTGCCACACAATTCCATTGGTCTCATGCTGTTCATGTTATGATATATTGAGTATTTGCGAAGCCTGAAGTACAAGCGCCTTCAGCACGCCTCCATGCTAAAGCTTGCAGTAAATCTGACTTGATTATACTTGCGGGTGATACCCCGCTACACAGATTTGCAAGCATAACAGACTGTAGCCAGCTATTCATATCAGTCACAGCCCGGGTACAATAAATGGGTAAAGCCCTACAGACATACGCGGCATCGCAAGTATCCTACCTGAGGGCAGGTCAATGAGACAAGCCTGGTAAGCCACAGATCGTGAGCACAGGCTTGTTGGTGCTCTGCCGAGGCTTAGTCGGGTATGATAAGATAAGGATTTCTAACGTGCGCTTTCCACCAATAGCAGCCCATAAGAATTAGATCTGTAGCATAGGTAGAGTGGAGACACCAGTCCTACGGCATGGCCAGTAAGGTTTGAAGCCTACTCCTGAGATTTGTATGGGCCTAGAAAGCACATCATGTTTTAAACAATTCACTGCTACCAGTAGTGAAATGGAGGCCCCTACTGGCATCCATGGGAGACCAACCCAAGCAAGATTTCTTTTTCCTCTCTCCCCTTCAGGCCCTAGATCCCCAGTTTCTTCCAACTTGAGTCTGTTTACGAGGCCCTGGAAAATGGTATGTTCGGGAACTTCACACCCAACCTCTATTTGGTCGCAGACAGCTGACCTGACCGTTATGTAGTCGGCCTTACCGTGAGCCAGATTGTGGGTTTCAACACATCTATTTATGGCGGTGTGTTTATGCACGACTACCATGAGGGGCTAATACGGTATGAGGATAATCTGCCACGGTTCTTGCCCATCGAAACCCTATCAGCCATGTCATCCAACCGAATCTCGCATCTCTTCAACCTATGTGGGCCCAGTGTGGCGGTAGACACATGCTGTTCGACAGCCCTCGTTGTGTTGCACCAGGCCGTGCTTGGAGTGCGCACTGGCGGGGCTAACATGTCCATTGTGAGCGGGTGCAACCTGATGATCTCTCCGGACATATTTCAGGTATGTTCATCCCTGGGCATGCTGTCGCCTGACGGCAAGTCGGACACCTTTGACTCGCGCACCAATGGCTATGGCCGCGGCGAAGGTGTGGCTACTATTATAATCAAACGGCTCAGCGACGCTGTACAAGCGGGTGATCCAGTGCGAGCTGTCATCCGCGAGAGCTACCTGAACCAGGTCGGCAAGACTGAGACAAACACATCACCGTCGCAGTCCGCACAGGAGGACCTCATCCGCGGATGCTACCACCGGGCCGGCTTGAGCCCGCATGACACGCAGTACTTTGTGGCCCATGGCACCGGAACGCCGACAGGTGACCCCATCGAGGTGCGGTCCATTGCCGCGGTATTTGGACACAACCGAACAGAGCGGTCTCCGCATCGGGTCTGTCAAGACTAACATCGGTCATACGGGGGCCGCATCGGGGCTGGCGGGCCTATGAAGGTCGTGTTGGTCATGGAGAAGGGCTAGATCCTGCCAAGTGTCAACTCTGAGAAGATGATCAGTGGTTTGAAAATGTGCTGGGCATGCCCACATCATTTTACTAATTTGCCTCATTGGAGTGAATTTTCATATCGTTTTCTGTAGCTTAAACAGTAAATACGGTATGTACCTGGGTGGGCTGGTGTAGCCCTAACCCGCTATCACCCGCCATACCTATGTGGCTTATTCATCCCAATATCTGATTTTCATGATTTCTCTTAGATATTTGGGTACGCCGCTCTATGAAATACCTAAATATGAAAAATTAAATAGGAATATCTAGTTATTACAGGGTTGTATCTATTTTTACAATAGTATGTTATGAATCTGATGTGGTTGAATGCATTCATAAATATATATCTGACCTGCCTTCGATACCCAGTATAATAAAAGTATAATCTCCAACCACTCACCTAAATGACCAGCTATCAGCCTAATATTTCTACCATACCTAGATTAGATATTGCATATCATATATGCTATATAAAAATAAGATATTATTATATGATGTTTCCATATGGTGGCTGTTACCACTATGTAGCCCTACATTATTGAAGAGTGAAAACCATTGGAATTTTCGGCAGTACATAGCCGCACCATGACAGAGTAGTCAACGAACACTGATATCGATTGTATGGAAGACCCAAACCAACACTATTTATAACAAACAAGGCTCTTAAGATACACCAGGACCTACACAGAGTGCTCGCTATGCTTATCATCCAAATGTGGACAGACAAGATAGGAATCCGCCACTACCTCACTGATTCCTCTCCTTGGACTTGCCCACCAGCAACATGCTTACGAGTTCAACCCGCATGGTAGGACCTAGCATATCAACTGTACACTTGCTGCCCCATTCTGCAAGTAGAATTCCTTCCCAATATTTGCTGTTGCAAAGCAAGGATAACTAGTAGGCGCCCCCAACTTGGGTCTTGCTCCATCCCAAACATGATGAGTCGTCGCACGTCCATTGCAGTCAGGATTCTCCCAGAACTTCAAGATACAATCCGACCAATCCCCATCGCCGACTTTCGCACCGTAGGTGAAAGAGTCGAAGTTTTTGCATCGGCCGTCCCAGACCCAGCCTGATTTGTCCTGCGGCTCCCAGCCGCTCTTGCAGTCGCCGGCATGGTAGAGGTCCAACCAGACGCCTGTGTCGCGTTTCTCGACGGCGGCGACAGCATCAGCGTCAGCGCCGGGGTTTGCAGTCGGAGAGGCATATGAAAGAGAGGCAAGGGCGCTCAAAAGGAGGAGTAGCGATTTAGGGATCATATTGGATCTGATTCTGAATCCGAACTGTTACGTTCTGGTGACCAATGATTGGGGGGTTGAAGGGGGGCATGTACGTACGGAGATGTCTGGTCTTCTAATGATGGGTTGAGAGAGTCTGTCTGGTTTCTTAGAGAGAATGATGTTAGAAGGCCTGGGAGCTTGATTATATTTATGTTTGATGGTTACTAGTGAATGTGACCCCTTCCTCAATAATACCCTATGTTGTTCCATCCAGTATAGAGTGTAGTGATTACTGATCTAAGTAGAGAGATATCCACATATGTTAGTTCCCTACACTTAGCTGTGAAATAGGACAATGCTATATTTAACTGTGCTGAACTCTAGAAGAGCTATGCCATTCCTGATTAATATTTGCTATTTCACAGATCAACATCACTAGGACTATTTTTCAACTATAATGAACAGTTAGAAGTAATTAACATCTCTAAGCAACTGTGATCTTAATATGGTAAATAATGTTTGAGCTCAGCCTTGATTAGTGAACCTATCCCCTAATCATCAGGTTAGCACTAACCTGGCAGAGTGAGTCTTGATATGGTTGCTTGGTGACAAATGCTAAAACATTGCCAGTCTCCACCCCCCTGCATATTCCTACTATTGGTAAGGCTGAGGTATCAGTAATCAAGGATCATTGACCCTAATTAGATAATATAGCCCTATGTTTTCCCAGTAATCACTAATAATTCAGTATGATAATCAGTACTTGCAATTTTGACGCTGCAATAACAGGCCAGGAGCGACGTTACTGGGAAGTAAAAAATGAAATGACTTGAATCTATCGAATCCGGCCGTCTAGCTACCACATTCTATACCTTACTTGCGTACACTTCTGAGGATAAATCTAATGCCAGTTGTGGACGATCTAGTATAGACTGACTTCTGGCAACAATCAGTATGTCGGGATACATGGCCACAACCGCCACCCTGTAGCTGAATAGAATAAAGCCAATGGAGATCCCCACATTGAAGCCTCGCTGCGCAGAGCTGTCGTATTGTTGGATCTGCACAGATCAATCATTAGCGAAGCACAAGAAGACGATATGGGGAGAGAGTACAATGGAAGGGTTTAACCTACATAGGATGTGGTTCGTGGGCAAGTAAATGAAAACTTTTTAAATCATCTAACATCCACCTCCAACCAAAAGGCTCTGGTATCTCCCTACAGTGCCAATAACAATGGTATCCACCATCTCACGCAATATGTATGTATACCACCATTCGTAAAATCTCCGACAAAGGCCGTAGGCCAAGGATTTCTCGGCCCACAGTCTTAGGAAGATGATCTGAAAAAACAATGTCAAGACAATTAGCTGCACGCTCTATATTGCTTCTGGAGCCTCGTAGACTAATTAGTAATTGCACTCATATTTTGTTAACGGAGGGATTTGAGAAAACGGTACCATGATAGCCATTAGCCTGTCTAATGAGGGACCAGGCTCTTTTATCAGACAATCTGAGCGGCTGGAGTAATGAACGCAATCACTCGATGACCTGGACTTTGTCCGCTTGTCTACCCTTTTGCCCTTGGACTGCTTCGAAAGTCACCTTCTGTCCCTCCTTGAGAGACTTGAATCCATTTCCTTCGACTGCCCGGAAGTGAACAAATAAGTCTTCCCCGGTTTCAGGGGTAATGAAGCCATAACCCTTCTCATCATTGAACCATTTGACTGTTCCATTCTGACGCTCACTCATTTTTGATAGGTCAACTAAACAGTTTTCTAATTAAATGAATCCGAACGCAACAAGTGTTCAGGATACTTACAGTCCTTGGGAGAATAAGATGAGTAGTGTAAGAATAGTATTTGAGAGAGGTTTCTCTTGTAGCTGCTGTCTTGTGGCGTATTTGAATGTGCAAATAATTTTAATTTTTTTGATCACTAGAAGGTTGGGTTCAATAGATATAAAATCCCAGTCTTCCCGCCCCAAATCCATGACGCAGACACTCTGACGTGGCAGCCATCAACAATCCGACCTGCCTATGCATCATGACATGGCAGTGTTACATGCATCAAAGTGAAATCTGTCAGCTGCATTAGATGCATTATGATGTGGTAATTATTTATATTCTCTTCTTTTCCAGGTTGAAGGTTGGCGCAAAGGTTTCTTGTGTATGAGCCTGGAACCTTTGAGCAGTGAGCACATGATGTCCATTTGCGCCCCTGAAGTTCATCAGATGTGTTTATTTTTTGAATTGGCTGCCTTACATGATCAATGTAATTCAAGAAGCCTTTGTTAATATCATTGAGGATTCTTCAACAAAGCATTTTGACCGTTGGGGCTTGATAGGCAAAGTATAGGAAAAGCTCAGGAAGCTCGGGGAAAATCGTAAGCCAGTAGAATTTGACACCACAGGACGGAATAAAAATCAAATATTTCCATAGATAGCTAAGACAAAAGAACGGTCAACTCGATTGGCCACCAAGAAGTGGTCGAAAGATAAGACGGTGACTTGTTGAGTATCACAACAAAAACTAGGTTCCCGGATGAAGATCCATCAACCTGAATGAGGAGATCAAATAGTCAGAGTAGATATTGGACTGAATGTGACCTTGAACAAGATTGATATATCAGATATAAATAATAAAGGGTGCATAACCATGATTTCACAGTGCATTCTTTGATAAGGTTAAAGAGTATCCCAAGCAAACTCAAATGTGGTAAAGTTTAGAAATAAAATGCTCATTTATGCTTTATAAAATGAGAGTAATACGCTAATTAGCAGCTATCTAAAAACATACGTTCACTAGCCAGGGCATCTTGCTATTTGGAGCTTCAAGGATTATCGAGGGTTCCTCTGTTGCCTATAAAAAGAGCATAATCTAGTGAGCCCAGGCAGTGCTTGACATGAAGAACATGTTGGCCTGACTTTTGGGCCAGCCAATATCTCCGCAAGGCAAGGGGGCAATGCGCTGGAAGAAACAGTGGATCTGTGACCACTTTGACCAAGTATGGATTTTCCTAGAATGATTCATTGCGACTGTCACCATTGAGTCTTATCCTCTCCATCTCAGGGCATCGCTTGCGAAACCATTCTTGGTACTTAAGTTCGCTTTTATCGAGCAGGTCTGGTGGCACCATGGATTAGTCGTCAAGCCGAAGGAACCACGGCTGTTGGGTCTTCTCTTCAGCAAGGTGGTCACAAAAGCTATGCCAGGGTTTCGTAAACTATAATTAATGCTGAAGTCCTTACTGTGGCTCGTATTCTAATTCAACCAGAGCTCATTGCCACCGTCGTCTCAACTAGAACCGCGCAAGGAGTCTCTCAAGTTGATACTTGCGCTAATTCCAAGTAAGAGGATAATACTAGCGCAGAGAAAAATAAAGTATCAAGGGGCCCGTCAAGTCCAGCACTTTAAGCACTTTTGATTTGAAGGAAATGTCGGTGTGCTCTGCTATCAAATACAGCAAAGCCATGATGATTGCCCTGCATTTAGGCCCGCTCATTCACAGTCACCTTCAGAATTGAGATTAGGTAGTTGATTTCTTATGTCATGTCTGCTGAACAGAGAATACTCGGTCACAGATACTCTACGCAATAGGGCTGATGTTCAAGCTTCTGTGTCTCAAGCATAGCCCATTCTTCCCGGGAGGTCCCAAGTGCGGTTGCCAGAATAGACTACAATATCGTCAGTTAGCTTGTAGAATAACGGCAGCATTTAAGCTTACAAGACGGTGTAGCCGGTGACAAACAGCCATGATGTAGGCCTCATAATGGTCACCATCCTTAAAGACACTGTCCATCTTGAACGGGGGATGGAATATCTCAAATTCCTCGTTTTTCGAAACCTTGATATATCCACCACCCGCTGTTAGGCTTATGAGTCAGGCCTTGACAGTATTCTCTTAGGATGACTGTTAACACTCACAGGGAAAGAGATCCTTCCAGTTTTTATCATATTTCCCTCATTCGAGTTTTGTTTACGAGCATTTCAGGATCGTGATAGTTCGATCTCCGGTCCGAGCCCAGCAGTGTTGCCGAAAATAACGGGTCTCCGTGGTACTAGGATATGTAAGTCGTAAATATGAGACAATTCCTTTTCTCATTGAACCTCATACCAAGGTCACGAAGAGGCAGAAGACAAGGAATCTTCAAACACCAGGCAAGCATCAACATATTGATCTGGAGACAGAGATTTATCTTTGAAGGCGGCTTCATTGTGTAGCCCGGCGGAAGACGAAGGGGAAGGCATTTTCTTGTAGTCGTCGTGCTCCTCCCAATCGTCTGCCGGTGATACTGTTGCTACCATGGCTGGTGAAGATGGGCAGTCGGTGTGGGCGTATTAAAGACAGGGAAACTCATCGAACTGTTCTTTATTTAATTGATGGGTAGAGAGACGCGCAGCATGAGAACATATTACATGGAAATGGTCTGAGTCCTTATCATGACCCCAATGAGCGGTCTTATTTAGGATGGCCACACCCGAATGGATTATTACTCGAACCCAGGTTCCTATCTATATTAGACCACTGTTGCCCAGCGTAACATCGGCGCTGTAAGGAACAGATTGTACTACAGGTGGTATCTTTCAGGGGAAGTTCTTTTGGGACCATGCTGTTGTGCTTATGACTTTAGCGCTAACATATCCATGCACAATGCATGATGCACGACCCTTGACCCCTGGGGCAGGAAAATCTGCTAGCAGCTGTAAGCTATCCTGCAGTATTAGCTGGATAAGCAACTCAAATCATGAATAACCTTCTCCTCAGACGAGCAAGAGACTCTTGTCATGCAGAGGAAGATGGCCGCGGTCAGATCTGGCGCGGCGATGAAATGTGATCATACAAAGTTCCATGAACCGCAGTAGCGACCTGAGGATCCCGATTATGAGAATATATGGTCTCCTCTACAGTTGGCTGCCGCACAAGCGGATTTGCCCATGGGGAAACTGCTTCTGTCACAACCGGCGGCAGATCCCAATCAACCCCCTAGGGGATATTATGGACAAACAGCGCTTCAGGATGCTTTTCTGGATGGAAGGACATATCAGCATCGTGCAGCTCTTGTTGAGAAACGGTGTCGATATCAATACTCCGCCCATGAGGTATAAGGGGTTCACAGCCCTACAAGGCGTTGCATTTGGTGGCCACGGCGATATCCTCAAACTCCTCTTGGACGCCGGGGCAAATGTCAATGCGAGGGGATCTTATTATAACGGATATACAGCTTTGTCTGCGGCTGCCAAAGGTGGGCATCGACAGATTGTTGAGGCTCTACTTCAGGCTGGCGCCGACGTTTCAATTGCATCTGGGAATACATTGTGGACACCTTCGCGGATTGCCATATTTCGAGGACACACAGATATTGCGCAATTGTTGAAGAAGCGAGAGGTTTGGGGGTGTCAGGCTGTTGACTGATTCAGGGCTGTTGCAATTGATGGATAGGTCTTGATGTTGTTTGGAGCCCAAGATCAAACCTCTAATGCAAGAAGTGACCCATCTTGCATGCTCCCTATAAAAGGCGCACGGATCTCTTTACTTCTTTTAATCCTATCATAGGAGTTGACAATGAAGCCATTACTTCTCTTTCAACTCATTCTCATGGCAATAAACTCTCGTGAGCGTGAACACATAGGAGCAACATACTGATTGGATTATGGCACTCTGCAAATACTAGATCTAGATTCATGATAATAATGTGAGCAACTATCTGCATGCATTTATCACCACCTCAGCTAGCTTTTGCCTGAAGTTTACCATTAAACTACCTGCTATTGCAATTTGATATCCATGATGTCCATATAACCTCGGGTTAGCCCTTCCTGGCTACGCAGAGCCCTGTCAGGTGGTTGTCCAAGGCACGGACTTATGTAGTCGACTTTATTGCTGGGGGCATATAGTGACTGCGATTCTTAGAAAATCATGATTTTCGTTCGAATTCGGGGTTTTTTGAACGGTCTGTGCTGTATTGATGACCAGCTCGTTTGGTCCAGTGTGGACGGCGGATCCATAGCGTTTATTCAGGGCTATGATATCGAGATGATTGCGACCTTGGAGGGCGGGGGTTTGGGAGGAATTCTAAACACAGCACAAATGGCCAGGCCTCGAGAGAACCAAATGCAAGGGATGATCTGATGAAAGAGCATTACGGAGCTCTAGCATTTCCCACGACGGCGGGTAGTGGCTCAATGCTGCGTATCGAGTCCTTGGAATCGGATCCAGCACACCAGAAGTCCAATCACAAGGAATACGAAGACTGGGCCCGTCGAGACAACCATTGCAAGAGCTCTTGGAGGGCTTCAGGTGCTGTGCTTGAAAAATTTCATATATGGAAGACGCTGAGAAAATGCGTCATACACAACAGCATGTTGAATCGTCCCCGAACTGGGGATACCGCGATGCCTCTGTCCTACCTCAACTTTCTGGTACATAGCGAATCAGCCTGCCAAAATCGTCAGATGGTACTTGTGACTTGGCGGCAAACAAAGGCATTGCTGAGGCAGGGAGAACAGACCGGAACTGAACAGAAGCTCCACGGTCAGGACTGCCAGCATCCTGTCAGTTCTCTCGACCAGTGTTTTGAATTGATTCATTTCAAATGTAAGATCATTATTACAGATATATTCATGACATATAGCAATATCCTCATAACTTACTTATGTGTGAAGCGCCGACAAAAGTCGCACTGGTTATAGACAGCCTTAGCAGGACACATTCCCAGCAGTATGCCCATGTTGCTGCTGGCAATGAATTTGAGATCTTTCCCTACTCTCTCTGCGCCCTTGGACTTTTCCTCCACCTGTGCAAAGTCAAAGCTATGTTCGGGGAGGAGATCGTACACTCCCTTGGCATATTCCGGCGCGATACGATACAGTTGAGCCAGGTACTTGACCTGGATCTCCGGATACTCGACTAGTTTGAGCAGACGCGGCGTGTTGGAGTGGAGATGTTCGCGGGCCTGGGCATCCATCACGCGTTGATAGAGAACCCGCGGCTGGTCATACTCGGACGACTTCCCTTCATGGTAGAAATGGGACTTTCGGCTGACCGTGTTGTCCGCCAACTGGTATGGCGCCTCGGCTGTATCAGGACAGACTTATGGGTGAAGCTATTTGGTGCATACTGCGGGTTCATCACATGGTTAGCATCCACCCTCATTTGGCTGTCAAAATTCAGCAAGGCATACAATGAGGCCATGAACGGACACTAGAGTGGTTCTCAGCATCAGGACTGCCTTTTGGTTCTTCTTTCTTTTTTCGCGGGAGAAGAATAGACTTACCGGGAATTTGGTGCAGATTGACACCAATCTGGTGGTACTGCGCATCACGATAGAAGAACATGCGGAACTGCAGGAGGGGATTGGGGCTGTCTCCAATGCTAGGAACTATGCTGCCGGGGGAAAAGGCGGCATGTTCCACGTCGCGATGGAAATTCTCTGGGCTCTTGTTCAACACCAGCTTTTTGAATTCTTGAAGCTGTATTTTTTTGGTTCACGCGTGGTTCGAGAAAGACGACTGTTCGACTACATGCCGGAAATTGGGTTTTGGGCCAGAATTTGGTCACGTCAAAGGGATCAAAGCGCAGTCTCTCCGGGTCAGCCTCCTCGGGCTTCATGACTTGAATATCCAGGTGATCTTCTCGCCCTTCTCAATGCCCTTCCACAGATCGCGCTTCGAGAAGGGTCCTCGCCCCCGAGCCGCAATGCCTCATCGGCCGTGAACTGCTTCTGCCCGTGGTCCGTGATAAAATGGCACTTGATGTATACAAATCCGCCGTCCTTGTTAACCCTGGTGAATTGCGTTACTTTCTCACGCGCCGAGCTGTTAGAGACTTGACTTACCATTCAAAGGTGTGACATCCGTATCTATGCTGGTTACGCCACCCGACTGGAGTACCATGGTCGCGGAAGAACATCATACCAGCTTGATTCCTGGTATGGGGTCAGCTTGGAACTGTCGAGGTAAACCCACAAGGCAGAATCCACTGGAGGGTTTGCGAGCAGGTCAAACAAAGAATTGCGGTCCAGTCCTGTGGATTGCGATAATGCGACACCCGGGCCCTGGATGGGATCACGGCAGAAGAAGACAGGCTAGGTCTTAATATTAGAGTGGGAGTGATGAGGCGAGGCTATGTCTTAGACTTATAAAGTTCAATCCGACAGTGTCATAGTTTCCTTTCCCAGTATAGAACTCGATAGCGAAGCCCGGAGGATTCCTTACATGATCGGGGTACTCCCGGCCCAAAGCCACCGTGGAGAATTGCACAAAGACGGATGTTTTGATTCCGGGGGATCACAGAAAATGCGCCTTGGTCAGTGAAAATACATCCTTGGTCGTCTCGAAATAACCAAGAGCACCACTGCCGCCTACCAGAGTTAGCTTTTAGCTAGCCTTCGCCGGACAATGCCACCTCGACTTCCAAGGATGGACCATGCGCTGCAGATTCCTCGATCGATTGAAGTGCTGCTGCTTCTGAAACAGAAAGGCATCTGACGCCACTGGCACACCACCGGCCGTCTTACTATGCGCGGGATCCGGGAAGGGGATACCTTCATCGTTGGTGAAGTACGGCCCATCATCTGCTCTCTTTCATGTTCCCTGGACTCCCGTCAATATGGCTACAGTCTCTGCGGGACCTTCGTTGGCGCGTTGGAATAGAGAGGGCAGTTGCATGACAGGGGGATAAGCCCCGACGGCCCCAACGGCCTCGCCCAGTGCTTGAAGAGGATGTGTTGCCATTGCGCGTGTCAATATTGGAATATTAGGTGATAAGCAAACGTTCTCAGGGAATCTGTACAGAAGCTTTCTAGATATACATAATCATGGGTTCGCTACTGTAGCTGTACTTCGTAAATTCATGTCAATAAAGGCTCCACAGGATACAATCAGCATCACGTTCGCCCTCACTCGCATGCAATCGAGGCAATACAGAAGATATTGTCTGGGGAAGAAATTACAGATTACCCGGATAGTGATGGCTTACAGAGCGTCTAGATCAGGGCTATCGAGCTATCAAAGACGCATCCCAATCAATTTGCATTTATCACGCTGAAGGGGTTGAGTTGAGACTCGATTGTGGCCTTACCCGCATGTTGGTCATGTCAAGCAAATCTGGTCCATGTCCCAATGAACCATGGTGATGACCTGGTTTGAGCCTGTTCAATTGAACTATTTTTGCCCGTTCCAAGTCCGGTTTGCGGTAGAATCTAGGATATTCGACGGTTGGATGGAGTCATAGGCAAGTCAGGCTTGTGATATGATCTAGCTCAACATGATTTTGGGTCGGATGGAAATGAGGTTTTGAACAGCTAGCCAGCCAGACCGGTATAGAATCATTTCTGCGATAATGCGATAAATAGCCTAAATAGTAGACTAGATAAAGATGCGGCACTGCTTCTGTACCTTTTGTCAGGTCGCCTGCTGTCTTTAGGAGTCAGTCAGCCCACAATATTTAGTCGTCTTCGTCGTCTACGATAGTTATGCGATCACAAGAATTTACTGGAAATAGGTTTTTCTTCAAAATATATCGATCGCAACAATTTCTTGTTATTGTAGCAACTCATCATTTATCAATTTTGGTATCACTTGGATATAGTTTGTTGGTTTGGTTGTATGCAAGCAACAAGTTCGACTTTTGTTATTAAGCGGCTGCTGGATACTATTTCCAAGCAGCCAGGTATGCAACATCCCCAGAAACGCCATAATGCAAGTCATCAGTCATCAGAAAATGGTAAAAACAAGAACACAAAAGAGGCAAAAAGTGATCAATTCACAGTTCCCACAGCGCGTAGCCCCATTCCCAGCCTTCACAGTGGCCAAACGTCCGGACGGGAGCCTCTGCCGAAGGGGTCGATGGGAGCGGGGCATTCGATCTGGGCGTGAAGATCACACAGTCGGCAACATCCTGGCGGTGCCAATGCTGTTTCCAGCCCGCGTTAGGTTGGTCAATGGCAGGAACCATGCGTACACCCTGTAGGACATCGTCGTTAATGTACTTCTCGGCCGTGTATTGTTCCGGTGCAGGATCCCGGACAACGCGGATTGTGTCCATGAACGAGGACTTGGAAGAAATGGCATTGCAGGCCAACAACCGCCAGCGATCTTCGCGGGTCGGTTGCGAAAGGACTTTGTGCAAGAAAGCAGGGCCGAGGAGGATGAGGTGATTGAAGTAAGGACTGTAGTCGTTTGGATCGTCTGTGTTCCATCGTCAGTATCAGAGCCTCCTCATCGAAAGTTCGCCAAAGGGGAAACCATGGAACTTACCATGTTCGCTGGGATACAACTCCCACGGATCCAGCGGTAACGACGCCGGCCGAAGGGCTTTCCACCGGCTGTCTGTCCGAGAGAACTCTTGACGGATCTCGTCGAACAGTCTCTGATATTCGTTGCGCATCAGGACCCAGACGGACCCAAACTCTTCCACCTCCCACGAGGGCAGCGAGCTGAAGAACAGCTGCCACATTTGGTTGATGGTGAAGTTCTTGTACCATGTCGACGACGAGGTCCTCTTGGATGCGGACGGGGCCGACTGATCGGCCGTGGGCTCCGTCCATTCGCGCGAGCCGAAAATGTTGCAGTATGTCTGGAGGCGGCAGAGGGCGCGCAGGATCCGTGCCTTTTCGATCGACGACGGTGTTGCCTGGCGGTGGGGGGTATGCGAGCAGAAGGAATCGACGACGGTTTGGAAGATCTGGTGCAGGTGGAGGAGATCGAGACTGGAGGCCGGGTCCAGCTTGGTCGGGATCGATGCCGCGACGCACTGTCGGTTCAGGACCTCGCGGATTCTCGATTTGTTGGCCGACTTCTCGGCATGCAGACCACTCGACTGGATGGCCATGATGGGTTCTTCCAGGCCAATGAGGCCATATTGTTCACGGACCAATCGGTCGAGGATCGTCCGGCGGGAGATGTGGTATGTGTTGCGGTATGTAGAAGACACACGGGTGAGGTCATGGAGGGTTTGGACGTCCGGCATGGACTCCAGGATCAAGATCCTGAGCTCTGCAGGGAGAGTTTCCAACGCCATGGTTGTATCAGAGTATGGAATACGATGAGTGTGAGGTAAGATGATGATGATGATGATGATGATGATGATGAAGGGCCGCTGATCATGTTATGTTCTGCAATGAGATCCAAGGAAATGGAAGAAGAAGTTAATGTGTATATATATCAGAGAACTACGTGAGTGTGACATCGGCAGACCGAGAAACCATATATATATATATATATATTATATAGAGAATAATAATAATAAAATGGCATAATTGCGGACCCAACGGTTGAACGGAGAAGCATCTGAAATTCTGATTTCTGAATCATACAGTCCTCAATTCGAAATTCCGGGGTAAAAATCCGCCCTACGGATGTTGCTATTCTTACTCCTTCGTCCTTCTAACGAGCTGACTAGTGAAACTGTGAATCAATCTCCCTACGACCTGCAGGATTAGCCACTATATCCCCACAATCCACTAATTCGACTGGGGCCGAGGATATCCATTTTCTCCCCTTTTTCCCACCGCCATGACGGCATCCGAAGAGGCGGTGGTGCTTTGGCCCGACCCGATTGGTGTGGCCTCGACAGGATCCTCTTTTCCTGTTAGGTAACATATTGCCTCCCAAGCCCATCATCTGACGGTTCTACCGTTCTAGATTTGTTTGCGTGCTTTGAGCCTTTGCAGAGATTTTTTTAAGAGTCATGAGGATCCTCTTGGCGACCCAGAAATGCCTCATCACCAGGCCTCATGGGGGATCCTGGTTTGGCCATTTTGCCCCCCTGGGACGAGGCCTTTTAGGTAATTGTTTCCATGGCACAGGTCAGATGACGTCAAGTGACCCAGACCTGGCTCTTTCCTCATTGTCCGGTCAAATTGGGTGCTGCATCGTTCCTGGATGCTGATTGGTATCAGGTGGTCTCATCTTCTTTGTACAGCCAAGAGGTATTATTTGTTGTTCTAGCTACATGGAGTCCCTATGAGAGTACCTTAGGGGGGGAGAAGTTAGGCCTGAGTACATGACGGTACAGGATTAAGGGGTTAGGTCCTAGGTACGGTAGTGAGCTAGTGAGCTAGTGAGCTAGCTAGCTAGCTCATAGGCACAGGCACCGTTGCATATCCCCAAACCAACTCTGTGAACTCTCTTGTCTTAGCCGGCTAGAACAGCAATGCATGTCCACGATACTTCCTCGGCTTCTCCTCCATTGCCTTGCTGGCGACTCCGGTTCGCTTCGGAAACCCTTCAAACGACAGGGCATACGTGGCAATTGAATGTGCAACCAGCTGTTTTTTTTTTTCGTCTCGTCAGCCATCACTGCGCTTTTTCTACGTGATCATGGGAAGTTGAAAAGAGAGCGAAAAAAAAAAAAAAGCCAGAAAGAACATACCTTAGTGTTGACCTCCCAAGCAGTCCGGTTGACGTTTCCCACATCATCACAGAGCTGGTGGTAACATGGGTCAAAGGCATCCCCGGCCACTCCACCGAACATGCGCTGCTCCTCCTCCGTCTTGATGACTTCCGCACCGGTGGCGATCCCACCCCCGGGAATTCCATTCCGGATAAATGCGTCATAGTCGCTCCGTCCGTCGAACGGAATATAAGTGAAGTTCAACCCTTGAGCCTCATAGAACTCGGTATACAGATCCCGTAGCTGCTCCGATCCGACCGGGTTGACGGCATTGGTCGCGTTGTACACCTGATACGCAAAGTTGGGTGACGCCAGCATGTCATAGTCCATGAACAGCCGGATCTGGAGGTTCTCTTCTTCCGAGAGCACCGATACATAATAATCCGATCCCAGCAGTCCCTCTTCCTCGGCCGCCCACCAGGCCAGACGCACGCAGTTGTTGACCCGGTACTGGGGCAGTAACGAGGCGACCTCCAGCAAGGTCAGAGAGCCCGACCCGTCATCGTTGATCCCAGGACCTTCCATCACGCTGTCGCTGTGCGCCCCCGCCATTACGCAGTTGTCGGGGTCTCCTGCCTGGGTTTGCGCAATGATGTTGGTCGTCATGATCGTTTCCACCGTGGCGTCCATGTAGGCGATGGCATCGACCGACTTTCCGTGCCGCAATCGATCGAGGAATGGCGCCGCATCGCGGTCGGAGATTCCAAAGGTAGCCACATGGTGCGGCGACGGGGTGCCCAAGGTGCCTCCCAAGCCGCCTTTCTCGTTGTTGTAGATGACCGCCGCCACGGCACCCGCTTGGCCCGCCAAGGCCGACTTGGTGCCAAACGGACAGCTGCCGCGACTGATAAAGGCGATGGCGCCTGTAAGGTTTGCCGGATAGTCGGCCGCGTCGCAGCCCAGGTTGGCGACGAGCACGAGTGGTCCGTAGACCGGCTCGTTATCCTTCGTCGGCGGCGTCAACCCCATGGGGAGGGCGGACTCGGGAACGCTGTGTCCCAGCACCAGGCGCGACTCCAAAACATTGCCAGTCACGGCGGGGAAGGACTGGTTGGAGATGGTGTAGTAGTCGTCAAATTCCTGGAGCGTCGCGTAGATGTAGTCCAGTGTCCCCAGATGGCCTGTGGGTCACGTGAGCTGACTTGTTTCTCGGTTCGAGGGGATAAATTCGAGATTCGAACCAACCTTTGCTGCCAATGACTCGAGTGGGATGGTTATATTCATCTTGTCCAAGTTCTGCAATGCGATACAGCTCTTCGGCTCTCCTGAGCAAGTTATCGACGTTGACCTGGCTCTGCAGTGCGGAGGAGCTGATCAAGTCCTGCCCAGCCACTGGAATCTGGGCCTCCGAGGAGCTGAAGAGAGGCAGTTGGAGGGCAGACACTTCCCCTGAGAGAGCCAGCACTGATGCTATCAAGCTTGATGTTGTGATGGTCATGATTCAAGTGGTCAATTGAAAGTTCTACGGAGTACAGGAGTGTCAACAGCGATGGTTGTCCTTGAGTCAAGGCTCCAGGGAAGTCGGTCAGGAACTTGTGGGGCGACGCTATCAAGCTTCACTCAGAATGACTAGATAGTAACTAGATAGATACTGATTGGACCTAAGAATAATCGTATGGCTGAGAGGTGGCTTGGGGTCTAGAAATCGCCCTGGACTATTAGGCTCAATAATTGCCAATAGTCAAGACTCGAGAAATCGGATCAACGGGAGCTTAACCCCATTCCTCTGATGACCACCTGACGTGTCTCCTTTTTTGTGCCTGTTTGGTGTTTTTGATTCTCTCGTCTGGAGATAAGACAACCCAGGATGATTGATTACCAGCAAGCACTAGCTGGGGTGATCTGCTCCTGCGACTCCGTAGATAAGTACTGCGATAGATAAGCAAGTGGATAGATAATAGATGATCTGTCCGGCTGTTGATAATGGAATGTTGGAGTAGATTTGGATCTCATATATCTCGTATCATACAGAGAAGTAAACACATTGAACTCATCCTGATAGATATCTCACAGGAGATAGCTTACCTGCTGTCCACACTGGGGCCTCCAATTTGCTCTCTCCTTACAACAAACCCTCTACAGTATGTCTTCCAGCATTGATTACTGACAATATGCTCATGAGTACATTAGGGAATCAATTAATGCCAGCATTTGAGAAAGACCAAAAGATCCACGCGATTAGGCCGTGGGAGAACGGGCGAGGATGTCAACGATAATGGAGGCTTCCGCAGTCACCCAACGGCCCCAACCAAGCAGAAACCTGCATAAACATCCTGTCCACTTCGCACCTGGCCTTCTCCTCTTCATCCTCTTCATCCTCTGCTCGACTCACCTACTCCTACGCTGTGTCTCATCATCTCATGGCTTGTTGCCGCCGGTGAACATCTCACGTGATCTCGGCTAAATCAACCTCGCGCACGCGGACTAGTAGAGGGAGTCGACGCCTTTCAGCGACCGGTGACCGGCAATGGGCGATCAACATCGTCGGACCCTTCTTCATCTTCATCCCCCGATTGAAGTCGTCGCAGCTGAAGTATGCGCTGTCTGACACGCCGTCCCGTTTGAGGTGTCCAAGACTCCAAAGACTCCCGAGACTCCCCGAGTGCAACTACTTCCCCCCTCGATCGATCGACTCGATCAAGAGAAAACCCCACATTGACGGGGCAGAGAGAGGAGAGAAAAAAAAAAAGGTTGGTTCTTCCCCAGAGGAGCAATGGGCGCATACGCATAACGTAACAGATATTTCTCCAACTTTCCCACCATGTCTCTGACACAAAGATATTTCTCTGACTAACATCAACTCTATTCTGACTGCAGAAACATCCGCGTCATGAAACTATTGGCAGCGACCGTCTCCCTGTTGACCGTGCCGGTGCTGGCCGGGAAATACGCGGCCGGAACTGTGTGCAACACCAACACCGAGTGCGTCGATCATTGTCTCGAGGGTCGCTACACCATCGTCTCTCACAACGGGGGCTTTGCTTTCGCCTGTGATCCCAACTCTGCCGATCCGGTTCAATACTATGTCGCCGTATCCAAACCTGGTATTTGGAAGGCCTACGCCCCCACTGCGACGCAGAAGACGCAAATGGCCTGCGATGCCATGAAGGGCGCCATGTGCAATCACGTCTGTTTCCTGTCAGGCAAGAAGAGTCTGGAGGACGACATGCGGTCGCAATGGTACGACACCTGTCGCGAGAATGGTGACCTCGAACCCATGTTTGCCGTGTTCTCACGAGCCGAAGATGCCAAACGTCGGATGGACTGCAAACGGGATATCTTCTAAAACCAACACGGACGGCGGAAATTTGCTGTATACTCTATGTTTAGAGGGTTTGTATATATTAGACGAAAAGCTATTGCAAGCAGATTTATATCATTGATGTCATTTCAAATGGGTATCATTCCATCGGGCAACATGATCACCACCCGTCCCCTTGATGCGGCTACAAATGATACGAGCGAGGATTTTCCACCTCCACCCCGAGTCTCTGCCACCAGCCTTCCACTCCCATATCCTCACGTCCACTGAAGGAACTTTGAATTAGCGTATTGCGGAGGAGAACCTGTGCAGAAAACTTACTCGGTCTTTTCGTTGATCCAAGGCTCGGTTTGCCCTTCCGCCGGGTTCGGATTGCGGAATATGACGTTCAATTTCTGATACGAGTTCAGCACCAAAAAAAAAAAACAACCGTGGGACTGCACTAAACCTACAATTCCCAGTGTCAGATGAATCCCGGCTAGCGGTGGTGTATATGTTTCCTGCGCATCGCGTCCCTCGATCAACGCCTGGATGTTTCGCGCCACCACACCCGCTTGCACGGATCCTGGCCGCGCTGCCTTCTGTGCTCCGGTATCGGCAATGTCCCCAACGGCAAAGATGTTGCCGTAAAGCTCATCCTGCAGTTGCAGAGTTGGTCGTACTCGCACAAACCCATTCTGTGGGTTGATCAACGACCCCGGTGCGGAAGGGGTCAGGCTTGTCAAGAGATCGTTGTTCGGTCGTTGCCCTGTCGCCAGGATAATGAATTCGGTCGACACCTTGGATCCGTTGGTGAGCTGCACATCAAATGTTCCGTCCGTGGGGAATCCTCCGGGCGGAATGGTAACACGAGAATTGGTGATCAGCCTGCAAAGTCTCAATCAGCTCGGATCGTTGTCAATAACACGGTCTCGTTGGAAATTCGCACCGAACTCCTAAATCATCAAACCGTTTCTTGATCAATTCGTGTAGTTTTTCATGAAATTGCGGCATGACATGAGCCCGAGACTGCACGAGTGTGACTTCCTTCTCCGGGTAGAACTCCTTGAGGTCTGTCGCCATCTGTACCCCGACAGCGCCGCCACCAACGATCAAGATGGACTTGGCCTTCTTGATATCCGCCTGGTGTTTCTGCAGGTATTGAATGGATGATACTTTATCATCATCCTTCATACCCGCCGGCTGAGCCAGACGAGTTCCCGTTGCGATAGCCAGATAGTCATATGGAATTTCACTCGAATCCTGCCATTGACGATCGAGTTTCACAAACTTGGGATAGACCGAGAGCACGCGGGCTTGAACAACGGCATGGGAGGAGGAACGAGGGACCGAGGAGAAAATGCCACTGTATGGAATGAAGGCTTTGTGTTCTTGGCCTGGGACGATAGCGAACCGTGGCTGTCCACCATCCTGAGTTAAGAAGACACTTGGTTCAGGCGAGACAGTTATCACTCACGAACGCAAAGAGATGATGGAAATGGCTATGCGGTTCAATCAAAACGACCTACCAACATTAGCCCTGCGACAGACAAGGTGGAAGGAAAGGTCATTGACAACATACTCGATGGGTCGCTGGAAGTACACGGGCAAGCTCCTGAGCGGTGGCCTGGTATGACTGGTTAGACGCAATGGATATCCCGTTGCTGTTAGAGAACATACCCGTCCCACGTAGGAACCACCCAAAACAATAATATTCTTCAAAGGCACAGCCATGTTGGTCGGAGAAGTCCAGTTCAGGGCGAGGGGTATGACACAGAAGATCAGAAATAAGAGGATTTGTCCCTCGATCCTGGGGACACTCATTTAAATGTCGGCACCCACAGAACGGATATACAGCCGGACCAACCAGCCTGAGGCCCGCTGATTGATAAATATTATCAGATCCAGCACTCTTGTTGCGGCATTTGGCAGATCCGACCATCAGAAGACCCCCGAGTCTCCGAGATCGATTGCCCCGTTGAGCTTAACCCCGAATACCCCGAGCCGCGGCCTGCTTAATTCTATATCCGGTCAGCCACAAGACCGCCAGCCACAGAATGAAAGTCAGCAGCCCCTTGAGAGCCATTTTGATTCTATACACCAAGATAGAAATGACTGATGATCGAAAGAAAAAAGCTCGCTGTCATTGAAAATACAATAGCTAGGATGACCGTGGCTATAAGTAGTCTCCTTCATCCATCATAGCATCGATTTCAGTGGCGGCGACCCTCTCTTGAGCAGGTCTCGGATGCCACCTTCCACCCCCCATGCGTCTTTCGCTACGTTCTCTGTATTGACGGGAAGCTGCCTCGTCCAGCTCATGAGTCGCTCATATACGTTCCCGTCTCGACAGCCCAATGCACTGCTCAGGCTTGCATCGGTAAAGTCCCACGCATCCGTGAGGGACACGATATCTGGAAGCAGCTCCTCGAGGATCTGATCGATGCGCGTTCGCATAGGGTCGAATTGGGTCGACGACAACAGTCCATCTTCCGTAAAAGAAGTGGTATAGTACGACTGTGTCGGGGTGATGATGCTCGTCAAGGCAAATAATTCAGACAGGCGGGAGAGAACTGGGAACACACTTGGTTCGGACTCTCGGAGCATGGCCACTCGGCGTTGGAATGCCTGGAGAACCATATACTCGGTGTAGGCGTGTGCTACAGGCAGTAGACGCATCAGGCAACGGTTCCATGCCTCTGCAGCGGACATTGATCTCTTTCGCCGACCATATTCCGTGTACGCAGCCGCATGGACTCTGCAAAAGCGGTGGTGAAACATCGCTAGAAGCGTGGCGGTCTGGCAGAGCTGGTCTGTTGCAAGATTTTTCAGGTGGAAAGTCTTCTTATGAGAGAGATATGAATCGAAGTCGCGCAGGCACTCTTCGACATCGGCATCGACTGCTCTTCCTGCCTGGATGGCGTCGGCCTGCTTGAAAAGATATCGCACCAATTGCTGCCACATCAGATAATTCTCTCCCTCAAAGGTTGTTGTGGCACATGCTGCGCCTACCATCTCGGGTAGTCCAGACAGTGCCATATAACCGTGTCCGCCGCACATCTTGCGCGCTTCTTCGGCTCCAGCGTTCACCGTACTCGTTCCCCAGGCTTTCAACCCGGTGCTGAGCGCATGTATGAAAGGGAGACGGGCAAGGTTGCCTTGTGCTCTCTCTTTCTGGATTTGACCGAACTGTTCATTAAACTCCTTGGAAACGAAAATAAGGGCATATGCCTGTGAGATTAGCGTCAGCAAGCGATAATGCTGAGATTTGTAGGCTACAACAGGCACTTCTGGAGCGTTCGGCTCTGAGAACATTGGCATGCCCTGCATCCGCACCACGGAGTATCGTGTCGCCACAGTCAATGGCTGAGCAAGGCCAAATGCAGCATACTGGATTATTATTCGCCGGCCCTCGAGCATGGCTGCGTACAGTTCTTTCTGAAATGATTGGCCGTGAAGAGTCTGAACATACGACCCGTCGCGATCCACTTGCGCGTACGCAGCCAGAAGACTACTGCGTGGCACCCGCACATGGCTGAATCGTGCATATCCATTGCAGGTTCCGTTATAGGCCATTTTCAAACCGACATCCCCCAGCTCAACACCTTCTGCAGGGGAAAAGTCATCGAGAGAGCGAATCTGCACGATGAACCAGTGCATGCCGTAATCCTTGCCACGAATGAGCAATCGGGCTGCCACAACGGCATGCGAGCAGCTTAAACCCAACCCCCCTGGCCAGTACTTGGCCGCAGTGATGGTTGGCGAATGAATGACAAAATCGCCGGTATCCTCGTCAAAACTGGCCGTAGTCTCAATTCCACGGAGATGGCTACCATGACCCAGTTCCGTCTGTGCGTAACAGCCGTTGATCGTCATTTGATCGATTAGAGGCAGCCATTGTTGCTTCTGTTCCGCGTTTCCATGAAACTCTATGGTCATACGGAATATCAGAAGGCTCAGTCCGTATGGTGTTGAGTTGGCAACTTGATATCGCTCCGTCATGTTCTCAAAATGCCGATGGTTGTATTGCATCATGTCATCGACCATTGCTCTCCCACGACGAAGACCTTCCAAGTACAACCCCTTGCGATCCAGCCCTGAGTAGACATGCGGTAGTGTCATGGTATCCCCTAGCCCTAGAGCCGACTCCACACGTCGGAAAGCTGCTCGTCGGGAGGAGGCATTGGCCTCACTGGGAACCAGTCAACGTGTGTTTGGTTAGAACAAAATACCAACTACCTACCCGTCGTGGATGACGCGAGTCAATATGCGCGAGTCAAATGTAGCAGATTGTCTGGCTTGCTCCATCAGGGTCATCTGCTGATTGGAAGCCATCTTTAGCCGTCGGACCCGAGCCGAAGAGTTTAGCTTCTCCTTGTTACAACGGAGGCAAGCCTTGTTATATACCCATACCCAGTAATCTTTCTTGGCTCCGGTGGCCTTCTGTTCGCCTAGCAAGGCTGTACGGGGAGGAGGGCCACCAGGCTGGGTGGCCATGGGTGTTTACCAGTTATCATGGCGAACAAGGTCAGGCTAGGCATGAGGCTAGGACTCGATGCCACTGTGAAGCTCAACAGCGCCCCTGACCCAGATTTCGGCCACAAGTAGGGGTGGTCATTCCGACTTGCGGCTAAGGGTGGTGTATCATGTAGGAGTGGTAATCGAAATTTCGAAATGTCAAAATGTTAAAAATGATGTGTCGTTTTGACTTTTTGGTCATTTTGACCAGATTTTTTGACATACACCTAAGGGGAAAGTCAAAACGACACGTCATTTTTGTCATTTTTGTTCATTTTGTCATTTTATCATTTTATTTTGTCATTTTGTCATTTTTGATTACCACCTAAGCCGCAAGTCGGAATCCCCATAGTCACCTTGCGGAATGGCACTGATTGGCCTCAATCACGCAGTTGACATACTCGAACTGTGCTTCGCCTCGCTTGAGTATCGCGATTTCGTGCCAGGCGCGGAACCAACTCTGTTCTCCAAATTTTTTGGCATGTCTGACGGCTCCGGTGTAGATGGCCAGATGCGATGGATGCGACTTGGCCCAGTTCTCCAGGTCTGATAGCGTGCGGAAAAACCCGGCGACACAAGTCTCTCTAGAATCTTGCGCCGTGTTCGCCGATTGTGCAGGTCCTGGACGGTTGGCAAGATAACGCAAGCCGGACGCACCAGTTTGCACCGGATGCTCCCACAGGTATTTCAGGCCCGCTCGCAGGGCTGGCTCCAAGGTCTCCTTGTATGCCTTGGTCTCATCGTCATTGCAGTTCGCCCAGAATTGGCCGGATCGGATATGCACGATATTCTCGGGATTGGTGCCGACGACATAATGCTTCAATGACACGGGCGATGAACGAGCCTTTAGTGCGTGGTCGTCCACCTCTTCCCTCTCAAAGAGTTCAGTGGCTGAATCGGGAATGCGATCGCGCGCCGACCCCCAGTAGGTAGCCAAGGTATGCTCGAGGCATGAGACGCCGGGCAAGCGCGCCAGCCCAGGTAGGTAGTCGGAGCCCGAATAGTTCGTTTCGAGGCGGGATAGCCGGGTGGTGAATCGTTCACACCATAACCCGATCGATTGGCGATTGGTCGAGTCCAGTTGTTCAAACGGGGCCACCAGATTGAGGCGCTGCAGACTCGCCTCATACTTTGCGGCATCATCCCAGTAGCAAGCCCACACGGTCGACCCGGGCGTATCATCTCCATCCAGGACTTCAAATTGTTCGACGGAAGAGGCCGCGATGGAAGGATCGGCGGTGATCCATGTTTGAATGGCCTCGACAGCGTCCTGGTATGCCTTGTTGTGAATCGGCTGCCCATTTGCACAGCTTTCACGATCCTGTACACCAATATAGGCCGTATATACACGTTCCAGGCCCGAAGGAAACTGGACCAACCATCTTGGCACAGGCGGCTTATATCCTTTGGGCTGCCGTAGCGGGTAGACTCTTCCGCAGCTCATTCTGAACTCTCAATCAATCCAAAAACTGCCGATAAAAGCTGATTCCGGGCCTTCTGGATAGAAAGAGGACTCTTTGGGCTTGTGATGGAAAGTGCAAAGTGGCTGGTTTTTCATCGCCGAGCCCTGCTTCAGGACACTTGTCAAAATGACCGTCGCCGGCATAGCTATCACTAGTGAGAAGGATTGTACGACCGTTCCACTAGCTGCATGGTTGATGCAGAGCAATCTAAGAAACACAAAGGAATACAATTCTTTCGCCGAGTTCAGCACAAGAGTTTCTCTTTCATGGCCTGTTGCGCATGAGAAGCCGTTGAACATCGGACAACGACCGACTAATTGGAATTTACACAGCCATAACTAGGCTACAAATCCTGGGAGCAGACTATCTTCGGTAGATAGTAAACTCAAGCCCCAGAAACACCAGATATGCAACCAGCAGGAGCACACCAGCTATCCTACCCAACCCGAGGAGCACGACGACGCAGAACAGCAGCGAAGATGTCCAGACTGCCACCAAATCGAACAGAACAAAGGTGTCGAGCTGATCAGATGTCTGACCAGCAAGAGCTACTACGCCGGCACAGAGGGTCAACAGAAAGATATTGCTTCCTGCAGCAGTGGCCGCCATAACGTTAACATGGCCACGGGAACCGCTGAGGATCGCAATGAACTTTTCGGGTAAAGTGGTGGCAAAGGACAGGATGGTAAGGCCAAAGACAGTGCCTGACAGATGAAGACAGTCGGTGATAGTCGCAGCACTGTGAGAGAGAAGATATCCAGCGAGTGATAGAGCTAGAAGGCCATAGAGGAGTTGCGTGGTGTGGTATAACAGGCTCCTGGTACACAACACGGGGGAATCTGCAGACTGGTTCCCATTCCCAATCAACGGGGTCTCTTCAGTTACTGGAATTTCGGGATCCGGAGGCGAATCTGCCTCACTGTCGCTGTCCGAGAGGGCTGGAGCAACTGCAAACCCCTGGTAGATGGCATAGAAAATGGAAATCACGTAGCAGGCAAACAGGGCGATCAAGAGGCCACCGACGGGTTTGGTCAACTGGTTGAGGAATGCCAGTAGGACGAATAGTGTCGTGACTGCAAGGAGCACTGCAGCATAGAACTTGGCGCTACGGTCGAATCCGATAGGATTGCGATCAAACAACAGACCAAGCGAAAAGGCTCCAAGAATGTTGGAGACGGTCGAACCCAAGAGGTTACCCATCGCAAGGGGTTGTCGATGTTGCAACAGAGCAGCCACCACAACAGCGAGCTATCCGAGTGTTAGTTTTGCAGTCCACAACATGCGTAGCAAATCTATAATAATTTTGTATTCACCTCTTCATACTCCGCGCCGGCTGTCAACAGAGCAATCAACGTCTGCGACACCCCCAAGGAACGACCGACAATAACGGTATGGTCGATGAACTTGTCAGCGCCATAATCCAGCAAGAAGACGCTAGCGATGAGCACGCCAGTATTGAAGATGATTGGATCCCAGCTCATGGTGTTATAATTGAGTGAGGAAGTATTTAGTAGGGGTAGCGTTCATCCGCACAGGTCGAAAAGACAAGGAATTGAGTTTGCTGGTGTGGCGGTGCATGGCCAAACCAAATGTGCATATATATATATATGTATATGTATACTCCGTATATATATTCATATCTATCTCAGTCTTAGAGGATTCAGTATAGAGAACCATAGCTATAGGATTATTACTGGGACTATTTGACACGTAAGAAGTGAATATGAATATCTCATCCAAGGCATTGACATGTTTCCAGCATTATAAGACTAATAATGAACCTCAGTCATTCAGGACCCTTTTCGAGTTGTCTCTCCAGTATCACGCTTTTGGCCCTGATTCTCTTTCGACGAGACCCGCTCGAGGAAGTCGGAAAGCTCGGAATTCGTACCCCTATAGCAGGTTAGAAAAAAAAAAAAAAATAAAAAAAAAGACTGCGTGTCAGATCGCGAACTGGGATTCCACCTACGATTGATCCCATGAATTCTCCCAGTCGCTACGTACTTCTCGGTCGTGTTCGTCTTGATCCACGAGAAACTGCAGACTAGAGGGCAGCACCGACGACCGGCGCCGGCCTGAGGAAGGAGGAGGAGGATGTTCGGCTTGTTTATTTTCTGTCATACTACCTCGTAGTGAATGGGCGATATGATAATGTATTGATCTGTCCAAATAATGCTTGCCCTCATACACGAGATGTCCTACCAATATAAAGGGAAGTCAGCTGGTGATGACTTCACCGCTCATCATCACGATCCAGAATTTCCTAGATGGGAGATATCCTCCTTCATGATTTCCCCATGAGATTTCAGATTATGAGAGACGGATAGCCAGGTACCTCCCTCCTTGTTACTTGTCAGTGATTTCTGGTTTTCCCCCGACTGCAGCGGTAATCATGACACCCTCCAGCCCCCGGCAGGGAGTATCTACAGTCTGGTCCTCCAAACTCTGCCCCCCTCCGAGAGAAGAGAAAGGGTATAACAACATTTCGGATTGTGGAATCGTCCCAGGGCTCATGACATATTGAGCTGGGATTCTTAATAATATTGTTGAACCGAGAATATCATCACTGTCGTTGTAGAGAGTAAAAGACGTCAGAGAAGTTGGTCCCGAATTGTGCACATAACTATGCAATGTCGCTGAGTCAGCCCACAAGTCATGTGGTTGGTGGCGTAGAAAGATCGAGATTCCTCAACAACAACGAAAGACAAGAAAAGAGGGAAGAGAATCAATCATTCATGGTCAAAATTTGACTACAGACAACGGAATTGCCTTCTTTTCGGTCGTCTCTGCACTATGCGACTCATCGTTCCATCAATAGAACTCGGGGACATTCCTTGACTGGCTCTCAATCTGCTAATTGAACATCGTTCGCTACTACTACTGTCAATCAGCTACTAATGATGGCAGACCCTTCCTCTTCCTCTTCTTTGTCTCCAGGGCGGGAGCAGGATCCCGATCAGCGAGAAGCCGAGATTCTATCTCAACACTTACATCCTCAATTCACGGGCTCGCTCCATGAGGAGTCTCCTTTCCAATCTCGAGCTGCCAATGAAGCCTCCTCCAGCACAGATACGCCTGAACCACAATCCTCTCTCAAGCTCCTGGGAGGTGACATCCATCGCGATCTCTACCGGATCGAAGCCAAAGCCAAACAAGCTTTGCAGGACAAGAGATCCGCCAGCTTCTCCCACACCTTCCGGCCACCTGATGATGCCATCGAAGAGGGCGTCGCGGCCCAGGAACCAGGCAGCTTTCGTCGTCATTTCGTGCAGCATAAGCATGGCTGGACCAGCAACGCACGCATCACCCCTTCCTTCCTGGATTTCCTCGACCTGTACGGCAGTTTCGCTGGCGAAGATCTCGCAGAGACGGATGACGAATCGGCGATAACGGAGGATATTGAGCAGGAGCCTGAGCGGAGACCTTTGCTGGGTCGGCGCCGGACGACTCGCGTAGCGCGTCCCGGAGATGCTTCTCAAGTCAAGACCTTCTTCACATTGCTCAAGGCATTCATCGGCACCGGTATTATCTTTTTGCCTAAGGCCTTCCGCAACGGTGGTATCGTCTTTTCCTCCATCGCTCTCGTGGCGGTCGCCGCGGTGACAAGTCTTTGCTTTCATCTGCTGCTGGAATGTCGGAAAGGGCATGGGGGTGGCTATGGCGATATCGGCCAACGTATTGCGGGACCGCGATTCCGATCTCTCATCCTGGCATCCATCGCCATCTCCCAGTTGGGCTTTGTCTGCACCGGCATCATCTTCACGGCGGACAATGTCCGTGCGGTTTTATTGGCGGCGGCTGACAAGTCGGAGAATTTCATGTCGACGAATGTTCTAATTGCGCTTCAGTTGCCCGTTCTGGTTCCACTGGCCTTCATTCGGAACATCTCCAAGTTAGGACCAGCTGCGCTTCTAGCGGACATCTTCATTCTCACGGGTCTTGGTTACATATATTACTACGACATCGCAACCATTGCCACCCGCCATGGCCTACACCCGAGTGTCGAGCTGTTTAACCCCGAGTCTTTCACCCTGACTATCGGTTCCTGCATCTTCACGTTTGAGGGCATTGGACTCATCCTTCCCATTGAGTCCTCCATGAAATGCCCGGATAAGTTCAATGGTCTCCTCTACACTGTCATGCTCATCATTACCGTCCTCTTCACCGCGGTCGGCGCTCTCTCCTATGGTGCCTTCGGCTCCGACACCAAGATCGAGGTCATCAACAACCTACCTCAGGGCGACAAGTTCGTCAACGCTATGCAGTTCTTCTACTCGATGGCAATTCTGATCGGCGTGCCTGTGCAATTGTTCCCGGCTGTGCGGATCATGGAGGGCAAACTGTTTGGCCAGATCTCCGGCAAGCGTGATCCCTCTATCAAGTGGAAGAAGAACATCTTCCGAACTGCGATTGTTCTGGGATGTGCAGTTCTTTCGGCTGCTGGGGCTGCTGACTTGGACAAGTTTGTCTCGTTGATCGGGTCTTTTGCTTGTGTGCCTCTGGTGTACATCTACCCAGCGTACTTGCACTTTAAGGCGGTCGCAAAATCTCCCCTGGCTAAGATCGGCGATCTCACGATGGTCTTGGTGGGATTCATCTTCATGATCTATACGACGGCATCAACGGTCTCTGTGTGGATCCAGGGCAATCAGTAGTCGCCATCATAGATAGCTAAGTAGTGAATTTAATTATTCTTTTTTGCTTCAGCCGCTTTCGTTCTCCAATGTCCCCACCCCCTTCTTCCTGGCCGAAGTGCGAGGATACACTAGGCTTCATGACTTCCCCTCGGAGTGACCGTTTGGATTGTACACATACTGCAATATCGGCTGTTGATCCCCTTTACAGACACTGCCATCTACAGGATTCACCATGGGTTGCATTACCCGTTCGTCTACAAACATCTATCAAGCCGCATCATAAGTGGATCATTTCCATACTATATACCGGCTCTTCCTTGAATCCGGTAGACAGCTGGGTACCAGAATCTCCCATACCACGTTTACATTCGCTGGAAAAAAAGGGGTATCTACGCTTATTCCTCTGTGTCTCGATCTGGACAGTCATGATTAGTGGGAGCTCAATTATCGCCTGATATGCAATGGGTGTCCTCGCTGCTAACGCCTTCGCCATATCGAGATGATGGAGAGTATGTCACCAACTCATGAGGTCGGCGCGTCATACCATTTATCACTACTACTTCAACTATAACCATGGTCAATTCACGACTCTATGAGATTAGGCCGGAGGCAGGTATGGTAAGCTGGATTTGGAAATATTCGGTAGAGATGGACGACTCAAGGCATCGGAAATCAACAGGCAGGTGGCCGAGATGCTGATACTGGTTGTGGGTATCGAAGGTGTTGGCCATCGATGCTATGAGGGAGACAAAAAGAAGATATCTGATTCTTGATTTGTCAGGCTTAGAGGCACAATATGGAGATCCAAGGCTTGTGTTCAATGATACTTAATGTCTCAAGCCACCAGACTCGGCACTGCACTGGCCAATGTTGCTGGAAGGCGCTCCATTTCACCTGCCACTTCATTTTGTCACTACAATCCCTGGTTGCGAGGAAAATTCTACGGTTGATGTTCGATCCACTTCCACTTTCACTTGAACATCCAAGATCACGCAAGACAAGGTGGATACGTGATGTTTCCTGTCTCCTCTCTGGAAAATCCCCCCCGCTGTCCGCAGAAGGCGTCCGTCCACATGATTGACCAGGCTGGAAAATTTAACTCGCGTATACAAGATTTTGCCCCCAACACCCTCCATCAAGCATAACAATCAGCGACGTGTGATCCTTCTAATCCAAAACTGAACATCGGACAAAAATGCACGGTTTGAAGCGCGTTCACCGAGTCCTCACCCAACCGTCCCAACAGCTCTCAACATCTGCTCGATCAGGCTTCAAAATCAACGCCAACCGACTATGGCAGACGCTACACGAGACGTGCGAATGGGGAAGTGCGCATCGCTACCGGGAGTAGGTTACTTTCTTATGTCTACAAAGGCAAGTGTTAAATCAGAAACCCGGGAAGCCCACGGACACGGGTATGGCTCGTCTGACACTCGATGATGATGACGCGCGAGTCAGACGATGGCTGGCATCGGAAGTCCAAAAGCTGGGGTGCGTCTTGTCCATGGACCAGATAGGAAATATGTTCGCGCGTAGGGGTGGACGTTCGAAGGGGAACAACCCTATGATCGCGATGGGTAGCTATCTTGATACCTAGCCCTGAGGAGGGCGTTACGACGGCATTCTAGGGGTGATGGCCGGGCTGGAAGTGTTGAGAACGATGAATGAGCATGGATTGGAGACCAATTACGACGTCGGATTGGTGAACTGGACCAAGTAGGGATTGCCTCGCCCAAATCATCTTCACTTGGCACTATCTAATCTATAGATAGTGAAGAAGGTGCCCATTTCCTAAGTCCATGTGCTCGTCGGGCGTGTGGGCTGGTGCTATCCCCCTGGAAAAGGCATGGGATCTACGTGATATCCATGATTCGAGGGTAACAATGCGATCTGAGCTCGAAAGACATGGATTCTTTGGTGATATAGAATGTTCGAACATGGTGTCCCCCCTCGCAGCCCATTTTGAGCTTCACATTGAACAAGGGCCTATTCTTCAAGATCCTGGTCGGTCCACCGGCGTCGTCCAAGGTGCGCAAGGATACAGATGGCTTACTTTCACTATCAAGGGGCGTGATGCTCACACAGGAACGACACCCTTCAGTGCTCGGCGGGACCCCTTGCTTGCAGCCTCTCGAATGATTGCGGCGTCGAACGACATTGCCCGGAAAAATGACGCGTTGGCTTCAACAGACGTATTGAAGATTCCCTCGAACGCATCTAAAAACACTGTAGCCTCCGAGGTGATTTTCACCCGCGATATTCGACACCCGCAGGACAATGTCGTGCATGCAGTACGGGACGAATGTCTACAGACCTTCGATACCATTGCCGCTCAGGATGGAAAAGGAGTCAGAATTGATTGGACATTGGATACTGACTCACCAGCTACCAAGTTCGACCAAGGATGTATCGAATCTATTCGGGCTGCGGCCAACCATCTTGTCGGCAGTAACCAGTGGATGGACATGACTAGCGGCGCTGGCCATGACAGCGTCTATACCAGCCATCACTGCCCAACATCCATGATTTTTGTCCCGTGTCGCGATGGTGTCAGTCATCATCCAACTGAATACTGTACCCCAGAACACTGGTACGCAGTCCCTATGTTTTCACTGATGTTTAATGCTAAGTCGAAACAGTGCATTGGGTGCTCAGACACTCTTGGAGGCGGTTGTCCACTACGACCAGAAGAAGGCCCAGGATGAAGGTGTACGTACTTGACAGAACAACATTTGTGGAGAAAATAACATAGAAAATTGTCGTCTACAATATAATCTTACTTCCGATTCGAGATAAAACTCAGACTAGGCGGACTGTCAAGGTAGTCGAACCTCAGGCTCATGCAGCCAGTGATCAAGTCAACTATTCCCAGTCCGAAGTAGGCTTAGCAGTATCTCTGTACACTATTCAGTTGCGGATTCTATCATCACTTAGCAAATTGACCCTTCATGACCAAGATCTTGACTGTCGTGGTCCAAAAGGTTTCTTCACAGCCAATAATGTTGGTGGAAGGCGCTCACTCCTACTGTTGCGGAAAGGCGCCAATGATCCACCAGAATTCTACCCCTCCATATCTCATCTGTAATGCATCTCTAGTTGATGAAATGCGTGAAGACATATTCTTAAAAAAATGTCTCGCAGGCGAATTCACTACAACCCCAATGCTGCCACTGAGCGCTGCATCCCAACCGACATCCACGGTCTAAGTCAATTCCACCGCTCTCTAGCCAACTATGCTCCCACTCCTCTTGTATCCTTACCTGAGCTTGCAGCCGAGCTAGGTGTCAAGGCAGTGTTTGCCAAAGACGAGAGTAACCGTTTCGGACTGCCATCATTCAAAGTTCTGGGCGCCTCCTGGGGTACTTTCCGTGCTGTGGCATCGCATTTGGGATTGGCACCGACAGCGGCCCTGGACCAAGTTCGACATAGCCTCGAAGAACACCCAATAAAGCTCTTTGCAGCCACCGAAGGAAACCATGGCCGCGCGGTAGCCTTCATGGCCAAGAACCTAGGTGTTACGGCCCGAATTTTTGTTCCTCGCTCGATGGACGAGGGGACGCGGAATCGCATCGTTTCAGAAGGCGCAGATGTGATCATCACCCGAGGAGACTACGACCAGGCAGTCCAAGACGCGTGGAATGTTTCGCAGCAGACTCATGGTGGGTTGCTTATTCAGGATACTGCATTTGAAGGGTACGAGGAGGTTCCGTCGTGGATTGTGGAGGGATACTCGACGATGATGAGTGAAATCGATGAGCAATTAGGCCAGCAGGACCTACAAAGTACAATTACCGTTACCCCTGTCGGTGTGGGCAGTCTAGCACATGCTGTAGTGCGACACTGCAAGTCGCGCAGTCCCCCAAGTGCGGTGGTGACTGTCGAACCGGACAGTGGGCCTTGCCTGATTTCCAGCCTCAATGCAGGCAGGAAGGTGGCGGTCAAGACATCCTCGACAATCATGGACGGAATGAACTGCGGTACAGTGTCTATGACGGCCTGGCCGGACCTACAGCGAGCAGTGGATGCTGCGATCACGGTTTCATCGTATGAGAGTCACTGCGCCGTAGCATATTTGGCATCGCACTCTGTACCCGCTGGACCCTGTGGAGGGGCATCTTTGGCCGCTGTTCGCCAGCTGCGAGTATGCAAACAGGCCAAGTCACTTCTCAAAAGCGATTCAGTGGTAGTCATTCTTAGCACTGAAGGCGCTCGCCCATATGCGATTCCTCGCGATGTGTCAGCCTAAGACGCCGTTGGCTTAACACAGGAGCTGGCCAAGATCAATTCCGCTAATCCTACGCTGTCCGGGGCAGATGGAGCTGGGGAAGGTGAGATTGCCGATTACCTCTCGGCATGGTTTGCGCACCGTGAGATTGAATACCACCGCATCGAGCCGGTGGCAGGCCGCCCGTCCATTGGCGGAGTGTTGCGTGGGAGTGGTGGAGGTCAGTCGTTGATGATTAACGGCCACATCGACACAGTCAGCTTGACCAGTTACGAACATGAGCCATTGTCTGGCCAACTGGGGGAAAAGAACAGCCAAGCCGTGGTATTTGGACGAGGCAGCCTCGACATGAAGGGTGGTCCGGCTGCTGCTCTAGCCGCAGCTGCAGCAATCAAAACCAGTGGCCGTACCTTGCGCGGAGATGCCATTGTGGCTGCTGTTTCGGACGAAGAAAGTGCGTCGCAACGCACCCGCGATGTCATTGCTGCAGGATGGCGCGCGGATGCAGCAGTGGTACCCGAGCCCACCATGGGAGCCATCGCGATTGGCCACCAAGGATTCGTATGGCTAGAAGTGGATGTTCTGGGAGTTGCTGCGCATGGATCCGATCCTTAGTCAGGAGAAGATGCTATTCTTCATGCTGGCTGGTTCCTGCGATCTCTCGAGGAGTATCAAACGACGCTGCCTGTTGATGACACTTTGGGTCAGGCATCGCTTCACTGTGGCCTTATCCACGGAGGTCAGGAACCGTCCTCATACCCCGATCGATGTACCATCACGGTGGAATTCCGAACTGTTCCCGTGCAGTCCAGTGAATCCATTCTTGACGACATGAGAACATTGTTGAGCGAGATTCAGAAACAGAATCCTCGCTTCCGCTTTGCTCCACCTCGGCTAACCGTGTCTCGACCTAGCCAGAAGCTGCCAGAGAGTCATTCTGTGGTACAGAGGACTATATCATGCGCGTCGAGTGTGCTAGGGCTGCGTCCAGAAGTGATCAGTGTCTCGTTCTGGTGCGACGCAGCTCTGCTAAGTGAAGTGGGTGTCCCTGCCATCGTGTATGGTCCCTCGGGAGCAGGATTGCACAGCAAAGAGGAATGGGTCGAGGTGAATAGCCTTCGCAATTTTAAAAGGGTTTTTGAGAGCCTGATTCTTGGCTTTTGTGTCTAGCCTTTCTTCCTCTGGGTGTAACGACTGCGAATATTCACCCTCTGTTGCCCAAATTAAGCATTTATTCCCCGTTACCTTCGTCTCTTCCTCTCTGATCTGTCTATACCACATATGTCTCTTGCCACACAATTGAGATGTTTTGCGCATAGAGGCTACCGCTTTCCTTCAAAATACCACCCAGTCAGACCCCTCGCTGACCATCAAGCTCTGGAGGAGTCAAGATCAGCGGGGAGAAGGGCATTATTCTGCCCGAGAAGATGGCATGACATGGTATGACTTATCCTACATGGACGATGAAATGCCTTCAGTGATGCTGTATTCAAGTAGACACAACCAGGATCATTTTAGCAGCCGGGGTGAGCAACGATTGGGTATGCGACTGCTTATAGACAAGACCTTGTCTGTCCGATACAAATCCGTTTGGAATGGCCCACACAGCCACTTTGAAGGCAAGAAAGAAGGTGCCACTGTACATGACCAGGTAATTTATGTGAGGGTTCATGGTCACCTACTACCCGAATTATAACAACCACATTATTCACTCTTCCCTCCTTTCATTGTAGTGGATAGGCCGTATTGCCTCAAAGGTCCAACCTAGCTGACAAGTCCTCTTGTGAATGTGAAAAGAAAAGTGGCTATTATAAAGGAAGTGTGAAAACAACGCGATCTGCAAACAACCAGAAAGAGTGTATAGAAGACGGTTTTATCGATCTCATCTAGAATTCTCTCTCAATCTACGGGCTGCTTTATACGTTATCCAGATGCATCTGGACATCTGAGAGCAACAAGCAGGTTGCTTGCGGTTCAGAGGGGAAGTAGCCCCTGAGATATTGAGGGATATGTGGCCCTGAAGGTATAAGTCATGGCTGCTTGATAGATGTAAGAACCCTCCTTGGATTGATGAGCCCTATCCGAATATCAAGGGTTCGACCAAGGTGAAGTGAGTGTAGTGGTGAAAACCCATCCAGGCATACATTGCTGCCTGTTATGGTCCGTTAATGAGACATCAAAACAAAAATTCTCTCAATCTCCTACGTCCAAAGGGCTTTAATCCCGTGATGCCGAATAGCAAGGGATAGATGGCTGCTGGCAAGGAAGACAGAGTTGGGCTTCCCAGCATGCAGGACAGAATATGTCTTTTGAAGAAGCAAGCCAGTAAGGGCGAATAACATCTGATTGATATGATAAGAAAGAGAAGTATAGGCAGTTTCCATTATCTTCTGGGTGATTCGAGGGACAAGAATAGAACTGATGGGCGAGGGTTTGGTTGAATCAAAGAGGATGCTCTGAAGAGACTGGAGAGACCCCGTAATGACCCCGAAGGCACGTGCGTTTTTCTGCGTTTGATGCATCGACATCTCTGGAGACTCGAGAGAATGTTGGGGAACAAACAGATAGATAACTAGATAAATCTAAGGAGTCCTGCAAGATAATCGAGGCAAAATCAGGTGAGATCTTGGCCTAGCGACCAGCAACAATCATCCACGTATCTACTGTTGCTGCAAGCTGCATCTTTGAGGCGAGGACAGCTCCAAGAGCCGAGAACATTGGCAAAGTGGCTGTGAGCATCCCTAGAAGGAATGGATTCTCAACGTCTTCGAGAAATCATCTGTGCGCCATGCTGAATTCACTTTCATCAGGGTGATCAGTTATTATTATTATTATTGGTTGAGAGATTGTTTATTGGACGTTCAACCTGTCAAGAAATCGTCGAGTCCAATCCTGGGTGGTGCTCACGTGGTGCAACTCCAACACCGACCAACTTCTCTTCAGTCTTCAGCAGTCTTCAGTCTTCACACCGATCACCACGGAGAGACAAGAGAGTCAGTCATGATTCTCAGCAACAAATGAGTCCGCAGTCCTTGGCCCTGAATAATCACCTCCTTCCTTGGGTCTGGGAACGAATCATAACAGTTCCCCAGTTCTAGTTGGCCTCGGCGAGGCTTCCCCGGATCGTCCATCATCCAATCCAACAGCTAGCCAATCCACCACCCAACCTACCTAGCCTCTAGCGGTCCCAGAACCCAGCCCTCTGACGCTCATCGTCATTGGCACTCGGCAGAACGTGAGCTCTGCATGAAATCGGCCAAGATAATGCTCCAACAGTTTCCAATGATATTCAACGCTGCCGACGATGAAAGGCATGGCAACCCCTCACAGGTCTCCGGTTGACGCCATCTCGCTCTTCCAACCACCAACTTCAGCCCATCTGCGTGTTGGGTTATATCTCAACGCTTGTCCCCTGCTTTCTGTCACAGCTTCGATCCCATCCGGTCACTGATCATCAGGGACACTCAGCCACCTCTCTCACCCTTCACTTACTTTCAGGAGTGCATCCGTCACCATCCCTTCCTCAGTCAGCACTGATTTCTATTGAATGGGCATTGAAACGTCTCCGCCTGATGTCGAGGAGTCGACAGAACCTCCTATATGTCCTTTAACGGACACGGATAAATCAGTTTCAAACCATCACAAATGTGAAGTAAAGCCTGAGCTCAGCCATGAGAAGCTGGGGTATCCTGCTACTCGAGAAACCTCAACACTCCGATCCGACGGGAACACAATCTCTTCGGCAATCGCTTCTCTACAAAAGGATGACGGGGGTACAGCGAACAGTGCCCACACTATTACTCCTGAAGAGGTTGCAAGTACTCTGCAAGTTGACGTTCGGTGCGCTTTACATCAAACATACCCAGCCATCTTGCACTGTCACTCACGCTATTTTTGTTTTCTTTTTTTAGAAATGGTCTCTCAAGCGCAGAAGCTGCAGCGCGCCTGCAACGTGATGGGCCCAACAGGGTCCAGGAGATCGAGGGCATATCGACCTGGAAAGTACTGCTGAGGCAAGTGTCAAACAGTTTAACTATTGTACGGAGATCCTATACTGCCACACGCCCAAGCCTAATCAAGCTCTGATGCGGTATATGATTTAACATGCTATATTCAGGTTCTTCTCCTCACCATGGCCATTTCCTTTGGTATTGATGACTACATCGAGGGTGGTGTCATCACAGCTGTGATTGTCTTGAACATTGTTGTAGGGTAAGAAAGCCCCTCCAGGATTATGAGGGCCTCGAGTTGATCTCTCCAACGCAGGTTCGTGCAAGACTATCGAGCGGAAAAGACTATAATGTCCCTGCACCGACTCTCGGCTCCCGTATGCAAAGTGTTTCGAGACAGACGCGTGGTGTCTACACCAGCCGAGTCTGTTGTGACTGGCGATGTTGTGCACCTTGCTGTCGGCGACATTGTCCCTGCCGATATGAGGCTCATCGATGGAACGAATGTCTCAATGGATGAAGCATTGTTGACAGGCGAATCTCTCCCCGTAACAAAAACACCACATATTGTGTTGACGTCTCGCAACATCCCTATCGGAGACAGGACCAACATGGCATATTCTGGATGTAGCTTGACCCAAGGACGAGCCATCGGGATTGTTACTGCCACTGGGATGAGAACCGAGGTTGGCAAGATCGCCAAACTCCTTCAAGAGAAGCCCGAGGACGAGAATCACAGCACGCTCACTCACACTTTCCGTTACGTCAAGTCCACAGCAGAGAGCATTCTCGGATTAGTGGGCACTCCCCTTCAGGTAAAGCTCAGCAAATTCGCCCTTCTGCTTTTCGCTCTCGCAATCCTCTTGGCCATTATAGTCTTTTCTGCCAGCAAGTGGCACATCGAAGGCGAGGTGTTGATTTACGGAATTGCCATAGGAGTGGCAGTCATCCCGGAATCATTGATTGCTGTGCTCACGATTACCATGGCAGTAGGCACAAAAGCAATGGCCAAGGGGAACGTCATTGTACGGAAACTCCAATGCTTGGAAGCCGTTGGAGGTGTCACAAATATATGTTCCGACAAGACAGGAACGCTGACGCAAGGACGGATGATTGCCCGCACAGCCTGGATTCCGGGTGCTGGCACCTTGACAGTCGACGGGACCACTGATCCATATGATCCCACAAGTGGTTCAGTCCGGTTGGCGGGTACTGACTGGGACCCTAGGATCTTCCATTCCAATCTTGCACTCACCACGTTCCTCACAGCCACTGCGTTGTGCAATATGTCGGTCGTGCAAAACGATGTACCATCTAGCTCGCTTGAAGAAGGGCAATCTGGTCAGAGTTGGACTGCTGTCGGTGAGCCTACCGAGATTGCACTCAACGTCCTGGCCTTGCGATTCGGTTATGGAAAGATGCATTTGCTGGAAAAGCGAGGGATGTATCTCCATACTGAATACCCATTCGACTCATCAACCAAGCGGATGACGGTCGTCTACCATAATCCGCGGGACGGTATCAATGAAGTGTATACAAAGGGAGCACCAGAGGCTGTCCTTCCCGGCTTGGCCATCGATGGGGGAGAGAAAGAAGCCATCCAATACGAGGCTGATAGGATGGCCGGACAAGGGCTTCGTGTCCTCTGTGTTGCGTACAAGACAGCAGCTATGGACGAAGAAACCGAATTGGCCCCGCGCAACAGGGCTGAGTCCAATCTTAAGTTTTGTGGTCTTGTTGGACTCTATGACCCCCCTCGGGTTGAGACAGCCGCTGCAGTGCGAACATGTCAAATGGCTGGAATCACAGTCCATATGCTCACGGGTGATCACATCAAAACCGCCACCGCGATCGCTTCTGAGGTGGGCATCCTCGATCCCATGGTCAATGCTCATTCCACTCGTTTGGTTATGGCTGCCGCGGAATTTGATAGGCTCTCCGATGCCGAAATTGACGCAATCGAGCAACTGCCTTTGGTCATTGCTAGATGCAGTCCCACTACCAAAGTCCGAATGGTGGAGGCAATGCACCGTCGGGGTGCATTCTGTGTGATGACCGGTGATGGGGTCAACGACTCACCTGCTTTGAAACGTGCAGATGTCGGCATCGCAATGGGTAAGAACGGTAGCGATGTCGCCAAGGAAGCGGCCGACATGGTCCTAACTGACGATAACTTCTCATCTATCGTCAAGGCAGTGGAAGAAGGAAGGCGACTGTTTGATAACATTCAAAAGGTGAAATCAATCTCCGACTCAGTAGCCACAAGGGACAGAGACTGACACTGTGCTTTCTAGTTTCTCATGCATCTGCTCATTTCAAATATCGCCCAAGTGATCCTACTGCTGATAGCACTGGCTTTCAAGGACAAAGAGGGAAGCTCGATCTTCCCGCTCTCGCCTCTCGAGATTCTCTGGGCTAACCTAGTCACATCTTCGTTCCTGGCTCTGGGCCTTGGGCTGGAAGAAGGGCAACCGGATCTGATGTACCGCCCACCGCATGATTTGAAGGTGGGCGTATTTACTCGTGAACTCATCGTGGATAAGATGATCTATGGCACGTTCATGGGATCTTTATGCCTAGTAGCATTTGTGTGCGTTATCTATGGAGGTGGCACGGGGGTTTCCGACCTCGGAGTCGACTGCAACAATGGCTGGAATGAGACCTGCAATGCCGTCTTCCGAGCACGAGCTACAACATTTGCAACTCTGACATTCCTCCTCCTTGTCACGGCCTGGGAAGTGAAGCATTTCTCCCGATCTCTATTCAATCTTGATCCCGTCAAGTATCCTAGCAAGCTCTCTGTCTTCCAATCTATCTGGAGAAACCGCTTCTTGTTCTGGGCGGTGGTGGCCGGCTTCGTGATCGCATTTCCAGTCATTTATCTACCCGCTGTCAACCGAATTGTTTTCAAACATCAGGGCATAGGCTGGGAATGGGGTGTCGTCTTCGGCTGTGTGGCTGTGTACCTGCTGCTGGTGGAGAGCTGGAAGGCAATCAAGCGGGCATTTGGGATCGGAAGTGGGAAGAATGCCGTGCTCACCATTGAAGATGCTGAGATCAGAGCCGGGTTGACACCGTCCACCCTTCTCTCTCTAAGTGCCAACCCCAGCGTGGAGATCAAGTAGGCTTGGAACTGACTGCAGATGGCGGTCAATTGGAGGTGAAGCTCGCTGATGTTCAACCATTCAGCGGTGCACTGGATTGATTGTTTCGCACTTCAGTATTCAACACCTGGGGTTATTCTGATACACTTTGCTGCTTCAGACGCTCGCTTATTTGATGTCGTGGAAGCCTGAGCCTGGTAGTTTTCAATACGACCACATCGGGGTATATATTTCCGACCCAAGCCATTGAACCTGTAGATTTGTCGGCAGTCGACTTCATCCGTGTATGTGGCACATCTAAAATCTTCTATCGACTCACTAAATCAATGTCGTAACCCTTAGAGATAAGAAGGGGCGAAGCTGCAGGGTTAGTGCATTGATTAGCTGCTTACAGATCTTGCCATCAGCCAAATGTATCTCCTGCCTGGCAGACTTTTTATCCTCCTCCCACCCTTCGCTCTCCAACAACCTAGTACTACGGAACTGCTCAATTCCGTCCAGATCATGATGAGGGTGCTGTGCCTGCATGGTAAAGGCACCAGCGGGGCGATCTTCCACTCCCAAACCTGTGCGTGACATCTCGATACCCCGCCCCCTCCAAACCCAACACAGCTCGCTAACGGCCCTGTAACCTCCGCAGCCTCCTTCCGCTCCCGTCTCGAGGACCTCAACCTCGACTTCGAGTTCATCAATGGCCGCTTCCCCTCTGCACCAGCCCCCGGAATCAATCTCTTCTACCCACCCCCCTACTTCTCCTTCTGGGAAGACGACTCCCCAGATGCCGTCCAGGCCACCTGCGCCTGGCTGACGGACCTTATCGCCCGCCGCGGGCCCTACGATGCTGTCATGGCGTTCTCCCAGGGGACCGCCTTAGCCGCCGCATTGCTCCTCCTGCACCGTGCACACCATCCCAGCGCACCCCCACCCTTTAAAGCAGCCATCTTCATCTGTGGTGGCGCCCCGCTGGCCCTGGTCGAGGGTCTCGGCTTCGACGTTCCTGCCTCCGTGAAAGAGCGGGACCAGTTGTCGCGCACTGCGTTGGCAGCGCAGGCCGATGCAAGTGCCATTTTGGCTAGGGGATCGGCGCGTTGGACGGGGACGGAGACCTGTGAAGCGGTGGAGGAGGGGGAGGGTATTACGTGCCCGTTCCGTGTCGGAATTCCTACGGTGCATGTCTATGGGGCGAAGGATCCGAGGTATGTTGCTGGTCTGCAGTTGGCGGAGCTTTGTCAGCCGGCGATCAGGATGGTTTATGATCATGGGGGTGGGCATGAGATTCCGCGGCTGGGGGTGGTGAGTGAGAAGATTGCGGAGTTGGTGCGCTGGGCGTTGTCGGAGGGAATGTGATGGATTGGATGAGCAAATGACCTTTCTATAGATGTGCTGGGCGGCAGAAATATTTTTCTCTCATGTAATGCATCAGCATCGTTGTGTTTCAATTTCATAGATATCAGACGCAGTCTCAATCGCCCTGCGAATAGCATTGGCGGTTCCCGTTACAGCATGCTTGAGCCCAGATCCAGGGATCTCGTGCCCCCCTGGGTGCTCGTACACCCATTTGATATCTGGCCTACACACCATGCTTGTCTGGTACGCCTCGGCAGCGGAAATCTCCTGCGCACCCCACACATGCACCGTAGGAATCTCAACTATGCCCTCCATCGCTTCCAAGTTGATATCAACCAAATTACCCCGCTGCCATTCCTCATAGTCCACAGGCGGTCGCACAATTGAGAACAATACCGCGAACTTGAACGGAACCTCAATATCATGCCCTTGCATTCGCCGGTGGAAAATATAAATTAGATAGGTCAGGATCATTGTCGCCGCCTGGCTGAATGCAATCACCCCGTCATACGGCCCTTCGGCTCGGAGATAACCCTCGAGATGCTGGTAGGCGGCTTGGCCACTGCGCGGGTCTTTCTCGTCGAAGTACGCGAACACCGGCTCGTTTTCGAGTGCGATCTTCTCAATACCTGCGGCGGGGTTAACCATTGGCATCATGCTTGGGGGAAGAGTGGACGGACCGGGATACATTTTCCACGGGATAGTGCCTTCGACGAAATCGAAGACGTGATTGTCTCCAAGTTCGTACCGGATCGCGGCTAGATGGTCAGGTTTGGGTTCACGACTATGAATATGGGTTGTCTTGTACCTGTCTGCATCTCGAAAATCTGTTGACGCGAGTTAGGATGTCATTCTTCCATCGGAATGAATAGCGGGATGGGGGCGAGCTTACCCGAGAGTTGATACCAGCTCCATGAAGACTGCTTGGTGATGAGAATCCGATGAACCGCTTGTTTGGGATGATCGTTGATAGGACATACCAGAGGATGCGCATTCTGCGTTGACGTTGAATGTTGTTACTAAGCTGATGTCTGAGGGTATTCTCTTGAGAAAAGACGCATCAGCAGCACGACTCCAATTTAACTGTCAACAACAACCACTCCTCATCGTCTTACACGCATACGCTCCATTGAAGAAAACTCTAATCGGGTTCGTTCTCGGTTGAAATAGGAACCATACATCCACCTGATCAGAGTCAGCCTCAATCCCACTCTGAAGATCATCTTTTGATTGTAATATGTTGTAGTGACAGTCCCATTCGAGGGTCATTCCTGATCCCCCCCCGCGCTCTGTTCCCGATTCACTGATAACATTCCATTATGACAGACTCTCCAAGCAATATCCCCCCTCCACTGGCTGTGGTAGGCTTATCTTTCCAATTTCCGGAATATGCAACATCACCAGAAGGCTTCTGGCAAATGCTGCTGGAAGGCAGATGTGTTTCGAGCGAGTTTCCCGCGGACAGAATCAACATAGATGCCCTCTACCACCCCGACCGTAACCGACTCGACAGCATCTCGATGCGTGGTGGACACTTCCTCAAGGAAGACCTCGGTGCTTTTGATGCACCGTTCTTTTCTATGAGCGCCGCCGAGGCAGAGGCCATGGACCCTCAGCAGCGGCTTGTCCTTGAAACGGTTTACCGCGCCCTAGAAAACGCAGGCTTCTCCATGGACAGTGTTGCAGGCTCCAAGGCAAGTGTTTTTGCGGGGTCATTTAGCGATGACTACTTCCTACTCCAAACCAAGGATCCGCTGGATATGCCTAAATACACAGCCGTCAGTACGTCACGGAATATGCTTGCCAATCGGATTAGTTGGTTCTTTGATCTCCTTGGACCGAGTGTTGCAGTCGATACCGCTTGTTCCAGTAGCTTGGTTGCCTTGGACCTGACATGTCAGTCAATATGGTGCGGTGATGCGAACATGGTATGTGCCCTACAATCAACACTGATCCGTCCCGAATAGCCCTAACTATCTAACAAGGGCCTGGCAATCGGTAGCAATGTAATACTTTCCCCGGAAATGACTATGAGTCTGGACAATCTGGGATTATTGTCGCGAGATAGCCATAGCTACAGCTTCGATAGTCGTGCGAATGGATATGCAAGAGGTGAAGGTGTGGGCGTTCTTGTGATCAAGCGGCTTGACGACGCGATTCGTGATGGTGACAATATCAGAGCTGTCATTCGCTCCTCGTCGTCAAACCAAGACGGCAAGACTCCTGGTATCACTCAGCCGAGCAAAGATGCTCAAGTCCGCCTGATCCGAGATACGTACAAGAAGGCTGGTTTAGACATGTCCGTCACACGGTACTTTGAGGCACACGGCACAGGTGATTTAGCCTCGAAAGTGGAAAGTGGAAGAATACACCGTTCTAATAATCTCTAGGAACGCCCATTGGAGACCCCATTGAGACAAGAGCAATTGGGAAGGCATTTCGTCGATATAGATCAGCGAAAGAGCCACTATACGTGTACGTCGCGATACCATGGATCGAGAGGCTATACTGAAATTGCTAGGGGATCCGTCAAGTCGAACATTGGACACCTCGAAGGAGCCAGCGGTGTTGCTGGAGTCATCAAAGCCATTCTAGCACTGGAGAAGGCGATCATTCCTCCCAACAGCTCGAATCTACAATCTCTAGCACCTCAAATCGATGAGGACTTTTTCAATTTGAAGGTATGTCGATTCACTCGCGTCCAACCTATGATACTTCTATTAATCGGTCAATAGATACTGCAGAAAGCTATTCCATGGCCCGATTCCGGTCTACGAAGGGCGTCTGTCAGCTCCTTTGGTTTTGGTGGTTCCAACTGCCACGTCGTTTTAGACGATGCATACAATTCCCTTCGTCTCATGGGAATAAGGAGCGGTCATCATCAGACAGTCGTGGCTCCTCCCACGCATGGAAATATTATCGAAGGCTGCGATTCGAACAATCTCAAAGAAAAATTCCGAGAAATGACGAGTAATAGCCAGCTGCCACTGGATCCCACCGAAGAGGCAGTTGACCACCAGCTTCTTGTCTGGTCGACTGCGGATGAGGGTGGAATCAAACGTCTTGGAAGTTCCTGGGTTGGATACCTCTCTTCAAAAAATGAATTGCCTGACGATCAGCAACCGCAGTATCTGCTCGATTTGGCACATACCCTCAGCCAACGCCGGACCCATCTCACATGGCGGACTTATGCCTTGGGAGACTCATGTCACCAATTTGATAGCCTGCCGGGTCAATTCACACCTGCAATAAAGTCTATCATAGACCCGAAAATCGCTTTTGTATTCACAGGGGTAGGAATAGTCAAGAACGCGGGTATGATTGATACTGACTCTCTGCAGCAAGGAGCTCAATGGCACGCCATGGGCCGCCAGCTATTATACCGCTACTCGAATTTTTCAAAGAATGTTCTAGATTCTGGAGCATATCTGAAGGCCCTAGGGTGCAGCTGGGAGCTCATGGGTAAGTATTGAGCACTTTATAAAATACCGACGTGCGTCTGCATATTAATTGAATGTTACACAGACGAGCTAGAAAAACCCGCATCTGCTTCAAATGTCAATGACCCCGCCTATGGCCAGCCTCTATCAACTGCTCTTCAACTTGCACTAGTCGATTTGCTGGATAGCTGGGGTATTGTTCCAGCTGTAGTGGTGGGTCATTCGTCCGGGGAGATTGCTGCTGCGTAAGTTGAGACCGAGCACTGCAGCGTGGAAAATCTTTCTCACAGAAGGTTTCTAGATACTGCGCTGGAGGTCTTTCAAAACAATCTGCTCTCAAAATTTCATACTACAGGGGCCTCTTAGCAGGAAAGCTAGGTAAGCTCGGCACCATGAAAGGGTCGATGCTTGCGGTGGGATTATCAAACGAAGAAACCCAGCAGTATCTCGGGATGGTGAGGATGCACTTCAAAACTCTGAGGTTGGCTGCGGCATGCATCAATAGTCCGAAAAGCGTCACAGTCTCCGGAGACGAAGATCAGATTGACGAGCTGCATGACCTGCTGGGGCAGAATCAGATCTTCTCCCGCAAGTTAGCTGTGAACGTTGCTTATCACTCATTCCAAATGCAAGAGATAGCAAGTGACTATCGGAAAGCCATAGGATATTTGGAAAAGCGGCCTGAAAGGAGCACGGCTCCGGTTCTGATGTCCTCGGTCACCGGCGACTGGGTGTCCCCTGATGAGTTGGCGGATGCAGAATATTGGGTAAAGAATCTGGTCTCGCCAGTCTTGTTCTCTGATGCTGTCACACGCATCTGCTCCTTTTCAGGGCCTGCAGCCAGGAAGATTGATAATAGTCATCGATTTGCAGTAAGCATCAATCATCTTCTGGAAATCGGACCGCACTCAGCACTGCAAGGCCCGTGCCGCGATATATTGCAAAGTATCAAAAAGCAGGACGAGATCGTATATCTTGCTCTGCTGGTGCGCAACAAATCCGCTCTCATCACGACTCTGAACTGCGCAGGCCGTCTGCATTGCTACGGCTACCCAATCAACCTATCGTTGGTGAACATGATCGCGGCCGACAAGAACAATACAAGGGCTGTTCTGGGTGACCCCCCTCAGTATCCGTTCAATCATTCATTGACGTACTGGCACGAGAGTCGAAAAAGTAAAGGATACCGCTACAGAAAGCATGGACGACTAGATCTCCTCGGCACTCCTGATCCAGACTGTAACCCCATGGAAGCTAGTTGGCGAAACATCATCAGAACTTCTGAGATGCCTTGGGTGCAAGATCACAAGATCAACAATGCCATTCTCTACCCAGCTGCGGGCATGTTAGTCATGGCCGTGGAGGCAATCAAGCAGCTGGCTGATCCAAATAGATTAATCGCGGGTTTCGACCTCAAAGATGCGGTCTTTTCTTCCGCACTGCATATACCTACGCATATGCAAGGCATTGAAACCACCATCCACATGAAGCGGATCAAGGAAGCGAGATCGGATAGTACCGGCTGGTATGAGTTCCGAATTTGCTCATACGACAACAATATTTGGATTGAAAACTCCCTAGGCTCTATTCAAGCTGTATATGAGACCAGCGAGGCGGGTCTGGACACCAAGGGCCAGGTTGAGCGCAACTGGCAGGAAAGTTTGATCGGGTCCTATCAAGACGCAATACAGACATGCACAAAGACAATCGATCCAGACGACTTCTACAAGAATCTCTTTGCCTGTGGCTATCACTACGGTCCGGCTTTTAAGGCCATCGCCGCTTTAAAAGCCAACGAGGCGTTCCAAGGGGAGTTTGTCTCGGATATCCGAACATATTGCTGGGCAGATGAAGTGGGTTCAGCGGTGGTGCAACCGCATACCATTCATCCAACCACACTTGATGCTATCATTCACATGATGGCTGCTATTGTCACAGAAATGGGACAGAGGCATTTTTTAGCGGTCCCCACGCGAGTTGATCAAGTCTGGATTTCGAATAATGGTTCTCTCAGCCACCCGACAGCAGATTCCATCAAGGCGCATGTGACATCCCATAGGTCAGCTGTGGGCGACGCTCGGTATTCTATGACCGCAGTAGACCGCGATTTGACCCGGGTACTTCTGACTATCAATGGACTTAGAGTCACGATGCTTACGAACTCGGATCCAGTTGCGGATGACCAAGGGGTCGCCGACCTATGCCATCACGTAGAATGGAAACCCGATTTAGATCTTCTGAGCGATGAAGAGCGCCGACTATTTTTCGAGGACGGCCAGCAAAACGACGAAGAACCAGTCCAATACTTTATTGAAATGGACTTCCTCGTCACAGCCTACATCAATCGAGTCCTTGCATCTCTTGGAGAGATTAAATGTCAAGGTCCACCTCATATGACGAAGTACCTTGAGTGGATGGTGGCCCAGCGAGATGCATTACAATCAGGCCAGTCTCCCTTCAGCTCTGAGACTTGGAGGAAACGAATGAGCGATCAATGCTTTATCGACAAAGTGCACAAAGCCATAGAGGGCACGAATAAGCGTGGTCTACTCGTGAGCACTGTTTGTAAAAACCTCCTCGAATTTCTCAATGGGGAGGTGGATCCAGTCGCACGCCTCTTTGATGCAAATTTGTTGGATGATACGTACTATGAAATGGTATCGATCACGGAACGCCTACATATTGAATATCACTAACACGACTCTTGCAGGTTCATTCTCTTCCAAGAATCGGCCAGTTTGCGCGGTATCTTGACGCATTAGCCCACAAGAACCCACGTATGCAGATCATTGAGGTAGGCGCTGGGAGTGGCGCCATGACCAAACTTTGTACTGAGATCTTGTCTACCAACGGCGAGAAAAAACCCACTGTGCCTCGCTATGCGCAATGGGATTTCACTGATATTTCCGGATCGTTCTTTCCCAAGGCGCAAGAAGTGTTTGCGGCTCAAGGCCAGCGTATGAAGTTCAAAACTCTAGATATCGAGAAGGATCCAGGAGCGGAAGGCTTTGATTATGGGGCGTATGATATCGTGGTTGCATTCCTTGTAAGTCCTCAGAGCTTCAGCTTCAAGACCTGTGAACGACTAAGCAATGCAATCTTTTGACACAGGTTTTGCACGCTACCCAAGATCTGTCCACCAGTCTAAGAAACGTTCGCAAACTGCTCAAAACGTAGGAGTGCAACCTACTCAACTGTTCAAGAATATTGGCTAATATATGAAACAGGGGCGGAAAGCTTGTGTTAGTTGAGATAACCACACCAGGTGCCATTCGGACAACGTTTGTCTTCGGTTTGTTTAACGGCTGGTGGCAAGGTGGGCGCCCAGTCTTCCTGCCAATAGAGCTACCGTCTGACTATTTTAGGGAATGAGCCCTATCGCCGGAAAAATCCCTGTGTTGACACGGCCAAATGGGGGCAACATCTGAAGGAAACGGGCTTTTCCGGCTGTGATCTTGTGCTGAATGATTATAGCGATGAGAGATGCCAGGAGGCCAGCTTGATCGTGTCGACTGCTGTGGAGAACCACGCGCCAATGTTACAGCAAAAACATATCAATATCATTGTTGACTCTACCAATTCTGTCCAGGGAAAATTGGCAGAAGAACTAGAAGCCCAGCTCACAGGTGCTGGGATGGTCAAGTTGACGCGGAGGGGGTTGGAAGATATGAAGAGCCGAGAATCCTCCGATGTTCTGGATATTGCATTATTGGAAAGCGTCAACCCTTATCTCTACGACATGGATGAACGGCATTTCCAGCATGTCCAATCGTTCCTGATGTCCACGAGGGATGTACTCTGGGTGAATGGTGGAGGTGGCGACCAGCCATGTCCCAAGTATAGACTTGTGGATGGACTATTCCGAGTACTCAGAGAGGAGAACCACAAAACGAGACTCACGATTCTATCTCTGGAGCGAAGGTCGGCCTTGAGCCATCAGGCGAAGCAGATTGTCAGAATAATACAAGCTGCTCTATCCACCAGGGCGACTATTGATACAGACTACACCGAGGTGGATGGGATGTTGCACATTGGTCGTTTAGTCCTCGCCACCCACATCAACGAAGAAGTTTCAACCAAAAAGCTGCTGAAGCAGAAGACTTTACGAGCCTTCGGCGCTGGAACACCGCTGAAACTTGAAGTCGGCTCGCCCGGTCTGTTGAATACTATTCACTTCGTCGAGGACACTTCATTGCGAGGGCCGCTGAAGCCCACACAATTTGAGGTGCAAGTCAAAAGTGTCGGTCTCAATTTTCGTGACGTACTAATTGCCCTTGGTCGGCTGGATAGTGAGGCACTAGGAGCGGAATTTGCAGGGCAAGTGACCAAGGTCGGTTCTTCCTGCCACAGATTTAAACCAGGTGATAAAGTTCTTGCCTGCTATCCCAGTCGACACGCGAGCTTTGTCCGTCTGGACCAAGATATGACCGTCATCAAGATCCCAGATGATGAAATATCCTTCTCTCAAGCTGCGGCTCTTCCAGTCGCTTATGCTACAGCATGGATTGCATTGACGCAGATTGCGAGGCTTCAGCCAGGGGAAACTATCCTGATTCATTCTGGTGCCGGAGGAACAGGACAAGCAGCTATTCAAGTCTCCCAACTTCTCGGTGCCCGCGTTTTTACGACGGTATCGAGCGAATTCAAAAAGAAACTCCTCGTTGAGAAATTCCAAATTCCGGGGGAACAGATATTTTCAAGCAGGAATACCCTTTTTGCTAAAGCTGTCAAACAACTCACGGGAACTAAAGGCGTGGATGTTGTTTTTAATTCATTGTCATCGGAAGGGCTAATCGCATCTTGGGAGTCAATTGCACCATATGGTCGATTCATTGAAATTGGGAAGAACGATATACTGTCTAATTCGAAACTTCCAATGCTCTGTTTCGAACAAAATGTGACTTTTGCTGCTGTTGACTTAGCTGCAATGACAATGGATCGACCGCAAGTCGTGACAGCGGCCCTGGAGAGCGTCATGGCACTGATAAGAGAGAAGAAGCTTTCTTTACCTCATCCACTTCAGGTTTATGGCATCTCAAACATTGAACTCGCATTTAGACAAATGCAAAGTGGGAAAAACTCTGGCAAGGCTGTCCTGGAGATGAGGGGAACTGACCAAGTTACGGTAAGTCACACCATAATCCGCAACTTCTCCGTCTTCTGCATCGTACCTAATCCAACGCAGGCCGTCTTGGACACTAAGCCGACATATGTCTTTGACTGCGATGCTTCATACGTCATTGCAGGAGGCCTTGGTGGGTTGGGACGAAGCATGGCGCGATGGTTTGTTGATAGGGGAGCTCGAAACTTGATCCTGCTATCCCGCTTTGGTCCCAAGACTCCGCCTGCCCATGAACTAGTCGCAGAGCTCAGAGCGAAAGGTGCCACAATTGCTACTCCCGCGTGCGATATCACGAATCGGACGCGTCTAGAGGCTGTCCTTGCCGAGCATCGCGTTTTCATGCCTCCAATCAAAGGTTGTGTCCAGGCATCCATGGTCGTTAGTGTAAGTTCCATACCAAACTCATTCAAGAGACAGCTCGAGTACCCTTGTCTGGAAGTACTGACATTATTATCAGGATGCGCATTTTGAGGGCATTTCATTCGAATCCTGGAGAGGTTCCACCACCCCCAAAGCTCAAGGATCGTGGAATTTACACGAGCTTCTTCCAAAAGGCATGCAGTTTTTCATACTGTTGTCATCCATTGCTGGGATTTATGGGGGTCGTGGAGCATCTGGATATGCTGCGGGCAACACCTTCGAAGATGGTTTAGCACTATACCGGATTTCGATTGGAGAGAAGGCCGTATCATTAGATCTGGGGATGTTCCTGTCCCTCGGCGTTTTGAAGGACAACCCCGCGCTGCGAGAGAAGATGCTAGCAAGCTCTGTCTTCAAGGAGATCACCGAAGCAGATCTACACGCATTGCTGGAAATTTACTGCAATCCCGACTTGGACAAATCCTCCATGCTGAGAGCGCAGACCGTCGTTGGAATGACACCCAAGATACGAGAAAAGGGTCTGACCACCACCGAATGGATCAAAAAGCCATTTTATCAGCAGATGACTTTGGCCAACGGTCTTGGTGCTGGCCCTCTGGCAAATTCGGAGGGTACCAATTTTGCAGCTCTTTTTGCGAACGCCGGGTCTCTGGGTGAGATCACGGCAGTGGTAATGAAAGAGTTGAGAATAAAGCTATCCAAGATGCTGTCACTGCCGCTAGCCGAGATTGATGTCGATAAACCCATTCATCAATATGGTGTGGATTCCCTTGCAGCAGTAGAATTACGGAACTGGTTCTCGAGAGAGCTCCGCGCGGACGTGGCTATTTTTGATATCCTGGGAGGGGCCAATATTGGATCCGCCGTGGGTATTGCGGTTCGAAAGAGTGAGTATCAGAAGGCAGAATGAGCGGGTTGATCAGAACTCCATATCCAGTGGTCTGGTGGAGTACCAGGTATTGTGGAATCAAACTCCACGGTGACAAGGAGAAAGAGTTCAGAATTCATTGGACCGACGTGCATGCACTCGAGAGTACTCGATGATCAGAAGTGATTCAAAAAAAATATGCCATCGGTCTCTGGCAGCTAAAAGCGAGACTTGTAGATTCACCCGTAGAGTTCGGATTCCTGCAGCATCGGCTATCGGTCTTTGACAAGCGGCAATTGATCAGAGACCAAGTACACGGCACGATACTTTATATAAGTATATAAGGTCTCAAGAACCGACAATGAAGCCTAAAACGGGCAATCTAAGTCAAAATGGCAGCCAAATTCCGAGTTCTTCACCTAGGCGACGACATAAAGTACAATCACGATGTATACCAACGTTTTGCGTCCGAGTTCGACATCATCCAGCCTACCGCCGCCGAGCGCGAGCGGGGTGAATTCATGCGCGCACTGAAAGATGGTCGTTGGGGTAATTTCCATGCCATATTCCGTCCGTTCTGGAACACAGGGGGCGAGATGGGACGATGGGACGCAGAATTGATACCGCTTCTCCCGGCATCAGTTCGGATCATGGCCTCCGCAGGCGCAGGCTACGACTGGGCTGATGTAGATGTCTTCGCCCAGCATGGTGAGCTCAGTATCTCTTATCCTGCATGAATTTAAATTTCCAACCCACCAACTAACGCCGAGCGTGCTCAACAAGGAATTGTATACTGCAACGGCGCCGCCGCGTCTTCGGAATCCGTCGCCGACATGGCCCTTTTCCTTATCCTCGCTGTCTTCCGCAACCTTGCCTGGTCGCACCAGGCAGCACACTCACTGAGCCCACAACGGTTCCTCGATGCACACCAGAACTCGCCGCTAACAGCGCTGAACCCACGTGGCCGCACCCTGGGCATCATAGGCCTAGGCCAGATCGGATACACAATCGCCAAGAAGGCACACGCTGCCTTCGGTATGAAAATTGCGTACAACGATCTTTTCCGCAAGAGTCCAGAGCTCGAGCGGGCTGTGGACGCACAGTTCGTGGCGGACCTGGACGACCTGCTTGGCCAGGCGGACTGCGTGATTGTCGCGACGCCGTTTGCGGGAAAGACGCTGGTGGATGCGGAGCGGCTGCGACGGTTCAAGCGCGGGGCGCGGTTTATTAATATTGCGCGCGGATCATTGGTGGATGAAGAGGCGCTGCTTCAGGCACTTGACAACGGCCAAATCTTGGCCGCGGGGCTGGATGTCCATGCCTCTGAGCCTTATGTGCATCCGCGTCTGGCGACGCATAGCAGAGTGATGATGATGTCGCATAACGCGGGAGGTACGGTGGACACGCATGTGGGATTTGAACGCTTGGCGATGGAGAATATTGAGGGTTTTCTGCTCAGGGGAAAGGCGTTGACGCCGGTGAACCTGCACTTGACTAAACCGCCCAAGAGCGTGCTGTGATGACATTGGATGGGTCATTATTGATGTAATAGTAAGAAGTACTTCATATGAAAGACTACAGTATGCAGTAAATCATGACAACGCCCAGGCACCAACCATCTAGCTGTCCCAAGTTCTTGATGAAAACTGGATGTATTGATGAAGGTTGGGCGATGCAAGTTGATGAAATTGTCTTCGTCCTCCGTCAATCCACCCGCCACACGTGAGCGATTACCAAAACCGGCAATCACGGTCCTCCCAAGTGTTCTCTACGAATCCTTGCCTGAGTCCGTCGTTTCGATGTTTCACGAGTCATCTGCGATATAATATCTTTAGCTTCAATTAATTGCAGTTTTACAATGAAAGACTAGTGAAAGCTAGGATACTTCAGTGTATTGACTACGAAGATCGCCATCAAGTCCGTAATATATTTTCTACGCAGAAATTGATTCTCTAACTAAAGCACATTGCTCAACACAGAACCTAAGGAGGTGCATATTCTATCAGGAAAATGTATCTTCATAAAGGTCAACCGTACGCCCTTCTTGTCGCTCCCGAACAGCCTTTCGCACATCGTCGCCCAGACTACCAGGGCCGCAAATGCTGACGGCCATGGCACCCACTTGCTGCGCCATCTGAAGGTCTAGAACCTCCGGAAACAACGGCTTCCCATAGCGGATATTGACAGGCACGCTGGACGCCGGTGCTTTGGCCCAGAGACTCTCGTCGGACAGGTAGTCATCCGTAGTAAATGCTTTCGATGTGACGTAGACTTGGATGGATAGTGAGAAATCGGGAGACTGGGTGTACGGGTTATGCTTCTGCTCCTTTTGGGCCTGGACGGCTGGGTGGCTGAGAATCGATGCCATCCAGGGTTGGATCCAGTCCATGTGTTCTGGCTCAGATCAGCTTATGCTCCTGTGTGACAACTGCAGGGATCTTACCGATATGCCGTACAACCCATACCAGCGTGACTTTGCGAACTGCGATTGAGCGGCTCGAAAAGCCGTCAATGAACTCATGTAGATAGGAGAGTGGATGGGTAATTCCTATACCCCCAGCAATCAATAATACCGTTCCATAAGATGCGAGCGAGTGAAGGCCTCCTGCAACCAGTATGTGAGCATATAACAACTTGCGAGCGTCGGTATTGACTGTCTCTAACATACCAAATGGTCCTTCTGCCAGCGCGGTTGTCTTGAACCGTCCTTCCTCGGAGCCGTGGACTTTTCGTAGGAGCTTGTTCGTAAACCCGTCTCGCCGTTTGATCAAGAAAGACATGGTTGTCTGCTGCGGCCCTCCAAGCAGGACATTAAAAGAATCACTGGAGTCACGCTTCTCGCCAGAGATCGTCCGATCTGACGATGTCCACGCGACCGAAAAGGGGTGGGAAGTCCATAGCCCCAGCGATGGGATGTACATGTACATATACTGTCCCGCTTTGAATTTCCAGGGACGTGACACAGAAACCTCGACGCGAGCGACATCTCCAGGTAGAAGCTCTACTGTAGCTGTGGTGCGTTGCTTGCCGCAATTCCTCCATATGATACTTCCAAACCTCGCAAGTCTCTGCGAAGGAGTGTGAGCATGAGAAAAACTTCATTGTGTAGTGCGGGACGACTGAGACTCACATCTAGACCCCAGAGAATCAAGGTCGCAAGTAGGACTCGCTGCTGTGCCAGTCCTTGTAGATGGTACCACAAGCCAACGAATGCCATGATTGCCAGGAAGATATGGAAGTGGAGAAAGGCTTCGTAAAACGCATGTCGTAGAGGGGATATTGACTGAAAGAAGATCGTGACAAACGCGATGAGAGCCTATTATAGGGAGATATTAGAAAAATCGGAGGAAACTCGTCAGGCGATTTACTAACGACCATCCCGTATATATAGAAGGGCTGATGCCAAAGTTCATTCGTAATCTCGGCCATAGTGACTGTGTATCTCTTAGTCAAAGTGATCAGTTGGTTTCTGCATATGTACTCACCCTGCTTGGCCTGTGCTCCGACAACACATCCCATATGAATGATTGCACCAGCAACCATGATCCGCCCGACCCAGCGGTGCAGGAGATTAAAAGTATCAAAAGGGATTCCCAGAAGTGGTATAAGAGGGTTATTTCGGCCAGCTGTCAAGACCAGCGCTGGCGAGTTCATCACTGCCAAATGCCCAGCTGCGTATTTGAGTTGATACATCTTCTCTTGGTATTCGGTCCACCAGTCGACGAGGCCGACGAGGAAGATGATATTAACTGCGATATATCCGAGTAATAAGATAGCCTCCAGTCGTAATGGAATTGTCCCCATGTGAATCCTATTCGCAAGCCTGAATTCGCGACTATGTCGGGTTGAGAACAACGGCGCATAGAGGACATGTTTCTTCATCCAGGCGAAGGGGGTTTTGATCTGTGAGTATCTGCTTTGGTCCTCTGTCTGCAGGATATCGCGTAGTCGCCGACTGTGCCTGAACCTTATGTCCATGCGCACAAGGAATAGAACAAGAAATGCTCCGCTTATGACAAACAACGGTGTTGCCAGCGCAGGATTCATGGGGCGATGGGGGTAGCCGAGATGAGAGTGGTCTACCCCCGGTCCTCCAAGTTCTACTCCCATCTCTGCAAGAAAAGACAAACATCCAAATTCCAGTTGGACCACAGGTAGAGATAGAGTATGAGAGTGTCACAACTTGGACGCTGCACATGTGCTTCTGACCTGACAACAAAGCCCTGAGTAGCAAAGACTTCTTGCACGAAGGACAACACTCAAATAGTGGACTCCAAACATCAGGTCGAGTTTATTAAAGATAAACTATTGAAGAGCATGACGTAGAGGGATTTCTATAGTAATCTACACCCGCTGATGCCGTCATCCATCAAGCGGTAAGTCATCGTGAAGTATGTAGCACTTGAACAGTCAAGCCCAAGCTACGGGAACAATAATGACAGACAGGTTTGAGATCCATGAGAAACAAGCTAGTGCAACCCGGAAGAATGTGGGGGAAATATCCTTATTCATCTGAATTGTGCTATGGAATGCGCGAGACTCGACCCGTGGAGCGCATCTAGATCGCCAAGGACTTGTCATTGTTAGGCTTCTGGCGAACCAGGAGGCGTGAATGCATCTCTTCTGAGTAGACCCTTAGAGATATATCCGAGGGAAAGGGAATTGACAAGCTGTCTGAAACAAAGTCGCAGATGCTGAGAGCCATCTTGTATCTGCGATGGAACGGTAGTTCCGGAAGCGGAAGACCATCAAATTCCGCTAGCACCGACACTATAAGTGTTCCTGCTAGGCGGGATTCTGAGCAGAAAGTTAAAGGACTGGCTGCATTGTTTAGACGACCACGCCCTTGTCCAGTTGGAGGAGGTGAGCCCATGACGCATCATATGTCTGCTGGTGCACGCCTGTCACAAGATGCCATTCGAGTCATAAGCCTCTACCAATCAAATGCCAAGCTGTTAAGTATGTAGCTTGCCTGCTCCCTGACCACGAGGAGAATTTATCAACCCAAACTTCCAACCTTGTACTGGACGTCAAGCATTTCTGCCGGCACCGCTTGACAAACCGACATCTGAATCATCCCCATGCCTTGCAATGCCAGATGAAGCCCATGATGTAAGCAAGAAATGATAGGGCTTTGGAGTAGAAATTGTGGGAGATGAATAGCAGGCAGGGCAAATGCGACATCGCATACAGGTACAACAAGTCAATATTGCAACGGTATGAGTCAAAGATTAGGCTTTGAACCACGTGAGACAGTCAAGACAGGCCGCGCGGGAAGAACGTTATTTTGGAAGGAAACCCATGAATAGACCTGCAGAGCGGAATGGATCTCTAGCAAAGGTTTGGGAAGTGATGATGTCGGTGAATCAGCCTCAATACCACCGTAGTTTCAAGATCACAAGGTAAAGCTCAGGTCCAAGGAAGGCCAAAAAGCAGGGAAGTCTTAGTCTATCTGTCTATCATGGACCACTGGAAGCAAAGACGGAGTCGTTCACTGATGGTTAACCATCAGGGAAATAACTTGGCGGGTCAATCACGGTTCCAGTAACTGGGATTTAGTGTGGTAAAGGCCATGATGGCCATACTGACAGAGAGAGATTGAAGATAACCACCAAGCAGAAAGAGGTAGTAGGTAGTATCCAGCTGGTTAAACCCGGACAAGAGAGGAAGTCGAATAGTCAGCAAAAGTGCAACGCTCATGGAAATGACATCACCAGCACACAACAGACCTTCTTACGAATGGGCGAGCATCAGGACCAGTGTTCCAGGGCCAAGGATTAAGGAACGGTTGGTCTTTATCCTGGTGGAGTCCACATCGGGGCCCGTTTGACCTTTCCTGTGAGCCCTGTAGGATCTCGTCCTATGAAGGAGACAATACATCTTAGACCTGCCTGGATAAAGGCGTCAAGAGGGAATGACACGGATGAGAAAAAAAAAAAAAAAAACAAAGAATAACAAATGTGCAGAGTCAGGTTGCTCTAGTGATATAATAGAGCTGAATGCCTTTGGAGAGATCTATCATGGAACGAACTGGGTGACAGCTAGGAGTAAGTGCATAATCGCATCAAACGACTGATAAACAAACAAACAGGATGTCGGAATGAGTCCATGTAAAAGCCAAAATCCAGTTTTGACATGATCCAGATCTGAGAGAGGATTGTCGGGAACAGACACACCGACACAGTAACGCCTTGTACGTCGCATATTACCCTATGTAAGAGTGGCAGAAGCAAAAGAAATAAAACCATTGAAAAGCAAACACCTGTACACAGGTATGTTGGTGCGTGAAGTACAATAACGACTAATGAGATCTCCGGAGACCGCTAATGGTTTAGCGAAGTTCAACTGGAATCCAATCTCTCGCCAGATTGGATTGCCCGCCCGGTAGTCCTGGAACATCCATCGTCACCGTCATCTTGCGGAATTCCTGAGAGTGTGGTTTGAACATCCAGAACGTCTTCTTTCCCATCTTCGTTAGCGCTAGGCTGCCCAACAGGCCCGGTTTTCTTGGCCACTTTCGGTTGCCTGACGTTGCTTTTTTTCTCTTCCTGTACACGAGAGTAGTTGGCTACATCAACACCAGCGCTCTGGCACAATGACATACACTCTGTTTCGATAACTCGCACAATATTAGAGGTGAAGCCATAGAAAGCTGGGTTGTACGCATTGCGAGCCCAGTATATAAGCTCTGATGCAACCCGGCCCAGATTCGGGATCGAGTTAGGAATAATATCATTTCCTTGTCTCGTGCGCCGGGAAGACTCGCTCTCGTCGCCTGAAGAGAACACATCCGACGCTTGTGACAGAGGTGAGGGTGGTGCCGATGAATCTGAGAATCCCAGATAGTCAACATCCGAAGCCAAGACATGGAGAAGATGATAAACTGCCGCAAATTCGAGCAAGGTGAGCTCCACTGGATCGAGAGGCAAGCGATTGAACCATTCGATAGCCCGTTGCATTGTGAAGGCTGCCGGGAGAGAAGTGTCGCCGTTCGCCCGGGCGGTGAATATAGCAGCGATCATAGCACACCGAACGGCGATAGAAATCTCCTCGCGGATAGAGATAGGCAGAGAAGAGTCAAGGAAATTGGATGCCTGATTCGTCTCAGTCTTCCCCTTCTCTTTCGGCAATACAGCCAGGACTTTACCGATGTTGACCACACGGTCTTGTTCGAAGAAAACCGCTTTGACGACCAGAGCGCGAGCATGGGCTGCAGACGGTTGAGGAGCAACATCAAGGGCTGTCTTGATCTTTGTCTTGAAGATGTGGCGGTTCTTCTTCACATCAGGCCCGCCGGAGCTCACCTCGAAATATCTGAGGAGGGCTCTCTGCAGCATATGGCTGGACCACCAAGCAGCAAGAGCATCCAGGGAGGATTGAATGGCCGGATCTTCTTCCACAACATCTAGTAAAGCTTCATCATCGTCTGTTCCTTCCTGAGTAGGACGATTCCAAGTCAGATTGGCTGCCCTTTGAATGACGCTATCAATCATGACGTCGTCAGAGTCGATTTTGAGTAACGCAGCCAGATGTCTTGGGAGCGCATCTTCATGACCCTGGGGTAAAGTATTGTTCATTTCACGCGCCAGATCCCATTGATAACGTGCCAGACTTCGGGCAACATCATTCGAGACCTTGAATGTCCACGACCCAGGCTCACCAACACGCCACATCAGAATGCGGCAGTGAAGGGCTTTGAGCATCATCCTCATGGGACTTCGCGGCAGTGTACCGGCCGCAAAGATGGTTAGCACCAGACGACTTTTGCTGATCTCGGTGTCACCGCCAGCCAGCTGCGCGTCAATGGCAATGTCCCAAGTTTTCACACGGCCCCTTTCATCTTCTTCGGTGACACCAGTGACCCAGGAGTACAATTTCCATCCGAGAAGACATCGCAAAACGTATTCAAAACATCTGGATGTGACCACGTACCACTCGTGGAAAAATCTGTGGCGCGGCACACCGACTCGTTGGATACTCGTCAGCCAAGCTTGGCGTCTGAAGTTGCATGACGAGAGCGCAATGTCCGCTGCAGATGTTTCCTTTGATGCTGAATATTGGCGTCTGGGGTCGGAGTTAAAGAGATATACAAAGACAATGAAAGCACTGCCGACGACAAGGATCGCAAGTAGTAAAAAGTGAGAAATTGCGCGCGCATGCCACAAGGACCAGAAATAATGAAAGGCAGCACTGGAGTATACTTGTGGTGGTAGAGGAATACGATGCAGCAGATTCAACGGGACCGCCAGCAGCCCCTTCGCAGTTGACTCTGTCTTCTTTTCCGGGCCCATCCCTTCCAGGACCATAAGCCCAGCAAGGGCACCAAGCATGTATTTATTGGGAAAGTGGGAGCGTCTACGGCCCCCACTCGCTTGCGTCGAGTTGTTGGTAGGGTTCTCGTACTGAATGTATGATTGTGAAAATGAGTTGTCGCGAGAGGGGGTAGCTCGCATGCGTTTGAAAGAGTCTGGCACCTTGATTAACCCTTCTGGTGGGTAGAGGGAGGTCGGCGAATGGTCGCTCGCAACATCCTCGACTTGAGAGAATACGCTGGGAGATGAGCTTGCTCCGGACTCAGTGGACACTGTGCAGTTGCTCGGTGACGAAACAGATGCTGCGGAGGTCACAATCTGGTCTGCCGCCTTGTCCAGCTGACGCAGTCTGATCTTCAGAGCCGTATTCTCTTCCTCCAGCCTCTTGTTCCTGATCTCTAGATGGCGGATGTATTCTGTCGCTTTGGAAAGGATGGAGGCTTTGTTGAGTTTACTTGCTGGAGTGATTCCGTCGTCATCGTCGTCAGGCGAGCCGCCATTTGCCTGCTTGGAAGAAGCCCGCAAGCTGGGAACACTGTCTCTCAGCTCGGCAATCTTCTCATTCAGATTTGCTCGGTATCTCTTTTCGATAACATTATGAGCTCTTTTCTTCGATGGCACCTGCTTAGCACTGAACACGATGTTGGTAATAGTCGATCCATCATCGTCACTACCGGACTTGCGTTTCCGACTAACAACAATCGGTGAGCCGGGGGAATCAGACACCGATTGCGCGGGCTGGATGTTTGAGCCTCGCACGGGCTTGGCCTGCACGGAGCCCCTACCAGTTGGGTGCCGGCCTAAAAATGACTCGAGTGACAGCCCTGTGTAATCGAGAGAGATATCCGGGGAAAATTCTGTCTGCATGCTATCGGTTTTCTGTCGTCCAGACGATGCACCTGGTGAGGTAAACGCAGTATCGAATGGTGAAATAGGTGAATCATTGCTGGACTCCGGGAAAGTTTGCTGATCATCCCATCTCATCCATTGTGTCCAGTCCTGGCTAGAATCATCTGGGGTTGTCTGATCGAATGACATCGAATCTGCCTGTGATACTCTCCTCTCAGGGGGCTCCATAGCGGAGAACAGTTGAAAATCACTACCCATGCCGGGGATAGACATCGTGTCTCACAGCAGGGTCTTAGACCATCAAGACGCTGCCGTCGATGATCCAGTACCCTAACAGAAATCGAACATTGACGAACAACAAAGCTTTTGATGGATATTTTGATAAGATCTGATGGGATGCCAGAAAGGATGGAGATGGCCAGGACCTGGCTAGTTGCGGGTTTGAGTTCCAAAAGCTGATTGATGATCGGCCCAGAGCGAACGCGCTAATGAGAAGTCTAAAACACGAGATGTGGAGTCAGATCCAGATGTTGGTAATGAATGGACAGAGATAGCTTTGGGATTTATAGTAGTGATGGAGATCATATACTGGTGACAGCAGCTTTGGGGGGGGGGGGGAGGAGGAGGAGGAGGAAGAGTGTATTCGACAACAAAAGCGACGTACACTTCCGAGGTGTATCATATCATGTCAGAAGAAAACTGACTCAACACTGTAGGCCGCCGACTAGCGCGGAAAAAGAAAGATCTGAACCAATTGTTGGGTCCCTTGGGTGGTTGGTTGAAGCTGATTTAGAGCGGGCATAAATAAATCTCTGGCTGTCTGTCTGTCTTCCACATGCAAACCCCACAGGATGAGATCTGGAGCAAGGGTATTGTCGAATGATTCCAACCTTGCAACAGCCTATATCGACTAGAGAGCAACACAACAATGATGGCTGGAAAGACTGATGGCAGAAAGCATTCTTTTTTTCCTGTCCACCACCTTTGAATGAGAGACTGAATCGGTGCCTGAGGGGCGACAATGGAAATCTCGGCCGTTGGTTTGGTGGTTGCGTCGTATGATCGCGGGACACTGTGATTCCGGCAAACCGACAGCTGCCTGTTTTGGTATTACCATCTTTTTTTTTCCCCTGCAAAGATGGCAAAGGTGGCAGAAATGGCAGTGTTGGCCCTGTTTGGTCGGTCACCACTGTATTCTGCCATACAATAATACTCTCCGCCTTCTTCACCTTGCTTGGAGTCTGCTCATGTGACCTTGTCCAATCACTGCAGCCTATACATTTTACCCGTGTTAGGGAGAGTGTGTATGTATGGTCCAGCCATGAAGCAGGACCGTTCAATAATAATAGAACCATTTTGTTAAGATCTTCGATCTCCATCGCAGTAACATCCCTCGTCACACCATCTCCCCCATATCGTACTCTCGCAATTGTTGACTGGGACTACTCGGGCTGGCTACACCCGCATATTGGGAATCTCGCAAAGCGCAAGGTATTGCTGACAGGGCTGAGGAATGGTGAACGAACAACCTACCCATGATTCTGGATCAATTCGCTACCTAGCTAGTACTTGAGATCCACGGAACTCCCATACGTCTCTGCAATGAGGGGAAAGTACCAAATTATGTTAGGGTTGCGGTTGCTATATACGGCAGAAGTTTGTTCACTCAAGTCGCGAATGCTGAGCATAATCATGGCGTTTGGTCGACTTCTACAGAAAGACAGATAGACACTGAAATGCATCGCAGTAGGCAGAAGAATTTACTGCTGGCGAAGAGTTGCTGGAATTGTCACATGCCCGATCACGGGATCTAGTGTTTGGGGTATTCCTTGACCCAGGCTTTGATCTGAGCCACCTCGTTGTCAATCACCTTCTGCACCCCAGCATTCACCTGCCCGTTACGCAGTCGCAAATCTGAGCAATGGAATCCACCTGGAATTACCTGCACAGGCGCTTGCTTGGTCGAGCGGAGAGGACCTCCAGGTCTGAAGACGGATGACACTCCAGAGTCTCTCCAGGGGTCATATTGTCTATGGGAGAGGATTCAACGTTAGCTTGGACTTCAAGTCACGACTGCTAATTTGACATAACGCACCCATTTGTCCAGATCAGGCGTTTCGTGTCGGTCGAGTCCCAGCCCTTGGTCCACTTGTTGACATCGGAGGCCCTCTTGCCTTCAGCACTGCCATATGTGTGACCGTTAATCTCGGGGAAGTACAACTGGCACTGTCGCTGCCAATACTCGGCCGAAACTAGTCTCGAGACGACGGTGATTTCGGTAGGAGGCGCACCGCTGCAATGTTTGCGTTAGCAGACTGCTAGCCACAAGGGACATTGGTATCATACTCTTGCCAATAGAAGAGAGGCTCGTTGCACAGCAACCATGTCCATTGCCGGTTCCCTGTGTTGGCGAGAGACTGGTCCGTGAAGATAGGATTTGATGGTTTATGGGTGTCAAAGCAATCAATGGCGAGTTTGTCGGTCCAATAACCGAAGCCAGCGCAGTCTATTTTGATCAGCTTTTGCTTGGGACATGGGTTAACGGGGCCTCTTACATCCTGGCAGGAATGAAGATTTGAACCATGACGCGTAGCCCTTCAGTGCTTTCTCCAGACCAACACCTTGCGGTCCAGGGACGGTCTTAGCTCCGGGTTGAACATTCTGTACTTGGGTGAGAATCATTCTCGCTGGGAGAGCCAAACAAGGGGGGTGTAAGACCACCTACCTCCACCATATCGCAGAACTGGTAGAATTCTGAATACCCAGTATAGAAGCTGTTGGACTGCCACAACCACGGCCCATTCTCGAGCGCACTGGGAAAATCAGCATTGGATCACTCTCAGGTCATGAGTAGCACAGAGACAACATACGCCGCAAAGTCATCGAAGTGCTGGAGCGCTCCGAGGCCGAACATTTCCTTCAATTTCTGCTGGCGCCTCTTGTCTCCTGACTTGTAGACCTGGTCGACGTACTCGACCACGCGCGAGACATCCATGCTGCAGTTCCGGGGCATGCCCTCGACCACAGGGACGAAATATTGCCACTAGCCCTCATTAGCACCGTTTCGCTAAGATCGTTTTGGCATATCGCTTACAAAGTTGTAGATTGCCTCAACGGGTGCACTGGAGGAATGGTACGCCCAGAAAGTACCGGGGGCTGTCGATGCCGTCCATGCAGACAGCGCACCACTGTACGAGCCTCCCGTGAGCACCCAGGGCTGTACGTCAACGGGGACTGTCAGCGACATGGTTCCTCTGATAATCAAGTGAAGACGGCTCAACAACTGACCGCCTTGTCAGCATTGCTGCTGTGGTTGGAATCGAACGCAAGGTCGACAGTCTTAGCAAAGTGCGTTAGATCCGCAATGGACTGCTCCAGGGTGAGGTACTGAAGGGTCTCTGTGTTCAAGTTCGTGTATGGCGATGAGGTTCCCCAGTATCGATCTGATGAAAACCAATTAGGACTCTATTTCACCTTCTGTCGAGGATGGCAATTCAGTCCTGAAGCAAATGGACTACTCACGCTCCAGCAGGATAACTGCACCCCCAATCTCTTGCGCAAAGCGACCGGGGAGGGTCTGGTTGGTCAAATATCCAGTATATCCCGGGGCATCAGCCTCGCCAGGGGTGAACAGAACGACCTTTTGTCAGAAGCATTCAACATCAGCATCGCTTGCCAATGGCTTTCCAGACATAACCAAAACTCACAGGAGACCCAGGACCTTTCCAGAACTCCGAACTCCACCAGAACCTCTGTTGAAAGGTTCCCAACTCCGGATTATCATGATCAATTAACTGGTCAAAAGTCGTATTACCCCTCACCTGCCTGAACCTCGCATTCCCGGACAGCAGACTAGACTCCTGGATTTCGAACGGTGGTGGCACCGGCAGCTGAGGGATGGCACTGACTATACCACCGAAGTAGGACGCACCCAGCGCCAACAGGCACGCAGCGGATCGCATCTTGAGGACTTGGATTCGCAAACAAATGGAAGAAAAGGAAATTACACAGACGGTTGCATGCTTATATATGGCCAATCTCTCCCTCGTGGTGAGGGGAAACAAGCATGCAGCTAACTAGTCTACAGACCTAGAGGCAGTTTCAAAGCTTCTCATTTGAGATACCGAAATTAATGCATGCCACGGTCAAGATTCCAGGTATTTCCCTTATAAATTAGTGCAATCGCAGGGGCATTTCACAATCGACAATCGTCTGCAGGATTGTGTGTCTGTCCAATTGGACCCTCACATCGCACAAGGATCGGCCAGCACTAGCTGCATAGTAGTAGTACTGAGTACTTCGATAGATATGTACTCCGTAGATGGTTATGCCCTGGTTCGGGACATCAGGGATCGGCGGAGGTCCCCTTAGCTTCTTTTGCTACTGCAGCGTTGCTTTGCTCTCTGGTAATTGCTTGCTTGTTCTCGGACTTCGACCTTCAGGGTCAAGTCTACATCGATGCGCCCGAGATACCACTCTAGAACAGGCGGAGCTCACAACAACAACAACTGACCCGAGATATTTCCTTGCAAAAGAAGCAACAGAAGCAACAAAAACCCGGGACAAGCATTCATGCCAAAACCCCACTTGGGGGAAATTACCCCGACGGAGTCCGGGATCGTGATAAGGAGATGTAACCTTTGGTGATTAATCCTCGTCTCTCTACTCATCCAGTCCGAGACAATCTTGCGAATTTTTCATCTTATTGAGGGGGCAACATATTTGAGAGTTCTATAGATGGCATGACATGAACAAGGACCCTCGCCATCTCACCTCAACTCACCACCCGCTCTCCAAACCCCACGCTTCAACATGAAACCGGATCTTCTCGCCCAAATCCCTGCCGAAAACCGTCAGAGTATCCAGCGGTGAGGCCGGATAGAAACTCATCGTGCCGGTCTGCTTTCCGTCATCCAGGAATACCTCGAGAAGTGAGCGGTCGATGACACCAGAGAATAAAAACCTGCTCTGCTCGAACGCCGTAAGGGTCGTGTTGAAGACTGGCCAATACCCTGAGCTATTTGCCTGAGTGAAGAGATGGGTACCTGCCCGATCGATCCAAAACAGGCCCGTGTTGAAGTTGAGACCACCGTCGATGTATTCGCCAGATTTGGACGAGGTGAAGTTGAAGAATACCTGTCCGGCCGATGTGGATTGCGAGATGCCATCGACCCTCACATCGAAGTAAATTGCATGGGAGGGGACATGTTTGAAGTCCAGGGTGACATCGCCATTCTGAGCGACATGTGCTCTCAACCGCTTATCCCGGACGGAGGACAGGTCGTCGAATGGTTGCTGAGTGACGAGCCAGGATCCGTCGACTTTAGTCAAAGTATGCACTTTGGGTAGGGTCATTGCGCCTCTCCAGCCTTCGAGCGGGCCTGTGGGGACTTGTTCAGTATAATTCCAATTGCTAGCCCACCCAATAGAGACAGGAGGCTCGTCCTCAGAAATCCCCGAGTACCACTGAGAGGCATAGTTGTCTTTGCCGAAGTCATAGAGTGTTTCATGGGCAGTCTCAGAGACAAAATGAGTTCCGTTGAATGTGCCGACGACATAAAACGTCCCTGAGCCGCCGAGCGGTGCGCCGGGATTGACAGAGATGAAAAGCACATCCTTAGTGTTCTCCTGGGGTAGGACAGGACCCACAGAGAACCTGACCAGGTTGGGGCATTCAAACTGCGTCCCCGGCAATCCAGTCTGCGTGAAGTTGGAAGCATGAGTCCATTCCTTGAGATCAGGCGACGTGAAAAATCCAATGACACGGTCGTCTGCGTACGCGATAGTCATGACCCAGCGCTCCGTCTCCGAGTGCCACACAACTTGAGGGTCGCGGAATTGACTGGATCCAATATCAAGCACAGGATTGCCCTCATACTTGGTGAACGTGTATCCGCCATCGGTGGAGTAGGCGATGTGTTGCGCTTGTAATTCCGCAGTCGCCAGAGTGTAGATGGCCACTACACCGTCATCTTGGCCCGGGAAGAAGCCTGAGGTGTTATTGCTGTCCACCACAGCGGACCCAGAGAAGATATACTCATCCGACCTGCTGGGGGAAATAGCAATGGGATGGTTAGTCCAGTGATAAAGATCTGGGCTGGTGGCATGGCCCCAGTGCTGATTACCCGCGACAGTCTGGTAGGGATTATCTTTGTGCGTGTTAGAGACATGTTTCACTCACGCCTATCGGGTGATGAAGGCTTACATTGATAATAAAGATGATAGATCTCTCTCTTGCTGTCGTAGAAAAGTCCGTTGGGATCATTCATGAAATTCGCCGGAGGGGAGAAGTGGACCTGGGGCCGCAGGTCTCCAGAGTAAGTCACTGCCTGGGCTGCTACCACAAGGGCAGAGATGAGCAGCAAATGAGTCCGCATTCTAGGAGGTATGTCTCTTGCAGTCCGACAGAGTGATATTGGTCAATCCCCACGAGAACTAAGGAGTATTTATTTTGAATGTCCAAAGCAAGGAGTGTCTGAACCAACTCGGGGTCAGTCACAGGACGTCATATCAATGAGCAGTCCTTATTATATGGTCGATCTTACTTAGTAGTAGTAGCCGTAACTGAGTGGCATGTCGATGCTCCGTGAAGTGTGAACTCACTCGGGATGCAGCTCGGAGAATCTCACTCCTACTTTCGCTGATTCGATCTCTGGGTTCGAATATCCTATATACTCGGTATTTCGTCGGGGCAATTCCGAGGTCTCCCGCTGCAATAAGAGGGTTACCATCCATTCTTCAAAAATGCCTCAGTTGAACGGGCTGTTTTCGGATCTCGGGGACGCTTCGGGGAAACTTCCCCACATTGAGGGGACAGACATTGTTGTATATCCAGATTGGAAGAATATCATTGTTTCTGATTGCCACAATACTAATACCCATCTACGTAGTAAATAATGAGTCTAGAAATGGTGCTGATTTTCCCTGCTCGGTATTATCGCCCGCAATGGAAATTCTGGTTTGTTCGGCAGCTATCTACACCACTAAGGGGATACTAATACTATCCCCTTCTCGATCTCTGCCACCTCCGCCATCACCTCCCTCACCATCTTCTTCACTCCCTCCGCCGGCTCCTCATACGGCGCCCGAGGCTTCAGTTTTTCCTCTGCACCCTCAACCCCCGCCAGCGATGCTGCATATATCGCCGCCGCATACTTGGTAGCAGCAATGCCGCTCTTACACGGACTCCGCCAGCGCCGCCTTGCGCTGCAACTCCATAGCCTCCGCAACCTTCCCAGCTGTATACAAGTCAAACACCCTCGATGCAGTCCGTGGAAACACATTCGCAAAGGCCGCAATGCACCCCGCAGAGCCTACACTCAGACCCCCGATCAGGAAGTCCGACTGACCACCAAACACCGCAAACTCCTCGCGCGGGAACGTCGCCGCCAGCCGCGTGATCTTTCCCACAGACGCACATGTAAGCTTGACCCCGACGACATTGGAGACCCCATCGGGGCTGGCAGCCGCCGACTCCCTCACGATCGCCGTCATTGTCTCCGAGTCGATGTCGACCCCGTTGCACACCCCGGGGAAGTTGTAGATCACGACCGGCAGCGGCGCCCGGCGCGCCACGTCAACGAAGAACCGCTTCACGACGCCCATCGTCGTTGCTTTGCCGAAGTAGGCGGGCGGCAAGACGAGCAGATAGTCCGCACCCGCCGCGGCGGCGTCCGCTGCGAACTCGAGCGTTTGCTTGGTTGAGTGCGCGCCTACGCCGGCCATGAGCGGAAAGCTGGGGCCGACGGCCTCGCGAGCCGCGGCAATGAGCTCGGCGCGCTCGTCACGGGTGAGTAGGAAGGCCTCGGAGTTTGTGCCAAGAATGACGAGGCCAGTCAAGCCGGTTTGCGAGAGGTAGGCGTAGTACTTCTTCTGGGCGGGGAGGTCGAGGGTGTCGGTGTTATGGTTGAAGAATGTTACGGTTGGACACCAGACGCCGGGTTTGGGGACGTGGGGTTGAGAGGTCATGATGGGCGTTTACTGAACGGGTGCGTTTAGCAGAGATCAATGTAGGACTAGGGCGTGGAATATCGAGAAAATTTTCTTTGAGCATTGTCATCTAGATGTTTGAGTTGTGTATATATACATCTTCAACAGAGCGGGGAAACGGGATAAGTATCCGAGTCGGAAGAGACACCGAGCAAAACAACATACAAACGGTGCTGATCGTCAGAATTCCTAAGCCTAAACTCAATAGAACGAGAGTACCGAGTACTTGGTGGGATATTGTGGGAGAATCATATCTCGGATGGAGCCCCGAGCTTGCGAACGGGGATCCCTTCATCTGGCCATTGTCTCTCCCCGGTTACTACTGGTCATCAGTACATTACGATCAAGCCTTTCTGAAAGTCGTATTTGACCAGTGTACTACTCAAATCATTCGTCTCTTAGCTTTAAAACTTCATGAAAATTATGGCTCATTTCTTGTAATGTTGAATCTGCCTTGCCTATACACCTACTCAGGCTGATTGCAAATAAACAAACAAGATGACGTTTGCACCCATTTCTTCTTCTCCTGCACGTTGCAGACTTCGTCGTAAGAGGATCGCACGAAAGTCGTCGTATAGTCAATCAATGCTATGATGCGATCAGTACAAGTACCGGACGAAAGAGGACATACTCACCGTTACATCCTCCCATTTCTCCCAGCCGCGTCCCTTCACCTCGGCCAACTCCTCGAGCGTATATTGCCTTCCCGTGGTGAAATATCCAGCGTTGATCTTGGCATCAATCTCCACGCGCGAGTCATTCGGGATCATGTCCTCTGGAATGGGCACACGCTCAATGATCTTGATCCCAGACTGGACGATGGCATCATGCTTCATGTTGGACATGGACAGCATCCGGTCAATCTTCTTGATGCCTAGCCAGTGAAGAATGTCGGGCATCAAAGCTTGGAAGCGCATCTGGGCTCAAGTTAGCATGATTGTAGCTCAAATCTAGCAGGAAAGGCTCGTACGTCTCTCACGCCCGCAATGTTCTCCGTTCGAGTAAAGTATTTATCGGCCGTGTCTCCGCCTCGCTTGCGAGCGTTGTATACCAGATACTTGATCACTTCGCCCAGCGCACGTCCTTCCTTTCGGAAATAGATGACAACTCCACTGCCACCATTCTGAGCCTCACGGATGGCTTCCGCGATACCAAACGCCAGGTACGGCCGGCATGTACAGATGTCGGACTGGAAGACATCGCTCCCATTACATTCATCATGAATGCGCAGGGCCAGCCTCACATTCTCGTCCGACACACGTTCCGGTGACCCGAAGATGTAGACAGTCAGCCCCCCAATGGGGGGAAGGAAGACCTTCAAATCAGGCCGGGTGATCAATTCCGGGTAGCTCCCACCGGTATGTTCAAAGAGAGTCCGACGCAATGTTCCCTCGTCCGTGCCGAACCGCTCTGCCACACCCGGCAGATACCAGACCGGCTCGACAGCAACCTTGGTGACGCGGACTTCTCCAGAACCGTCAACCACTATAGACCCATCCACATCAAGCTGACCGTTCTTGATCGCCTCCCCGATCTCCGCGAGCTTCATATTCGCACGCGTGACCGCCATAGTGGGCCGAATATCCCAGCCAGCGTTCAGCTGCTCGCGAAACTGATTCACGATATCATGGCCAAACGGGTCCATGGAGACAATCTTTGTTTTATCCGCCCAGGCTGGCTGCCAGGGGAAGTTGAACGTCGGTTCGCTGTTCCGAAAGTCCGGGCGGAAATTGGGATCGAGATCGCCCGCTGCGATGGCCAGAGCATTGTAGATACTGTAACTTCCGCCATGAGCTCCCATGGCATTTCGTCGTTTGAGCAGTCCCCCACTGCGAGAGACGATGACGGGGCCGCGGGATTTGGCGTCGGGAGCGCCCCATTCGAGGGGAACGGGGTCGATACCGCTTTGGCCGGGATAGGTGGTTAACTATGCTAGATTTCAGTTCTCTTCCTCCTTCGTCCTCGAGGGGTTCTGTATTGCACTACATACCACGATATGCTTGCTGTACCCCGATGCGGGCGATGCGGGGGATTGCACACTCGATGCATCAGTGGTATCCGCCATGGTATCAGTAGGTGAGCTGAAAAGATCCGATGCAGAAGATGCCCATTAGAAGATCAGGTCAGATCAGATCAACTCAAGGGATATGGGAAGAGAAGGAGTAAGAGGAGTCAGTCAGTGTTGGTCCTGCTGCAACTGCATGTGACCTGCTATCGCCAGTGTCGCTGTCAGGTTTCTCCCCGCACCTTATCGTCAGGCACCCCGGCAGATACCCCTCTTCTGCCTGGCTCTCACCGCTGGAAATATGCATTTCTTGTTCTTTACATCCTGCGGATCGTCTATGGGAGGACATTGTTCTAGATCTGTGAGCTCCCTTACTGATATCCCACCCGTTGGTTACTAGCTACTAACTTCTGATATCTAGCACCTAGCAGACTGGGGATAGATCGAAGCCACAGCGGATCCGCCCCACACTGGCCACGAGTGACTCGTCGCAGTCGTTGCATAGTCAGCCGTGGGGTTTGAAGAATGCCCGATCACCTGTGAGTTGGACCGTGGTCATCCCTATTTAGTGCTCGGTTGGGCACAGCAGTCGCTGAGCTGGTAGACCTATAGATAAGTGATCAGGAGGTAAGAAGTATGGGTCGTCAGCATTCTATCTATCTATTGAGGTAGAGCCGGTCTAGTGCCATGTGGTAAGTATGATCAACCCCGAATGAGCAGGAGGAAAGTTGCATTTCCATTTCACGTTACATGGTATCTATTAATCTTTCTTCGTTTTTGCAGGCATCAAAGTTGAGTATCATCACTGTTCGCACGTAAAGCATGGCCCAAAGCCAATCTGTTCCGCGAACGAATTAACAGAACAGGGGCTAAACCATCCTTCTAATCACCTTGACCATCCCCCTACTGCTTTCCGAACTGCGCATTGGCACGGGTATTCTTGATGGTCTTCTTAATGATGTCCTCGACCTCATCCCAATCCTTGGTATCGACACGCTGGATTTCGGTGTTGAAGTATCGCTGAATCTGGTTCAGCATATCCCATTCCTCGCGGTTCGAAACGAACGAAATGGAGACACCGACACGGCCGAAACGACCCGTGCGACCGATACGGTGCAGGTAGGTTTGGAAGTCTGCCTGTCGCTCAGGTACACCAGGTCTGTGGAGCTCGGGGATATCCTAATGGGAGAGAGGGAGTCAATAACACGGACAGTGATGGTGGCATATCGAAGACCTACATAGTTGATGACCATGGAAACCGTAGAGACATCAATTCCTCTGGCAAGGACATTGGTGGTAATCAGGACTTTAGCTTCACCAGAGCGGAACTTGTCAATGATCTCGTCACGCTTCGTGACGTCAATTCCACCAGTAAGGGATGCGACAGTGTGTCCTTCGGCGACCATTCGCTTCTCAATCTCAGATGCTGATGTGCGAGTCTGCGTACCATTAGAACCGGGACAGGAAAAGGGAGGAATTCAAGTGCATGAAAAGCGGCTACTGACCTGAACGAAGATAATCGAGGAGCCGACGGTGAGAAGGCCGTAAAGTTGAACAAGGGTCTTATATTTGTCCTCCTCATCCGAGCAGTCGAGATAGAGCTGCTTAATTCCCTCAACGGTCAACTCTTCGTGTTGCAGTGTAAGCTCGTTCGCGTTAGGGGCGAACTTCGCTGCATAGGCGTGGACATGGTCAGGGAATGTGGCTGAGAACAGGACGACTTGGATGTCCCGTGGTAACAGACTACACGAGGATCAGCTGAGTTTAACTTGAAAGCAGAAAGACAAGATAGTTCGAGACTGACGCTTTGACACGGATGCACTGGTCGCCGAGGCCTTGCTGATCCAGCATGTTATCTGCCTCATCCAGAACAAGGACCTTAAGCTTGTTTGGGACCATGATGCGCCTCTTAATCATATCCATGACCGTGCCTGGGGTGCCCACAGCAATAGAGCATTCCAATCTCTTAGGACGATTGTTGATATCCGCAGGAACAGCCGTGCCGATGATGAGTCCGTCAAGGAACTGACCCATGACCGAAACCACACCAACAATCTGACGCGCCAGCTCTCGGGTGGGCGCTAGGATCAAAGCCTGAGGCGTCTTCTGCATTTGTTCCGTCGATAGGTCCACGCGGCTCAGAGCATTCAGGACGAAGGCGGCGGTCTTTCCGGTACCCGATTGAGATTGTCCGACCAAATTCTTAGGCGGATTGCCCAGCAGCAAAGGCAGAGCACGTTCTTGGATCTTCGAGGGCTTCCGGAAGTTCATTGCCGACAGTCCTTTGAGGATACGCGGGTCGCTAAATGATTGGCGCTTCGTTAGCAACGGGGAGCATCATAGGCGAAAACACGTGCTCACAGTCCAAGGTCTTCGAAGTTCTTCACGGAGTAGAGTGGGTTGTTAGGGTCGGCTTGAAGATCGCTGAGCTTGACCTCAACGTTATATTCGGGCTCGCGCAAGTCGGAACCACCGAGTGGCGCGGAAGCGCCATCGGCCTGATCGCTCGTCTGCTCGGGTGTTTCTGAAGGTGTTACAGCGGATTAGCTGTGTATTCGGCGAGTCTAGCCGGCATCATGGGTGAAAAATGGCGCTCGTACCTGAGGCAGTTGGTTCGTCGGGTTTCGAAATGCGATCAGAAAGAGAGCCACCCAATGGGGCGGCTTCGACAGGCTGCTCCGACGCCATGACAGTGTATTATGTTCCCCGAGGAAGAGACGAAACGAGAGGATGTTCGAGGCGGTCTTTGAGCTGCGAAGAGGCGGCTAGAGAGCGGGGAGGGAGGGACCTGGGAAGCAACGGCGGGGTAATTAGAGGTCAATAAGAATCCTGGGAAGAGAGCAAAATCGCAATGACTCGGAAGATGATTCGTGCTTGCCAGGCCGCAGAATCACCTTATGGGAGACAACAAGAAGTATTCGATCCAGGCCAGTTCCCGAGGAATCGCTCAATAATGACTGCGTTTCAGACCTCAATAATAATAATGACGGTAGAAAAACCCAGCAGGCGATAACGTGCAATGACGCTTTGCCGTTCTGGGCAACTCCCCGACCTGTGACCGCTTAGTTTTTTACGGAAGGCGGTAGAGTCATTGCCTAGTATTACCATACCAATACATCACGATAGCTAGCTCCAGTGTTGGCAACAACCGCCATGGTCGAGAGCCAGCGTGGCCTAAGAATGATGTCCTGGTATTATCACATACCGAACCGTATATCCCCCAGCCACAAGCCCACCAGCCATTCAGTCATCATCCCCGCTTCCGCAATGCCCGCATCAACTCCGGAGTCACCAATGTTAAATCACAAATGACACGGGCCGTTCAGTCGCTCCTTGAAGTGCATCTATTCTTATTGGGGAGACCAGTGCGTTAGTGGTTCTCGATTTTACCCGCCAAGAGACGTCAGCACGTGGAGCAGTGTGGCTTTCTTCCGTTGAACTTAGCCGCCTAAGTACGGAGTACACAAGTGCACCCACTTTCCTGACCATTGCGTCTCACCCAAGGTCTCATGCGCCGTGAGATAGTTATATCCCCCCTTGAAAGATGGCATCAGCGGAGGTTGCGCCTCAATTTGGGGCAGAGCTGAAGGTAGGTTCACTCGCAGCGCATTTCTCGTGGATCACTGTTCTAACGTGGATTCTTACATAGGATGCATTCAAGCCGGTCAACAACTGGGTATGTCGGAGTCGCTTCCCCGCATTGCGTCCACGAGAGCAACAACACCGGTTCTTGTTCCCGGAGCGCTCACGAAGCTTCTAACTAATGCGGTGTTCCTCTTAGGTTTCGACTGGAATACAATGGCTGGACGAGATACAACAATTCTACCGCGAGCGGAGCGTCATCGAGAAGGAATATGCTGCCAAGCTCACTGCCCTCTGTCGGAAATACTACGATCGCAAAGCAAAGAAGATCAGCAGCCTCAGCGTTGGAGACAACCCCGCGATGACTCCTGGCTCTCTCGAGAGTGCTTCCCTTACTACGTGGACGACACAATTGACCGCCGTTGAATCGCATGCCGCCGAACGGGATAGATTCGGCACAGAATTGGTTTCGCAGGTCGCGGAGCCTCTCAAGCAGGCTGCAGCGCAGTACGAAGAGCTCCGAAAGTGCCATGTGGACTTTCATGCAAAGTTGGAGAAAGAGCGGGACTCGTCCTACGGTGAGCTCAAGAAGGCGAAGGGCAAATACGATGGGGTCTGCCAGGAGGTTGAGTCTCGAAGAAAGAAGATGGAAAGTTCATATGACCACAGCAAAAGCAAGGCGCAAGCTGCTTACCAACAGCAAATCCTCGAAATGAACAACGTCAAGGTACGTCTGTCTCTCTCAGATTGCTCCAATGAGTGCGCTAATGATGACCAGAATATGTACCTCATCAGTATCAACGTAACCAACAAGATGAAAGAAAAGTTCTTCCATGAATATGTGCCAGAGTTACTTGACGTGAGTCGTAATGCTAATGGGCGAAATATGCGGATCTGCTGACGATTGACAAAAGGGCCTGCAAGACCTCAACGAAACACGTGTGGCGAAGCTCAACTCGTTATGGTCACTTGCGGCGCAACTCGAAAAGTCTTCTTTGTCAAGAAGTACGGAACATATGTCACACCTGCTGAATGAGATTCCTCGAAACGTCCCGCACATGGACTCGCTCATGTTCCTACGTCACAACGTCACCCAGGCGCAAGAGCCTCCCAATATGGTATTCGAGCCGAGTCCTGTTTGGCATGATGATGAGACGATGATTGCGGACGACACTGCTAAGATATTTTTGCGAAATATCCTTAGCAAGGGTAAGACGCAGGTCCGGGAGCTACGGGTCGAGTCGGACCAGAAGCGAAGGGAGGTTGAGAATGCCAAGCGAGTCAGGCAAAATGTCCGACAAGGGAAGGAGACTCGAAGTGAAGTCGATGTTGTCCGGTCGATTTTCTTTTTGCAGGAGGCGCTTCATGAGACGGACCGAAAACGACTGGCAGCCGAAGTAGAAACATCGACGATCATGGCGGTCGTCGGTGACTTGTCTCTGGGGGCAAAGAACCACAACTTCAAGTCGCAGACGTTCAAAATCCCCACTAACTGTGATCTATGCGGAGAGCGAATCTGGGGATTACACGCGAAGGGATTCGATTGCCGGGATTGTGGGTATACATGTCACAGTAAATGCCAGATGAAGGTACCAGCCGAATGCCCTGGTGAGCAGACCAAGGAGGAGAAGAAGAAGCTCAAGGCCGAGCGACAAGAACAAGCGGGAGCGGTGCCAGTTATTGACATTGCACCGCCAAATGGTTCCTCCGCCGCGCCGTCGCTAACACGGCAAAACACGATGAATTCATTGAGCTCCGGATATGCTGCGAGCGCGAACCGATCCATGTCCACTGTGACCAGCCAGCCCCCATCCACCATTGTGGAACCTACCGAGCCTGCTGCCCCTGCAGCGCCTGCAGAGACCAAGCCTGCTGCCGCCGCCCCGAGGAGGAACCGGGTTCTTGCCCCACCTCCCGCGCAGTACGTCAGCGCTCCGCCGCCCAGTGAATCGACCAAAGCCAGTGAGCCCCGTGGGAAAATGATGTATGCCTACCAAGCAGGAGGCGCAGACGAGATAACAGTACAAGAGGGCGATAGTGTGACAATCGTCGAGCCAGATGGTGAGTTCCCTCAGTTTCGTAGTAGAAGGATTGATCGATCTAACCCGACTATCTTTAGATGGCTCCGGATGGATGCGTGTGCGCGCTGGATCACTAGAAGGTCTCGTCCCCGCCGCCTACGTGGAATCAGCACCGGCTCCGTCGCCCGCTCCCTCGGCGAGTCCTGCGTTTACGGAGCGGCCGGGGTCCACGTACTCCAACTCGTCCGCCTCGGTCGCGGGCAGTATGGCGGCCAAGCGGGTTGGGCCCGCTGTCGCGCCTCGGCGTGGGGCAAAGAAAGTCCAATACGTGGAAGCACTGTATGACTATGAGGCACGCAGCGAGATGGAGTGGAGCATGGTGGAAGGCGACCGCTTTGTCCTTGTCAACCGGGACAGCGGGGACGGATGGGCCGATGTCGAACGAGGAGGGGTGACCAAGAGCGTGCCTGCGAATTATATCCACGAAGTGTAGACAGCAGGAGCAATCTCATTGGTGAAGGGGTGGATTAAGCTTATTTTTAGGTCATCGGGAGTGTAAGTTATCTATATAGGTCGCTTTTGCATGTCTGCATCTCGAGCACTTGAATGGATACTTATGAACCCTCTTTCCTCTTTCTGCAAGCTTGTTTACATTGGTATGTTCTGATCAGATTCTTCATCTTTTGGTGCTGTTCTCCCACAAAACACTTTTACCCACAAACCAAAATCTTCTCCTGGAGGGGGAAAAAAAAAAGAAGAAGAAGAAAGAAAGAAATTACATCAACAACGAAAAAGACAAATAACCATCATTCATAAACATCATCAACATCATAACCCAGCCCCGTTCATACGGAATCATCCCCAAGCCAGAACTGATCCCCCCAGTCCTGGTGCAGCATCTCCTCCGGCAGTCCATGGACATCCAGATCCTCCAGCGAGAACACCCCGCCGTCCGCATAGCCATCGAACAGCATCGGCGACTCCATCATCGCCATGGAGACGGGGACATCCACGCCGGAGACAAGTCCTGGCGCCGCATAGGAGCCGGTGAGCGGGAATTGCGAGGGCGCGGGCGAGAGCATGGGGTGATGCGTCCCCGCGCCGGGGGACGTGGGCGCGTGCATCATCTGCGTTGCGCCTGGTGCGCACGGGTACTGTGACTGTGACTGTGACTGTGCGGCCGCCGCTGCTGCTGCTGCTGCTGCTGTGCGTGCGGCGCCGGACCGCGGATTCGTGCTGGGGTGGTGCATCGTTGTTACGGAGCTGGGGGAGGGTGCGAGGGCGGTTGGGGAGACGGATCCGGCGTTCGCGGGGCCCGGCCGGGGGGCGATGGGCAGGAAGCCTGTGCTAGGACGAGGACGACCCGAGGATTTCTAGAGAGAAAGAGGGGGGCGATATCCCCGAATATCAGCGAACGACTGCGTTGATGCAATGGATGGTGACTCGAGTCCCGCGACATCGTCCCCTCGGTGACCGCAGCATGGCTGCGGCAGCAGCATCACAAGACACCACCGCCAACGTGCTCAACCCCCCTCTTGTCTGGTGACATCTACTTTTGAAGATTGAGACTTGGACTCTGCCTCACGTCTAAGTTTGGTGTGCTCCTCTGGAGCCTGGCATGGGGTGCAGTTGCATACAGAACAGGTCGAAAAGGGGCGACCTTTTCTGTTGATCCGGATCAGTGGTCGATCTATGTCGTCAACGGGAGGTGGTCAGTATGTTCCTTTCTAGCTTTGCCTTGAATTGCAATGGATTGGGATTGAATTGGGATTGGAATTGAGGTTCCTACCATGGTGTTTACAGGTCGTCACACGGTGGCCGCGGACGCACGCTTCACAAGCCCACTTTTCACCGTCGATGAGCATCCCTTGATTGTATGAAAAGAAAGGCCATGGTGAGAGGGATGTGGACGGGGAATTTATACATGAGGTGGAGCAGAGACCAGAGACTCCTTTTTCCCTTTTTTTTTTTATTTTTTTGGGGGATTTCTATGAATGATTTTTCGCTGTGGAATTATTAGGGAACTGCTGTTCTGGGAAAACCGCGGTTGGAGAGCCACAGCCACGAGTTGGAGGTTGTATGTCTGCTTGCTGTAGACTCAAGCGTGAATCTGTGGTCTGGAGATCCTTCTGCAGGTGCATGCGTCAAATCCATCGAGATGATCCAATTGGCGCGGATGGAGATTTTAATTTTTTTTTTCTTTTTTTTTTTTTTTTTTTTGCTGGACCAAAATTGGTTGTGTGGGTGATGACAGCAGCAGGAAGATGTCCTCAACGTAGCATCTCTTCGGTAGTGGATGTAGCTGGCTAGCTCAAGCTGTGCTCCGGGACCAGGGACAAAGATACTAAGTTGGATCGAGTATCTAGTAGTCGTAGACAGACAGATAGTATTCAGTTAGGAAAAGCGGATTAGCTTGACAATGAGGGATTTTCTCCCGGCGGCAGCGCAAATGGCAATCCAGGGAATGGCAATCCACGATTATTCTCCATCGCTCTCACGATATCATCCTTTTCCCTCCAGCGAGATACCAGATCGGTGCTAGCAGCGTCAACAACCGCTGGTGCAGCAAATTCCCTCATACATTCTGCTGCTGCTCAATGGCTTCATTTGGACCGCCCCCGTCGTTTGCCTCGAAACCAATCTTGCTGCCTACTCAAAATCCACTGGTTTCGATCAGAGTCACTTCGCCCTCTCGAGAGAGAGAGAGAGAGAGAGAGAGAGATGCCATCAGGTCCTGTCCTCGCGTCGTGTAGAGCTTCTTCTGTGGCACAGGAATCGAAGACAGGGACCAAGTCGCCAACACTGGAGCTTGATCAAGGGCGCTCGGGTCACTATGAGGCTGGTATCAATCGCTTAATCTGGGTGCTAGGCTCGTAGGCTCCTAGCTGCTCGTTGCCATGATCTCACTACGGCTCTTTCTACACCCTGTCCACCACATCCATCACCAATTATTACCCAAGCGTGTACTCAGAAACAGATCAATGAGATCATCCAAGACAATCAAAAGCCACCAAATCCCGTTTCCATTATCAATTGAATCACCCAGACACAATCAACTTCTCATTCAGACAGTTCTCGAGAGATCCTCGTTTGGAGGTGGCTGAGCAGCTGCAGGACTCGCACTAACACCCAGTAGTGGGACTACAATAGGAGAACGAGACTACAAGGACTGGGACTAGGAGTCGGGGACGAGCAAAAAGTGACTGACTGACCGGCAGACTGACAGACTAAGATACTGAGTTAAACAAACTACCATGGCACTGGCAGACTAAGAACACTGACAGTGTGACAGACAGCCAGCTAACTAGCTTCCGCACAAACCACATTGAGGTCCGTGGCGCAGAATTGTCCGTTCTGAACCAAGTCTTTTCTGCTTCCCACGAGGACGAACTAGTCCAACCACAGTTAAGTCGATGTTTCAATTGAATATTCCAGCGGTAAATCCAGAGAGGAAGGTATGAGGTATTTCCAGCCGATAAGATGACGGATTTTTTTTTTCTATTTCTTTGCTTGTTCCAGAGGAATTTCGGACGCTTTCTGCGCGATTTTCATAGGGCTATAGGCGGTTGGAGCCACCGGCACTTTCCTCTCCTCTAGTAGAGACGTCGACAGTATACTTACTATAGTATAGTATAGTAGAGCACCTCGTGGCCTTTCAAACACGCACACACACTCTCTCGCGAAATGAGAAAAATATATATATATATATATATATATATCATGCTCGTACACAAAAGAAACAGTCAAGCAAATCCTCTATTCTTACAGACAAGTCCAACCATTCCATTCACCCGACGGCAGTAATAACGCCAGTTGCCAACTCATCAATCCTCCTCCCCCTCCCCAGCAATCCCGGAATCAAACAACCTAAGATCAGCACTGCAGGCCTGAGCCTTAGCCGCCTGGGAATTTCGAAGGGGAAACGGCGGCTGAAATTAAGCTGTCTTGTCGGTGGCTTGGGTGCCGTACTTTGTGTCCGTGCAGGGAGGAGAGCAACAGGACCGGGCCCCTGTTAGTGGTTTCCCCCATCTCGTCCGACTGTGCGATAATTCGGAGTGGGTGCCTCCTCGGTCAGCTTATGGATGTAGATAAATGTAGATAATCCTTACCTATAGAGGTGGGTGGGAGGGGTTCACATTGTCAAATACATCAGAACTATTTATTATATTTTGAAAGTACACTCAGTATATATAGTAAATACAATCACCCATCTCAGCTAAATCCACCACTAATTGCAGGTGGCAATCGTCCCCTCGCAGCCATAGACGATTCTCACAGAGAAGAAATCCGTCTCTTCTTATTTCGGCATCTCTTGCCAGTTGGGGTCACGATAGTGGTGCTTTGAACGCCAGTAGGCCCGGTGCCAACCATGGTGGAGGTGGCAATGGCCGTTTGCTGGGCCGGGGAGGAGATAGGAATGCTCGACGAGACAGGAATGCTGGATGAAGCGCCGCCAGCCTGGCCCAGCGCGATGATTCTCGCGACAGCGGCCTCAGCGGCGATCATGACGATGGCTTGGGCGTTACCAGTGGGCAGGTCGGGGTGGATACTGGCGTCGACAACGAACTATTCTCGTTTAGCAGTGAATGTAAAGGAACGCGTCAATAAAGCGAACTTACCAGGTTGTCGGTACCGTAGACCTTCGCGTTGGTGTCGACGACCGACGTACCGTTGCGACGGCCGTCGTCGGGGCCCATCTTGGCGGTGCCAACATAGTGGGCGCCGCTGGTCATGCTGGCGAGGATGTCGGCGGCAGAGGTGGATTTCAAAACGGTGTAGGAAGATTTCTTCAGGTCATCGATGAGCTCCTGGAAGAATTGAGTAAGGGCCTCCTTGTCCGCGTCGGTCTTAAGCCAGGGCTCGGATTCGATGGTCGTCGCTCCGGCCGCATTGATGCCGAGGACACCCGAAGAGGTGGCACCGTGCGTCAGGTACACCTTCATCGAAATGATGCCGTTGCCGGCGGGGCTGCAAGAACCCTGGTAGTAGCGGGTAACGCCGTCGCTGCCCACGTTCGAGGTCCAGAACTGCAGCCGATGGGCCCCCTGCGTCCAGATGCCGGAGCCAGCGGCGTAGAGTCTCCGCGCGAGCGAGTTAGTGCCAGGGATGACGCTGGAGGTGTTCAAGGATGTGAAGTTGGCGCCCGTCTGGACCTCCACGGTGAACATGGGATGGTCTTTGAAGTTCTGTCCGACAGGGAGATTGATCCAGTCATTCGAAGGTGGGGGCTTAACGCCACTGCTGCCACTCTGAACAGTCTTGATCTGGTTGGCGGGTCCAATACCTGAATTGAACAGAATGCGAGGTGTGGACAGAGCACCGGCGGCAAGGATAACCTTTCCGCCAGCACGGACTCGAACGATCTCAATGCCACCCGAGGCGGTCTCAAGTTCCACTCCAGCGACCTTGCCGCCAGTGCGGATGACGCGGCGGACCTTGGTCTGCAGACGGAGGGTGAAGTTGTCCCGGCCACTGACGAGGGGAAGATAAGACCGTACGGGGCCAGCTCGAATGCCGTTGGCGACCGACCAGGACGGGTGGCTGAAAGCCTTGTGCTTCTCGTTGGGCTGCTTCTGCTGGTCCACGGACTTCCATCCGAGTCCGCTCAGGAAGGATGACAAGACGGTGTACATTCCCTGATCGTAGCGGCGACCGTCAGCGGACGGGAGAAGACTACCAGGGTTCCTCTCATAGAGACGAGCGGCAGCGGATTCTACATCTTGCCACTTCCATCCCACAGGCCATTTGTCATCGAAATCAGCAGCCTGGGGATAGATGTAGGCCATAGCATTAACGATAGTACCTCCACCAAGCACACAACCAGCCATACCCGGGGTGTCAGGGCACAGGTAATCGCCGATGACACCGAGCTTGGACAAGGCCTGGTTGACAGCCGGGACATCAAATGGGGTCAGGGTCTTGTTCCAAGTGAGGGCGTTAGTTGCGCCCATCTCGACCGTAGGAGCGGAACCCCGCTCGATCAGCAGGACACGCTTGTTGGTCTCGGCCAGCCGTTGGGCGGCGATAATGCCGGCCGCACCACCACCGACAACAATATAATCGTATGTTCCGTTAGAGATGGTCGGGACCGTGCTGGGAGCAGGTGTGCGAGAAGGGGCCGGTGTCGTAGCGGATGGAGTGCCGGTTGGCGTGCCCTCTGCTGGCTTAGCCATGGCGGCCCAGGTGGCATACTTAGAAGACTTGGCTCGGCCGAGAAGCATCTCGAAACTACCAAATCCGGCAGAGTGATAGGTCAAGACGGAGGAGGGAGACGCAGGAGTCTTGGGGCTAGTCTTAGCAAGGGCCCATCCCAGGAAAAACGTCTCGTCAGCGGCACCGAATGTGGCTGGGTTTCCTAGAATACAGCCTTTGCACAGGAAAGTATACGTGAGCTTCGTGCTACTCACAGATGTGCCAGCAGGGATCTCAACGAGGCTGGCATCCCCACTGAAGACATCAGGGTTAGTGTAGTCGGTTGTCTTGCGCAAGCTGGAGACCACCGAGTTGCCGCTGGGCCAGGCCGCGATCATGAGGGTTGAGGTCATCGAACCACCCAGACTTACACCACCCCATCCATTCGAGCTGTCCAGTGGCACGACAATTTGACCCACAAAGTCCGTACCGACAGTCTCTGGGAGAGCTAGGCCGAAGCAGAACCCGGTGGGTTCATCGCACCATCGCTGGAAGTCGATTCCTGTGGTCGGGTCATTGTAGGCAGAAGAGTTGTAGCCTGCAGCAGCCACGCCCAGCGTGGAGCTCAAAGCAACTAAGCCACCGAAGAGAAGGGAACGCATATCGTTCTGGCAATCAAGAAAGAATGAAAATCAATTAAATGAAAGGAAGGCTGACCGCACCAGCAGCAACCGAAAGCGAATGGCGGCTCGAACAGCCGGAAAAGGAACGAAAAGAAACGAAGGAAAGTGTAGCGAAAGAAAAGAAAGAACGGAACTGAACTGGTCACCCGAAGAACAGCCATAGCGACTTCCTCCCTATTCATATACTCTTTCAACAAGCCAACTACCTCCAAGAATCGACTCTTAACCTGACCGGAAATCGACCGAGAATCACGGAGTACCAAGACCACATAAGTGACCCAGCATCTTGGAACTTGGGAAGACCTTGAAACAGTGGGCACGGACGACGCGCCGACTCCCAGGAGCCGCAGCTAGACTGCATTGCATCCGCAAAGGTGCTCAGATTGCATGGATTCCAAAGAGATTAAGCATCCCAAGCCGCGCTAACGATGCTGCATGCTGCGCCAGGTGGAACGCGCCAAGGGGAGCTAGATCGGAGAAGTTTCATATTTGAACGGCCGTTTGAGTTCTGAGATCTTCATGACTGAAGATGTCCACCGGTCCATCTATGTGAAACGAGCGCCCTTGGAATAGTTCGGTATAGGAGGTTGGGCATCATTAACACGGGTTGCGCAATTGGTTGATTTAGTCAGTGTCCCATGGAGTATCCTCTCAGACTTCGGCACATAAGTTGAAATGGGAGCCGGCAGCCTCTCGCTGGTGCCGACGTTATGCTGATGCGAAGCCATAAGAACTCCTGGTATGGATCTCAAATTTGGGCATGCGAGACAATGTTTGCAGTTGATGAAATGATGTCGAAGTGGACTGGTTTACCTTTTTCAGACATCACGTGTTCCCATCTCGGTCCTGAAAGGCGCCGGGGCCAAGTAACAAGAAGTCCATCATTGCTCTGGCGTACATTTTAAGGCCGTTCACCCTGCTTTCGCTTGGCTGAGATCAATTGTTTTGATCCTGTTATTGGGACATTTCAGCTACAACCCCGATTGAATAAAATCACTAAATGCCGATGTAGGCTATCTACCATCCTCCTAGGTACGAATCAAGCCATCCGATTAATCTATAAACGGCCAGGAATCCAAGCTCAAATGTACATATTCCGGAGTTCAGCTGGGGGTCATGCATCCCAAGATAACGCCATGGAAAATCGTCAAATCGAATACAAGCCCCAAAGTCTAGAGCAGCCGGGAACTAACGAAACCGAACCGTAGATAATGAACAAAAAACATGGCAAAGGTGGACAATTTGTTCAAAAGGGTATGAGAAGAGGAAAATCACAGCAGGATGAGGCCAGCGCCGAAAAGGGTCGACATCAGCGTGATCGCGCCAACGGCAGCAGGAGCCAGAGTCATACTAGGGACGCTCAGACCAGCTGCAGCGCCCTTGGAAGAAGTGGAAGTGCCGCTGCTGCTGCTGCTGCTGCCAGAGGCGGAGCCAGATCCAGGTTCAGCAGTGCTGGTGGACTGAGTACCACGGTTCTGGCTGCCAGAGCCGCCGAAGCCAGGACCCTTGCCGGCACCCTCAGTCATATACTTCTTAGCAGGCTCAGGGATAGCAGGAAGATCATTGTTGTCCACATTCCAGTTGGGAGAATCTTTGGCCGGGCAAGGATTGGCACCACCAGTCTTGTTGTAGTTGCCGTCGCCCTGGGGGTTACTGGTCTTCTCAAAAGCGGTCTTGAGGGCATTAAAGTCGTCAAGCTCCTTCACATCCTTGCCGCTGATCTCGACCAAACCGTAGTTGCTAGCCTCCTGAGAGTACTCGTAAACGAGACCACCCGAGTAGACACCAGTCATGTCAGTAGAATAGAGCGAGGTGACTTCCTGGAACTGACGCTTGTTGGTGTTGCAGCCATATTCGGACAGGAAGAGGGGGAGACCGTAGCCGGTGAAGTTCTTGACCTTCTGATCCCATCCGGAAGTCTTGAAGGACGAGGGATCGCACCAGGAGTAGTCATTAAAGGCGAAGAAATCGCTGCGCTCGTCATCGGTACCGCAGTTCATGTACTGAGCCATTTGGAGACGGTTGGTATCAATGTCGGCCTGGACGATCGACCATCAGTACTGTAATTCACATTTCTTAGAGACAAGACAGAAGTGGAGGAGAACTTACAGCAGAGTAACCAACGGGGATCTCGCGGTAGTTGCGGCTACGGATGTACTGACGCAAATCACGCGTAACAGCCTTGACATAGGGAGCAGCCGAGGACGAAGGACCGTCGTTGATGACCTCGTTACCGGAGAAGAAAGCCAGGGTGTTCTTGTAGGAGGCAAAAGCATCGACAGTGGCGAAGATGTATTGGAGGTAGACGTCGTTATACGACTCCTTGGGGCTGGCACGGTTCAGGGAGTACTTGGGAGTGTTGACGTCGAGGACCAGGTAGATGCCAGCATCGGCCAGGGCGTTCATACACTCGTCATGGTTCTTGGAGTTGTCGACCGAGTAAACACGGATGGTGTTCAGACCGAGAGCCTTGAACTTCTCAATGTCACGCTTGCATCCGTCGGGATCAGCGATAGGATCCGCCAGGTCGGACGATCCGCCGGGCTGGTAGTCGACACCACGCATGTAGAAACGCTCGTTACCCTTGAAGAAGGCATTTCCTTTGACGGTGATGGGAGTCACATCGTCACGGGCCTGGAGGGAGGGGGCGGCCAGAACGGTGGAGGCACCGGCGGCGAGGGCCGCTGCAACAACAGAGGTCTTCATTGTGATGTGATTAGGATTGTGGTGGTGTGAGCGGAAAGAGTGAGAACGATTCGAAAAGAATGGCGAGACCGTGGAAGTTAATAAGCTGGTCGATTTGTCGAGAAGATCGCGAATGCAATGAATATAGAGAGAGAGAGAGAGAGAGAGAGAGAGAGATCCGTGTAGCGAGTGACGGGGTCGGAGAATTAATAGCAGTACGTTGTACAGCGAATACTGCAACAAGAAATGAAGCACGAAGAATGTGAACGAGAGAAGAAGGGATACAGAGGAAGAAGGAGGAACACAGGGAGGCAGGAAGGACAACACCACACAGGTAGGGCGGCAGGACCTTAAAAAGCCAACCAGGGCTCATGGATGGACCATCCCTGAATGCTTACGGAGTACACAGCCCAGTGAAGTGTGAACCATTACACAGTAGATACGGTACCTAGTTATTACCTTGGATAGGATACCATAGGTAAGACAGAACCATGGGGGATTACAGGATCATTCCCATGCAAAGTGGGAAGTGAGATAAGAATAGCATTTCCAGCGGTATTCTGTTTACCGTTTAGATACATACAAGAGTTCCATAGGAGGGACTCGTCATCCTGTCCAGGGCTCGACACCAGGATAATTAAAAGGACGCCTGTTCTGAGGGATTGAATGGGCCCAATCCAGTGCAGTGGAGCCTGCTGGAGAACACCAAAGGACCATGCTTGACTCTGGGTGGGCTCTCAGGCGCAGAGATCGTCCGATCGGCCAGGGTCAAACTTCCCAGGGCAAAAAAAAAGTGGTCCTCGTGCAGGATTGAGATGGTGAGATTGATTTGGGGGGGGGGGGGGGCGAATTCTCATCAGGAGGTATTCTCTCCCAGAGGAGGTTATTATTATTTATATTGGTGTTCTGCCATAATTCCATCCTCAGTTCTCCCGTAGATACGGAGTACAAGTACCATGCCTAGAGGTACCTACCTAGGGAGTCTAGGAAATAGGGACAGTACCTAGTCTTTAGAACCTATTGTGTAGTGCTGGGGCGCTGAGTGCCGCTGTGGGGGAAATCCTCCAGGGGCCAGTGGAGCCTGGACTGTCAATCCCTGAGGCCCTGGATGATGATAGGCTGTGTGCCTCCATGCGCCTCCCATTTGTCTTCTTTCCTGTTCATGGTGTGATTGTTATTATTCTTATGGCTGTTATTATTATTCCTCTCCTAGAATCAGCAATCAACCATTTGCAGATAAGAGTATGACAGATTGACAGCTGTTTGACATGCAAATCTAGATACATTAATGAAGGACAAAAGAACATCTTGTACGATGGAGTAGGTCGAAGCGAGAAGGCGTATCCAAGGTTTGCCAGCGCATAACAAATTACAAAACACTGTCTCAATTCCAAGTCTCGGAGACATGGATGGAAGCGCTGTCTTATCTATTCTAAGAAGCACAGTCCACCATCAATATGACTGACCTCTGATAATGTACACAGTAGGCTACTTCCCCAGTCCATAGCAATCCATCATCTTATTTCTTTTCCCTCTGCCCCTATCTCAACCCTTAGCTAGATAATACTTACTCCGTTCTCCCTTCTGCTGACTTGAGCGGTGGCTGGCCAAAAATAGGATTCCTTGACGTCAAACCAAGACGCCACCAGCCACGTCGAAGCATTATTGGCGCCTGGTCCAATCCACCGACTAGATAGACCGCTCAGGGAAAAGCCAACAATGGAGGCTGCATTCCTGGTTCCAAGACTTCGAGTTTGAGGGGGTTGGGTCTGGGATGTTTCATCTTTCTTCTTGGCTGCGGGCACTGGCCATGGAACATGTAGATGAATTATCTTGACATCTATTGGACTATCTTGGTATTCAATGGAAGTATCGAGTCTATACCGTCTACAACATACTAAAAATCAATTTCCTCCCGTACTCCCTATGACTCCCTGCCCGAGGACTTGCCATGGCAGATTTTTCCCTTCCCCTGACATGTCCTAATAATGTCAGCCATCATTAAGTGGAATGCTACTGCCTAATATTAATAACAATCTAACTACGGAGTACAGAGTACAGAGTAATAGGTGTGGCTTCCCCTTGATCTGGAACTACCAGCAATGTTCTAGATCACAGCCAGCACCCAGACGGCGCTGTCTCATTCCTCAATTATCTACTAGGTAGGTAGTAGTATAGATTCTATAGCAATTTTTCTACTGGCTATGGGGCAATAAATATATCTATCTTGAGGACGTATGAAAGGCTGTATAAAGGTTGATGATACTTTCTTGGTTGGGTAGACGCCCTTCGCCAGAATACCCGACAGGTATTTCTCTCAAAGATCCCAGGCTCTGAATGCAGTAGCTTCCACCATAATATTCAATGGTACTTGATAAAGTAGATGTGCATCTTCTGGAGGTTTCTATTGCAGAGACCAATTTTCGATATTATACTGCCCTGGAGGAAAGTCTGATATCTCACTACGGCTATGAGATATGACCATTATATATATTCCTACGTGGAAATGGATACTCTCCCATGTAATTGAGCGATACGCCATGTTTTACGAAACAATTTTGCACCACTCCGACATGACGGCCATTCAGCTCTATTACGACACTTGACAAGACGGAAAAATAGAAGTTGATCCTACGTATCCCAGGCCAACTAAAGCGATCATGCACAAATACAAGAATAATCATGTATGCCATCGCAGAATCTGCATGGAAGCCCTGAATATCTGTACAGTGAACAATCCATTTCTCCAAGGGACAAGCATCCATGCCTGATACTGTACAGCTAGCTAATCCTTCCGTCTCGTTTCAAGCTTGTCCGTCCCATGCAGCCAATCCAAAAGCCCAATGGACCCATAGTTCAAATTGAACTTCTCGTGGTGCAGATCATGCATCTTCGCTTTGCTCTTGAAGAAGTCATACCCACTATGAACCGTGGCGGTATTAAAGAGCTCGTAAGCCAGGAATGCCCAAAAGGTCAGAATATGACTCCCCAAGATCTGCGGGGGTAGAGAGATCGGCAACGCATTGGCGAAGACCTGTTCGATGGGATGTGCATATTGCGCCGCTAGAGCTATGGGCGCTGTGAACCGGTGATGGCGCTTGTGAATCCTGGCATAGAAGGAGGGTCGATGCAGGAAGCGATGGCTATAGTAGAACAGGGCTTCTCTAAGGAGAAGGCTCAGAGCAAAGTCGCGAACAAACTCTGACGGGGACGGTAGAGAGGACTCGATTCGGTACGAGGAAGCTCCGCGTTTCAGAACATAGATCTGAAAGAGATGTAGGCATGATGAAAGAAGTTGGTTCTGGGTCACAACCACAAAACAATGCCAAATCTCGCTCCGACTGGGCTGTTTTGGTGCTGGCTGTAACTTATGCCGCCGCGAGTATGAGGGAAATAGGACATCGAGGCAGAGGTAGCCGAAGCAGGGGAGCCAGAAAGAAGCGACTTGAACGAGCAATGTGCCCACAAATTCTATTCCCTGGGTAGGATATGATGCGACGATATATTTCCATATCTCTTCCATTTTGGGAACATCAGGAGTGCCTCCACCGATTATATGCAAGGGCCATGGAGTGCAAGAAAGGTGTAAAAGACGACTATAGTTCACCAGATAGCTCCTCACTTATATTTAAATCTTTCTCTCTGGACATATCATATGAGGTTGAAAGGCGAGTCTCTGGGAAGGTCTTACCTCGGCAAACGCATGTAGCTCCAGATGGCCAGAATCTGCATTGCTTCCCCGCATTATCTGAGTGGTCACAACGCCGGGTACGATCACTCGAGGACTGTACTTGGGTATTTAGCTCGCAGCAAACCACCAATAGCCACTGCATTTGCACAAGAGAAAGCTTGGTATGGACTTCTCAGGAGATGAGGACTGCATGTGCCGATCCTGTGAATAAAGCCAGTCGGCGAAGTCGATGACAAGGAAATGGCAGGTTCCAGCAAAAAAAAAATTGCTGTTTACCATCGCTGCCGTTGGTCACGGAAAGGAAGGAGCCAGAAAGAGAGACAGTGTGTATGTTTGTGTTGGTGCCGATGAGCTACTACTTCCTGATGAAGCCAGTTCTGCTCTTTCCATATAGACGGGGTGAAGTGTCTTCGTTCTGTTATCCTTGAGAGCATTGGTTTTACTCCTTCACTCAAGCATGCATTACTTTTTGTGAGCAATAACTATCGTTCGAAAGGTATCAATCCACAGACTACCCACTTTCGACACAGCGACGCATACAAGGCAAGATTCACTACTTAGTTCCAAGTCATTGACCGAGTCATTGTACTAACAGTCACATCACAGATGCATCTTACCGTGTTCACGATTAGCTACTGTCTGCTGTTGACCAGCGTCAACGGCCAACATGAGAAACTCTTTACCAGCCGGCCAGCCTTTGCCAAATACCCATACCCTACGATCTCCCTTCGGTGCCACGAAATTGGACCCTCCGGTTCGACCCTGCATGTTGACCACATGGCAGAGGGAGCAGGATACGTCCCGTCGTTGTCATGGCCCTCTGCCGCCAGAAACGTCCGGGAATATCTTCTTGTGAGCGAGGATCCGGATGCTCCCCTTTCCCATTCAGTCATCCATGGGCTGTATTACGGAATTCCTCGTGTGTTCACGGGTATCGACCACGAAGACTTCGAATTGAATGAGAAGCATGACGACCCGTATCTGCTCAAGGGAGGGTTTCGGTACGGTCAGAACAGAGGCGACACCGTGTATCTCCCTCCCCGATCCCTTCCGGGACAGGGTCCCCACCGTTACTTTTACGAACTCATTGCGCTCAATCAGCCGATCGATCGAAGCAAGCTCAGTGACAGGGCAACCTTGGAAGAAATTGAAGCTGCAATTAGAGGCAAGGTTGTGGGATGGGGAGCCTGGGCGGGCGTTGTCAAGAACGAGGGATGATGAGAGGGACTGATGTTGTTCTGCTTACATAGCCAGAGATCGAGATGTCTGGGGGATATGATGCAACTGCAAGACAGCAGAGTTGATCGTTACGATCGGTGTCCTGGACAATGTTCCTGCACCATCTGGGTTGTGTTTGTTGACAGTCGATACGTCTACTATTGTTAGAACCAGGTGTCTCCTGATGCAAAAAGAATCCAAGTCGATTTTTAGCCAAGTCAACCCTCAACCCTCAATTCTCTGTTTCTTTTTGTTTATTTGTTTATGCGGTGGAAGTCAATGATCTCATGACTCATGTTTGAGGTCTTTCAAAATGCCTCGGGAGTAGTCGATAGGCCATGCTCGAACCATGGAAAAGGTTCGATTGATCCAATTGGGCACATATTTATAGGTCGCATGTCTCAGATCATTGTCAAAGAATTTTTTATGTGAGACTGTGGAGTGTGAGCTCGACGAACCCACCTGACTCGGATCATTTTTGAGTACTACCTAAACTCAGTAAAGCCATCGTTTCGCAACTCACCAGTTAAAGATACCGAATAAATACAAAGTCAAGTTTTCGTCGTGAAGGTGAAGGTATACCTTACCTGATAGTTGGTACCACGGTTCATGAGAAACATTGTGGAATATCCCCATGGGTTCAGTGCTTGTTGTTTGACTGCGACCCAGCCATCGGTGATATCTCGTACTTATTGTACGGAGTAGATACTGGGTGGGAGCAGACTGATAGGACACTGGTCGAGAAAAAATTGCATCCAGAAGCAGGCTAGCTCGTATTTGTTGAGCGCATCGATCCGAGCGATGAATCACCACGAATAGTTAGCCGGCCAGGTGAGTAAATAAAACTTCAAGTTCAATGCTGTCCACTTGTCCCACTCCGGCAACGCCACACTGCCACAGCCGCAAAAATAGAAGATCCAGGAATCCCGAATCGGATTGGAACCACGCATGTCGGATGCCTGCAATGCAATAATAATGATGGCTGTCCGGAAGCGTAATCCTCCATCAGTCGGTAGTATTATGCAGACTTTAGCTAAACTAGAGAGTGATTTGATTCAATTCTTGGGTTCATACTTGATCTCTACGGAGTAGATAGGAGTGCTTGACAAAGAAAGTGACTTGAAGTTCTCTCCTGCCATGGAACTTGGAACGGAATCAGGGACCAGGACCAGCATCAACAACCAAGGATAGATTGGGGAGATTCCCCTCAGTCGAACCTTGCTTGTGCAAAAACTGGAAACATCCGATTTATCCACTCGATTGTTGAACGGTGTTTCAATAATAGTAGTCAGTCCTCAGTCGTCGTCCTCCGCACCAGGTACATAGTAGTAGTTGCTAAAGTCTTGATCATCGCAATATCAAATACAACTAATGGCCACAGGAAATCCCTACATCGGTTGGTAAATGGATAGAGGGAGTATTATTCAATTATGTCGTCCGAAGTGAAGATGATTACGTCAATCTAATCTCACTCTGGCCTCCAGAGGACAGAAATAATACACCGTGGATAGGAAGATATAGAGATCCCTCCCTAGTCTGTACATCGTCTCCGGAACCAAAATGCTGGATGGTGCTGACGGTGCTGACAGTGTCGGCCGACTAATATTCATCTTCATCTTCATTCTCTGGAGTTCGTCGGATTTGGCTGGGAGGCCTGATACCGACCATGATAAAGCTGTTAGATACGGACGAGGAGGAAAGGATCTATTTATGTGTGGAATAATCGACCAGATGATGCAGCGTATCGCAGCAGAAAAACGCTCGTACTACGTACTTTTGAAGCCCATATGGAATCACCTATGTAAGGAACTGGTAAGTACTGGATGTATACTAAGGCTTGCAGGCATGCAGTGTGCCGATGGAAAGTGGGATGATAAGAAGGCCAAAACATTGCCACTCACAATGTAGATAGATAGATAATAATATCAGATACCGAACGAATGCGAACTGGTCTGTTTTTGGCGCGAAAATTCCAAGGTCGAGGTTGCTTTCAGTTTCAACGCCCAAACGGCCGATCCATGGGAGACCAAGCCCAATTGTTCCTGATTTGTGACACTGAAATCGGTGAATCCGAAGCCAAACAAAACGAGCTTGCTAATAATAATGATTAGTTGATTAGACTAGTTGGTATCCAGATAGTAACTATCTAGTAACTAACTTGTATCTGAGGATCTGACTACACTAGCGGATTTTTTTTTTTTTTTTGGCGCAAACTCCCAAAGTTACGTATGGTATGGGCTGTTTATCCTCAGGCTCCAAAAACCGGGAACAAACAAAACGACCCGAATGCCTGTCTCACTCTTCATCTTCTCTTTTTGCACTTAAGCTTCTGCTGTTCTCATCCCATCTGGTCTTCTGATTCGGTATCATCAAAGTCTACTTAAAAGACGGCATATCTGCCACCTGCCTCTGCTTGTCGTGGATCTTGACCATCAACCGGCTGCATACTCATACATACAAGCTCAGCTGGTGCGTCCATATCAGCCTATTACCCGATTAGGCATCCACCTCGCCCTCAACTGGAAAGTCGGTCTTCCTCCTTATCACCAAACCATTCATCCAGTCTCTTGGACTGGGCGCCTTCATCCATCATGAATCGCTTCCTTCGCCTCCTCTTCGTCTCTCTGGCTGCGTCCTCCGCAATCGCCGCTCCAGCCCCCGAGCCATCGGAGCTGGAGGTCCCCGGCAGAGATAGCTTCCATGACAGCCTCACCAGCCTCAGCGAAGCTTCGATCCACAAAGCCCTGCATCTCATCGAGAAGTTCCGCCATGGCGTCTTCCCTACCGACAGAGATGCCATTGCTGCTATCCAGAAAGAGGGAAGGTCGCTGCCAGTCTTGAATCTTCCTCGCGAGCTCGGAAGTAATTCATCCACCCCCGCTGTTGAACCCACCCCAACCACTGAAGAGCCAGCTCCCACGGAAGCTCCCTCGACCTCTGCTCAACCGTCTCCCACGGAGACCGCCAAGTCAACGACGACAACGACGAGTACCACCCAGCAACAACCCACCGCGACCGAGCCCAGCTCTACCACCACGACCACGTCCGAGTCTCAGACACCGGCGCCTCCGAAGACCACATCGACTCAGAGTACTAGCACCGCTGAGACGACGACATCGACGACGAGCTCGCAGAACACCCCCGCTCCATCCCCAACGGCGGCCGAGCCCACTACGAGCACCACGTCCACCACGTCTACCACGTCCACCACGGATAAGCAAACCACCATGACGACTGCTTCTTCGACAACAACAGAGGCGCAGTCCACCACCAGCACCACCAGCACCACCTCCACAACCCGTACGCCCTACACCTCGACCTACAAGAGCACCACCACTCTCCCCAACGGCCAGCGGAGCACTGTCACGGCCGTGACTGTCGTCTATCCCACCGAAGACGGCGGCAAGCAGGCTGCCACGACCACGGGACCGGCCCCCGGCTTGCAAACCGACTCGGGCTCGGGTGCATCCACCACCGGCCTAACGAGGGAGCTGCTTCTCATGGTTGGAGGCGCGGCTGCCGTGGCCATGGCGCTGTAGAAGCCGTGAAAATCGGCCCATCTCTGAACTTCAGATCAATCTATCGACCTCTTTTGTTTTTGTTTTTTTTTTCTCGACGACTGGTTCTGATTGGGACTGCATTTAAAAAGGGCGTTTTCTCTCTCTCTCTCTCTCTCTTTCTTGATTTTGAACTACATATCTTACGACATGACTCCCACTTTTTACGATCCTTTGCATGGTCTCTGGCGTCCGACTCTTTGTCTCTCCTTTTGTACATAATATAGGTCCATGTGGGTATACCAGCGGATTCAATCCGCCAGTTCTGATTTTTCTCATCTTGACTTTCTTTACTTTGGTCAGGGCTATCTGAGTCTTGTCTCCAAGCGTGCATAACCGGCATAGACTTGACATAGTTGAAATATGGAGATAGTGGATAGCAATACTCACGCCCCTGCACTCTTCTACCCTTCAACCACTGCAACACATCTTCCAAAGCATTGAAATATATAAAAAACTCATCGGGTATGTATATACGTAAGAGACACGACCTAACCGATCGTAATCATCACAACTCTCCAACCCACGAAGGAGCACCTAAGCCTACTTATTCAAAACCACCACCATGACCACCAACTTCAGGTCCCCCGACACTCATCGCACAACATTCCCCTGGCCCTGCCACCGCTCCTCCTCCGTCCAATACCGCACAATACTTTCCCACGCAGGGATATCCCCATCACGCAGCAGGGCCGCGACATCGACGTTCAGCGGCGAGTCCGGCCGCGGATCCGTCAGCAGCTGGTGGATGGCCGTCAGGGTGGTCGAGAGCGTGTACACGGGGCTCCAGTGCTCGGTCGTCAGCAGCGTGAGGCAGATCTCGCCGGTTGTGAAGGAGATGTTGGGGTGGGAGATGCGGGTGGCGAAACGGATGGTGGGCGGCGCGAGGGGGTAATTGGGCGGGATGGTGATTTGGAGGGCCCAGAGGCCGCCTGTAGAGCAGTCAGTACCCGTCGATAGCCATGTTTGACCGGTCGGGGAGGTGGTAGTGGGTGGGTATTCTCTCTCTGTGTTGGGCGCGAGGAGGGGACCTGACTCGCCTTCGTAGGGTGTGCCCTTGACGCCCTTCAGGACGGCTTCCCAGTGTAGGAGATCATCTTCGCCGACGGGGCCCAGGTGAAGGAGCGCCTCGTTGGGGGACTTGGTGTAGTCTTTGAGTTCGCGGAGGAGGCGTTGGGTTGTCGACGTTGAGGCCATTGCGGTGTGCGGGTCGGGTTTGGAATGTGGGCTTCTTTCTCAGCCCGACCGGTGTGATGATCGGTGCAGGAATATGCCGTTATACTCTGTATTTCCCCCGGTATATTCTGAGGATGGACTAAGTGGTATGAAATAAGATGACTATATAATGGGATGAAGATGTACGGAGTATGCAGGAGTAGCAGGGAAAGACTTGCGACCGTTGCAACTGGAAGCGATTCTCCGTCGGTCGGGATGCTTGCACCGAGGCTCAGCTGCCGTGGGTCATTCCCCCATGTTCTGTGAACTTGTTCCGCGGTCTGGTCTAGGCTTCCGTGGTTGGGGAAACCAATATCTAATGATCTAAAATTTTGCCCCTACGTCGATCCTCACGTCTTACGCTTCATTTTCGTGTGAATTTTTTTCTGGGCATAGATACATTTCTGACCTGATATCTTCATACATAACTTCACTAATGCGTACTTCCCGCGCTTCCAAGGAGACTGCAAGCCTTCTACAGGCTCTTTCGCCTCCTGCGCGGCGCCAAACGCGTAGCTTGGCCAGCTCAAATGTTCTTCAACGCTTTGCTTTTAACGGTGGCGCCAATGGCCCGGTTGAAGCTTCTTCCACGTTGACCAGTTCGCAATTTCAGGATAGCGACGGGGAAGAAACCTCGTCTCTCTCCTCGGTTAATACCGTCGACATTGAAGATATTGTGGAACCTCCATCGAAAAGGAGAAGAGGCAATGTAGCAAGGACTCCCATCAAGACCATTGAAAAGCACGACGTCGTCAAGACGGAGCCTCCAGCAAAGAAGACAGGTCGCGCACCAGCGCGAAAAATCAAAAATGAGGATGGATTGATTGAAATTGAACCGCCCTCCAATTGGGAAACCATGTATACCATGGTCAAGAAGATGCGAGAGGATAACCCGACAGCTCCAGTTGATACCATGGGTTGCGCCAACCTTCATTGGCGAGCTTCATCTCCTCGGGACAGACGGTTCCAAACCCTCATTGCATTGATGCTGTCCTCCCAGACCAAGGACACTGTAACGGCCGTGGCGATGCAGCGTTTGCACACAGAGCTTGGAGACAGTAATGTACATCAAGATCTCATCATCAAGAAGGAGGAGCTAGAAGATGAGGATTCCAAGATACCAGAGAGAGACAGTACTCTGAACCTTGAGAACATCCTAGCAGTCTCTCCTGCCAAGCTCAACGAGCTTATCAGGACGGTCGGCTTCCACAACAACAAAACCAAGTATATCAAGGCAACGGCAGAGATTATTCGCGACCAGTATAAATCAGACATACCCTCCTCTGCCACAGAGCTGATGAAGCTACCTGGTGTAGGTCCGAAGATGGCGTTCCTCTGCATGAGTGCTGCATGGGGGAAGGACGAAGGGATCGGGGTCGACGTGCATGTTCATCGCATCACCAATCTCTGGGGCTGGCACAAGACAAAGACGCCCGAGGAAACTCGAATGGCATTGGAATCCTGGCTTCCCAGGGAAAAATGGCATGAGATCAACAAGCTACTCGTTGGCCTGGGACAGACTGTCTGCTTACCTGTTGGTCGAAGGTGTGGTGAATGCGATCTTGCTGGGACCAAGCTATGCAAAAGTGAAGTTCGAGGGCTCCTTTCCAGGAAGAATGCGAGTATAAAGACCAAAGATGAAACAGTCAAAGAGGAGTTCTCTCCTCCTGGTGGTGTAAAGATCAAGATGGAGGAGGTGTAAGGTGCTGGAAGCGTGAATGCCCCAGGCAGTGGGTAATGGCCTAGACTGATCCCGTGAGAGCGCGTTGTGGCAACAGCATTCAATGTTTACATGTTGGGAAAACAGGCTCATTGTACCTTAAGATCGTTCCTTTCTCCATCCTGTTCTAGGAGGCCTTTCTTGCGTCTTGCTGCTCCTCTTTGACTCCTCTTCCTCTGCCCAGCTTGTTTCATCAGCCGTCCTTCCACAACACATCTCTTTATCATCTACAGTGACTATATTCATGTCTGTTGACAGATAGAATCATATGCCCGTGCTGCAGAACACGAGGTCGTTCAATTTGGCTGCTTTCCTTTCTTGTAAGTCCCATCTTGCAGACCATTTGGAGTTTTCTTTCTAATCTTCATTGGATCTCTCCAACCTGAATAGAAGTGTTCTAGCGTGAAAAGCATCGTTCTAGAAATCATATGGATTGTCCCGATCCCGACGAAGAGACTTTTTTCGCGTTGTCCGAGTCCCTAAGAATGACCAAATCAGCCGTGGGAAGTCCAGGGGACTCTGGTTTCGAGTCTAGCGCTACTGAACCAGACGTAGGCAGCAACAACATGGACGACTTGATGAAAACGGGACCTACAACGTTACTTCATCTTCCACAGAGCGTCAAGATACGTATTCTGGAATACATTGGACTTGTGCGGCCTTGCCTGATCAACATCACGGAGGAAGGGTCCAGAGTCAAACAGGCGACTCATGGCACGTGCGGTGTGCGCAATGCAGTCCAGACGCGAGGAAATTGGGTTACCCACGCGGATCGGCTCTGTGATCATCCTCGGTTGCCCACGCAGGTGCTTATGGCTTCTCGCGAGTTTCGTGAGGATCTGGGTGCGCTCTTCTTCGCCCACAATCGCTTCAGTGTTGTGCTCTCCAATAAGACTGATTGGAATAACTTCTTCGAGGCGGTCGACTGGGCTGCAGAAGATGTGAGATATCTGCATGTTGAATTGCGTACTTGGGACAATCGCTTTATCAAACCCGGCGGTCAACGCATGCTGTTGAAGCTGTGGACTCGTTTCTGCAAGTATCTCCAGGAGCAAATGGTCAATCTCAGGTATTTCAGCCTGAAATGCAGAGTAAAGGACTTCGAAGTTGCTCTCAAAATAATGTGCGCAATGGACTCGTTCCCTGTTCTTTTCCAGTGTGCCTTCCATTTCAGTCACACCGTGGAGGATGATATCCGGCCATTGGCAAAGAGGAACGCACTGAGACTCACCGGCAATCTTGGAGCCAAACCGTTCTTCCCGTACTTCAATCTTCCCAAGGAAGTGCAGCTGATGATCCTTGAAACCCTGTTGGCGAGCCAGTTGGACCCTTTTCTGCCGTCTTCGGGTAGGGAGCCAGGAGACGTAACTTTCGTATATCGCAAGACTATGCGAGTCACTGAATCCAATCCCCTTACTTGCTGTGGCACCTGCTCTCCACTTCAGGCATTGTGCTTCTGTTTTGCTCGTCAGACGGCATATTCTACCTCTTGCTCTTGCTTCTCTTCACCTGTGCGGTATTTTCTCGTCAATCGGGCTTTTTACGAAGACGCTCGTCGAATATTCTTCTCCAGGAACCGCTTCTTCTTTGTGGAAGAAGATCCCGATATTATGATGCGTTTCATGAACTGTATCCCGACTGCATCCTTCATGATGATACGCCGTCTCGTTTTCAAATTTCCAAAGTTGTACAGACACCCCTGGCGAACCGCATACAAAATATACGAAGCCTCTACATTGGCGTCTTGGTCAGTTTTGCGCCGTTTCATCCGTGAACATTTTGACGTTTCACGTCTTTCGCTTATGATCGTGGATCTCGGCGTTAAACATCATTGGAGCCGTCCTGGCTTTATACGCACCAACTACATACGCAGGTTGCTCAAAACATTCGAAGATCTGCGGGGCCTGCGAGATTTTCGAGTGTTTCTGATGGAGGATCGAATTTTCGAGTTAGATGCAGAGCGGATTGTGATGGGGAGTGCAGTTGAACGAGGACCCAGAGATACTGAGTTCCCGTTTGCGGGTAACTAGACTTGTCTCCACGCCGTCATTCTTCGTTGATTGTCGACAATGCGATGGAGGTCGTTCCTCTTAGGGGATGATATTTGTGTGTTTTGATCGACACTCAAAATGATTATGCTCGGAAGGCAATTGTTCTGTCTCATATCTTCCTCAAATGCAGCACTTTAAGCGAATGTATCTAGTTTGTGTGGACGATTCAGTTCTCGTCGATATGACCTCCAATATGAGATTTTCCGGGCTAACAGCTTCACCTACCTCCTGTGTGACAACAATCCTCGCAAGAAGGAACCGTCCTTGAGCCGGGCAGTATAGACTAGCATTGTAAGTGAATTTGAATTGAGATTGAGATGAGATCAAGATTCGCTTCAATCTCAAAAAGCAACCCTCATATAGCCTATAGAAACGTGCTCTAAGGTACAGCCTCAAATATATCCATTTGACTTCAAGTGATTTGCACCTTTGCCCCATCAATTACTATCAAGTACAACCACCTCAGCGTCCGCCTCCCCAATGCTTTCCACAGTAAGCATATCCCCAGCATTCACCCCAGTGACGAACGCCCCGTCTCCCTCTTCCAAAACCGCATCCTCGCGCCCATCCAGCCTGATCTTCGCCTTGCCCTGCTTAGTCATAGGCAGGTGAATATACACATTCCTCTTCTTCTTCGAAACGACGACATCTCCCGCACCGACGTTCCATTTGAAAGTCGCTCCAGGCGCGATGATGCCCGCGCCCATGAGGAAGTCCGCGTGGATGGGGATTGTATCTGGTATCCGGGGCTGCGCCGCCTCTTCTTCCGCGGGTGTCGCGTCCGGCCCTGCCGCGAGCGGCGAGAGAATCGGCACGAAGGCTTTGCGCTTTGCGTCCTCGCTAAATGCCAAGGTGTGGTATTGGGGCTTGAGGCCGTGTTTCCATGGCAGAGCCCAGATCTGCAGGAAATGGACTGGTTTGCTTGACTCGTTCTGCTCCGAGTGGGCGATTCCTGAGGGCGAATGTTAGTCTCACCTACTTCCCATGACAATAGCGCGGAGGGGGAAGGAAAGAAAAGAACCTACCAGTCCCACCGGTCGTAAACTGCACATCGCCCCTTCTCATCCGCGAGAATTGCTTGCTGGGCGCCCCCTCTGCGCCCTTCTTGACCATGCTGTCTCGGTGCGTGAGCTCGCCGCTGAGAATGTAGCTGAAGATCTCCGCGTCCCGATGGGGGTGTGTAGGGAAGCCATTCCGCGCCGCGACGCGATCTTCGTTCAGGACTCGCAGACAGCCGAAGTTGAGGAAGCGGTGGTCGTAGTAGTCGGCGAAGCTGAAGGTGTGGTATGTTTTGAGCCAGCCGCCGTGCTCGGCGTATCCGCGCTCACTGGAGCGACGGAGAGCAATTTTGACGTGGCTGAGGGGCTTGGACATGGCGAGGTTGATGTGCTTAAGCTCTTGTGGTTGTTTTCTAGTTCTCAATTGTATATTGCAGAGGATTCTTCTGCGCGATGCTGGAACAAATGGGAGGTTCGGTGATGTATGGCTACCAGGAAGATTCAAGCGAGGTATATAGAATCAAATATATGTCTTCGCAATGGCAATTGTGCTTTTCAAATTAAGCGATGGACAGCTCATGGCGCCCAGCATGGCTTTATAAATATTCATGCCATGGCGTCATTGACAATGCTTAGGAATAAAGTTAAGGTTTATCAGCATGAGATAAGAACTGACAAAGAAGTTAGAGATCTCTCGCTTTCGTTCCCCCAAGAAAAGCCAGAACAATGTAGAACCGTCTGATTGACAGTCATGTTTGCATAAGTGATTGTTAATGGACAAAAAGATATCATAGCTCAGAATTTTTCTCTTTAATACTTATGAGGTTCAGCGTTGAATTTCTTTTCTATTCCAGAGGTCTAATTCATATACCGACTAGTCTGAGAGCATGAGCCCACACCACTGAACTATGTTTTCTGGCATCGTAAGCAGCTTGGAGAGACTCTGCACATAGCCCTCAGCTGGACAACTGGGAAGTGAAAGAGAGCTGAGAGCAATCTGCTCTAGCCCCTTATACAGCCACGAATTGGTTATGACATTGGTCTTTGTAACTTCTTCCCAAAGTATCTATCAGGGGCAGAATAAGGAATACTGTGGCTAATTAGAAAGTAGAAACACGTGATAAGCTTCCAATATCGGACATAGCTTGATCTTATCACCGACCCATCTCCCAGCTTCAAGCTCTTTGATGAAGCTCACGTCAATAACGCTCCCAACTTCTGATACAAGCTCACGGATTTAGGCTCTTGGTTGAACATATCCTGTCCCTACTGGCATACAGACATTTGTTATACTTCATCCACTCCTTATGGCTCCTTCGGCACCGATCTTAATACCCCACTTCGCGCAAGCGCAATTGCAGCTCCTCCTCCAAGAGCATGAAGCTGAAATCTCCTCTTCTGTTCTCGCCAGCACCGCCGCCTCAGTATCGCCCTCGACGCGCCGGACATTACAGGCGACAGGTTATGCATTGACGGGGATCGTCTTATCACAATGTCGAACAGGGCTAGGCGGACGAGTTGTTGGCGAATTCGCTGCCGACGCAGCCGTCTCTAGCAAATCGAAGGGAGGAGACGGCAATACTGATCGAGGCAGCTCGGATGGGGAACCTCGATTAGGCGCGCACGGAATCCGAGTGGGAGACATTGTTCGTGTGAACGACATAAGCGGCTCGGGAAGCAAGAAGTCGGCAAAAGATAAGGGAAAAGGTGGCGGCAAAGACACAGCTGATGAGTCGAAGGGTCCAGAAGGCGTGGTTACACGGGTTGGGGAGAGGAGCATATGGATTGCATTTGGTCAGAGGGGCGGTGGTGGCCGTTCCAAAGAAGACGATGAAGCAATTGAAGAGTTGTGGGGGAAGAAATTATGGCTGTATGTTGCCTCTGGGTGTTACGAAACTCTTGCATTCATGACTATATCTTCTATGCTCAAGAATTGGGGAGATTCCGTACCTCAATCTTTACTGATTGCACTCCAGTATTAAACTTGCAAACGACGTGACATACAGACGGTAGGAAGACTTCGCTACTGCCCTGTTGTGACTTCCCAAGGGTCAAATGCAAGGAACAGTATGGCTGACTCAACATAGGATGAATCAGACCATGGAAAAAATGTCTAAAATGACTGATTCCGACTACACGCATTTTATGCGAGTAGCATTTGGCCATACGACCCCGATGCAACCTGGCTACGACGCTATCGGCCCCATTGAAATCACTGATCCAACTTTGAATGACTCCCAGAAAGAAGCGATCAGATTTGCTCTGGCCTCTAGAGACGTGGCTCTCATCCACGGTCCACCCGGCACGGGTAAAACACACACCTTGATTGAACTGATCATTCAGATGGTCAAACGAAAGCTCCGGGTATTGGTTTGCGGCCCGTCTAACATATCTGTTGACAACATTGTGGAAAGGCTAGCTCTGAAGAAAGTTCCGATTGTTCGCATAGGTCATCCTGCTCGTTTGTTGCCGTCAGTCCTTGAGCACTCTCTAGAAGTTCTCACCCATACGTCGGAAGCCGCAGCGATCGTTAAAGACGTTAGAAAAGAGATAGATGAAAAACAAGCCAGTATACGCAAAACCAAGTCAGGAAGGGAACGGCGGGCAATATACGGGGATCTGAAAGAGCTGCGACGGGAATACCGTGACCGGGAATCTAAATGTGTGGACAATCTAGTTCGCGAGAGCAGCGTCGTCCTGGCCACACTTCATGGGGCAGGTGGCCACCAGCTAAAGAACCAAAAGTTTGATGTTGTGGTGATTGATGAAGCCAGTCAAGCTTTGGAGGCCCAATGCTGGATTTCTCTTTTATCTGCTTCCAAGGTGGTTCTGGCAGGCGACCATCTGCAGCTTCCCCCCACCGTCAAATCCACAGTTCAGAAATCGAAGAGTGCTAAGACGAAGGGACAGTCTAACACGAAGAGTGGTTCCACCGACGCCAGTGATGCGGACATTATTGGCGGTGTTTCTCTCGAGACTACCATGTTTGACCGGCTTCTTGCGCTCCATGGACCAGGCATCAAGCGTATGCTAACAACGCAGTATCGGATGCATGAGAAGATTATGCAGTTCCCTTCCGATGAACTCTATGAGTCTAGATTGATCGCCGCGGACTCCGTGAAGCTGCGTCTTTTGAAAGATTTACCATATGAGGTTGAGGAGACCGATGATACCAAGGAACCACTTGTGTTCTGGGACACGCAAGGCGGCGACTTTCCAGAGAAGACTGAGGATGACGAGATTGGTAAAAAAGAGGCACTGCTCGGTGAGAGCAAGAGTAACGAGATGGAAGCTTTGGTAGTGGTGAAACACGTGGACAACCTTATACAGTCGGGCGTGCGGCCTGAAGACATTGCCTGTATCACTCCGTATAACGGCCAGCTTGCTCTTCTTTCTTCGATGCTGCGAGAGAAATACCCTGGTCTTGAGCTGGGAAGTGTGGACGGCTTCCAAGGCCGCGAAAAGGAGGCAGTCGTGGTTAGTCTCGTGCGCAGTAACCCCGAGAATGAGGTGGGATTCCTTGGGGAGAAGCGGCGTTTGAACGGTAGGTTGAGATGTCTCACCATCCCTCCGCTATCTGGATCTTGGTCCAAAGTTATTTTTTCACTAACGTCTTCTCGCTATAACCCTTTAGTCGCCATGACCCGTCCCAAACGACATCTTTGCATCTGTGGTGATGCGGAGACCATCAGCAAGTCAGTGAACTCCGTCCATTGCCATTCTCTTGAAAATGTTGAACCTCGGAAAACGAATGCTGACAAGAAGCCTTTGATGTACAGAGGAAGCCCCTTTCTTAAGCGCTGGATGGGGTTTTTGGAAGAGCATGCAGATCTTCGTTACCCAGATGCCGCAGAGGTGCTGTAAGGGACACAGGGAAGGTGGAGGATTTTCCAAACGGTAAACAGCAAGCCACCAGGTCACCAAATATCGTTCAGCCTGATTCAAAGAAAGGCTGATTGATCTAGATGCGTAGAGCGATCTTCTGCAAGTCTCAACTATCAAGACGGTTCTTCCGTCAAGGCTAGTCAAGATCGCTATGTCGCAATTGAGAACACTTTCCGCAACCAATCTAGTGTTTGACACTAAGTGTCTTGCATGCTCTCCTCCGTTCCTGAGAACCAAGATGACAATAATAGCTCAGTGCCCTTATCCTTGGCTCGCCGCCGATCCTCATGCGTCTGAGCGCAGAATTCCCCACGCCTCGGGGGATGTCACAGTCATACTCAATATCTTTTAAGTGTAGCGATACTGGCTACTGGTTGGCTGAGGATGAAAACTACTGAACAGATGACTAAAGAAATGTTAGCTTTCTCGAAGACCTCTTAAAAACTGAGCCCCGTGGGTGGCTGCGGAGAATTAATCATGGCAATTCATCGCCATTGACTGGGGCCTGGGTAGAAGAGAAGACCCCATGCAGGAGCTATGGATATCGGTTCCTAAACCATCCTTTGGTGAAACACATATCGGAAAATATACCGTAATGGTCGACTTTGTCAGAGATACCCTAAACACGATGGCAGCCTCCTGGAACTCGGCATACAAGGTATTACCTCGCAGGTCATTGACTAAGCGACATTGCTATGGACTATTTTATGCGCATCGCGCAGATAAGCCGTGTTATGACTGTGCCAGCCGCGGAACATGCCGAAAAAAAAAACAACGGAGATATCTGGAGAGTGGATCGAGGATACACCGGCTAGGTGACGATGTCGTCTTGTAGAAGCCTGCGGAAGCCTGTCCAAAGAGAAAGTCCAAATCCATGCATCCATTGGGCGGGTCTCGGCGATTCCTCATGGAGTAACTTGTTACTCTTACCAAATACCAAGTTATCTGGGTTGACTGGAGACTGGAGTCCAATACTAACTAGATATCTATTATTATTCATGCCCAGCACTTCTGCTGGCTCCACGCCGCGTTCTAGTGACCGTCAGCAGCAGCATTGCCTTCATCAGGGGGCCCTCGTGCCAGTGGGCAGTTTGAGATGCGTTGAGCCGATCCAGTCGAGTTAATTTGACCTTATCTGCAAGGAATAAGGATACTGTCGATACGCGATATCTATCAGTGGCACATACTCCGTACAGGAGAGAGAGTTTCTGCCCAGAATTATCCAGAAGCACAAGATCCTTGAGTCTGACCGGGATTCTAGAGACGAGGAACCTCAGAGCAACTTGTGACCCCTGAGTCCAGAGTCCTGACAGACCTGAAACGGCTTTTCGACGCACCGACGCGGGACTAGCAGCCGCCACCAGAGGCTTCCGTAGTTCCGCTCTCTAATCTGGCCCACTTGGCCGTCTCTTGAGGGTCCTCTTTTTAATTGACAGTGTTGAATGGAATGGCCCGTTAGGAAGAAGTCTGTCTGGCGATGATGTCGCTTCCGCGCCGTCAATTTTTAGTGTTTGGATTTGCGACTTCGTGTCTCCATACAACCTCAAGTTTCCCGTATCAACAGTGGCCTGGTCTCACTCTGGCGGTCTGGCCCTTGCTTGGGCACTGGCAGTCTGAGTCTGACACTCTTGTCCCTCCCGGTCCCTGCGATATCGTCCCGAATATCAACCCCCCCACTCCTCTCATCTCACCCTGCTGTCAGTCTGTCACTCATTTTTGCAGGCTGCAGCCCGCGTTACTATCCCGGAATTGGCCAAACGCATTGGCGATGCATCTAAAACAAGTGTCGGGTTTGTCGTTTCATTCCTTCGTCGACGACTACCTCAATTAGGCCCGTTTGTTCCGATACTGTCTCGTCCCATCGGCGCTGTGAACTCCCGGCAGGTAGTCGCTTGGTGGAGATAACGACGTTTGACCAGATTCCAGCTTCTGGATATCCCGTTTGGTTCTCGCATTTGTTCTTGCTTCTCATCGGTTCGATTGCTTCTGGTTTATCGTCATTCATTAAGCTTTGAGTATGGCCTTCGGCAAGCAGTAAACCGTTTGTTACACCGTAATCCTTGGTTGCAACCTTCAAGTAAGAGATATCACCAGTAGTTGTCTCTGCAGCTGACTCGCTGCGACCTGAATAATCGTTGTTGTCGTTCATAATACGTTGCTGATTGTTGTTCATCACAGCCGCACCCTCATCCCAACCGATTGATGCCTCGAGTTTGAGATTCGGATCATTCCCTCGATTTACCAGTTATTTTCTTCACGACACTCACTATCAACCATTCTTTGACCATATTTCCGTTCACTTATTCCGTTCGCTTTGAGCGTTGTGCAAACCCAGGTGTTGGGCTTGAGATCGATATTCCAAAAATAGGAACCCCCCCAACTTAGCCGGGGAAGAAAACACAACCAGGAAGATGGCTAGAACCGGCTTTAGTACAGATGGGAGTGGCTCCCTACGGCTTCATCGTCCTCCGACCCCGACAAGGGAGCCTTACGAAGACACTGCATTACCACAAGTGACCTCCCAGCAGTTGGTTGTAAGCCGGCGACGACCTCTCCGCGGTTCTGAATCATCGATAGTGGCGAGCCATCTGGGCGGGAACCAACGAGCCCCGCCAACATGGCAATATGCGCATGGGTCGATTGCCAGCAGCTCTAACGGGCATCGCCGAACCGGGAGCACCTTGAAGACGGTCATGCGCAAGATCTTCAATCGTAAAAGGCGCAGCGAGACTGATGGTCCTGGTGACAGTACTCCTGAATCTCTCACACCGACGTCGCAAACTCCCCGGCTGAAGAAGGGGGGAGCGGATATTTCCTTCTTAGAGCTTCAGAATTCGCAAATGCCACAGTCCGTCAGCCCTTTTGAATACGAGAGTGACAGGCTACATATGCGCGCGCCGGCGCCATCATATCGCCGACGAGCTACGCTACCGAGTCTGATCCTGTCTGATGAGGGCGATGGCCATGAAAACACATTCCCGAGCCTGCCCAGCTCCAGCAATGTACGGTATAGCAGAGAGAGAAGGAGCTCACTGGCGAACAGCGATCAAACAGATCTGCACCGCCATGACATCTTATCACGGGCCAAGAGACGCTCACAAAGCGCTGGCGCGCTTCGGATGATGGCGAAGGAGCATCAAATGTCGCCAATTCAGTGGAGGCGGCGAAGTACCGAAACCACCTATGTCAATTCAGCGCAGTTCGACACGGTGTCAGACAGCGAAGTATCCTCCCGGCCTCCTACAAGCACAACACTGGCTAGTGTGCACAAACTCAGCGAACAACCTCTTCCAGAGGCCGAGCAGCAAGACGAACTCGAAAGCGTGACGCCTGATATTGGCAATCTTGTGAACTGCATGCAGCATTCAGAAGATGTTTCCCTCGAACAGCGGCTGACCACACTGGAGGTCAAGCTGATAGATCTTGAATTCGCCATTGCGCGAATGCAGAACGCGCGCACCGAGACCCCGCCAATGGAAACACAGGCGTCCAAGGAATTGAAAACCTCGTCTTCTCCCAGCAAAGGCAGACGACTTCCGCGACGAGACTTACTGGCACACGGTGCGCCATCGCGCGACGCAGAATCGACCTGCGACGAGCACACCTCAGCCGAGCGGCCCCTGAGCACCGCCACAATACGACCTACCAGCCTCCAGCGATCGCAGACCATACATACCCGGCCCTCGAGCTCGACCAAGGACTTTAGCTCCATCTCCGTGGATCAGTACAGTGCGCTTGTCATGCTCCTTCGAAGGGAGCAGTCGGCGCGCCGAAGCCTCGAAGGCCAGGTCGCCAGCCTGCGCGAAGACATCCAGCAGCTCCACCGGCTTGCGCAGGACTCGATACCAATCCCCGTGGGCTAGATGTACCCCGTTGTCCGCAGCAGGGAGTCGCAGGAGTTCGTCCGCCTCGGACAGCCACTGCCTGGCTACGCGGCTGACTCCCCGGCCAGTTCGGACAAGATGCGCTCGCCGTATGACACGGATTCCGACGGGGCCGTACTCCCAGCGTGATGCCCACGGGAGGCCGAAATGGCGGTATAATCAGCCCATTGAGGTTGCCGGTATGATATAGGCGGCCGTCCTGCACTTTTGTGGATATCATTCACTGTGCAACATTGCCTTGCATTGCTTGCGAAGATCCTTTCTGACATGCCTTTCACTATCTCCCCTACCTCCCCTATCCATCTCCTGAATCACCGCTCCGATGCAAATTCCTTTTTTAATGGCCCAATTCTATCTGTACCATAGGTGGATTGCTACTGAGTCGCGTGGATGGATCGGTGACAGGACTCGCCTGCCATGCATGACTCGTTCTCATACTTTCTTTTTCTGTCTTGACCTCCATGCTTTTAATTGCGGGATCAGTTGCATCAGAGATACCATTTCTTTTTTGTACGCAGTTTTCTTAATCCCTGGCACAGATACCAACATAACACCTGCAAGTGATTCCAAGTTCATCACATGGTAGAGTCCTGTATCAGCACCCGCAGGGAGTCAAAAGAAAATTAAAGGAATAAAAAATAAACACTACTACTACAAATATCTACAGAGACTGTTATGTAAAAGGCGCCGACGCGGGATACCGCACCAGGCACAGGGAAGGAGACCCTCGAGCAGAGCCATCGCAACACGCAACAAACCAACCAACCCTCCTCACTCCGTCTTCTTGGTTTCATCCGCCTCCGCCTCCCCGGACTTAATCTCCAGCCGTTTCCCAAACAACCACGAAGCGCGGCCCATGCCCGACCCGACCGCAAACCCGATATACGCGCCCGTGAGAATGGTGAGCGGGAATGCCTGCCAGGGCCGGTCCCTAGGCCGCATTAGCAAACACGCACAGACAAGAGACAAGAGACAATGAGAGAGAGGGGGGGTGGGTATCTTTACCAGTCCAGCGGAATAGGCACGGCACCGAACCACGCCCCGAGACACGTGCCCAGGGCGCCGCCCCAGACGGCATCCGCGGGTCTCGCGAACCCCCAGACCTCCTTCCAGACCGCGCCGTCGACGCCATGCACGTAGATGAGGGCCGTGGCTGCCAGCAGCGCCATGTGCGCGGCACAGAGGATGGTCTCGGCGTGGTGGGTCGTCAGCGGGGCGCCGAAGAGGACGAGGAGGGCGGCGAGGACGGGGGTGGCGAGGAGACAGGTGAGGATGAGGGAGAGGAGGGCGGGCTGTAAGCCATTGGCGTTAGTTGGAACCGAAACATGGGTAGTGGAAGGGTAGGGGTAGGGCCAGGAGTTGGGGGGTTGGGGGGTGCTGGCGTACCGTCAACTTGGCGGAGATGCTTGCGGACTGCGGCTGCATCTTGCGGCGGACGCCGAGCCGTCCCGCGCGCGGCTTCTTCTTTTCCTCGCCGTCGGTGGGCGAGGTCGCGACGTCGCTGGTCTTGGAGGAGAGGACGGACCCTGCCGGGGGCAGGCAGATCATCACATAGCTGAGTTGCAGGGCGGCGAGGAAGGGGAGGGTATTCAGTAGCTCGGTAACGGGGTCGGCGACTAGGGTGTTGAAGCGGAAGGCGAGGATGCCCAGGAGAAGCACCGGGTGGAGGATCGAGTAAGTGCGAGCGAGCTGTGTAGGGAGGATGTTCACGGGTGGAGCAGAGGGTTTGAGCGAGGGACTTTGGGAGGCTGCGGTGTTAGTGGTACGGATAGGGGAGGGCGGTGTCGAAGTCATGACTGTGGGGTTGGTGGGCGCAAGAGCGCCCTTGAAGTCTTCTGACGGGTGCCTGGAGTAGAAGGGAGAAGAGAGCGATGGTGAAGATGATGCTGAATTGTGAATTCTGGAATTGTTTCGGAGACTTCGGCGTTCAAGCTGGAGCTCCCGGCTGTTGATTGGCCAGGCCGGTTAGTGGCCTGGTTCGTCCGGTATCCACTTCCTGCCTTGTGTACAAGGCACCAAGGCCTGCAGCGAGCTGTGATGGCTTCAATGGCTCCAGTGGCAGAGATCTGCCATCTATTCTACAATGGATCTCTCTCTCTCCCAAGCATTTTCGGGCAGGTACAGTAATCTCGCTTCGATAACAGAGTATAATCTATGTCAATCAAAGCTCAGCAAGGCTCTATGTGTTTTCTTTGTATAGTCACACACAAACGACACACAACACCCCAGAAGCAAGGTCCAGTTTCCAAAAAAAGACTATAGCGACAGAAGAGAACCATCAATCGTGACCCATAATAAGGCGTAACAGAAAAGGGCGAGTAAGGGGTATGATGGGGACAAAGTGCGGCACCGATTGAACGCACCCAAATACAAATCCCAGCAGGGCAAGACTCAGGAATTGCAGGAACATTGTTCTGTATCACAAATTGATCATGACAGCCAGCAGGATCAAAGATCGGAGCAAAGGAAACTCGAGAAAACAAATGGCTTTGCGCGAACTTGCGTATGGAAGTTCGACTACCATGAGCAAAAAGAGGCACACCAGAATAACACGAGCCTCAACCCATTTTTAAGCGCGTCGGAATCAAACATGATCGTAAAACATGATCGTGATACACAAAGGTATTGGGGTTGCGAAAAGGGTTCCCAATGAACCAGAAAAGAAAAAAGTGACAGGAAGAGGGGGGACAGGCCCCTTTTGAGGGCATCGCAGCAAGGTATACAAATATAGTCGACGGCTTTCAGTGAGGCGTAATGCCGTTGCTCTTCTCGTTGGCTTCTGAGATTGGAGGATTTTCCGCCTGCAGTGGAGTAGTAGGCGCGGCGGGGGCAGCCGCTGAGTCCTGCATTGCCTCAAAAGTTCGAGATGCGACAGGGCTTTCCGGAGTTCGTGGCTCTTCAGGTATCACCGGGGGCAGACCAGAAGTAGGCATGATGGGGGAGACTGGCGAACGATTGAATTCGTCCTTGCCCTCTTTCGGCAACTCGATCGGGGCCGGCTGGGTAGTGCTGATCCGGTCATTGGCCGCGGGAGACAGAGTCTTGCTAGACACAGGCCGTTCTGGGTCCGTCTGTGCAGGGCTCCTGGTGCGATCTCTTTCGGAATCGCGCACTCCATCCCGAACCTGCGCGACCTTGGCTTTGAATTTACCGAAGAGGCTTCGCTTCTCGGGCTCCAAGCTTTCCTTCGAAATGCCGTGGTTGTTATTGATTTCAGCGTCCAGGCTGAGGGGATGTTGTGATGGATCGTTGGCAAACTGCTGCAGGTCCGAAGGCGAACTCTTGCTGGAGTGGTGCCAACTGCCCACTGAGCTCGTACTGCGCTCGGCGCTGGGATTCGATGTCAGGAGTGGAGGTGAGCCGAGACCGAGACCGATTTGCTCATTGCTGCGTTTCGAGGAACGAGGAAATCGCCAACTCCGACGGTGTTCCCTCCGATCCACCCTGTCATCCGCCTGATCCAAATCCGAATGGTCAGTGAAGGAAGACCGCGAATTCATCGAGGGGGTCCGTGAACTATGGGGCTTGAGAGAAGTGTCCGCGTTGTGCGAGTCGTTCGGAGCCGCTTGCTTCTCCTCCGCCGCAACGTCACGGTTCGACGGTGAGGCAGAATCGTCACCGGGATCGGCCGTATTGGGAGGTCTGGGAGTCACCTCCCCGGCATCACTATCCGCTTCCTGTGGCCGCGTCGGTATCGGCGCGACGTTGAGAACGGATTCGGAGGTGGCCGCCTGCAGCGACAGAGACGAACTGTGGGCGCTTTCGCTGGCACTTCCGGGGATGCGCTTCTTCTTCAACCGGTTCGGCTGGCGTGGTTCCTTCGATTCGCCATTTTGTGGGGGGGACTTGGTGAAGAAACTGGACAATTTGCGTTCCCGTGTCGGTGTTACCACAGGTGGAGGGGGCGACGATATCGTGGTCGGGAGAGCCTCATGAAGGACGGGATTCTCGCTCATGGGGGCAGTGTTTACCGTGTTGATCGGCATAGGACCATGGGTGGAGGAATGCACATAGAGAGGTCCTGTGGCAGCGTCAGAAGGGGCCGAAGTCGGTGCCGTCGCAGTCGTCTGGCTGGCTTCCTCGCGCGAAGGCGGTGCTCGGCTGGACGAGCGAGAATTCTGTACGGAAGGATTGAGTCCTGATGGTGGGGCCCCAGTGGCCTCCAACACTCTGCCGTATCTTGCCGCGGTGATCGGGGACATTTTGGAAGGCAAGGTATTGCTTCGATGGACACCCACGCCGTTCAACGATGTTGGTGTGACGGGGCTGGAGGGATGGTTCGAGTGGTGCGAGTTCTTTGAAGAGACCGAAACATTTCGGCGGAGGCTCCCATACTTGCGAAAGCTCTCTGCGCCACCACTGGCACTCGAGACGGAGCGCCTGATGTTGGAAGAATTTGTCTGTCGGCGAGAAGCGCCCTCGACTTCCTTGAGAGTCTGCTCATCCGCGGCTGTGCCATTCATTCCGAACAGAAAGTGATCCTGGTTCTCGATCAAGAAGATCAGGACGTCCTGACTGAGCTTGTATTCATCTGGAGACATGTCGTGCTGGGGATGAGACAGCAATCCAGGCTGGAAAATAGCAGATAGGTTGGCCGACGTCATTCGGTTCTGGTCCGACTTGGACGCAAAGACAGCGAGCAGGTCAAGGATATAGAGGAGGAGCTGCTTGTTCAGGGGTGGAAGCTCCCGAATTAATTGTTGGTAAGCCGCAACGGCCTTTGCGTGGTCGAAGGCTTCAGAATCGGCCGTGGGGCCATTCTCCAGGGCCTGCTTCTGATACACACGGAGGGGCTCGCGAAAACGTTCGTAGAAGTCCAGAGGGACAATCGGTTCGGGAAGTTGGTTGAGATAGCGGCGTAGGACGTTTGCAGCATCGTGCACAGTATACCCCGTCCAGTCGAGTCCTTTTCCATATCGTTCGGGAGAATCGAAGATCTCCTGGAGATCCTTGATACGTTTCGCAGAGCCGTTCAATCGAAAGATCCCTTCCACGTCCGTCGCTGTCGCCAGGGAAAAAGTCCATCAGTGAGCTGTTCCCCAGATTTAACACGGCCACGAGTTTTCGTACCTTTTTCCTTGAGGAAGACACCACACTTGGCGACGACGATAGGGACATAACCGTAGATAAAGCTTTCACCGTTGTCGTTTGTGAGGGAGATGGCAACGTTCGCGTACTTGATACTGACGTTGAGGGGCACTCCGAAGATACCTTGGGGTTTCTCTGTGAGAACAGACGGGTTAGCCTGGTGCAAGACTGAGAAATGCGAGACGCTGAGAAGGAAAGCGATGGAAGAATGAGGGTCAGTTGGAAAGAAATAGCAAGGTACGCGATCGCTCTGATCGCTCACGACAAGCAGAAAGGTGACTAGAGAGAGAGAGAAAAAAAAAAAAAAAAAGAAAGAAAGAAAAAAAAAGGTGGGATATAGGCCACTGGCATGGGAGACCCGTCGACCGTGTCGCACAGTCCTGAAGCGCCCATTGCACCCGAATCCGCCCATTTCTACCAGCGAGGACATAGCCCATCGGTCCCCAGTGCAGGGATAAAGGGTCTTCAACCGGGTCAAGCGTACCTTTCACTTCCTCCTTCCTTGTATTCCGTTTGAACTGTCTCCACCATGACGCCAGATCTCGTTTCGACGGCGGCGAGGTCGAGATTTCGTGATGGGTCGCGGAGGCTGGAAGCGATGGGATGGTCCCAGCGCCGGGCTGCGACTTCCCTGTCACCATGGTGTCGACGGCGGTCGATGATCGCAGGGTGGGAATAATGGAAGAGGAGTGTTCGAAAGCACAAATGGGATCTTCACGAAAAGGCGATTTGAATCAAGTCCCTCGTCACCGCCCTCGTGTTCGCGCGCAAAAGAATCTCTGGGGCTGGGGGAGGAGATTGTGATTGATCCGAAAATAGCACGAGGGCTAGTCAGCCCGCGGGAGCGAAGTGCCGCGCCGTGCCAACACCGACGACAGATCCAGAAAGGGTAGCGTCTGGGTGACAATGCGGGGAGGATGGAGTCGTAACTAGTTGTTGGAAGGGTGTAATGGGAATAATTTGATGCTCCAAAGCGATCTCTGATTGATGGCGAAGATGGAAGATTGGAGGGGTGGTTGGTAACTTGGTAGACAAAGAGAGAGAAGGGGAAGGAGAGGGAGGGGGAAAGTAGAAGAGGAGTAACTAGTACGAGTAGAAGAAGAAAAAGAGGGAAAAGACCACATAGAACTAGTACAAATAATACAGTCGAAGAATGAATAAGAAAGAGAGTTGGGAGTAGTGGGCTGGAAGAAAAGGCTGATCAGAATTCAGTGATCACAAGAGAGGCACCAGAGGCACAAGCGACAAGTCAGAGTGCGAGGTTTGGCATAAGGCAGACCCAGTAGTAGTAATAGTGGTAGTAGTAGTCAAGTAGCCAACCCCGGGCTGTACGGAAAGATGTGGCTGAATGACCTCTTGGGGGGGAAAAAAAGAGAGAGAGAGAGAGAGAGAGAAGGAGTTCCGTGGGACAGACAGACTCTCTCGGTTGAAGGAGGACTCAATAGGGACAACGACAGGGATGCCGGCCTTTCCTCCTTGTTCGAATCTCTGTTTTCTCTCTCTCTTTTTTTTGGTTTCGATGAACTACCTTAATTATTTATTAAGTATCTATCTACGGAGTAGAGTAGATATCTGAGTACATTCGCCTCTCAGGAAGCGAACGGGAAAATCCTGATAGTCGATCCTCATCCAGAGTGGAGTAGCAAGATTGACGGAGGTCCATGAAAGATGTGCCAGATAGAGGAAATGAGCGGCGTTTTGCTTGTTGCCTCAGTGCCTGTCTACAATTGTCTATCTAGAGAGAGAGAGAGAGAAAATGACTCTATTCCAGATGAAAGTAGTATGTGCTGATAATGATGATGATAATGACGATGATGGTGAGGTTATGCAAAGACTCAAACCCAAGGAACCACTGCATTGGGATAGGTACTGGCCAGTGTCTAGATTCTCCACTACTACTCCGTACCTCGGTAGTAATGTAGGAGTAGTAGTAGGAGTAGTAGGAGTAGTAGTAGTATACTCTCCAGTGTACAGACTACAGAGTATGTTTGGGTATGAAACTTCTTAAGAAAATCATCCCCTCTCTAAGTAGATAAAAGGGTAAAGATCATCCCCCCGAATAATACCCCAAAAGACCCTTGGTTTCGGCTAATAAGAATAGAACTCCAGGACCAAGGTCGGGAGGATTATGACGACAGCCATGGGGTTTCATTCCATTGACGGAACGAATCGTTTCATGGCTTGCAGGGATAGACACACACACACACACACACAGAGAGAGAATCCATACCACGATAGATAGAGATAGAACTCTGTGTCTTCACCATCTCACGACTACTTCATAGTAGATACATTCCTACTAAATATGGACAACAGCCTCCTGAAGCCCAATTAACAATATGGACCATTCAGGTCTAGACAGGGTCAGTCCTGAAGGACTTAAGGTAACCATGGTTCACCAAATGGCTGGATGCCACCAGGCCAGGGCCCATTTTACTTTTACTACGGAGTATCCGTACGGAGTACTTGTTCCTTTTCTTTTCTTTTTCTTTTTCTTTTTTTTTTTTTTGCTACTGTTACTATTATAGAAACTAAGAGCCTCAGGTAGAAGTCATCGGAATGGATGAGTATTCTTCCGGGGAGAGCGATGCCTACACTTGTAACTTCGGAGATACTCTGTAGATGAGCTGGCGAACTCAAGTATGATGATGATTGATGATTTGGCAAGCAATTAGCTGGGAATAATAATATCAGAGACAAGGGCCTAGCCATATCATCTTAGCAGAGAAGTCAAATAGCATCCACCCAACATCATACTAGTAGAGCGAAGAGTCTAGCTCCTCGCAATGCCTTTCGTATCAGCTCTCTCGATGCATCAAGGATACACCTACTTACTTGATGCCTATTAATTATTAAGAATATTCTTGTAGAATGATCAGGCACACCAGGCTCAAGGAGCTCTGGCAAAGAAGACGCATCAAGCGTTGCTGCCGTAGAGCTCTGAAACGAGACCAAGGTCACATGTCCCTGTCTATCACGTGATGGAAACAGGAAGCTTCCGTTGCTTCGGAGGTTGTGGAAGAACCAGTTCATTCATTAATCGGACTTGTTTAGCTCGACCAACCGCTGTCAATTTCTCTATATTACTCCCAAAACAAATCCCCTTCATAACTTTCACAATGGATGGGTATGTATCTTCTGCTTCTTAACTCTTCGTATCCCAAATGTATATCTTCTGATGACGACGTGCTGACTGGATCACAAACAGACTCACCGCCGCGGAACAGCGAGAGCTCGCTACTCGCATGGAACGGAAGCAACTGAAGGAGTTTATGACGGTACGTTCTCGATTCAAATACCCTGAACTCATTGTGCAGCATGTGCCCGACGCTCCCATCCCTCGATCTCCTTCCTCCACGTCACCCGCAGAACCTTCATCGCGCGTCCAAATTTCTGATCTGCTTGTCCCTTTGCATACAGATGTACTCCAAGCTCGTCCAGCGCTGCTTCGATAACTGCGTCAATGACTTCACCACCAAGTCTCTCATCTCCCGGGAAGAGGGCTGCGTCATGCGCTGTGTGGACAAATACATGAAGAGCTCCGCCCGCCTGAATGAACGCTTCCAGGAGCAGAACGCCGCGATGATGCAGAGCGGACAGATGCCTGGCCGCTAAATACGCGGCATCCCCAACCAACTCTTCTCTCTTTCTCTTTTTTCTCTCTTCGTGCGGTTGTGTGTGTGTGTTTGTTTTTTTTTTTCAAAAAAAAAAAAAGACATCGGGGGTTTTCTATTCGCCGACACCTTGCGGTATGTGATCGTCTTCAGCTCACGAAAAAAAAAAAAAAAAAAAACAAAAGAGCATTGGGGCTGGTTCCTGCTTGAAAGCGAGGTGGGATACTTCTTGCAAAGGGACTATGATGGGAAAGGTGTCACCATGGGCTTTGCTTTTGATCTATGTAACATGTACAATATCGCATATTCCGACGGGAGAGGAGCCCTTGATGGGTTGATACTCGTCACCCCGTCCGAATGAGAAAGCATCGAGGCGTATGTCGCAATCTCGCAGATTGATTTGTTTCTCAAATGTATCGGAGAGAGTATTCTGAACATTGATTGTTGAGTTGAGCTGAAATGATAGGGAGGCACCTCCTAACCCAAGGGCTTAAGGTCCGTCAATCGACCTGACTTCTTAGAGAGCCTGGATATCTGCTACATATCCGGGAAACCAGCCCAGCCATCGAAAAGGTCGACTAACGGACTCTTCTCTGCTATCTTGGCACCACACGGACCCAGCCCGAGCCGGATAACATTACCCTTTTGGACTCGCTCGTCTCCCAGAACGAACTGAAGAAGCGCCTTATCGGTTTTCTCGCATTTCTCGCATCGAGGGGATGTGGATCTTGTAGAAGGAATCCATTTGATTGTAATCTGTAGAGTGGAAATATTTATCTGGTAGAGGAGTGAGTCATCAGTATCTCCTCCGTAGGGAGAAGCAAGACAATATTGCATCATGGGGAGCTTTTCCGAAGGCGTCGGGGAAATGAATGACATCCACGGAGAAGGGTCTGTTGGAGAATGCGGAGAGAGAGAGGAAGACATGAGGGGATTCAGATGTTGTATTAGTCTATACTAGTATCTATAGTATATCTATGTTATATATACATATAGATATATATATATAGAAGAGTCTGCCACTATCCAGGAAATGCCCCAGTAATAATAGCCATAGTACCAATACCTACAGAAGCAGCCGAGTCTTTTCCGTACCCCTCATCCTCTCTCCCCACTCCCCCCCTCGTCAATTTTTTGACATCCTCAGCGAGACAAGACGAATTCATTCTCCACTACTTGATATCCGCTAGATATATAATCTTCATCAGTCATAGCCAGCTCCCTTCGCTCTTATCTTCCCCTTTCACAAGCCGCTGCTTTTTTTTCTCGCTTCGTGATTCCTTCGAATCCCCTCCCCTCCCCTCCCCTCCCCTCCTTGACATCATGGCCAGTACTGTCGGAAAGGTGAGTGCGAGACCGCAACAACCTCCACTCGACCCATATCACTCCCCTGGATGCCAGAGACGAGGCTAACGTGACCCCCCCAGACTATCACCTGCAAGGTAAGAAGACTCCTGGCGCTATTTTTTGCGTCCCGTCCCATCCCGATGAGTCCCATCGGCAATGCTCCCGACAAGAGCACCAGAGCACCAGAGCTAAATAAGAACGGGAAATATAGGCGGCCGTTGCTTGGGCTGCTGGCGAGCCTCTCTCCATCGAGGACGTCGAGGTTGCGCCCCCCAAGGCCCACGAGGTCCGGATTCAGGTCCTCCACACTGGTGTCTGCCATACCGGTTGGTTTCCGCCTCCCCTCCGATGACCACGAAATTGTTGGTGTCGGGGATCCATGACTGATCCGTGTTCGCAGATGCTTACACCCTGTCGGGTAAGGACCCCGAGGGTGCTTTCCCTGTCATCCTCGGACACGAGGGTGCTGGTATCGTTGAGTCGGTCGGAGAGGGTGTCACTTCGGTCAAGCCTGGCGATTATGTCATTGCTCTTTAGTACGTTTGCTTCTCCCTCCATCACGGATCGATAAATTGTGTGCTCGAAACATGGGCCCTGACCACAATGCTACCTACCCAGTACCCCCGAGTGCCGCGAGTGCAAGTTCTGCAAGTCCGGCAAGACGAACCTGTGCGGCAAGATCCGTGCCACGCAGGGCAAGGGCGTGATGCCGGATGGAACCTCACGGTTCAAGGCCCGCGGCAAGGACCTGCTGCACTTCATGGGCACCTCCACCTTCTCGCAATACACCGTGGTCGCTGACATTTCCGTCGTCGCGGTCACCCCCAAGATCCCCACCGACCGGTCCTGCCTGCTGGGCTGCGGTATCACCACCGGCTACGGTGCGGCCGTCGTCACCGCCAAGGTCGAGGAGGGCTCGAACGTGGCCATCTTCGGCGCGGGCTGTGTCGGTCTGTCCGTCATCCAGGGCTGCGTCAAGAACAAGGCGGGCAAGATCATTGCCGTGGACGTCAATGACGCCAAGGAGGAGTGGGCGCGCAAGTTCGGCGCCACCGACTTCGTCAACCCCACCAAGCTCAACGGCAAGACCATCCAGGAGCAGCTCATCGAGATGACCGATGGCGGCTGCGACTACACCTTCGACTGCACGGGTAACGTCGGCGTCATGCGCGCTGCCCTCGAGGCCTGCCACAAGGGCTGGGGTGAGAGCATCGTCATTGGTGTTGCTGCCGCTGGCCAGGAGATCTCCACTCGCCGTAAGTTTCTGCCCCCTCCACCCCATTTCCTTCGGCACTCCCCCGTACTGAAAGTTCCAACTGACAATACACAGCATTCCAGCTGGTCACCGGCCGTGTGTGGAAGGGATGCGCCTTCGGCGGTATCAAGGGCCGCACTCAACTGCCCGACCTGGTCGACGATTACCTCAACGGCAAGCTCAAGGTGGACGAGTTCATCACCCACCGCGAGCCCCTGGACAAGATCAACACTGCTTTCGAGCAGATGAAGCAGGGCGACTGCATCCGCTGCGTTGTCAACATGTCGTAGGGAGCGCTGGTCCCGGGGTACAATTTGGGAGGATGTATAAAACCAGGATAAAACGACATAACGATGATCACGTTCCAATATACCGTCCGTTCGTTGTAGAGCGATGCATTATATAGATAGGAGGAGACTCGAGTAGATTTCGCGACGAAGACAGAGATTACCTAGACTTCCAAGGTCCTCACCCTGTAATACAGCCGGGAATCCCCTCCACCTCGCTCCGGATCAACGACAACAGCCTCCAAGCGAGACCCAAGCGAGCCAGCGACAAGCACGAGTCGACGACAGAGCTAGTCCGTCCCTCTTCTCCACATGGCCAAGTGTCCCTCTGCAAAAAGTCCATGTCTAAACCCAAAGTGAGACTATTGATAGTCCTCAACAACGGTTAAGAAGGTAGTCAAGTTCTACAGAGTACCCTAAGGAAGCAACATGCTGAAGATTGCGGTTCAATTAAATGAGTGGCTATAGTTGGCTATTGCTAAACAAATCAACAATACGCATCTAAACCCAAAGCACCAATGACATGGCTAACGCTTAGAAGAGCTTGTGCTCCAGAGTCATCTCCGAGTCAGGCTGGAGACCAACACAGGCACGGAAGATGTTGGTCAGAGCAGAGCGCTGCTTGGCGAGAGCGTTGACCACAGGGGTGCCAGGAGGGGTCAGAGGAGCCTGAGCGGAATATTAGCAAACCACAGCTCAAAACACCGAAAGAGAAAAAAAAGCAGACATACCTTGAGCATGTAGCTCAGAATACTGAGAACGCTGTGGAAGCCCTTGTAATCGGCCTCCTCGGCCGACTTCCAGCTGATACGGGTCATCATCTCGGCAATGACAACCAAGTCGATGATCAGAGGAGATGCCAGCAGAGAGTCCTCGCAGATGTTGAACAAGCTGATGGTCTGGTGTCCACCCATGAAGATCTCGGCATAGTACTCATCCAGAGCGCGCTTGTTGTCACCAACAGCGGGCATGTACTTGATGACCACGGTGTGGTCGGGGTGCTCGCCCTCCTTGTACAGGATGTTATTAGCCGCAACCATGTCATCCACGACATTGGACTTGGAGATCTCCTTGGAGCGGAACTGCTTCTGCGAGCTCAGGTTCTTGCCATCGTTGTTACCCAGATGGTTGTAGCTGGCAATGGAAGTGAGCTTGATACCGGCGTTGATCAAGAAGTCGACCAGAGCGGACTTCATCTTAGTCTGGCCGGACTTGAAGTCATCACCACCGATGAAAGCATTGTGCTTCTCGGCCAGCTGGATGGCTCCAGGAACGAAAGTGTTTTGAGGAGATCCGTTGATGAAGGGCACATTGTCCAGGATACAGGCCACCGCGAAGACAGTGGAAGGAGAGACTTCCTCGTGGCCATTCTTGATGGCGTTCAGAAGGTTGTCGGCCGTGTCATTGATACCGGGCAGAATGTCAGCATACCGCTCGGTGTTGGCAGTCCACATGACAATGACCTTGTCCAGGCCATGCTGAGTCTTGAAGTCACTGTTCCTTATTAGCCATTGTGTCATTATTAGATGAAAGCAAAACCAAGACTCACCGCATGTCCTTCTGGATGCGCTCAACGTGAGCCCAGCAGGCCTTGTCACCCTCGATGACATTGTCGGCACGGTCCTCCTGATTGGCAGCGATGAAATCAGGATAGTAGATGCTAGGCAAGGGCTTCATCTCGGCCATCTCCTTGCGGACGAGCTGCTTCAGAGTAGGCTCGAGAACCTGAGCGCGATCCATGGACTCGGCGAGATTCAGGCTGCTGATATCCCAACCACCAATGACCAGGTCATTGGGATGGACCATCGGAAGCAGGTCGTGGAAAGGAATGTTGATTTCCTCTCCGGTCTTGGTCTCAGTACCGAGCTTGACGGTGGAGCTCATGACAACGGAGCCATAGTAGTTGGAAGCCCGTTCACCCTCTCGAGTCTCCCACGAGAGATTACGGCGGTTGGCGATGATACCGGCGGTCACCGTGGAGCCGTTGTTTCCACCCCAGCCGACCAACATCATACCCACCTTGCCCACCTTACGGTCAACCTTGAACTGGTAGTTGGTGACCTTGGGGGTCGCAACCCACTTGCCATCGGCATTACGAGTGATTTCAGTGGTGTGATAAGCATACTGACTCTTGATCTCGTTGTCAGTGTACTCCACATTGGGCGAGGCGACGGTAAACAGAGGAGCGGAGGTCGCGCGAGCCGACCCGTTCACGGCGCCATTGGCAGCAACATCCGAGCTTGCGTGGGGAGCCATTTTATTCACAGTTCCTGGAGAGAGTCCTGGATCAAGTACTTGTCGAGAATAGGGAAAAATGGCGTAAGAACACGATGTTCTGTGAGCTCGAGTGATTTATTGGATGTATAATGCGCTATCCGGTGCTCCACCACGAGAGGATGAGCGCCGGCCGTTGAACGGGTGGTGACGCCTAGAAAGAAAGAAGAGACCAGGTCAGCGTACAGTGAACTTTATTCGGCGGTCGGAGCCAACGATTCAGGACAGAGAGAGAAGGCACAATTGACGACCATATTGGACAATGGGCAGGAAGCTCGAGAATGACAGAATACGTACGAGTTAAGAAGCGTTCCGAAAATTTTGACGGTTTTAGATCGATCACGCCTCGGAGAGAGTGATCAGGAAGACTTGAACAAGATTGATGACTTGAACGGAAGGTGAGAAAGATGAGATTGATGGTGAAGAAGAAGGAGGAAGCACGGAGGAAGCACGGAGGGAAGGGAGGGAATATTTAAAGCAGACTTGCACGCAACTCGCACTTAGTCACTCTGAGTATCCCGCTCTGCTCCGCAACCCACTTCTCGCCCGTCACAGTGATTTCCTACCCTAGGTTCTAACGTCCATTGGCTCTGTGGATTGTGGAATCTGGATACTGCGGAGCTGACAGTCAGTTATGAACTGATGAATCGAGTTGAGGTGAATCGAGTTAATTATTATTGCGGTGTGTTACTACTTCCGTATACGAGGACTTTTGCTCTGCCCCTCCAGGTACCCCTCCATGGATCTGGAGTTCCTGGTTCCTTCATTATGATTATTACAGCCTCCTGCTGCTGCTTTCGTAGCATCCAGAGTTGATACCCCTCTGTGTCCTTTTGAATCATGCACAACTCAGCTCTCTCCCCTCAACTGCTGCCTGGATGCTGCACAGTGAGCCGCCGACGCTCAACGGTTGCTGGGGGTTGAATTGTCCATTTGCACTACTATGGTACGATCTTGGCTTGATAACCAACCAACCATCCAAGGTTCGAACAATGCAGGTCGGACGCCACTGTTCCGTTAAAATCGACCTTCCTTGTCGAGTTTTCGACCCTAGTCTGCTGGAAGTGAGCAGTGAGCTGGCACCGAGCAACTATTCACTACGGTCATTGAGAGGTCCAATCCATTGGCCTTTGCGACTGCGTTCAAGAGTTCAGAACACACTCCTCGGACAGATGACGATTGACAGAAGGATGTTCGAGAGTCGGGGACAACGTGTGGTCTGCGCTTCCGTCGCTCGCAAGCAGCGGGTGGGCCAACACCAAGTCGTGAATTCGTGATTGACCAGGACGAAAACAGTTACTCCGAGATGTTGCTCCGTTTGGGAATTGGCGGTCTACAAAGGACGGAAGACCCAGAATGGAGCTAGTTCGTCTTCGCGCTTACAAGTCCAGAACGTCCAATATTTTTTTTTTTTTTTTTTTTTTTTACGAAGACGGAGGGAAGGCGATGGCATTGAGGGAGGTGGTGGTAGGGTGAGAAGCTTGACGATATCAAGACAGACAGGGGACATCGCAAAGGACAGAGGTGTGAATCAATCAATCTACGATTTGGGCGCCCTGAAGAGAACCTTCGATTGACTTGCAAGGGGCCTTCGTTGAACCCCCTGAAAATGGAATGTTGCGGTGTGTGTGGGCGGCGGATAGCTCGGTTGATTGTTCCACGGTTGCATCCTCCCCTTCCATCTCTTCCTCTTCCTCTTCCAGATGTGAAGATTGTCCCCTTGGTCCCTCCCTCTAGTTTCGTCCACAGGGATACGCAGTAAATAAATAGCCGCAGCCACGATGATTTTCAGTCAACCGTGGTTCACCAAATCAATGGTCCGAACTATCCAGGGACATAGACACCATCCTCGATCACCTTCCAGAAGCCAATTCTTTGAGAACGAGTGATCACAACCCGACCCTATAGTAAGAGCGTCAGGAGAGCAGGAACTTAGTTGACTTTCCTGCCCCTTGCCTTGCGGCGATATCCCCTCCACTTCTATGCACAGTACTTTTAGGTGGATGTCATCGCGTCCACGCCATCCGGACAATCACTACAGTCTCCAGCTCAGCCCTCAGGGGACAAATCGAGTAAGCTGGGGAGGTGTCATGTCATCTGAAGGGAGTCAAGGGAGGGCGGAGGAACGCATCTATTCCTAGATCAATCGTCCCATCAGCAGTCAGCAGTGACGAGGCTCGTGCACGATTGGGGAGGGAGGGAAGGGGGGGATTGGATCAAAAAGGGAACCAAGCTGATGGGATTTTCAAATAGCCAATATCGAGACACAAAAGTGTGTCCCAGACTCTCAGTCTCCCAGTTACCCCTGAGGAACGATCGGCGAGTTTGCAGTTTCAATTGCTGATTGATCTTGGTTCAGGGGGACTAAAAGTGTATATGAGTATGGAGGAAGTATTGTCCACTGTCCGGATTATCACACGCAAGTTCCCCCGTACTGGGTTAGCATGGACGGACGGCTCGGTCAATCAGTAAAAGTGGATGGAATGGATGAGAAGAACTGGAGGCAATTGTTCTTGTTCCTTGAATTCTTAGGTTGTATACAGAGTACTAGTGTCGAGTCTACTCCTACTAGCCTACTACTGTCTATCTATCTCAGAACTTACTACTATAGTATACACGCATGTGCTCTGAAAAAGGGGGGGCGCGAGTCAAAACAAACCCATCCTCTCCAATTACCGCTTGCCCATCAACAGCAGAATCCGACTCCTTTCCCTCTGCCTTTCTCAAAGGGTTCAGAGAAATATCCCTCCAGAGTTTAAAATCAAAGAGAAAAAAAAAGATAGAAACAACGAAAGTAACAACGAAAGGAAAACGCGTGTTCTGCGCTACTACCTACCAGCCTAACTTACTATTCCTGGATCGTCACACGAGGGCCTTCCGGTTCCACTCGCCAAAAAGACAACCCGCCTCGATACTTGGACAGTCTTAGTCTGTTCTTCCGTCTTAACTGACTCTGACCTAGTCAAGACTCAAGAGAAACTACTATCAATATTATTATTATTATTATTATTATTATTATTATTGTCGTTGTCATCCATCTTCCTACTGACTACTGTCTCCTCCCCTCCACTCCTTGCAGTGTGACATACATGCATCCAGAGCGTTCGGGTGCTTTGCTTGCTTGTCTGAACACTCCGGACCAGTAACCTCGATCGGTTGGAGACATACAGAGTCCTCTGCTATCATTCGGACTGCCTATCCTCCCCCCATTCTGGCCTGCAGAGCTGTCAGGGATCTTGTGTGGGTGCTTGCGTGTGTGGACGAAGGGTCCTGTTCGGCGGAGGAAGAGAAAAAAAAAATAAGGAAAGAAAGAAAGAAACACACGAACGAATGACGGTGATTGCTTGGTTGGAGGAATTGGTTTGCCCTTAGTTTTTTTTTTTTTTTTTGTTATATCGGGTTCAATGAACGCTCTATTCCAGTGATCAGGAGAGCAGATCCTGTAGACCCTCGCGTTGGTCGACATGGCGGGATTAATGGGCGCGGGTTTCTTGCCCACCATCAAATGTTCCAACTGTGGGCTGAGGGTCGAGATTTCGGAGATGGGGGATCACATCTGCAAACCCTCACCTGGTGAGCTTCCCCCTTACAATCGCCTCGATCTCCGAGCGTTGACTAACTCTTTCGCTGCAGCGCCTCCGTCTCCGTCTCCCTCGCCGCCTCCTCCACCTCCCCCGAAATCCGACCATGAGCCGCAACCTCAGGGTTCAATGCCAACGTACCTCAGAAACATATCCGGGCCCAGGCGACCGGGACCACCACCGCGAATTGATCCGTCATTAGCCAGTATGTGTGGTGCTCGCACTCCCGCCTGGGAAACCCCTCCCCCGCATGATCCTTTGAAGACAGCTCACTAATGTCGGATCGCATTTACTAGATCGACCGTTTATACACACCGATGGACGTCTTTCGAGAAAGGGAAAGGATTCTCTCACCCCGCCGCCTCTCTCAGTGCCAAATGGACAACGATCTCCATTTCATGCGCCGCAGCAGATTCGGATCCCACTGCTCGACGGACCCGACTCACCTGAAGTGATCAAACCAGTCGGGGATCTGCCTGCCTTTCCGTTACCACGCTCAATGTCTCGAAAACGACTCGATGCGCTGGCCCAGCTGCAGTCGGCTCAGACGGCTCAATCAGTCCCCTCATCGGAGTTCGCCAGTGCGATGGCCAAAGCGGCGGACCGACACTCGCAGAGTACGCGCTCATCATCATCAGGAACTAACTCCATCACCAAGGTCGGCGATCTGCCTCTCACGACCACAATCCACCATAGACGTGGAGATTCCATCGATAGCAGAAGTAGCTATGGGACTTCTGCGGGAAGCTCGAGGTATGGAGACAATAGCTCCAAGCGATCGACAGCCATGTCTAGTCGGCGACCGTCCCTCGGAAGCATCGCCCAAGATCACCATCACTTCCCCGAAGAATCGTCTTCGCTGCACGTGACCACGCTCGAACCCTTGATGGAGCATTCGTCTGCCTCGGAGCAGCAAGCGGGCGTAGACAGCCAACAGCACGAGCCCAAGAGCGCTGGCTTTGGTGGTTTTGATTTAGGGGTGTCAGCACCAACAGCAGCAGCGACGACAACAACAACTACTACTACTACTCCTACTACCCAGACGGAGACCGAGAAACCATACCCCGATCCATTGCGTGTTTCCTCCCACACCCAGTCCGACCGTCTGAGCAGTACGCGTGGATCGGTGGAACTGTTCTTTCGAAGCCCGTCGCAGAGCTCGTTTGGTCTCCCTGCCGATTGGTTGGACCCTACGGATGCGCGATCTTCATCCTCATCTTCCACAAACATCGAATACAAAGCCTTTCGACCTTCCGGGTCCAATTACCTCCAACCAGCTGTACAGCCGTCAGACTCCAAGGATGTGCCGAGCAGAAGCGCCACCGGCAGCAGCGAGAGCAACACATCGGTATCCAAGTTTGCGCGTGCGCTCGGGCTAGATCTTCCTGGTCATGCAGCAGACAATTCAACTTCCTCCTCTGATTCCTCGCCATCTGAGACGCGAAGTGGAACTTCTCTATCTAGCCTACCATCGGAAGCGAGTCTATCCCGGCGTAAGATGTCGGAGACGGTTGGACTGAGGGGTGTGGTTCAGGACTTGCCGGACAAGGCCAACCAGCAGACGGTGTTACCAGCATCCAACCAGACAGAGAGCCCGGTCGATCTCGAGCCGCCACGGATTTCGGAAGCGTTGTTTAGTCCCGACTCCCCGACCGATCCCGCCATCAATCAAGGCAGTCTGTCCCTGGTGGTAGAAAGGACAGCCAAACCCCTTCAGGATGCACCCCCGGTGCGACCTACCATTGCCCGATCGGCGACAGAACCGCCTGTCCGACCCCCGCCTCGTTCGAAAGGCCGCTGTCGGGGATGCGGAGAAACGATTATTGGTAAATCCGTTTCCTCCAAGGACGGCCGGCTGACGGGACGATATCATCGCGACTGCTTCGTCTGTTGCCATTGTCGATCTCCGTTCGAAACGGCCGACTTTTACGTCCTGAACGACCGGCCGTACTGTGCACAACACTACCACGAACTGAACGGCTCCCTGTGCAGCGGCTGTAACAAGGGGATCGAGGGCCAGTATCTCGAAACCGACGAGAGAACCGGCCGGGGACCGGGGGACTGTCAGAAATTCCATCCTGAATGCTTGACCTGCCGGACCTGCCGGATCCCCTTGAAAGGCGAATACTTCGAGTGGAATGGCCGGGTCTACTGCGAACGAGACGCTCGTCGAGCTGCTGCCTCGATGTCGCCCCACCGTCCCCAGCGGCCGACGATGCCCTCCTCACCTTTGGCGTCACATCCCCCCAACTACCCCCCTATGCCTTCTGGCTACCCTCGAAGCCCCGGCCCTGGGTTTGGTCCGGGTCCGGGTCCTCGCCGTCCTCCTGGAACCCTGGATGTCCCCCGCGGACCACCACCGAGCGCACGACGGTTCCCCGAGAGACGGACGACCCGATTAATGATGATATGATTGTACCTTTCTCCCCGGCCCTAAACAAAGGAGGCCCTTGGGGGGTTTTGACCTCGGGGAGAGTTCTTATTTCCCGCTCTATAGTCTTTTTTTTTTTTTTCTTTTTCTGCTTGTTGCCCTCTCGTCTGATTTATGCGAGCTGGACTGCCATATACCCATTGGTTTTCGCTTCAATGTCCGCCCCTATTGTTTTTATCTATTTCCCAACTGTCGCTTCCAACCGCCACAGGTCCGAAGAACTCGTGCATATTTTGGTGTGAGATATATCATCTTGGAAATATGGGTTAGCTATATGAAATAAGACGTTTAATGATTCATGTGAAATTCGTTCTCTTCTCTCTACTCTATCTTGCCTCGCTTCTCCAGCTTGGCCAGGTACTTGCGCCTAAACACCCATCCAAACATCATCACCAGCAGCGAAAGCGCCCACGCATGAGCTCTCTGCGACACCGTCACCGTGTCCATCCGACCTGCGGGCCCATCCACCTCCTTCTCGACATCGCGCACAATCGCTCGGCACCGCACCGGATCGTCGGTAATCACCCCATCCACCCCCTTCGCGATCGACCACCGCATCAGACTCGCCTCGTTGACCGTCCACACAAACACGCGCCGCCCAGCCGCGTGCGCCTCCTCGACCATCCCGCCCCCCATCCCCATCAACACCTTCTGGTTGATGTTGACCGACGCCCCGCTCGCCCGCAGCACCCGGCGCGCATACCGCACATCGAAGCTGATCAACGCTGTCTCATACCCCGGCAGATCACGCTCGCAGACCGGAAAGTACGCCCCGGCCCAACACCCCAGCACCACGCGCTCCGCCCACCGCGCACACGGCACCGCCGCAAATGCCTCCGCCAGCAGCGGCATGATCCTTTCGGGGAGATTATCCAGCTATCCCACCGCGTCGTGTTAGCCTACCGCTACTCCACTCCACCCAATCATCCCTCCCACGGGGAAGAATCGCCACACGCCTCGACGTACCTTGATATCCAACAACACCCACAACGCCTTCCCGGCATCCGACGCCAACCAGCCCAGCAGATCCACCAGGCGGGGCATGGGCGCGTGCGGCGCCTGCAGGGTGCGCAGCACGGCGAGCTCGGCCCACGTGCACTCATCGACGAAGCGCTTCACACCGAAGCAGCGCTCGAGTGAGCGGTCATGGCAGAGCACGAGCACCCCGTCCTTAGAGATGCGGAGGTCGGTTTCCAGGGCGTCGGCGCCGTGGGTGGCTGCGGCGGTGAAGGCCTCGAGGGTGTTTTCGGGGAGGTGTGAGAGATGCGGGTGCGAGGGGTCGGCGGTTTTGCCGCGGTGGGCGATGACCTGGGGTAGGTTGGGGGGCATTTGGGGTGTGTTGGGCTGTAGTGCTGTGCTCTGTGAATAGGGAATAGGGAATAGGGAATAGGGGGTTGTGGTTTGGTTTGGATCTATACATATATATATTCGGCGGAGGGGGGCATATGCAATGACGTACGGTCGGAGATAAGAAAGCATTGAAGCCGAAGACTACGTGGATATTCTGTCTCAAAGGATTTTTAATCGTGGCTAATCCTGTCTCACCTGGTCTGTGTTGTCGTCGGGCTGTTGCCTAAGCCCGCGGATTAGTGGATGCCCATCCCACTGCCATGACCCTTTAACCTGAGCTCATTCCAGCCGTGCCTCCAGCCACCGTGCGAAGAACTCTTTCGACTCCGTCTTGGATAGCTTCAACAACCGACTAAGCACCATCTGCACATGCGCCTCCGATTCCGCCATGCAAAACTCGACCTCCCGATAGGCCTGTACAACTAATCAGCTCGAACCCTCGTACACCAACTCGAGCTCCAGCATCATACCTTGATCTTGTCTACAAGACAAACAATATCATCCAGCATGACCTCGAACTCCCCCGCCACGATCCCCAGATGCCGCGCCGCAGCTGGTCCAGCGGCGGGACCTGGGGATGCGGCTGCGCGGTACGCAGGAGCAGGAGCAGAGCGGCCGCCAGGTTGCCGCCTGCGGAGTCCCCCGCGATGATCATCTGCGAGGGTTTAGTCGGGGGTTTGGTGACTGAATGTGTTTTGGGATGGGGATGTGCGTACGTTCGAGGGCGTGATGCCCTTCGTCTGCTGCAGGAATCGGATGGCGGATACGGCTTCCTGCAGCTGGAGCGGGTATCGGCCTGACGGTGCGAGGGTGTACCCCACCAGTGCGATGGCCAGGGCCTTTGTCGTATAATATGTCCAGATGGGTGGGCACAACCGGCTTGCAGCAGGCTCCTCCTGTGTCTTGTGAGTTTCAGGGAGATCATACAACAGGGGCCGAGCAGACCGTGAAAGGCAGACGAGAGTCTACATGGTGGGTTCGCTGGGTTGACAAAGCCACAGTATCTTGACTCCCTCCGGAGTCTCGTCGATCGTCTTTGAGAGGTGCTGTTTTCGCAGAAAGGCTTCATAGATCATCCCGGTCGTCGCAGGCGTGGACCTGGCCATGGCGAGTGTGCTTCAATCGCATATTCGCAGAAGAGACTCCCATACCACATCCAGGTAGAGACATTCCGGCGCAGAAATGTCCTGGCCAAAGCCAAATGGATACGGATAGTTGGATACGCGGAGCTATGGCTCAAAGCTCCTATACCCAGTGGATTTACCGTCCTTCAACCCGGGGAATCTGTTGATCATCCCCTCATGCAAGCAATATGTCCAACCTCCCCTCCCGCACTCGTACATTGGCAGCTTTTCTATGCTCAACACCTCTACAGCTCATGTATGATAGCCGTGGTTTCAGCCAATGGGACATATCTCAGTCCCAATATTTGAACAAAAGACCTCCAATAATCCAGGGATGAGAAAATGCCGAAATTCAACTTTCTCCAGTTGCGGGGCAACTCCACAATAATGACGCACTTTTTTTTTTGCCTGATTTCTTCCAGCGTCCGTCTTCTAGATCTTTGCCTTGTAGACAACTTCTGAGCGTTTCTGTCGATCACTGTAAGCCTTTAGACGACACTTACAATGGCGCCGATCATCAAACAATGGAAGAGTAATCTCCAGGGCTTCGACAGTCTGCACCAGGCCGAAGCTCCCATGCCCACACCCGGTAAAGGCGAAGTCCTTGTGGAAATCCATGCCGTCTCTCTCAACTATCGCGATACCGAGGGTGAGTGGTCCACGTTCAGAGAGAGAGAGAGAGATAGAGAGAGGGGGTCAGACTGAAAGTGACCTGTCCGATATAGTGGTCCAAGGAGAGTACAACCATCACAAAGCCACCGATGGCATCGAAACCGTCGTCGTTCCCTGCAGCGATATGAGCGGCGTCGTCACGCAGGTGGGGGACGGCGTGACCACCTGGAAAGTCGGCGATCGCGTTCTCTCGACCTTCCTGCCCGATCACCAGACCGGACAAGTGACCGAGAAAGAGCTCGGCGGAAGCCTGGGCTTACCGGTGGACGGAGTGCTAGCCACACACCGAGTGTTTCCGGAGCGCGCCCTGGTTCGGGCTCCGGCGCATATGATGCACGAAGAGGGCAGCACTCTCCCCATTGCGAGTGTGACGGCGTGGATGTCGATCAATGGGATGCGGCCGATGGGTCAGAACGGTGGCCAGGGGGAATATGTGCTTCTTCTTGGCACCGGTGGCGTCTCGATTGCCGGGTTGCAGATTGCCAAGGCGTCTGGCGCGAAGGGTGCGTCTTGTTGGAAGCTACCTCTGTGCTGGGGATAGGTGCTGATAGTCGCAGTGATTATTACTTCGTCCTCCGATGAGAAGCTGGAGCAAGCGAGGAAGCTCGGGGCCGACTACACCATCAACTACCGCACGCAGCCTGACTGGGACAAGGAAGTGATGCGAGTGACCAACAACCACGGCGCGGACATCATCCTCGAGACTGGCGGGTCCGATACCCTGAGCAAGACCTTTGACTGTGCTGCCTTTGGCGGGTTGATCGACTGCATCGGCTACACCTCCGGCAAGCAGCACAACCCGAACGACCGCTTGAACATGAACGTCCTCACGCTGCGCAAGGACCTGACGATTAAGGGGATTATCAACGGGCCCAAGGACCGGTTCGAGGAGATGGTCCAGTTCTACGAGAAGCACCAGATCCACCCGGTCGTCAATCGGGTCTTCCCCTTCGAGGAGGCCAGGGCGGCATTCCAATTCCTGGCCAGCGGGGCGCATTTCGGCAAGGTCGTGGTCAAGGTGAAGGATCCGTAGACGATGAGATTTTTTTGTTCTCTCTACATTACATCACGTACCATACTCTTGTCTCCAATCAATGCTCCTCTCCAAACAAAGATCCCATGGCCAACATCTTAGTTCAGCGCTCGGCTAGGCTTGATATCGTGATTGTCATGCAGCGTCAAATCCTCCCCCAACACCGCATCCCCGATCTTCACCTCCTGGCATTCCTGCAGCACAAACACCATCCGCGTCCACTCGGTCTCACTCGGGTTCCTCCACGCATGCATCGTCCCCCGCTGCACCGCGATGTCCCCGGCGCGGAGAACCCGCTTCTCGCCCGAATCCAGCAACATCTCGATCGTGCCCTGCGCGACGATCCCGTAGTCCAGGCTCTGGGTGCGGTGCATGAACGGCGGCCCGCCCGGCGCAAAGTCCACCACCCGGCACACCGTGCCGTTGGGGTTCACCAGACCCAGGGTGTTGCTCTTGGCGAGGTCCTCGTGCCGCTTGATGTCCGTCTCGTCGTTCAGGTTCGCGGGGAACTCGGAGGTAGTGTACACAACCCCCATTCCCAGCGCGCCACCCTGGAACGAAGCCCAGTTGAGCGGGGTCTCGGAGTGGATGACGGCTTTGCCTTCGGGGTTGTGGGTGGTGATGTAGCGGGTGACGCCCGTGAGGGGCGAGACCTGGCCTGGGTTGGAGGACATTGGGGGCTAGCGGAAGCTGGCGGAATGTAGGAGTAGGACCGGGGTAGGTGTTGACTGATGTGTGAGAGAAAGTGGGTGGCTTTGCTTGGGCTGGTCGAAGGCGAAAGGGGGGGGTATAGCGGCTTATATAGATGGGGGGAGGGGCTGGCGGGAGGATGAGACGTGCATGATTTTCAAAGCTGCAGACTGCACGTAAGATCTGGAGGGTTACTCTGTATTTCCTTGCTCCAACAGATTATGATTAGTGAAAAGAAGCTTAGCTGCGGGGAAACTGCACGAATGCGCTGGCGCTGCTTCGCAGTGGAGTCAAGTCAGGCATATCAACTATCCATCCTCTGGCCGTCTCCCCGATGATGATTGATTTCTAATCTTTTTGCAGCAAAGAGTCAGACTGAAGGATTTTCCGACGCCAGCTATTCATCAGTGGGGTTCCACTCTGGTTAAGTAAACTGGACAATGGATATAGTAGATATGCGTTTCCATATATCTACCGTCTGCACTGTAAGTGGCGTGTCTTCCAGTATGTTGAAGGTGTCAGACTCGGGCCATATGGCTCTATGCAACGGTGCCTTTTCTAGAAGCCTGGGCATAGTCCATGATGAATGAACCTCCAATGAACTGCTCGATTAGATGCTTAGTCCGGCTCTTAAAACCATATAACGCGTCATGAGTGACTGGAGGACCTTTCCAATGTTAGAAGTGACCGGCGGAGCATCCGCTAGTGTACATGGCACCCAGCCCTCACCACTAGTCCTGGAAAAGGCTGAGAAGTCCGCATTACATCTGCATATACATGGCTGGTCGATAGCAAAAAAGAGCCCGTGCCTAAGAATCGGTGTTTCTGTTCTACCAGAGGGCATAGATTCTTGAGCTGGAGCTTATTCCACTAGGTAGAAAGCCAAATGAGACGCCGTGGCTGTTGTCGCCAGTACTGCAAAATCACTAATCCGGTCTTTCGGAAAGACCTATCAGGACAACATTCAAAACATTCAGAACCCAGAGGCTAATATATCACTGAGTCGAGGACGCTGGGTCCCCCGTTTGGCGGCTCAGTGTGCATTACAACAAACTCTATGGACTAGTTAGACAATTAAAACTCCCATTAGTTCATATAACTCCCACGCAGATCCCTTCCACGGACTCCTCACCTCCTAATCACGACGATATTCGCCCATATCTAGATCAAATTGGCCATCAGGCCCAGTGCACCCACCACCATCGCAGCACCCGCCATCTCCTTACGTGTGACCCCACTCGAGAACAGCAGGGTAGGACCCGAGCTCGCAGAAGGCTTCGTAGTCGCCGTCTGAGACGTGGACGTGGACGGCACTGTGGTTGAGGTAGACGGCTTGTAGGCCGCAGGGGCCGAGGAATCCGCATAGCCACTGTGGCCGCTGTTGTCGCTATAGCCACCATAGCCACTGTACCCGGTGCTACCGGTGCTGTCGGTGCTACCAGTGTTACCAGACTTGGTGCTCGCGCTTCCACCGGAACTAGGGACGTAAGTGGGCTGGCTGGGGGCGAAACTGAAGGTTGGCTGGAGACTGACGCCGTAGCGATCGGCGCAGGTTTTGCGGTCAAGGCCCTGGTGACATGGAGGACATCCTTAGCTTTCTCCATGCGAGAATCACGAGTGAAAAAAAAAAAAAAAAAAAAAACAAACAAACAAACAAACAAACAAACCTCTGGGCAGCAGTAGGGATCTTGCAGACAGAACGAAGTGCCGGGACAGGCGTCTGCCAACAGTCAGTAACGTTTGTGTAGACATGTGGTGAGGAGAACGGACAGGTTTTGCCAGGGCAGCAGACGTCGCCTCTGGACGGGTAGTAGCAAATTCCACTGCGGCCGCATTCGACGGACCCTGATGGGCACTCGGAGACGGGGGTGGAGCTGGGGACAAAGGCGGAGTTGTCCTGACGCTTGATGAGGCTGAGGCTCTGGAGTTCGGAGAACTCTGCGGCCACCTGGGTAGCCAGCAGGGGAATAAGAAGGAGTAGAGGACTGAGCATCTTGTCGGATGGGGTCTTCAAAAGAATGACTGTAGTTGGTGCGGTGGTTCCGAAAGAGCGACTGGTTGGAAGAATGAACAGGACGCAAATCTGTTGAAGATGTGTAGGCTTGGCCTGCCTCTTATGTATCAACCAGGAGGCTCAAGAGTCGACACCATATTTGAGTTTGAGTCCTTGGGAACGTCTTGGTATGGAATACGAGAGATGCTGTAGACTGATTGAATGGTTCCTGAGGAGGCGGAAATAGTCATTTCTAGATACGAGATGTTCATCCACGACGGGGGCAATACGAGATTTGCTAAGCCTCATTCAAGGGTCTAGATGGAAAAATGTCGCCTGAGCGTCTGATTCGTCTGCCTCTGAAGATCTCTGGTCCCTTGAGGCCTGAAGGGGTACACCGTGCCCCGTACTAAGAAACTAGATGGGAATATGGTCCTGGTGCTATCATTGCTTTTTGTCTGCAGACTCGAATTAGCATCTGAGGATGACTATGGCTCAAGGCTGATTGGAAAACCCCTATATTGGATTCCGGATAATGGCATCTGGGCTTTCCAAACAGAGGAAGCCCTGATATAATTCATTAACACTTGTACTATCCGTATAAGCCCTTCCCAGTCTCTGCGCATTGAGATAGCGTCATAAGACGACCACTATATCGGGTAAATAGGAGAAGAAAAAGCCCAGCTTAGCTCACTGAGATCGACATCATACTTCGTTATATGCACCAATCAACGCGTATGAGCAGGGGATAATGCTGATCCGGTAGATCGTCATTCAGCCGGCTGGATTGGCACCTCATCCTTCCTTCCTCAGGCACAGTTGCATGGTGAGGATACAGAATATCCCATCTAAAGTCCGAGAGCAGTGTAGATGGAGACGCTGCACGTGAGAACAGCCACAAGTTTTCAGGAGATCTTTGTAGGGCTAGCGAGCGATGAGGAGGAGCAGATAGTATTCAAGAGACTCTAGCCTCTTTAAGACTCTGAGGAATAGACAGTTAGTGTGGTGATTTTTATAGCCAGAGAAGCCTTCTACGCTGCATAGCAATGGACCTTCAAATAGCATATTCGAGAGTTGCCTGGGAAATATCAATATATCACAGACGCAAAAATCGAAATAATTTGTCTGCAGCGAATCGTAGCATCTGACTTTGTGTACGAACCGTGGTTTTCGAGCATGCCGAGTCGAGAACGGTGCCTCGTGCACGGTGAGGAAGAATACTACATACCTTTAGTGCGGTCACCCGCTACTTAGAAGCCAGGTCGATGAGATGTTCCCCAGTGCCCCAGATAGCGCCGCCTATCATGCATCCGCAGAACATGATATAGACCAGCTAGCCAATGTCAACATTTCATTCCAGCCGGAGTGCTATAAATACATGTACATACCATAGACGCGATCATAAGCGCATCATCCCATCCAAATGCCTTGATGGTATGCAGACAGACATAACAGCGCAACATCACCGCAATGCTAGCGACGGCCAGAAAGGCCGCCGCAACGCCTTTGATTGCCGCGCTCTGGTCAATCATCGCTGCCGAGATCTCCTGGATCCAGAAACGATGTGCGCAGATCGGGGCGTAGGACCGATTTGAGGTTTTGAACTTCCCCAGTCAACCACTCTGTCGAATCCCACACTGGGGTACCGGAAAGCTGAGAAATCGTAGTGTGCCTGTCGTGATTCGGGGATAATGCAGCCGTCGCCACTGGAATTCGCTGGTACCAGGAGCCCGGGCTCAGACGGGGAGGCTCTTGGGAGTTGGGAGTATTATCCCCGATATCAAGAACCATGGTCAACACATGGGTGAAGACGGACTTGGCGTTGTTCTGGGCGTCTGGCTGCCAGGCTGCCGTGTAGTTAGAGACATGTTGACCTGCAACAAGAATGCACTGTAGATGATCCGATTCGTCACTCTCTTTGTTGAGGGTTGATAGATACTGAGACATAGTGGGTCATTCAGGCGAGTGTCTACTCCGTATGGTCAAGCCCTGAGGGACTACATAGTATATCGCGATCCGCGAACCATAAATAACCAAAATAGGATTCTCCAGACTAGTACTACGGAGTATGCCACTCAAATGCCCATCTGCAATCTACGGAGTATTAGCTAGCTAGATTTGGACTCAACCGCTCCACCAACAGCGCTGGGTAGTGAGTGAACAGTGGATCAGGCACGATTAAGTAGACATGATTGAGCTCTCATCTCAGGGTCCGATCACCCATGACAAACTCGTACCTCATGGCAATACTGGGAGAGTCTTTCTGAAGGTCTATTGGGGCATTCACCTTGTCGTGGTTGATATGGGATAGGCTGCTATATTGGAACTGCAGTGAACGTATGATGGGAGTCAGATCAACCGAGATGGCCTTCCGATTGGACAATTGAAGCACTAGAAAAGGGGCTCATCGTTTCCGAGTATACGGAAGAAAGACTCTCCGAGATAATCTGACATTCCATTGCTTGGCTCTCATTCTGTGCTCTACGGAGTATAAGTGGAAGACAAGTCGTGGCTGATCAGGAACGCTTAAGCCCTAGGTACCAGTTAGCACTTAGTAGTCTACAGCCTACACAGCTGCTCTAACAATAACAACCAATTATCCCAGATAGACCCGGCTCCGCTCCTTCGGGGCTTCCAGGTTTCAATCCATACATTAACCATTGCCCTAATATCAGGCCGAAAAAAGCCCAACAAGACTAGTACTAGTGCAGTACAGTGTAGCATGCAGCAGCTCCAGCTCAGGTACCAGCATGGAATAAGAATCCCTCTGGCCAATCCTGTCAGATTTTAGCACTCCGACTCGCATGAAATGAGATGTTTCAGACTCTCAGCAACGTCCTAGCGATCCGAGCTAGTATCTATCTAGACTAGCTAGTATCTAGCTACTGGATTGACCAAAGACCCCTTCAGCCTGATGGATATGATCTCAATAGAATTTCCTCTTTGGGACATCGGGACCAACTAGACGAGTGCATTCTGAGGATGGGATTGGTCTGATCGGCTATGACATCATTTTCCGGCAGTCTAACCCTGATTGGGACTGGGCTTGTATGTTTTTACAGTTTAGGATAAAAATAGAGAAGCAGGCATGGTTGCTGATAAAGCGCCGAAGCATGGAAGTCGTGTATGAGTGGGTGATGGGAGGTATAAGCAGCAGTTGAAAAGGTCGGGGTGCTGCTGCTGCTGGTTCCTTCATCTTGTTGTTTCCCCTGAGAAATTGTCCTAAGAGTGATTCTGATTCACGTCTGGTCTGGTGAGTGCCATTTCCAAACTGCTGCTGGATACAGTGCTAAAGATGGAGTCACAGTCATCATGGCCCTAAGCAAAGAAGCAGTCATCTTGATCGTGCTCGTCGGGTGTATCGTCTCCGTCCTCATCGGCTACTCCGTGCATTTCATCTCCACCGGGGGGTTCCGCGACGACGAGACCGAGAAGGAGATGACACACGAGCAGAAGGAGTATATGAGAGGGCTTCGGTTGAAGCACTTGGAGTTCCTGGCCGCGCAGGTGGGGAGGAGATACCCCATGGAGGCTTGACCTTGCCCGTCGATTCTGAGCTTGCCTTCGCAAGGCTGAATTGAGTATTGCATAAACGGTGTTGGGATCAATCCCTGCTGGGCAGGGTCTATATTTGCATACACGACGAGTCACATCACGACGTTGCGGAGCATGGCTGTACGATAGAAAGGCTCGCAGGATACTGGGTCATGGTTATTTCGTTGGCGCATTATGGATTTTTTTTCGGGGGATGCCTGCTGTGGATGAACGACGGAAAGTCCTGGAATCGGGTCGTTCGGATTCGGAAATGCAACACCAGAAGGCTCAATCATAGTCGATGGGCACGATATCATCGATCATTCGCCACCGGCCGGTCGTCGGGTCACAGTGATTTCGCGAATACTTCAAGTACAGCTGCTCGGGACCGCGATTCCATCGGGAGATGTCAAGGTCGCCTAATAACCAGGGCTGGTCACCTGGTCGGAACACGGTATAGCCGTGGATTCGAGCTGCTTCGGGAATAAGCCGTGTGAGGGAGATTGGCGCCTGAGTTACTTGGAAGTTGGAAGTCCCGCCAGGAATGATGTTGGAATGATGGGTGCTACCACCGCTATGTTCACTTCTATTGTACGATATCCTGTCAGCAGGTGCAATGTCCGCCTCTTCTAAGTTCATAACAAGTTCGGCAAAGGTCGCAACCGGTGGGCATTTGTAAAGGTTTTGCATCGGCGGTGCCTTGCGTAGCAGATGAAGAGCTTCTCGGCGCAGCTCCGGGTCACGGCATTTTAAAGCTGTCAAAAAAAGCGAGAGGCCGACGCCCATCTCGAAGGTGAAGGGTGGCTGCGCGCCATCTGGGCCTGCTGAGGCCTCAAGATGTACCCGCGACTGCTCGACCAGGAGCTGGAACAAGGGAAGGCAGGCATCACAGGCGGTCTCCAACTGCTCCGTGCACGTGCCGATGTTGATAGATGTAGCAGCATAGTAGGTGAGAAGGAGAGAAGTAACACCGAGGGGAAGATCGGATGGGTCAGAGGAATTGACCAGGTCGTTGTATGCGCGATACCAGTAGCTGAGTTGTCCTTGGATCGTCATTTTTCTACTCATGAGTTCTTGAGGCACCGCTGAATCTTGACCCATGACCGTAAAGTGTTCGTCTACTGTACGCTTAAATATCATACACTCAGCAGCGAGGGCGGTAATCGCAGCGCGGGCCGAGTGAAGAGAAGAGAACCCAGGCTCTATGTGGTCTTTGGCGCAGGTCAGTAAGCCAGGAACAGAGGTGCCCGAGAAACTCAGCGATATCGTCCCCAATCGAATAAAGAAGGGAACAATCGTGTGTTCTAGGAGGTCGGAGTCTATGCGAAGGACCGTTCTGTCGCCATTCGGACCCCTAAGCTCCATGATCAGACGCACCCCTTGTTGATAGAGTTGCAGGGCTGCTTCGACGCGGCCTTGCAATGACTCAATGCATATGAACAGGATACAGCTGATGAGCGCCACATTGGCGTCGATGCTGCCTCGTTGGATGCGCGCTCGCATGCTGGACAGCGACCGCGAGTACCAGCGCAATGCATCACGGTGATTGGGATGCAAATTCCGAAACCCGTCCCCTCGGCTAAGCCACACCGGATCGAAACATGGATCGGGGCTTTCAAACAAGGCACTGATGGCGTTGATGGCGTCCCAGGCGGCAGGCTCACTGCGACAGACCTGGGGGACCACGCGGGCCCAGAAATCGAGGTCAAGCCCGCCAGCGATGAAGGGCGCTGCATACTGAGCGTAATAGGCGAAGGCACGCCGCTCGCGCCATACGGTGTTGGGTAATACTGACGGTGGGATTGCGAGGATGGGGGCAATGCTAGATGGATGCTGCCGGGATTGAGCGGCACTGCTGTATTCGCATTTCCGTCCCGTGCTGGTGCATCGAAGACAGTTGGGCTTTTCCTCTCCACACTTGACCTTGCGGATTCTTTCTTTTCTGGTTAGGCAGCGATTCAGGACCAAGCTGACGCCCACTCACTTGCATGTCCTACATCCGTTTCGAGACCGGTTTGATCCTTCGTGGCTCTTACTTGAGGGGGTGTCATCCATTGTGTTGTATTCGTTCTCGCAGGGATGCAATGAGCCAGGAAGATTCGTAGAGGTCAGAGATAGGAATGAGCCCATAGCATTGAAGCAGGACATCCAGATGTTGGTCTCCTTAACAGACAAAGCGCGACTCCGATTAGTCTGTCTCGCTTAATAATGGCTTGTATTAATACTAGTGCTCAAGAGCCATTCGCCATGGCACTACCCAGTGTCTATCGAATCTTCAATGGAAAGAACGCCTGTGGTAGCAGAAAAATCCATCATGAACATGAGAATATCTGGACGAGATCTCCTCCACTGGTATCACCAGAAAGTACAAATGTAACTGGTGGAAGCTGTCGCTTTGGGAGTTCTGGTGCTAGTTGCCCATCACGTGACGATGACAGACCGTCCAGGTAGAGAGCCTAGAGTTGCATACCCGCACCGCAAAAATCGGATCGAACCCTCACTGAACTCGCTGAGGTCATGAGGTGAGGGTTTGGTTCCTAGGCTAGGGTCGAGGGATCTGTAGTGGTTCCAGTTCCCCTTTGACCAAGCCTCTTAGGTTTTTTAAGGTGGTGTCGTGCTGGTGGTGAAAAACTAGATATTTGGACTTTCTACGGAGTATATAAAATTATATCACTAGATATCCTACTATCTGATCTATCTAGGTATATAAAGAGTTCTCTATACTAAGAATCAATTGATGTAAGCTATATTAGGTAAATTAATAATCTATAGGCTTATAGCCCTATATAGAGTAAAGTATATAGATAATGTTGCAAATATGTTCCCTGACGTATCTGGCCGGTCGTCCTACATCTTAAGTGCTTCCATCTATCCTGTGTTTAATCATGCCTCTGTCTTGGTCTTCTTTTCCTTCTTCTCTATGGAGAACTTAGTGTTAAGCTCTTTTCTTAAGGGAACTTCCTTCTCTAAGAACACCAGCAGGAATCCCAGGCCTGTGAAAGCCAGGCTCACATACTAAACTACATTGAGTAAATCTATGTAAATGGACTGGACCTCCGCGACTATGATGGGATCCGCGATGGAGTCAATAAAGATCTTAGTGGCATACTCATACGCCCGTCCATTGGTGAGCTGGCTACTGATGCGCGGCACCAGAATGTTGAACTAATTGTTGAAAATGGCCGTGGCAATGGTTGCGCCCCAGATAAAGCTAAAAGTACCCATAAAGGACCACATTGCGGTGCACCACGCTGTATCCTCATCAGTCAGTGGGGCCTGGGCCATGGGGAGAAGAACCAGCAGCGCAAGACCTGTGCCCAACACACTGAGAAGTTGGTAGCCCACCCACTCTGCAGTCGGCGTCGAGGAGGGTCAGGAGACCGAACCTAATGATCATCAGCGCGAGGCCCGCGTGCTGGATGGGACAGTAGCAGCCGAATTTGGAGAGCAGGGTTCCGCCGCTGCATTAGTTCGCTTTTCATGAGCCATGAGCCTAGAAGCACCAATTACCTCAGAGGCAGCGATGGGAGGATCGATGGGCAGGAACCAGGTTAGGGGTACGGAGCACTGTTCCGACATGCCTTCAAAGTACCGCCGGTCTCTGTGAGTATTGGTAACCCCCTCAGAAGTGATTGACTATTAAGTCTAACTCTGGCCAACGAAATCAGCCAAGCGATCTACTCGCGTGGCCGCCCTGCCGCACCGGCTAACGTACTAACGGCTTAACCCGCCCCCGGTTGATCATCTAGAGGGTCCCATCTGGTAGCCGGCATGGAATGATGCGGAAGTCAAGGTGGGAATCAGTCTGATAATAATCCAGCATTGTCAATTGAATCATCGGCTCATATCTCATAACTCGTATACATATCCCACACCGACATCACAAGAACCACCGAAACTCCGCCGCCGACGGCCCATCCCTCAACCTCTCCGTCGGCACATCCTGCGCCTTGATCCTGATTCCGTCCCTCCTGTCTCTTCGCTTGTTGTCTAACCACATATACAACCCCAAACACCCGGCCAGACACGCCCCCGTGGCCCCAAACACCGCCACCGTGATCAGCGCCGGCGTATACTTGGGCTTGTCCTCGCTGCGGAACACATTACTGCTCACCAAGCCCATGAGATTCGCCAGCGGCACGCCGATACTCGTCAGCAGGACGCGGCGTCCCTCGTGCGCCACGTTGTTGTTGTACCAGGTACTCAGCAGCACGGAAGGCGCCGAAGTGCCCCAGGTCATCATGAAGGTCGCAAAATACGCGACTCGGATCTGGGCCTGGACGTCATCGATGGACGCGTAGATGATGAAGCCGATGAATGTCAGCAAGAAACCCAGCACGATGAAGGGGGACCGCAGGCGGGCGGCGTCGGAGGAAAACGCCAGGATGAGCAGCATGACGGCACCGGTGATGTTGGGCGCCACGGTGTAGAGGTTCGTTTTGACAGTGGGGTAGCCGAGCCGCTGGACGATCTGGGGGAGGAACAGCCCGACGCCCTGGATGGGGACGCCGAGGCAGATCTCGATCGCGAGAAAGGCGTAGGTGGTCGGGTGCTTGAAGATGTGCAGGGCGTCGCGGAGGTTGAACTTCTCGTTGACGATCGCGCTGGAGTCGACTTGGATCCGGTGGAAGGCGAGCGCCTTCTCATCCGGGGAGAGAAATTCGGCCTCCGCGACGCTGCGTGGGAGGTACCAGAACGCGAAGAGGGAGAAGAGGACGGTGACGCCGCCTTCGACGATGAAGAGGTAGCGCCAGTTGGGGAGCGGCGAGTTCTTGATCTGGAAGACGCCAAAGGCGATGAGACCGGAGAAGGCGTTAGCGATGTTGGAGGCGGCGTAGAAGATGGCGAGACGGCGGGCGAGCTCGCCGCGGCGGTAGAAGGTGGTGAGGTAGTAGATGACCAGGGGGAAGAACGGCGCCTCGCACATGCCCAGGAACCAGCGCAGCGCGAAAATACCGCCGAAGTTCGTGGTCGAGGCCAACAGCAGGGTGAAGGAGCCAAAGCTGAACATGAGGATGGGCAGCACGCGGGCCGGACTGTAGCGTTTGCCGAGCAGTGCGCCGGGCGGAGCAAAGATCACGTACGGGATGAAGAAGATGGAGAGCAGCATATTATACTCGTTGGGTTTGAAATTGAGGTCTGAACGGGTTCAGTTGGGTTTCGTGGATGGAGAGAGAGCCCATAGAACATACCCTTACTCATTCCGTCCGTTTCGGCATTGCCGAGGTTGCCTTTGTCGAGGGCATTGAAGAGATCTAACCCCGTCAGTATCGCTCTGCCGACCAGAAGGATAACAGAACGTACACATGATGGCAAGAACGGGGAGCAATCGCACATCCAGGCGACGGCAGAGTGCCCGTTCAGCCTTGTGGTCCACCACCTGCACGACATCCTCCACGACCCCCGGTGCAGAGACGCCATGCTTCAGACTATTACTCTCATCAACAGTCTCATATCCAGTCAGATTCTTCACGTCATCTCGCGATGAGGTCGCGTGGGGAATATTTGCAGCCATGATGCCTAGGCGCCGAGTCGGAGCGCTGGCGGAGAACAAGGGCGAAGAAGTCTAGCTATAAATCCTGGATCGATGGACGCAAGGGATGCGAGCCTTGGCTGGCCGTGTTATCAAGGGAGTAGTAGTACTCTTGTGCTAGAGGCAGCGTATCATCCGTTGAAGGACATCCAGATAAGGTCGCATTGAGGGAGCACAGGACAGGATAGAGTGTAACCCCCACGGTGTCACCTCCGCGTTATCTCTCGGCCGGTGATCTGTCAGATTCTAGTACTAGTGATTCTACTTGATTGCATTGGAGACTCGCAGGTGAGGGGAAAGGAGCTTAGCAGGCTGGACGCAAGCGGCGATCCCTGCGCGGACCGACAGGGTTGCATTGCTGGGAGATAGGAATGATGCCTGTCTATCTATCTATTATCTCTGGCATCGTGCATTAGTAGGATCTTCCTTATCTTTAGTTTCAGATACAACTCGGAAGAGCTGGCTCCGATATCAAAGTTGTAGGAGAAGGTGATAGTCGAAGAGGAATGCAACTGTGCACCAATACTCAACCTTAGCTGCACTTTAATACTTATATATCTAATTATTCTTATACTTTTCTTGTCCTATATCAGGAGAGAGATTCTATTTATATTTACTACTTATAGCCTCATCATCTATAATCTCTTTTCTTCTTATCCTCTTAAATTCCTTTTATGCTATGTTCTTCTAACTCTCCTCCTACTACTATCTACACTACTTAGTACCTCTTATCTAGTGCTAATATTAGTATTAGTAAGCTTTAAGCATATTTAAGGTCTAAAGTATGATTTTAAGTATCTTCATTTCATCTTCACCTGGGTTGAAAGATCACGGAGAAGAATGATAATCCTCCACTCCTCGTTGCGCTCTCCACAGACGTCCTATGGTCGTTCAATCGTTGGTGTCAATGGTTGGAATCTCTGTTCTAGGATAAATCAATATAGAACGAGTGCATCTTGATCTCTGCAGGGTTGAGAACGTCAGTATCCAGCAAGCCATGATATGCGCTCTAAGTCCGATACAGGTCATCTGGCAGTTGGGAAGCCCACGTCAGACAGACCGAGAGGATGGCGGCGCTTGCTTATCTCTGAGCTAAGATTTATCGAATAAATTATAAACCTCAAAAGTCAATGCGGATTGAAACGGGTGCATTCCGTACCCCGCAATATCATGCGCCGCTGGACAAGGTTAGGGCTCGCACCATGAGTGCTATAATGAAATCATGTTATTAGCAAAGCTCTCGACAGTACTTCAAGGAGTGGTGAATGGAATTAAGATTTATTTTACAGTGGAGAAGAGCAGAGACCAGGTTTATAGGTATTCTCCTTCGAAATTGGAGGACAGTCTCTCCGCAATATCTCCAGCACTCCAGCTAATGACCCCAGACGGAAGATATCCGGCTGAATGCGTGACTGCGGGGGAGCTGCATCCTGACGGCAATTGAAATAGATTAAGCATTCCTAAGTTCTGAGACTAGGCTAATGGAATTTCTGAAGAAAGACGCCGTCTACTCCACGACAAGCCTGCAGATCGACCATGATTTACCCGTTTAGCCTGTACGGAGAGAATCCGGGGAAGGGAAATGATTGCATGCTGGGGAGACTGCAGCTCATATTTAAATGAATGTCGCCCACATGCATTGTGTTTTAGAAGCCACAGCCAAGGTGTTTGGCTACCGCTCAGCCCGCAACAAGATGGCCACTTCTCTCGCGCGCGCAGTCATCTCCCTTCTCGTCCTCTTGCAGATCAACAATGTCTGGTCCGCTCCTCTGGAGGGGTCCCTAGGCTCTAGGCATGGAAACCCCAAGAGCCATTGGGTGGATATCTGGGCTACAATGCCGCAACTAGTCGAGCCCTACAACCTGCCTCCGACACCATTCGTAGGTTTCCCTCTACGAGTTCCATGCTATCCGTTGCTGATGAGGTATAGAACTCCACAGACGCCGTCATGAGCAACGCGACCATCCGCCAAACCCTCCGTGTCACCCTCAACGCAGACAAGATCCGCCTGCGTGTCTCAAACGCCTTCGGAGTCAACGATTTGACTGTCACCAGCGTCGCCATCGGGCTCCCCGCGGACCAGAAGCTGGGAACCAGCGTCCTGCAGCAAGGCTCAAGCAAGAAGGTTACTTTCAGCGGGAACCAGAAAATCGTCATCCCGAACGGGGCGCTGGCGGTCTCTGATCCCATCGATCTCCCGGTCAAGGCGCAGTCGACTCTGCTGGTTGATATCTACCTTGCGCAGGGTCAGAGGGGGAATTGGATCACGGGGCATCCGGGGAGCCGGACGACGTCCTGGCTGTCGTTTGGGGATTGGGTGGGCGCGAGTAACTTCACGGACTCGTCGGCACTGAGTACCGATCACTGGTAAGCGTTGGTACAGAGAGGGGGCGACATTGTTTAACACCAGACAGGTACTTCATCAGCGCCATCGAAGCCCCCTTACCACCATCGACTTCCAGCTTCGCTATTGTCGGAGATAGTATCACCGACGGACGGGGCAGCGACACTAACAAGAACAACCGGTACTTCCTTGCCTCCATCCCAACTGAACCACACCAAATACAAAATGCATAACTGACCTCCCAAAGCTGGCCCGATCGCCTCAACCTGCGAATGCAAAAACACCGACCCACCTCTTCCATCGCCCTTCTCAACCAGGCCGCCGGTGGCAACCGCATCCTCGCCGACGGCTTGGGGCCCAACACCCTTAGCCGCATCGATCGCGACGTCCTCGCGCACTCCGGCGTGCGCTACGCCATGATCTTCGAAGGCGTTAACGACATCGGCGTCGCGGCGGACGAAGCTGCCGCCCAAAAAGACATCGGGGACCGGTTGCTGGTCGCATACGCGCAGATCGCCACCCGCGTGCAGGCGGCGGGCATCCCCATCTTCGGCGCGACGGTCACGCCCTTCGGGTCGCCGGCTAGCTCGAACTACACGCAGCCGTACTCGGGTGTCGAGCGGGAGAAGACGCGGCAGCGCGTGAATGAGTGGATTCGCTCGAGTGGGGTGTTTGATGCGGTGTTGGACTTTGATAAGGCGCTGAGAGATCCTCGGGCGCCGGATCAGTTGGCAGAGAGGTTTGATTCGGGGGATCATTTGCATCCGAATGTGAAGGGATATCAGGCACTGGCGGATTATTTTCCTTTGAACGTGTTTGATGTGTAGGAAGACCTTGCTCGAGTTTGCGCCTGGCCCATCAGTTCAGAGAGCATCTTAACGAGCAGGATGGATCGGGCAATTAAACATGCCCTGGACGACTTTAGGCTAATGTTGAAGCCAGTGGCGGGGTCTGGTTCGCTGCAATCGTGGAGATGATCTCTTTCTCATAAATTGGCAATAAAGCTTGATCATATGAAGCATCAGAATGCGGTTCATTTACATGCTCAAGATGGAAATAGTCCGGAGGAACGCTGCCACATCCACCTAGTCAGACCTCGATTCTGGCTGCCAGGGTCAAGACTTCATGGCTGTCTTCGATACCGATAGCTTTAGGCTCACTCCACAGCTTCTACGATTTGTTGGAGGTAGCGTAACTCCGTCCAATCCAACTCTCGATCGCTACGAGCACTATTATTTCTCATGCATGGTTTGCTACACGGCCTGTCCCGTCTCCATAACAGCACGCCTTGCTGACCATCAGAATTCTTTCTACCATCTCCTCCCACCTTTATGGATTCCTCTCCTCTTCAGTGCGCTCCCTTCCTTCAAGGCAATCGCGCGCCCTGGCCCAAAATCAGGCTTCCCTCCCAGAGTCCCAAACTCATCTCCAAGATAATTGCTTGCCTTCACGCCCACCGCAAACGTCGTATTCCATCCGGCCAGGATGCCATCCACGACTTTGATGCCGGCATTGTACAGATTTTGAACCGAAGGCCCAAACCCTCCCTGGTCAGCATATATCAGATTATCCAACGCCGACTGCCCGGGATACGGCCGATCAAAGTTCGACCCGGTGCGCATGACGATGATCCGCGCAAAGTCGACGCGTCGGTGCTTCGCGGCCCGCAGAAGCGCCTCGAGCGTGGCATTGTCCTCCTGCGCCGTCGAGCAGTAGCTTCCCGTCCCGTTCGTCCAGACGGTGAGCGTATCCTCGAAGATCTCGTCGAGGGTGCTCCCGCTGAAGAACACGTCGGTGGTGGAGACGTCGCACTCGACGACTGAGGGCGCCTGGGTGCCGGCGGCGTAGATGCCGTCTGCTGTGGCATAGTTGCTGCGATACCGCTTTGCGGTGTCGGAATCAGCTAGATCGGCAGTCCGCGCAAAGGAGGCGGCGATGGAGCGCAGGTCGGCGTTGACTTCGAAGACTTCGGTGCCGTAGATGGCGCCGGGGTATTCGCCGGGTTTCTTTGCGCCCTGTGGGAAGTACGGGGAGGTCGCGTTGGCGGGGAGATCGCGGAGGTCGATCTCGTACTGCAGAGCCACTTGCACAGCGTACCGAGCAAAGGTCACGCCGCCGATCGTGGCCGCCTTGGGGCTGATCCCGGCAATGCCTGCGATCAGGAAATAGGTGTGCGTGAGGTCGAAGAGGGGCGAGAAGGCGACGGACGACACGGTGATGGCGGCGTTGATCTCGCCTTCGCCGGTGATGAGCTGGCAGATGCTATAGTCGGCTGTGCAATAGACATCCGGATAGATGGGTGAAGCACCTGGCACGGTGATGTTGTGCGCCAGCAGATCAAAGTCGGGGATACCCCACCATACCGTCGCTTCGGGCTCGAACTACAAGCAGTGAGTATGGTATAGATATGATCGGTGCATCCGACCGGACATACCATGGAGACAATGAAGATCTTGGGCGCGATCTTGCGTGGATGATGCTCTGATGCGGATCTGACGACTGACTGCCCAGGCATTGCCGACGCCAGGGCGCTGCCTGCGAGCAGCAGTCCTGTAGCAATGGACTTGAGATACATGATGCCGTTCTTCTCACAGATGAATATCCTCTACCTTGCTAATTTTGACCCGGAGACTCGGATAGTTATATGAGTGCGAATATTTTTTTTTTCCCCCTTCAGCAAGATCGCGCAAGAGAGTCCTGATATGGCCAACACGGTGGATCCCGATCCCAACTATCACTATCGCTCTGAGCTACAACATTCCTAGTCTAGCGATCAGCGTTGATATCGCATCCTATTTGCCAATTTAAGCATTGGTCTTTGTTGCATGTGGAGAATGCTCCCGGTGTTCACCGGTATGCCAGCGAATTCATTCTGCAAGGGAAAGCTTTTCCTGAGTCTGGTGGATGATAAGTTGATACCATGTCTTAGTAGAATAATATTGGGGACCGGTGAGATTGACACTGAAAAATAAATGCTTTCAAGGCTATCTATCGCTGCATTTCCACCTGCAAACTTGAGACTGGATGACTGGACTGGTTGGTTCAGTATAAACGATGATTCATCCCTACTTATCCTTACTTATCCTTCTCCTTCCATCCTCCTCTCACCTCAGCTTTACCCTCCTTAATCTCTGAGTATGAGAATGTTAGCTAGATACTAGCAGACTACAACCCCAAAGGCTAACCTTACCGTGAGTTGCCAGCCAGCTCGCGGGTCCAGATCGGGTAGCTAAGACATCATCGGCATGTTAAGTGCGCAAGTTTGATATTGCCAATACTATAGTTAATATAACCTGGGAGCTTTGAGGAAGGACACTACATGGTTAATAGACTTTATTACTCTAGGATATATAGAAATGAAAGATAATAGGGCAGTAAAGTGGATCGCTTCGCAATGCTAACTCACCACTTGGATACGGCCATTCTGTTTGATTCTCTATGAACGTAGATTATCATTATGACCGAGGAGGTATACAGGCCTCTTTTAATTCACACTAAATGAGTATATCAACCAAACATTCAAGGAGCTGAATAACTTCTTTGTATGCTCCTCAAGTCGCTGTTCACCTTTTGTAAATCAAAATATATTCAAGTATCGCCTGAGACTCCATTTTATCCACAAATCCCAGCGTGGAAGTTCTCCATGGACGTCAATTGGTGCATAATCTCCTCCCTGAAGACCTCACTTGAAGGACCGCCCGGTCATAGCTCTCGTGCCGATCCCATGTTTTGTCAGTCTTGCCAGCATGAATTGCCGACACCCAGCAGGACATGAAGACGGTGGACCTGACACGTTTTCTCCAGTCCACCAATCAACGGGACTTTTCCCAGATTTCATGTGAGCTTTGACACCAGGTGCACTAAATCCCATGCAGCCGGTGGCCTGGTGCACCTAATCCTGGGTGGCATGTTTCGACTGGGAGTCCTGGGGAATAAAGGCCTCTCGACCCCCTCCCCCTGAAAATGCAGAACCACGGAATTACTTCATCTTGTCTTCTCCTAGACTATCAACATGAAATACGCATCCTTCCTTGCCCTGGTGGGCTTCATCACCAGCACCAGCGCCATTGGTGTCTCCGGGGCTGCGGAGGGTTTCGCCAAAGGGGTCACTGGAGGTGGAAGCGCCACGCCTGTCTATCCCAGCACGACTGCCGAGCTGGTCTCGTACCTCACAGACAGCCAGCCGCGCGTGATTGTGTTGACCAAGACGTATGTGATCGAGCGCCCTGTTTGCGACAATGCTAACCGCAGGGCTGAAGATTCGATTTCACCAACACTGAAGGCTCGACCACGGCGACGGGCTGTGCGCCTTGGGGTACTGCCCCAGGCTGTCAGTTGGCGATCAACCAGAATGATTGGTGTAAAAACTACCAGTCGAGTGCGCCCTCGGTATCTGTTACTTAGTAAGTCGGCCTGCAGTTAAGGAAGGATAACAACTGACGGGCCAGTGATAATGCCGGCGTGCTTGGTATGACAGTAGCTTCGGATAAGACCTTGCTGGGATCTGGATCCAGTGGTGTGATCAAGGGAAAGGGTCTCCGGGTTGTCAGCGGCGCAAAGAATATCATCATCCAGTGAGGTTCATGGCAAGGCTGCTCCGCTTGATGGCATGCTGATATCGGGGGTTCAGAAACGTTGCGATTACGGACATCAACCCCAAGTACGTCTGGGGCGGCGATGCCATCACTATCGACAATGCCGATATGGTCTGGATCGACCATGTTACGGTCAGTGCCCTACTTGATTGATATCGATCTTTTCCGCCACTGACAGGTAATAGACTGCGCGCATCGGCCGACAGCATCTCGTCCTCGGCACCAGCGCCTCGAACCGCGTAACGATCTCCAACTCCTACTTCAACGGCGTGTCCAGCTACTCCGCCACCTGCGACGGCTACCACTACTGGGGCATCTACCTTACCGGCTCAAACGACCTGGTCACCATGAAGGGCAACTACATCCACCACTTCAGCGGCCGCAGCCCGAAAATCCAGGGGAATACTCTTCTGCATGCGGTAAGCGAACGCTGCCTCGGGTTTCATGCAGCCTCTGCTGATTGATGCTAGGTCAATAACTACTGGTACGACTCTACCGGCCACGCCTTCGAGATTGGATCGGGTGGCTACGTCCTCGCCGAGGGGAACGTCTTCCAGAACATCAAGACGATTGTGGAACCGCCCGTGGGGGGGCAGCTGTTTACCTCCCCAAATAGCAATACCAATCAGGCCTGTTCGGCGTATCTGGGTCATGTTTGTCAGGTTAATGGTTTTGGGAGCTCGGGACCATTCAGTCAGGCGGATACAGGGCTCTTGTCAAAGTTTTCTGGTAAGAATGTTGCCTCGGCGTCGGCGTACACGGTGGCACAGTCGAGGGTTCCGTCGAGTGCCGGGCAGGGGAAGCTATAGGGATCGGGCACATAGGACCGTGATGTTCAAGGAGCGGAAGGACGGCCTTTTGGCCTATGTTATTCATCTGGATGAAACATTTCTAGTCATCGATTGATTGATGTATCATTGGCTTCAGAGAACCAGTAGACAGGGGTAGGTGAAATCAACAATCACCACTGAGTCAAAACCAGGTACTAACCATCCGCTGGTCAGCCTGTTCAAAAAGCACAGGCGCGAGAGAGAGTTTTTGGCCCAACCTGGTGGTGACTGAGCTAGATGATACACATTATACGGCTTAATTGGTCTAATACTGTGTTATAATTAGGATTAGCCTAGTTGTGATATAGTTGAGAGGGCCAAACCCTCATGCGGATTGATATGACGCATGTGGAGCCAGCAACGGGGACAGCTGATTGACCGCAACAGAAGAGATCTTAGTCCGTTTGACTACTACTAAACACGTAGAGAGTAGTTAGACTTAGGTTCAGGACGATAGACTACTAATATATCTGCGTCTCGGGGGATTTCGAAGAGATGAAGAACAACGTCATGCACGTGGGGACCAGCCACATGACGTCACGCCTGTCTCCCATCCAAGGCGGCTTCTTCTTCTTCTTCTTCTTTAATACTCGGTTTGCTCATCCATGGGAGAGTCGAATGCCCTTTGTTCAGTCTCAGGAACAGAATAGCCGTCATCCCCTTGTCTAATATCATCCCGGGTTCATTGCTCGCTCACTTCCATCCTCGCCTCCGATCATCAACGAATCCCCTTCATAACCCTCCCAAGGTGCGTGAAGTCCCTCGGTTTCTCTTATGGCTCACCATTGCTAATCTTTTAATCGCAGAAGCCAACTCCATCCGTCACCATGCCTTCCATGCACGAGCGTATCCGAGATGATCTCCTCAACTGTGAACGTGCCCTCTGGACCGCTCTCACCTCCGCCGACCCCGGACCAGCCATTGAAAAGCTGTCGAGCCCCGAGGTCAACATGATGTTTCCCAAGACGCCTGTCCTCACCCTCGAGGGCGAGAACACCATCAAAGAAGCCGTCAAACCACCGTTCCATCGATTCGATACCTACTCCCTAGACGAAGTGCGGACCATCATCATCGATCTCATGGCGGGCGTCGTCACATACAAGATCTCGGCAACCCGAGGCAGCAAAACCTACAAGGCGACCGGCTCCTCGACATGGAGCCAAGGATCGGATGGAGAGTGGCGGATTGCGTGTCACCAGGAGACGTTACTGTGATTTGGTGGGTGCCTGGGAAGTCCCGCGTGGCGGACTGCTGTCTGGACATTTTCTCTTCTTCTTGATGACGCCATGTTTCCGTCGTATTGTAAGTGCTTGATACCGTTGATATTTGATGATCGGAGCGATGTGGTGCCCTGCAGACTTGGATTTAATGAATTGTATGAGCTATGAATGGATTACTTTTGCGGTTACCCTGGACTGGACTTGTGAGTATATTATGTGTAGTGGAAGAAGCAATATGTTTAGTATATTTATTGTACGATTGAAGAATGGGAAGAATTTCTCTTTTATACATTGTCTCTAGGGTTGACAACCAAGTATATATAAATATGTACATCGGGCAATGAATGAATACCGGGGAACTAGTAGACAGCGTCGATTACACGATTACTTGATTTCTCCTATAGTTCACGCTGAAATGCGATTTACAAAAAAAAAAAATAGGCAATTTACATCGACGGAGAGCAAAAAGAAAGGAAAACAAAAAGAGATGGGACGAACCGGGATCGAACCGGTGACCTCCAGATGAATTGATTGAAGTGGACTTCAGTCTGACGCGCTCCCAACTGCGCTATCGTCCCAAGATGATGTGCAACCGACAAAATTGTGCCATGTTGAGCCTACACTAACCGAACCGGCAAAAAAGACCTTCCCATCTTCATCTTCCATCTTCCTCGACGGATCAATCAGCAGTCTCGCTTGCAAAGTCCGAAAAAAATATCGAATGAGCGGTGTCCATCGCCATCTCTCGTCCATCGTTTCTGTTTGGTAATAATATCCGATGCAAACCTCCGTGATCCGTGCCGACTCGGTCAATCTCACCCAATCCACATCCATGTTGGTCCCAGTCGGTGGGCCGAATTTACCCCAGCAGTTCCCTCTCGCGCAGTCAATGTCTCATCATTCGGAGTCGGAAAATTCTTTTTTATTTTTTTTTTCCCTGTCAGAGTGTCAAGTTGTCAACCCGATCTCTGCGGACGGTGCCCAGCAGACTCTGTCTCCACAGTTGATCCATCATGACTCTCATGACTGCCCATGCCCGTGAACTGCAACAGGGCCAGCAATGGCGTTCCTCGTCATGGTTCATCGTAACGGCCATGGCAATGGCTCTATTTACAGGTAGAGTTTGGGTCTTGTAGCGCCCTAGCCCCTAGCTTCTAGCCCTGAGAAGCCCCCCTCCCCTGACCCCAGCTCTCCAAAAGTACCACCCAACTGACAACAAGCACCCAAGATACATTCCTCTACACTTTCCTCGTTCCGATTCTCCCATATGTAGTGGAGACCCGCCTGGGGCTTGATGCCTCATTGACGCAACGAATCAGCTTCGCGTTATTGTCGGAGAGCTCTCTCGTCGCCGTCGTCTTGAATCCGTTCATAGGTCACTACGCGGACAAGTCAGAATCAAAGCGAGTGTGGCTGCTGTCGGCGTTGGTGGCCGCCCTGCTTGGATCGATCTATCTGGCCGTCGCGAACTCGGGTGAGGACCGTCGTCCTGGGGAAATGTGACGCATCTCGATGGCTGACTGAACGCAACAGTGTTTGATATCTTCATGAGTCGCCTGATTCAAGCCATCGCGAGTGCGTTCATGTGGGTGATAGGATACGCAACCATAGCCGACTGTGTCGCACCCGAACGCTTGGGCATGATATACGGGGTCATCTCGGTGGCTGCGGGCGTCGGCCTATCTGGCGGCCCTCTGGCGTCGGGCGTGCTTTTCAAGCTGGGGGGTTATTGGCTGGCGTGGTCCAGCGCCTTTGTGATTCTCGCCGTCGATATTGTTCTGCGACTGCTCATGGTGGAAAATCCCAGGAGAAGGAAAGGTATGTGAGCCGACGACAGCGGGCCCGACGCCCCCGTGGCTGAATTCTGACTTTGGGCAAAACCTTCTTTGTAGAGAAGCAAGCAATTCGCCCCCCCGCCAACGACGACCCGCGCCCTGAGGAGACGCCACTTTTGTACCCAGATGATGATCCATCACCTGCCCCAGATGCCAGTGCACCGGCCGAAACGATGGTCAAGAGTGGCTGGCAGTATTACGTATATGTGTTCCAGCATCGCGGGTTCGTGGGCGGGGTGCTGGGCTTTTTTGCCTTTGCGATTTTGATTTCGAGCTTTGACACCACGCTTCCTCTGCACGTCCGTGATGTGTTCGGCTGGGACAGTATGCCCACCGGGTTGATGTTTCTGGCTCTGCAAGGCCCGTCCATCGCGCTCAGTCCCTTCATTGGCTGGCTGAAAGACCGAGTCGGGACCAGGATTCCCACCACGGTCGGTTTCTCTATCTTGGCGCCGTTGATGTGGCTGTTGGGTGTGCCAGGCGATGAGCGCTTCCCCTGGGCAAACCAAGGCCAGCGGGGACAGGTCATCTATGCCGTTGACGTGACTGCCGTCGGCATCGTATCCTGCCTCCTCAATGGCGTTGGCACGATTGAAGTGACTAGTAAGTTGACCTGTCGATCATCTTCAAGTCTACCCTGGTCGTTTGGTGTGGGGGAGGAAAGGGAAAAGAAACCCCTGTTGGCTAATCTGTTTCATCTTGATTGTTCAGAGGCGATTGATGATATTCAAACCAGGCACCCTGGCATTTTTGGACCACATGGCGGGTATTCGAGAGCCATCTCGATCTGTAGCATGGGCTGGACCATCGGTGCGTTCCTCGGCCCCATCTTGTCGGGCTACCTTGTCGAAACGATCGGATATTACGAGATGACCGGTGTGATCGGTAAGTACCAAGGCGAGATCTCTCGAGTCTCCAACGGTTGATCAGCTTGCTAATATGGGCCTTTTGTTTTCCCCATGGACCAGCGGTACTGTGTGCTGCCTCCGCTGTCAACGCATTCTTGAATCTCGGATCTCAGGCGCATGTCACCCACGGAAGTCCTAATCCGGACCCCCACCCGTAACTTATGTGATTGTCTCACACGGGGTGAAACACAGCCGGCGCTAATTAGGTCTATTGGCAGCTGTCAACCTGTTTGGCATAAGCTTGCATCGGATTGATCTCTCTACGACTGTAGATGCCGTAAAGATGCGTTTATTTCGGCAGGCTAGCTACTTGGAGGGCTTCAATCGGGCTCCACTGGTTTCTCATGGGGGCGAGGTGCAGCTTAAAAGAATCGCAGGATCTGTGAGACTGTGATGGAACAAACCAAATGAAATCATTCTCGGCGTCAGCAGCAGTCTGGATAGTGAATGGTCTGCTGATCTGAGCGGCCTTTTTTTTTTTTATTTTTATTTTTATTTTATTTTTGACTTCTTGGAACCGTAGCGAGGTCCGCATGTATACCAAGAAAGACTGACTTTCTCGATCAGCCACCACCCACGCAATGGAACTAGTCCAGACTCTAGACGACTCGAGAAGATGTCGAGACTCGAGAGCAAAGGAAAAATAGGGCATAGGCACAGAACTTTTGAGGCTTGAGACCTGCCTGGCGTCCACTTTTTTTTTTTTTCCCGCAGTAGTGCACATTCCAAAGGCCGCTTTTCTCAGCCTCGGCACAAATCACACAGCGACTCGTCCTTGGACAATGGGCCACTGCTGAGTTTTATTGATCCTCCTCGAGACCGTTACTAGTTCAATGCCAGGAGGTCTTGCTGATCGGTGTATGCCCCGATTCAGCTTTCGCTTCTTTTTTTGGTTCGAACCCGCCAATCCTGGACCAAGCTGTCGAAGAGAGTGGACGCCCGGTTATAAGCCGGAAGACCCGGTAGAAGACGAATCGTATTCGAATCCCGTCTCGCGTCAACGGCCGGCCTCGGGGGGAAGGGTTTCTCTAAGATTTCCAGTAGTGCGAAATAGTGTGCTTGCCTGGTCAGGCTACTGGAGGTCTGGAAGTCTAAAACCGAACTAATGTGCTTCCCATCCTTCCACCATCGCGTTTTTCAGTCCTGCTAACTGAGAACAGACTAGGGCTCATACCGATCCTGGCAATAATGCATGTGTCACAAGTGCCTGAAGAACGAAAATTTTTTTCTTGACTCCGTACTATCGAACCATGGATGCAGAACTGCCAGAACGGCAGTCCATAATCCAGATGTGATCATGCTGAGCCTACACAGTATGCCCCGAAGACTCCACCCTCTCCGGCCGAAGATGGATTGGAATTTCTCTCGTTCAGACTGCAGTGACCCGCGGACGATCGATCCGCAAAGCTCAAACCGGGAGTTTCACTCTTGGGATCTATTTATGTGACCTATCCCCCAGAAACCCCATGTGCACCGGGCCCCCCGCGGAGTTTCATCGTGACCTTTGACTTTGAGAGAGAGTTAGTTTTCCATTTGATCTCATCATCTGAGTGATCTATCGGGACTCGACGGACGCAAATTGCAGGCTGCTCTGGGATCAATCGGCTTATAGTCTCTGCAAGGTTTCCGGAGGTCATTCTGTGGCGGACGGCGACGGACGTTCCTGGCCACGCCACCCAATCTTGCTCTCTCCGTCTTGCACTCTTTGCATTATTCTTTTTTTGGTTCCCCCAGTATTGACGCTCTAGATCTCAGGACTAGGACCTGTGTTGGACTGCCGGGTAATCATTCCCAACTACGATCATCTCGATATCGAATCCTTCGGGAGATGAAATAAGGCCACCGCCCCATCTCAAGGGTTCTTCTTCTTTTTCTTTTCTTTTTTTTTTTTTTTTTTCTTACATACACACATTGATTCGGGTTCCCGAATTTATCATATTTTCTTTTTTTTTATATTTTTTTTCTTTCGTTTAATTCATACGTCATGCCTCCCCGAAGGATCCTGATAGTAGGAGCGGGCATTGCCGGTATTGCTAGTGCTCTGGCCATCTCCAAGGAGCTTACCCCCTTTGTTCCCGACCTTCAGATCACCATCTTCGAACGTCATGATATCCTCTCGACTTCCGGGGGCGCGATCAACCTGACCCCCGTGGCTCAACGTCATCTCGATCAGCTAGGCGTCTTAACGGAATTAGATCGACTGGGCGTCGAGGGTGGAGCGGATGTCGATTCCATTCAATTCTTCTCTTCCCGCTCGGGACGGTCCCTGGGGTCGATCGACTTCACGCAAGGTCGGGGCCCCGAATTCACCGGGTACAAGGGCCGACGGGTCATGCGCATCATTCTTTCGGTGGCCATGTTGGCCGTCGTCGAGCGGACCCGGAACATCGAGATCGTGTTTGGCAAGAAACTCTGCAAGGCCGAGGAGATGGATGAGGAGGCCACCCTCTACTTCGAGGACGGCACGACGGCCCGGGGGGATTTGGTGCTGGGGTGTGACGGCGTGCATTCGGCCACGCGAATGCAGTTGGTGGCGCCTGAATATCCCTCCGAATACACGGGCATTTCCTTCCTGCAAGGCGTTGTCGACGCCAAGATGGTCAAATCCCGCGTCCACTTCCGAACGACGTCGATGAACGTCTCCCGGCACGGCTCGCTCCTGGCGAGCTATTGCGATCGAGAAAAGGAGCAGATCTTCCTGGCTGCGATTGTCCAATTCGATAAGCAGCTGATTTCGCGATATCGGATCGAGGCCGGCCAGGATTGGAGGAAACAGCATGCCATCCGGAAAGCCCTGCAGGCGGAGATGCAGGATCGATTCGGGAAATCGGGCATTCCCTGCATTCGGGAGATGATCTATAGCCCGGCCGAGTGGATGCTCTACCCAGTGTACCAGGTGCGGCCGGGAGGACGGTGGCATACCCAGCGGGCGATTCTCCTCGGGGATGCCGCACATGCGGTACGTTTGCTAATCCTTCTCCCTAGCCACACTCTCTCCGTTCGCTCCCGCTGATGATCCGGATTAATAGATGCCGCCCCGCGATGAGTCGGCTGCATATGCCCTTGACGACGCCATTGTCTTCTCCCGGATCCTGGCCAAATACCGTCTCGAACCCCTGGCCGAAGCCTTCCGAGCCTACGAAGCCATCCGACGCGAGACCGTGAACGAAGCCTTCAAGTCCTCGCAACGCATGTGGGAGAAACACAAGGACATGGGCTTGTTGGAGGGCCGGCTGCGCGAGTGGACGCTCCCTTTCTATATCCGCAATTCAAAAGTGGCTCGCGAGGCCGCGTGGGAGTTTGACGCGACCAAGATCCTCATTCCGCCGCCGGCCGAGGAGCAGGAATCGTTGTACTCGTTTGAAAAAGAATATCGTTTTTAGGCTGGGCTGGAATGGGATAGACCGGGACTGGGACTGGGACTGGAACTGGAACTGGGGTCTTGGTGTTTTTTTTTTTTTTTTCTTTCTCTTTTTCTTTCTTCTTCTGGTATCTGGCATGGGATGACATCGCGTCGAAAAACATATTGCATATGGTCATAGACCTTTGGAGTGGGCACACATTGCATCGCGTTGGGGGTATTTCGGGATTATTTTGTTCTTTGCATCTTCTCTCTCTCTCTCTCTCTCTCTCTCTCTTTTGGATTGAATACGAAATACGAGTGATTCCGTCCGTCTAAGCGTTCGTTCAACTGTTGGTCTCTCACATCCTAAGCGCCGATAGACAAGCTCTTGCGAGTCCCATGGGCAGGCCCGGCAGATGGACGAGCGGATGAAACCCCGGCGTCCTTGGCAATGGTCCGCCCTACACAAGCTTTGAAACTGGATATTTTTCTACCTCATTTTTGAGACTCGAATTTGGCAAGGTCGGATCACTGTATTCGCCCATTCAGTCAGTGAGCTTCACTCCGTCTGGTGCCATGCTGTTAGGATGATGCAGCTTGTCGGTCTCTACCCCGGCCTTGGCTGCTGCTGAAGAATGATGTGTTCATGTGAAAGCCATGGAGTATTCTCCTGGCCGGGATGGTCACCGTGCAGGGCGGTTTAGAGAACGGAAATTATTCTCTTTCTTGCGGTCCTAATGCGGCGTCGTGTGACAGCCATCGACAGCAGTCCGTCCACCTATGACCTATAGGCTCTGCGATGACCCCCTGAAGGCACCGGCTTTGAGCTAGAAGGCCAAGAGATTCTGCCAAGCAGTCGGGTGTCTAGGATGGTGTTGCGGCGTGACCAGATGTTTGAGCTATATGGCTTCAACAACCCAAAGAAGCCTGGTGCCGGCGGTACTACGACGACCGTCTCCTCATAAGCGGCGTTCACCGCTGCAGTCAAGAGCGACGACAAGAATGCTCTGGCTAGCAATGGCGATGCCATTGGCGTTCGTACCTATCTCATAGTCTTTGGGTAGGGGGGGAGGGGTTTTCCCTACGAAAGAACAGAGTACTCCAACAACGTCTGGATCGACCCGGTCGATCAACAGCTACATCCACGACCACTGGAAGGCCTCGCTGGTCGGCCACTCGGACAAGGGCCACCGGCGCGTCACCTACAGCGGCAACCTACTGGAAGAACGTCAACTCGCGTGCTCCTTCGCTCCGCTTCGGCATCGGCCACATCTACAACAGCTACCTCGAGAACGTCAGCGACGGCATCAACACCCGCGACGGCGCCCAGCTGCGAGTTGAATCAAACCAGTCCGTTGGCTCCAAGTGGCCTCTCTACTCGATAGAAAAAAAAAAAAAAAGAAGATAAGATAAGGTAATGGGAGGAGGGGGAGAGGTTGGACTGCGCAGTCGTGGGATGCTCTGTACATAGTTGACTACTTCTTTCGCATCTTACGTTTGCTATCTAGCAATTGCCACAACCTAGATCTGTTTTGATTTCATAGTCTGCAATCACGCCATTCTTCTGTTTAACTTGTCGTGGTAAACTACGATCTAAGAAGACGAAATACTCATAGCATTTTGTTAACCTCGGAATTCCTTCCGGCCCCGCTTCGAGTCCCGTCATCCTCGTCTGTTGCCATCTTCTTGACTCATTTCGCTCTTCTCCATCACTTCCATTCCTCAATCTGCAAGTAGCACAGCATGGCCGACTTCTCCTCCATCCCCATCATCGACTTCAGTCGTCTGCAGGATCCCTCCACGAAAGAGGACACTCTCGCGCAACTCCGCGAGGCCATTTTCGTGGTGGGGTTCCTGTACTTGATCAACCATGGCATGGAGGTAAGCAACCATTTCCCTAGTTCCTCCCTTCCCCAAAAGGCTGATCGCGAGGCAGGATCTCATTCAAAAAACACACGCCAGACTCCCCGATCTCTTCGCGCTGCCCGAGGAGACCAAGGAAAAATGTAACATGATCAACTCGCCCGCGTTCGTGGGATACACCAAACTGGGCGCGGAGACCACCGCGGCGAAGACGGACTGGCGCGAGCAGTTCGATTTCGGGACCCCGGGGATGAAGCCGTGGACGTCGGAGGCGCCGTTCTGGCAGCGGGTCGAGGGAGACAGTCAGGTAATCTAGCCCGAGTGCCTCCGTGAGGAAGAAAGAAAGAAAGAAAGACCACGACTCATCACCGAAAACGTAGTACCCCGATTACCTCGGCGCCCAAGAACTGGTCGACGACTACATCGCCGCCTCGTCGCGGGTGTCCAAGCTGTTCATGCGATCGGTCGCCGAGTGCCTGTCTCTGCCGCCGACGACCTTCGAGTCCTTCCAAGGGAACATGGACCGGCTCAAGTTCGTCAAGTATCCGCAGTCGCCGCCGGGGTCGCAGGGCGTGGGCCCGCACAAGGATTCCAGCGGCTTGTTCACCTTCCTGTCGCAGGATGATACGGGGGGGCTGCAGGTTCTGAACAAGGCGGGCGAATGGATCGATGCGCCGCCCATCCGGGGCAGTCTGGTCGTGAACATCCAGCAGGGCTTCGAGGCGATCACGGGCGGGGTGTGCACGGCCACGACGCATCGAGTGATCGTACGTTTTTTTTTTTTTTTTTTTCTTTTGTCGAGTTAAGTGTGCATTAGCGCCCATGGACCATGGCTGATGAACTGTGCTTGTTTGCTTGTCTAGGCCCCGACAACCCGCACCCGGTACAGCATCCCCTTCTTCCTGGCGGTGCGGCTGGACCTCACTCTGGCGCAACTGAAGGAATCGGCCGCGCATATCGTGCAGAAGATCCCGGCGTCGGACGATCGCAAGAAGCGGGCGGTGGACGTGCCCAGCGAGTTCCTGTCGCCGCTGTATTCCTGCGTAAGTGGTTTGCCTTTTCGAGGTTCCCTAAGGAGCCGGGAAAGAGAAAGTTGCTGACGGGGGATAGTTTGGCGAGGCATATCTGCGGAATCGCATCCTGAGCCACCCAGACGTGGGCCAGAAGTGGTATCCAGAGTTGTATGAGAAGTATTCCAAGCAGGTGTTGACCTAATGTTGATAATCCCTCTGAATCCTTGGTCGATCCCCGGTAGACACTTAACCGTATTCATCTAGGGGACAATGTACATAGAATGAAGTAACGACGATGGACGATTCAGCCTCGAAAGGCCCCCGAGAAGCCAGGAATTAATCAGTGCTGATCGCTGATGCCGAGCCTCGCTGGATCAGCGCTGAAACGGGCACTGACAGGGCAGAACCCAGCCAGCTAGTCTGGAGTGGATCGTAGTGCATGCAGCTAGTTTGGTGATGAGCCCATGAGCCATGAATAATTTGTCGGATGCCAAACAAAGTTCCAGCTGCTGACGAGCTGGCTGGTGCCGATCTTAGATAATTTGGCAACATGCCCAACAGCGCTCGCTGCCTCGCGCTCTCCTCATCCCTTTCCTCGTCCAACACCCACTTCCCCGCGGCCAAGATGGCCTTTCTCCCCCCCAACATGGCCAACGTCCTCCTCCTCCTGCTCGGCGTGTTTCTACTCGTAGCGCCTTCTCTGGCAGTCGTCGTGAGCGAAGGCTCTCCCTGCCTGGTGACCTGCGGTGGCACCGCGAAGACCGAAAACCGAGACTTGATCTGCAAGGATGCCGACTACAACACGACGGCCGAGGGCATCAAGATGAAGAACTGTCTGCTGTGCGAAAGTACCAGTACAACCTACCGGACGCCGTACGACAGCGATATCTACTGGTTTATCTGTACCCCTCCCCCCCCAACTCCCCCAACACACCCTGTTCGTTCGGCGCGCTCTACTGACCACCGCACCGGCAAACAGTCAACCAGAAATACACACTGCAGGTCTGCGTCTTTGAAGCCTCGACCTCCGCCGCCTTGTCCCCCTGTGAAACACAGTGTCTGCCTCTGAAGCCCGTCTTCAAGACCCTGTGGTGGGGCAACCACGTCTCCCTGTACGACTACTGCACGCAGAACAACAATGCCTTCCTCACGTACGCCGCCGACTGCGCCGCCTGCCTGCGCGGGAAAGCGGGTACGGTGTCGATGGGGAACTGTAAGATACATGGAGTGCGTGCTCGTTCAGGGAACCCGGGCTAATTTCAGCAGTCATGGATAATATGAGTTCGGCGTGCAAGAACCAGCCGAATGCGACCAAGGGCGAGACGGTCGATCTGCCGCGGCCGATCTTTGACCTGAGTGTTGCCTCAACGTCCACGTCGTCGTCCACGACAGCGACAAAATCAACCACAGATGCCGTTCCAACCACAGGCACCACTGCAGCAGCAACGCCCACCGCGCCTTCGAGCGCCTCACTCTCTACCGGCGCATCAGCGGGCATTGGCGTCGGCGCCGGAGTCGGGGTCATCCTCGCAGGGGCGCTGATCTGGCTTCTGATGCGAAGACGCAGGCGAGCGCAGGCGCACCAGCCGGTGGAGCTGCACGAGACGCAGCAGATGTACTGGGAACCGGCGTCTCCTCCGCCTCCAGCCCCCATGACTTCGCGAGAACGGTCCAGAGGCCCTGTGGAGGCGCCGGGGGCAGAGATGAAGGGAGCAGGGGTGGTGGAGTTACCGTCGCATTGATGAGTTAGAGGTGTAGATATCCTTCATGCAGGAGTCGGACTTGATCATTAAATCTTATATCTATCAGTTCACCGAGTGTTTGAGGCCAGGTTGCCAATTGGCACTGAGCGGTTGGTTGGCGGGTCGGTGATCCCAGATCATGAATGCCACTGTGAATGACAACCAATTGTTTAATCTCCGACCGCTCAATTGCCACTGAGCGATGAACAGCATTCTTGTATTGGTCAGATAGTTTACCAAGTATGTGCCTCGAGGCTGGCTGATCTTGGCTCGGCGCTTTTTCATTCTCGCAAGCTGGCCATGTGGGGGGTTTGTTGTTACTGATTAGTGATGAATGATGATCAGCAGCTGTAAGCGGGGTCCAAGACGCCTTTATATTTCCATGCTTCTCTGCCCCGTTTGAACCTCCCCATTTTTCTCTCACAGTACCAAAAAGATGATCTCCGACGCAGCTATCAACTCCCTCAAGGACCAGTTGCGGTCCGCCAGTGTCTACACCCCCACGGCAGAGGGGTACCAGGACACCCTCCGCCGATGGTCGGACACGGGCTTCAAACCAGCGGTATGCGCAATCCAACCCCCTGAACCTGGAGAGGCTGCCCGACTGATACATGCAGGGCCTCGTGGTCATGCCGACTGACGCCGAGGATGTCCGCACCGCCCTGCTCTGGGCCCAGGAGCACGGCCTCGACCTCGCCGTCAAGGGCGGCGGCCACTCGGTCGCCGGCACCAGCTCCTCAGCCGGCGGCCTGGTCATCGATCTGTCGCGCATGAACGCCGTGAGCGTCGACACCGCCGCTAAAACCGTCACGGCGGGCGGCGGCGCCGTCTGGCGGGATGTCGACGAGGCGGCGGCCAAGCACGGGCTCGCCGCCGTCGGGGGCACGGTCAACCACACGGGCGTGGGCGGCCTGACGCTGGGCGGCGGCTACGGCTGGCTGAGCGGTACGTACGGGCTGACGATCGACAACCTGCTGGCGGCGCAGGTGGTGTTGCCCAGCGGGGAGATCGTGACGGCCTCGGCGACCGAGCACGCCGACCTCTTCTGGGGCCTGCGCGGCGCCGGCTACAACTTCGGGGTCGTCGTCAGCTTCACCTACCAGGCGCACGAGCAGACCAACCCGGTCTACGCGGGCATCCTGGCCTTCCCGCCCGACCAGCTCGAGGCCGTCGTCACCCAGCTCAACGCCACCGTCGCGGAGCCGGACCCGCGCGCCGGCGCCATCTGCATTCTGGCACAGCCGCCAGGCGCCCCCGCGCCGATGCCCAACGTGCTCGTCTTCTACAACGGCACGCAGGCAGAAGGCGAGGCACACTACGCGGGGCTGCTCGGTCTCGGCCCCGTCGTCAACACGGCCGCCATGGTCCCGTACGAGCAGCTGAACAGCCTGCAGAATCCGATGGCCACGTACGGCGACCGCAAGTCGTTCAAGGGCCTCTTCTTCCACGCGCCGCTGGACGCGGCGCTGGCGCGCTCCCTGCTGACGGAGTTCACGCAGAAGCTCGCCGCGGACCCGGACCTGGCGGCCTCGGCGATCCTGCTAGAGTTCTACGACATGCGCCGGATCTGCGCGGTGGCGCGCGACGCGACGGCGTTTGCCAGCCGCAGCAGCACGCAGAACGGGCTGATCAACCTGCGGTGGACGGACGCGAGCAAGGACGGGGAGCACCGGGCGTGGGCGCGGGAGGTGCAGGCGCGGTGGAAGCGCGAGCTGGATGCGAGGGCGAAGGTGGAGGTGCCGCAGTACATCAACTACGCCGAGCGTGAGTGGTGGCCCCTGTTTTCCGTCTGGATGAGATGGATATTTGGTTTACATGCTAATGCGCGACAGCGGGCGACTCGGTGGTCACCAACATCTACGGGGAGAACCTGGGCCGGCTGCAGGCCCTCAAAGCCAAGTATGACCCGTCGAACGTGTTTCACAAGATGCATCCGATCCCACTGCCGTGAACATGCATGCATGTATATATCGATGTAGAGACAAGTATGAAAACCACCGTAGCGCTATAGCTTCAACCCCTGAATCATATACTTGACCGTCTTGACCGCCGTCCAGCCCTCCAAGGCCTCCTCGCCCATATCGCGGCCAAACCCGCTCTCCTTGACGCCGCCAAACGGGGCATTCGGGCTGAGCATCGCCCACGCGTTGACCGTCACCTGGCCGGACTCCAGCGCGCGACTGACCCGATACGCCCGGTTGACGTCGTTGGTGAAGATGGCGGCGCTGAGCCCGTGCAGCGAGTCGTTGGCCTTGCGCACGACCTCGTCCTCGGACGAAAACTTGGCGATACTCTTGACAAAAATCAGCTCAGCCCTATGCAGCATCCTCCGTGGACCAAAAAAAAAAAAAAGGGAAACCATACCGCAACAGGGCCGAAAATCTCCTCCTTCATGATCGTCGCGTCCTCCGCCACATCCGCAAACGCCGTATTCTCCACAAAATACCCCTTCTCGCCCAGCTTCCCGCCACCAAACAGCAGCCGCGCCCCGCCCTCCTTCCCTTCCGCGATATAGCCCAGGATGCGCCGATGCTGGGCGGCGTTCACGATGGGACCCTTGGTGGTGGCGGGGTCCAGCGGGTCACCGACGACGGCGGGGGCGTCGGCCGAGGCCTTCGCATAGGCGTCCAGGAAGCGGTGGTAGACGCGCTCGTGGACGTAGATGCGCGAGCCCGCGGCGCAGGTCTGGCCGTTGTTCGCGGTGATGCCGATGCGGGTCCAGAACAGGGCGTTCTCCAGATCGCAGTCGTCGAAGACGATGCTGGGGCCCTTGCCGCCCAGCTCCAGGCTGACTTTCTTCAGGTTGGAGTGGGCGGCGGCGGCGAGCACGCGGCGGCCCGAGGCGGCGGAGCCCGTGAACGCGACCTTGCGGATGAGCGGGTGGGCGGCGACGGCGTGGCCGGTCGGGGAGCCGGGGCCGGTGAGGATGTTGACGACACCGGGCGGGAAGCCGGCTTCGCGGATGAGGAGGGCGAGCTTGAGGCCGTAGAGGGGGGAGTTTTCGGAGGTTTTGATGATGAGGGCGTTGCCGGTGGCGAGCGCGGGGGCCAGCTTCCAGATCGTGATCATCCTGGATGACAATTAGTTCGTAGAACTGGCGTTTTTCTTTTGGGAAAAGGATGCGGGCCTACAGAGGCGCGTTCCAGGGCACAATGGCTGCGCAGACCCCCAGCGGCTCGCGGTAGGTATAGCCCACCCCGCCTTCCATGTCCAAGGTGCGGCCGTCGATCTTGTCGGCCCAGCCGGCGTAGTAGCGCAGGTTGGCCACCGCCTGTGGCACATTCATGCGCATGCCGTCGGTGAACAGGATGCCCGCGTCCACGGCCTCAATCGAGGCGAACTCCTCGGCGTCGCGCTCGATCAGATCGGCCAGCTTGAGCAGGAGCTGGGCGCGCTGGGCGCCCGGGGTAGATCGCCAGGTGGCGAAACCGGTGGTCGCTGAGGTCACGGCGCGGTCGACATCGGCCTCGCTGGCGGCCGAGACGGTGCCCAGCACATCGCCGGTGGTGGGATTCTCGACGGGGAGGGTGGTGTTGGTGGAGGATGGGGTGAATTCGTTGTGGATGAAGAGGCCGGTGGGCAGGGAGATGGCGCGGCCGGCAGAGCCGGTGATCGTGAGGGACATTATGGTCGTGTTTTCTGTGTGTTGATTAGAGGGAAGGAGTGAGGAAGCGTGGCATTCTTATATAGTAAGGGCAGCGTTGTAGCAAGTATCAGTGGAATATGCAGCCGAATTCCGCGCGACTCGGATCTTTCCGTGCGGAACTCACACGTAATCTGCTTCAAGGTGATTCTTATCAGCCGGTGATTTTAGTTTTCAATCCATCGAACTAATTCTAAGCTGCGAGAATGAGATCTTCCTGGAGAGGGGCAGAGGGGCTGCCAAGATACAGTCATGGTGGGGGGAATAATCCTTCTACAGGGCGAGATGCGTCGAACTAGCGCCTGTCTGCTTGGAATCGTGGTCTGGAAGAAGAGCGATCCTGTCTCTGATTGACCAGAGTGATTTACAGCCGTTGCCTGCAGCGACAAGTGGTACGACTTGCAGGGTTGATCATGCGACGCTGACCATCCCTGGCGGACTAGTGAAGCGATTTCAATGGTGCTCATAAAGCAGGATCCAGGATTCCCTTGGGCTTAGGCAGTGGAGCTTAATGCGAGTGATACACTGATTACTGATGGATTGCAGATCGCTGGCGCGAGAACAGAACAGACCTTTGCTCTTCAAGAGATATGATCTGATGCGTTGTCTCTCTGTAGCCAAGTATAGAGAAAAGAAGCGACCTGACAGTCAAGTGGTCTTGCTCATCCGAAGGCTACTCTGTCTACTCGTCTTAACAACAACCTTTGTATGAGTTACTGATGGGAATAATGGCCTCCAGTGATAGCCCCCTGGCAAAAAAGTCAATCAGACTGCGACCATCGAAATCCGCTTCTTCACATCCGCCTGAAGCTCATGAACAATGCTTGCGGCGTCTTTGACCTCGTGGACCAGCCCAATCGACGCCCCAGCATACGCAGGCAGTCGCCCTTCAGGGCCCCAACCTTGATCCCCTTCCTTGAGCGCCGCCTCAAAGTCCTTCTGTAGCTCCTCAAACGGCCGCCCTTGTTGATACTCCACATACGACCGATTGATGATCGCGCGCGGACTATACTCCGGCGGCCAGTCCGTGGTCCCGCGCAGATGGTTATACAGCATCGTCTTGGTCGTCGAGACCGCCGCATCACTGGCCCGCACCACCTCCCGCTGATATCCAGGACTGATGCGCGCCTCTCGCGCCGCCAGGAACCGCGTGCCCAGGGCCACCCCGGCCGCCCCGAGACACAGCGCCGCCGCCGCTCCCCGCCCATCCGCAATGCCCCCCGCCGCAAACAAGGGCAGCCGACTCGCGGCCAGGACGTCCGCCACCTCCGGAAACAGCGACATGAGACCCATCCCGTCGGTGGCGCGGCCGTGCCCACCGGCCTCGGCGCCCTGGATCACCACCGCGTCCGGCCGCTCGGCGCCCCGCAGCAGCTCCCTGGCTTCGCGCACCGTGCCGATCTGGATCCAGATGCGGGTCTGCGGCGACGCGCCGCGCACGCGCCGCGACCATTCGTCGAGATCGGACTGCCCGTTGCGCGGCGCGTACAGCCACGCGGCGCAAGGCTTGAACTTCCCAATCAGCGCCACTGCCGTTTCCAGGTCGTCGTTCCAGAGCTGGAAGCCGACGCCGACGGGCAGCGGACCATCCGCTCGGAGGGCCTGGAAGGCGCCGGCCGAGCCGCGGAGGGTGGTGATTGACGACGAGGCTTCTTCGAGATCCGTGGCCATCTCGCTGGTCTTGGGGCTGGGGCCGATGAACCCCAGGCCGCCGGCGTGGGAGATAGCGACGGCCATGGCGGCGCCGGACATGACGCGCATGGGGGCGCCCACGATGATGGGCGGTTTCACCCAGGGATAGACTTTGGTGAGGGTGGATGCGATGTGACTCATTCTGCGAGAAGGGTGTGTTGATCGTTCCGGATGAGGATAGGGGGGAAGGGGAGAATATTCCGGAGATTAGAAGTGTTGAAGGGTTATATCTAGGCCGTTTAGTTTGGATAGGAGTTTGCCTGAAAAGCCTCGTCTTTTTATATTTTATACGTCTGCGGAAGAGGCACGTCCCGATGCGGAAATGCGGCAATTTCGGGTATTCCCCAGCTGTCAGCGATGAGAAGACTGTCTGGGCGAGCTTTGTCAGCTGCAGTAAGCTGGAATTTTCTCAGATCTATATCCAGGAGTCTCAAGTTACCTCCGTCAGAATCCACTGGAGAGTTGATTCTAGATGTACATCTCCAAGCCTGAATATCCCGCAAAACTCTCTGCATATTCAACAACCGAGTCATCCTCCCGTAGCCAAGCGCGAGTCCACCAGGGACCTCTGTATCCTCCGACGAGCTCGCATCCTGCACTATTCCATAATCCTCACTCGGAGACTGTACACACGACCTACTAAAAAAAAAACCCCCTAGAGTAGTGATATAGGAGAAAAGAAAAGAGAGAGAAACAAAAACTCACGGACCCGACACCAAACACCACCCCGGCATACTCCGGTCCACATTCCAGTTCCGAATCTGGAGCGAGATCGCGCCCTCAGCCGACACGAAGATCACCGCGTCGATAGGCTCGGCCACCGTGAAGGTGAGGATGAGGTCGCCGGTGTGGGCGCCGCCGTGCTGCTGGATCGCCTCGAGGGAGCTGAAGACGCGGCAGTCGCGGCGGCGGACCTTGTCGAGGCACTGGGTCAGGAGCGCGAGCGAGGGCCACGGCTGGTCGGGCACGCGGAAGACCATGCTGTATGTGTAGGACTGGGACGTGCGGCTGGGATGCAGCGGGACTGGAGTGGTGTTGGTGGCTGTGTAGGTGCCGGGGCAGTTGGGGTCGTAGTTGGTGTATGGGCCGGAAGGGAGGTTATCCATGTTGACTCGTGGGTATTGGGGATGCTGGAGGTTGAGACGGGGGTAGATTGGTTGCTTCTGCAGAGGAGGAGGAGGAGAAGGAGGAGGATGCACCATTTGGTAGATCGTCTGGTCTATTTATGGTGCGGCGCTGGGGAGAGAGCTTTGTCAATGAGTAGACAAGGGCTTTATGCATCGTATTTCGGCAGCTTTGTTCTATCGAGCACATCAGGGGGCAGACAAAGAAGACGAACCCAACAAAGAGGCTGGGCTACGATGAAGGACATCCTCTTTATACGGCTGAGCGTCATGACAGCCCTGTTTCATTCCAGGCCCAACGCTCTTTGCAGTCACCGCAGCGTCTGCTTTTGAAGATACGGGGACTCTCCGTCTACTCCCGGCGGACAAAGATCAGGGGGATCATATCACGAAATTAAGACCAATATATGTACAATCAAAGGTAACTAATGGATCTAGCTGAGATAAAGCCGCAATAAGCCTGTCAGCTCTCAACACTCTGCGCCGTTCTCCGGTTCCTCCGGGATCGTGGCGAACTTGTTCAGCACCTGCTTCAGCGCCGGTCGTCGGATGGGTTTGCTATCGCATGCGTTAGGATGGCGATAGAGGGCGCCAATGGGAAGAACGGGAGAACTCACCTGATGAACATGTCCATGCCGGAGTCTATACAATCCTTGATATTGCTCTCTTCCGAGAAAGCGCTCAGCGCGACAATAGGCGCCGAGTAGCCCATCCCGCGGATGAGACGGGTACTTTGCAAGCCGTCCAGATTCGGCATCTATCCATGACGGTTAGCAGGAGTTGAATGAAGACCATCCGACGGAAGGCAAGGGGGGAGAAACGGGACACACCTGGATATCCATGAAGATGAGATCAAACACCTTGCCCTCCTCCATATTCGCCTTGACCGTGTCGTACGCCTCCTGCCCGTCCTTGACGACCGTCACGTCGTACACCTCTTCCAGCCGAAGCATCCGCAGCACGACTTCCTGGTTCACGGCATTGTCCTCCGCAACCAGCACGCGCACCTTGCCGGAACTCGCGCTGTCCGCGGCGGCGGCGGCGCCGTCGGGCGCCGGGCGACTCGGCGTGGCGGTGCTGGCGGGGGTGAAGTAGGGCTGGCTGAGGCCGACGAGGCGCGGCTGCAGATCCTGTTTGTCGAAGGCGGTGGTGAGCGGGTCGCTGCGCACGGAGCCGCTCATCGAGCCGTTGTTCGACGGCGGGCGGGTCAGGCTCTGCAGGTCGTCGAGCGAGAAGACGCTGGGCGTGCGGGAGCCGGCGATGCTGGAGCTGCGCGTGCTCGGCGTCGCCTCCTTGACGAACTTGAGCGGGATCTCCACGGTGAAGCGCGCGCCCGCGCCCGGCTCGCTGTCCAGCGCGATGGTGCCGTTCATCAGGCGGGCGAGCTGGGCGCAGATACTCAGACCGAGACCGGTGCCGCCGTATTTCCGGTTCAGGCCCAGATCGCCCTGGACGAAGGGTTCGAACACGCGTTTCTGGAGGTGCGGCGCGATGCCGGGGCCGGTGTCCTCGACCTCGAAGTGGAAGATCAGGGTGCGCAGCTGCGCGAGCGCGGGGGGGTGGAACTCGTCGCGGATCTGCACCGCGTCGAGCGGATCATGGGGCGGGTGCGAGCCGGCGTCCGACGACGGACGCGAGTTCCGGCGGCTGGCGGGGGGGTCGACTTCCGACACGCACTTGATGCGCACCTCGACGCGGCCGTGCTCCGGCGTGAACTTCAGACTGTTGCTGACCAGGTTGATGAGCACCTGGAGGATGCGGTGCTGGTCGCCCCAGAGCACCATATCGCGCAGCCGGCCGGTGCCCGCGGGGCCCATGGCCGGGCGCGAGGGGGCCAGGGCCGTGTCCTGGGCGGGGAGGTCGCCCGGGAGCGGAGCGCTGCGGTCGGCCCCCACGAAGTGGACGTGGAAGTTGATCTGTCGCTCCTGGACCTGGTTCTGGAAGATGACGGCCAGCTGCGAGCGGATGTCGGACAGCCGGAACTCGTGCTCCTCGAGGCGGATGGCCTGGTCGATCTGGTTCTTGCTGAAGGTCAGCAGATCGTTCAGCAGATGCAGCAGCAGGTCGCCGGACTTGTAGACGACCTGCAGCGACTTCTTGATGCGCGGCAGGTCATCCTCGCCCATGCACACGGCGCACATGCCCAGGATCCCGTTCAGCGGGGTCTTGAGCTCGTGCGAGATGTTGGCGATGAACAGGGTCTTGCTCTCGTTGGCGGTCTCGGCGGCCTGCTTGGCGGCCTCGAGCTCGCGGGTGCGCTCGGCCACGCGCTCCTCCAGGCGGTTGTAGTGGATGGAGAGCTCGTCCGACATCTCGTTGAAGGTGCTCGTCAGCTCGGTCAGCTCGTCGGTGACCAGGTGTCGGCGTTCCTTGACCCGACCGGGGATCTGGAAGGTCTTGCCGTTGCTGCTGTGCGCGCTGACGGGGCGGTCCTTGACCCAGCGGAAATGCTTCACCCAGGCGGCCCGGGTGCCCTTTTCGTCCATGTGGTGCTCATCGTAGGGGCGCGGCGACGGATCCGATCCGGTTCCTCCGGCTCCTCCGTAGGGGCCGTCCGGGAGGGGTTCCGTGGACGCGGGCCGACTGTGGGGGGATTGCGAGGGGGGTTCGATCGACTTCCGGGTCGCGTCGCTGAGTCGGCGGATCGGGGCGACGGCCCAATGGGCGAGCGGCGGGATAATCAACAGGATGAGGCCCATGGTGCCAAACACACAGGCCAGAATGATCTTCCGCAGCTGGTGGATGGGCGCCAAGGCTTCGGATTGCGACTCCTCGACCAACAGGATCCACTGGGCGATCTTGGTCTTGGGTCGGATGGCGCCGACGGCCACGCGGTGGCCGTACTCGTTGGTGGTCGACAAGTCGCTGATGGAGTTGTTGGCCACGAGCCACGGCTGGGCGAAGAGTTTCCGGGCGAGCGGGTATCGAGACAGCGCAAAGTTGTTCCGGCTGGCGGAACCGCCGTGGCGGGTGTCCTGGCCGGGTAGCGGGGTGGGCTCGAACAGGTAGTGCACATCGGCGTTCGTGAGACCCTTGACGTTGGGCTCGGAGGTGGCGGTGGCCGGATAGGCGTCGGGAGCAAAGCGATTCTCGGGGCGGGCTGGACCCAGCAACAGGATCTGGCCGGTATTGCCCAGTCCATCCCGGGTGTTGATGACGGACTGGAGGCTGGCGGCGCTGGCGACGACCCTAGAAGATAGCGGCGGGGTCAGCACCCGGACACGACATGGGTGGAGGGGAGAAAGCCTACGTCATGTAACCAAGAATATCGGTGGCCGAGGTGTTGTTGATGATGGGCACGGTAACGGACAAGAGCGAGAACGAGCTGTTGATGGCCAAGGGGCCAAGCAACAGGGCGGTACTCAGACCGAGCTTGTAGTCGGGAAAGGCGTAGACGTCCGGGACCTCACTGCCGTCGGCGGCGGGGAGGTAGGTCAGGTTGGGGTAGAGCATGGGGGGATAGCCCAGGCCGTCATCGCCGAGTCTCACGGGGGTGCCGTTGGACGAGGGGTAGGGCAGGATGATCTCGGGGACGTCGGCGGTGGTGACATTCAGTAGTCCGTGGCGATTGCCCTGGCTGTTGCGCGAGAAGATGGTGGCCTGATAGAGATCGAGGTAGTTCCCGCTGCCCATGGCGGAGCGCACGTCGGTGACGGACGCGGTCCAGTTGGCGTCGCTGGAGTTGCCATTGTAGAAACGACCGAGGGCGCCTTGGATCAACAGGCGGGTGACGATGGTCTGGCAGGTGGACTCGATGAGTTTGAGGTTGGAGGCGATCTGGCTGGCTTTGATGGTGGCGACCAGCTCGAGGCCTTCGGATTGCACATTGATGACGAAGTTGGAGTTGTTGACCCACTGGAGAGGGAGTCAGTGATCGGGATGCGCCTCCTAGGGTCTTTGGACTCGAGGACTCAAGGACTAGGGCTGGGGGATGTCGATCAGTGGGACTTACGATGGTGATGGACAGCACCGCCAAACCCACGAGGGCGGTCACCAGGACCAGGAGGCCCAGCTGTACAGCAATGGGGATGCGCATCGCAGGGAGAACTCTGGCTGGGTCGTCCAGAGAAGGGAGGAAGACCTCAGCTCATCTCTTGAGGTGTGTGATGGAGAGGGTGAACGAAAGGAGAGAGAGGAAAGAGAGGAAGGAGAGGAAAGAGAGGAAAGAGAGAGAGACAGAAAGATGGAACAGTGGCCTAACTGGGTCTAGTCCTCTATCTAACTAATTGATTACTCTAGAGAGACTTGGATCTAACAATCAGCTCCGAGTAGAGACCTGAAACCTGATACTGGAGACAGACTTGACAGTTGGCAGTGATGGATAATGAAAAATACCCAAAACCAGAGGAAAAAAAGTGAAATTACTGGAGCCGAGGTGTGGGTCTGGCGGAACTGTGCCTTGGAAGTGGAGTCTTTCCAACCAGCATGATTGGCTGTCCAAGAAGTCTAGACCCGGCCAGACTCGGTGTTGCTGCTTGTCATTTCAGAAAGCCCGCCAATGAGCGACGGTCAGTCGGGGTGGCACGTGACTGCAGCCTGACCAACATCACTAGATATATAGATATATATATATATAGATATATAGATATATAGATATATAGATATATACCAATATACTACGTATACACCCAGTGCAAATGACCCCTACAGATCAATCGCTCCCACCAGCGCATCCAGCGCCGAACTATGCGACGAGGCGTCCACCGTCTGCAATGGACCCGCCCAGTTCACGCCCATCCGGTTCTCCCCATCGCGATCATTCGCCCAGATACTTTCCGCCGACGCAGCTATGACCTGGCCGTACAACTTGTCAGGCGCGACGGAATGCAACAATCGGAGATTCCGGATGAAAATCCCCTTGAACTGCGTGCTGTCGCCGCCGCAGCCGTCGCGCTCACAGGACTCATGCAGCACCTGATTCGAGTCCGTCAGGGCCGCAATGGCCGCCTTGGCGATCTGCGCCGCCGACTCCAGGTAGGTCGCGTTGTGCGTGGCCCGGTACAGTTCGGCCAGCCCGCCGAGGACAACCCCTTGGTTATACGTCCATCTGCCCCCCTCCCAATCACCTTCCCCGTTAGTGTGAGCTCAAGACCAGGGGAATCCGAATCCGAATCCGCCGCCAGAGAGAGAGAAAAAGGAAGAAAGTTGGAACGAACGTACACCGTCTGTCCGTTGTTCTGGCAGTCCTCCGTCAGCCCGTCATTGACCGTATGGTTGGCATTGATCATCCCACTGTCCCGAAACCACGCCCATTCCCGCTCCGCCCAGGACACATACTCCCGCTGGTCCACCCGGTTCGCCAGATGCGCCGCCAGCGACAGGAACAGCTCGTTGGCAATCGCGTTGACATAGCGGTGCGTGTAGTCCCAGTAGATACCCCCACCGCACCGGGACGGCCAGACCTTGCTCTACAGGAGGCCCCTTCATCAGCACTGAACTCTCCCCATCTTCCACATGCGAAAAAAAGGAACACAGTACCAACTGATCAAAGATCCCCGCTGCGAGATCCAAATACTCCCGCCGACCCGTCACGTCGTACGCCGCGATCCACGCCAGCGCCCACCACGCGTCATCGTCGTAGGCCCCGTCCAGCCACGGCGACACATTCCCAGTCCCATTCCCATTCCCATTCCCTGTCCCCGTCCCCGTCCCATTCAGCGTCCTTCCCCGCGCCGCCACATGCCCATACGTGTCGTTCCCGCGTCCCGGCGCGGGGTTCGACCGCGGCGCCACAGTGAAGGTATTCGCGAACACCGCGGTGGCCGTCGGGCGGATGGAATCGTCCACGGCGGCCAGGTCCGCCAACACGGTCAGGCAGTTGGCGCCGTTCCACCAGCCGCAGGTGTCCCAGAGGCCGCTGGAGGTGTTGTACCATGTCTGCAGGGCCGTGAGGGCGGGTTCGGCGCGCTGGCGGGGGGTCAGCGCCGCGACGAGTGGGAGGAAGAGGAGAGGTTGGTGTCGGAAGTGCATTCTGTGGTTGCAATCTGTCAGTCAGGTCGGAAGTGTGGGAGGCTGGAGGGGGGGGGGGGAGGGTTTCTCTGAGGATTTTATCCGTCTCATCTAACAAATGATGCGCCCGGCCACGATGCAAGGCTCAGGGGACCCCTACGTAACGATGCATACCAGATGGACATTCCTGGGCGGTTGTGATATGTACCATGACGCAGGGTTGGGGTCAAACATGGACTCGGCCAGAATCTGTCTATTTTAATCACGATCGACAGGGCGATCTGCACGACTGACTGGGATGTATCATGTATCACGTATGGCTCTGCTTTGCCATTCGGACCTTGCTGTGTTACTCCTAGGTGTTCAGGGTTGAGATCACTCGAATTACACAGTTCAATAATCAAAATCAAAATCAGAATATATCAATCACATTCTTCACATCTACCAGAACTCAAAACTATTCAATCTTCTCACACGTCATCTCGCACAATCTCTATACAAAATCTTCGTGCATCATCATCATCATCATGCACGGAATTCACCTGCATCAGGCACACCTTTACCGCCAGGTATCGTTCTTGACGTCAGTCAAGGTGTTGCAGGTGGCAGGCACCTTGTAGGAGCGGTTGGGGTTGCTCTCCCACTTGACGTTGCCGTTGGTCTGCTTGCGGATGTACTTGTACTCGAAGCTCTTGCCGGCGGGCAGGTCGATGGTCACGAACCACAGGGGGTTGCTGGCACTGTATTTGGTGGCGCTGAGGGCGACGGCCTTGGTGGCGTCCCAGCTGCCCAGCTCCGGGATGGAGCCGACGATGAGAATGGTCTCGCCGTAGGCGGTGGCCGCGAGCTCGTCGAAGGTCACGGACACGGCGGTGGGGACGGTGCACTGGCCGGGGCCGGTGGTGGTGCTGGTGGGCGCGGTGGTGGTGGTGGAGGTGCCAACAGTCGCGGCGGTGGTGGTGGTGCCGGGGGTGCCGGGGGTGCCGCTGCTCAGGACGGGCCAGCTGTTAATCGGGGCGGGCTGGTAGGTGCCGGTGGCGCCGCTGTTGGAGCACGAGCCGGGGATCTGGTTGTTCTGGGCTGCGGCCCAGGACGGGGGGACGACACCGGCGCGGCGGGCGTTGGCAGTCAGGAGAGCGGCGTACGACCAGGTCAGGTCGCGGGCGGAGGTGGACATGCCGTAGGTCTTGTCGAACTGCTCGGAGAGGGAGCCGTTGTTGGCGGAGTGGGATTGCTGTCTGTGGTTAGCGGAGGAGAGATCTTGGAGCCGAGGGAGAAGGGGGAGGGGACCGAAAAAAAACATACCACAATGCTGACGTAGCCGTCGGCGTAAGTCTTGACCGAGTCGATGATCGCGTTGAAGGCCGGGTCCGAGGAGGCATAGGTGCGGGTGGAAGCAGCGCTGTACAGTTCCTGGAAGAAAGGCAGCGAAGTACTGGTGATGGTGATGGCGCCGCTCTTCTTCCACTGGTAGATGGCGTCATACAGCTGCTCGGCGACGGCCAGGGTGGTCAGGAACCAGGGGTTTCCGCTGTAGTAGACATCCTCGGGGTAACGGCCAATGGCAACGGCCTTGCCCTGGGGAATACCGTTGTTGACGGGGTAGAGACTGCCGCGGAAAGAATCGACAAAGACCTTGATGTTGGAGAGAGCGCGGGGAGAGCAGGGCTGGAAGGTGGCATCGTCGCAGCCAGCCTCGGGGTCGAACAGGTGGATACTGGCCAGGACGGTGTTGGCGTCCTTGCCGGAGCGGCCACCGCCAGTGTTGGCCTTCATGTAGGAGCCGGTCCAGAAGCTCTGCTGGTAGCAGAGAACCTGGGGGGCCTGGGAGTCACACCAGGAGCACGAGGCGCCAACGCGCTTGGCAAAGGCGCTTCCCTCGACGAGGGAACGGTGCGAGGCAGCGATCGTGAAAAAGGACATGCTGTTGATTTCTTCCCAGAGGTCTGGAGAGAGAGAGACGGTTAGTCCGTGGGCCAAAACAGTGGTGACCCGAAAATGGTTGGAGAACATACCAAAGCCGCTCTGGGGCCAGTACTGGGCCACATACGACAGATCGTTGCGGACGATGGGCCAGATGTTGTCCTTGGCGTAGCTGGCATAGCCATTGTCCTAGAGAAAGTCAGTTGGAAAGTCCCGACCAAACGAAGGGCATCCCCAAACTCACAATCAGCCAGTTGCCGAAGTCAATCATGGCGGTGGCACGCAGAGCTGGGCCATCACGCTGAGGACGACCCCAGTCACCAGTGAAGGCGGTCATGTCCACATTGTACTTGGGCTCGGCCAGACCACCGCTGGCGAGACCACCAGAGCGGTTGTCCACGGTCTGGAGGAAAGCCTGCGAGTTTATATAGTCCTTCAGCACATTCTGAAGCTCGATTTTTCCGTTGCGGAACTCCTCGATCAACACTCTCATGGTCAGAGCGGCATCGCGAGTCCAGGTGTAGTAGTCTAGATAAGCATGTCAGCGATGATCACGACGATCCAGAAGATCACCAGGCAGGTTCAGAGCGGTTCCGATCAAGATCAAGATGATCAAGATGATCATGATGATCACGATGATCATGATGATCCGATCAAGGATGATGGCGATCAGGATGATCGCGATGATCAGGACAGTCAAGTTCGACGTACAATTAGGACCCTCCAGACTGGGACTGGCAATGATGATACCAGGCTTCGCGCTCTTCGCATAGGCACCGTTGGATCCGGTGTTGGTGAGAATGCTGTTGAGAGAGTAGGTGGTCTCAGCGGACAACCAAGAGTCCAGAGAACCAACTCCGGCGCGAGGAGAGACATTGGGGGCAGCAAAGGCACTCTGGCCGAGGGAGAGCGCCCAGAGAGCGAAAGAAATACCACGAGCCATGACTGGATCAGGCAGGCAACGGTTGTTTCAGAACTGAGAGAACGGTATAGGGAATGGAGGGCCAAGAAGTCCAAGGAAGTCCAAGAAGGTCCAAGATGTCCAAGACAGCAGAAACAAGAGAAGACGAGAGATGATCGCCTTGATTCCGGACTGATGGAGTAGTGCCAACGTCCGAGCCCTCCTTCTTATAGGTTTGTCGGCATGAGTTGATTCCTGGCACGTCTGATGTCGGAGGTATTGTGTGAGCACTCGAAACAATCTCCGTCCAGTGGAGTTTCCAATTTCGTCAAAGCCAGAAATTGCTCGCATTGTTTCAATTCGCTGCCGTTGCCTCTCCATCCCAGAATCTCTCCATTGGGTAGCAAAGGCAGTGTGAGGGCATTCGCAACTTCGGCGCCGAACGCCTTCCCGGACCACGGCATTCAGCTTGTGAAAAGCCGTTGATTCCCCACGGGGGGACGCCATATTCCGTCAACAAGACATGCACTCCTCATGTGATGCTGAATGCGAACCCCAGCAGCCACGGACATCTAGCCAATACCAACGATTGAACCTCCTGGGAGGATAGCGGTTGCAGTCGGATTTGGCCACTGTGACAATCCTGCACGGAGATTTCCTCCTTTTCCCACGGCTACGAGTGGTGTTGTGGCTCCGACGCTAGATGATTAGACTATGCCCGTGTAGTCAGGGGGTAGTTCCTAGTCCATTCTGAAACTTCTTCTATTGCCTTTTTGGGAATTCGCCTGGCAACCTCCTTCATCCACCCTGGTCACGAATCTCACGATACCCCTCGGTTGGCCCATAATTCCACTTGAGTTTGGCTTTTGCGGAGGCGGCGGAAGTGGCCCAGAAATGGATCCAAAAGTTGACGGTACTAAAGGGAGTATAGTGCCGGACGGGCTGCCAATTCGGATCAAGCCTGAAGCTACACGGGAAACCAGCCATAAATTAAGATTCCCCGCAAATTCGCCGTCCCCTGCGTAGATGAGCCTCTCATTTCGGCCAGGCATTGGTCAGCCAGTCCTTCAGGAGTCAGGAGTCAGGAGTCAGGACTCTGTTCCCGTCGGTGGTTTCGGAGTGCTGGGGCATCTGCCAACTGCCAAGGCGAACGTATCATCAAATCCCCGTTCATCCTGGGTGATTAGGGTTGCGCCTTCAAGCCTCCTACGGCTTTTACTTCCGAGGGTCAATTCCCGTCCGTTTTCTGCACTCCAGGATCGTCTAATTTTGCAGTGCCGTAATCTTCATGTCTCTCAAATGTGGAGAAAGAAAGAGTCCTGACGAAACCCGCTCTCTGTCTGCATTCTGCATCAGTCCATCAGTCCATCCCTGTAGGGATTTCGGAATACCCCCATCTCCTGCCTCGCTGCCAATCACAAACCCTGCCACCCACACGAAGACAGTCATCAGTCCTTCACCTGAGATTACATGCGTCTGCTCTGCACACAACTGCCGAGCTCCTGAGGGACATCTGATGATCTGGGTCGAGTCTATCGAGAACGAGGCTCACAGTGCCCTCGTCTAGTCCCGGACCTGCGAACCTATCGCCGTGATCGCTGCCTAAGACGATACGGTTTGGTCGAAGTCTAACTTCGGTTCCGACATGCCATGGTGGAACACGAGGAAATGATACTGACCTCGAAAAAATGCGGGACTGGGCTGTAGATTGTGAGATTCGGGAAATAATCCAAGACGTTGCTGCTTGGCATTATTCACCTGAAGCCATCCCCAAGACCATTGTAGGGAAAGGAATACGGAACATGACTCTGGCAAAAAAAAAAAAAACAGGTACATAAGACCGGTTGAGCATAGGTTTGCAACAGCTCTTTTTCCCCATATTTTTCTACATAGAGAAGCACCAGACACTGCACAACAAAGCAACGCATCAAGTCGCAGCTCGCCAGAATGAAGTGGTCGACTGTCCCCCTGTCATTGTCCCTGCTCGGGCAGGCCGTCAATGCCCTAACCCCCGCCGAATGGCGTAGTCAGTCCATCTATTTTTTGCTCACGGATCGATTCGGTCGCGACGATAGGTCCACATCCGCACCTTGCGATACTAACCAGCGGGTATGTCTGACCCTCCTTCTGACGTCTCCCGGGCACCTCCGGTCTGGTTGACAAGGTCTTCGAGGGCTGGTTCTAACAAGTGGACTGAACTAGATGTATTGCGGTGGAACCTGGCAAGGTATCATCAATCAGGTAAGAATTAGCGAGTGCTATCTCGGTGTGCCTGCAGGAAAGCTGACCCCCCATTGCAGCTCGACTACATCCAGGGAATGGGCTTTACTGCCATTTGGATCACCCCCGTCACTGAGCAATTCTACGAGAGCACTGGCGATGGTAGTTCCTACCACGGCTACTGGCAGCAGAACATGTACGTTTCGACACTTTCTAATTTGACACGACGATTCACTGACCCTGTCCAGTAATGAGGTCAACCGCAAGCATGGTACGAAGCAGGACCTCAAGAACCTGGCCGACGCTCTGCATGCCCGTGGCATGTACCTGATGGTCGATGTTGTTGCCAACCACATGGTAAGCCCTTCCGTTCTTGTCTTCGACTTTGCTCCCTTTCTAACCAGGACATTCAAGGGCTATCGCGGATCGGGACAAAACGTTGACTTCAACACTTTCCACCCCTTCAACAGGGCTGAGCACTACAACAGCTTCTGCACCATCACGGATTACAACAACCAGAACAGTGTTGAGAAGTGCTGGCTAGGCAGCAACACCGTTTCGCTGCCGGATCTGGCCACCACCCACCCCTGGGTCAGAAGCACCTGGTATGACTGGGTCCGGGACCTGGTCAAGGATTACTCCAGTACGCAACTCCAATGACCCCCCCAAAGATTCGCAATTACTGACAGATCCCAGTCGACGGTCTGCGTATCGACACCGTCAAGCACGTTGAGAAAGACTTCTGGCGTCCTTACAATGACGCTGCTGGCGTCTACTGTGTGGGCGAGATCTTCTCGGGTGATCCAGGTTACACCTGCGACTACCAGAACCACATGGATGGTGTCCTGAACTACCCGATGTAAGTTTGATCTGAGAGCGGCATTCACCTTCCGTGCTGACATGGAATAGCTACTACCCTCTCCTCAATGCGTTCAAGTCCACCAGTGGCAGCATGGGTGACTTGAGAAACATGATTGGCACAGTTTCCAACAAATGCCGGGATCCCACTCTGCTGGGCAACTTCATTGAGAACCACGATAACCCCCGCTTTGCCCAGTACGTCTCTCCCTAGCATCCTGATTTGACTCTTCTTCTGACCTCTGTAGCTACACCAATGATATCTCCCAGGCCAAGAACGTTCTGACCTTCATGTTCCTCACCGACGGTATTCCCATCGTCTACGCCGGTCAGGAGCAGCACTACGATGGTGGCGAGGATCCCCACAACCGTGAGGCCACCTGGTTTTCCGGCTACAACAAGAACGCCGAGCTTTACACCTGGATTGCGAAGACCAACAAGATCCGCAGCCTGGCAGTCTCCAAGGACTCTGGATATGTCACCGCACGCGTAAGTCTTTGCCCTTCCCACCCCCGGTCCCAAGCTCCCTTTCTCACCCTCCTCAGAACAACCCCTTCTACCACGACACCACCACCCTCGCCATGCGCAAGGGTTCCCGCGATGGCGCCCAGGTAATTACCATTGTCAGCAACAAGGGTGCCTCCGGCGACGGCTACACCATGCAGCTGAGCGGACATGGCTACGGATCCGGCGCCACCGTCATGGAGATGTACACCTGCACTCCCCTCACTGTCGGCGGAAACGGCATCATCCCCGTTCCCATGGTCTCCGGCCAGCCTCGCGTCCTCGTTCCCTCTTCCTGGGTCGCCGGCAGCGGTCTCTGCGGCAGCACTGGTCCCAGCACCACCACCACGCCCTCCACCACCACGACGCCCTCCACCACGACTGCCACCGAGCCTGGCACAACATGCACTGCTGCCAGCACCCTCCCAGTCCAATTCCAGGAGCGCGTCACCACCAACTACGGTGACAGCGTCTTCATCGTCGGCTCCATTCCCCAGCTCGGTGGCTGGGACGTGAAGAAGGCTGTTGCCCTGTCCGCCGAGAAGTACACTCCCGGCAACCCCGAGTGGCGCGCCACTATCACTCTGCCCGTCGGAACCAAGTTCGAGTACAAGTTCATCAAGAAGCAGAGCAACGGACAGATTGTGTGGGAGAATGACCCTAACCGCACGTACAATGTGCCCAGCCAGTGCGCGGGAACGGTTGCGACCGCCTCTTCCAGCTGGAAATGAGCAATACGTAGTCATTGTTCGGGGATTAAATAATCCAGGAGATGTGCAGGTGTATATAGGATACCAGGAGTGATGCATTACGATTACTGCTTGTCACGCATAGAGTCTAGAGCTCTAAGGCATAGTGTCGAAGGGGAGGGGGATTTTCTCCTTGGTGGACATATTCGAAACAATCTTTTTTTCAGTCAGTCATACTTTGAATTCAAAATCTTCGTGCTCGCTCCTTGTTCCTCTTAAGAAATTCTAGACCACTCAGTCCATCACTGGTAACTCCGCCATATGCAACTTCGCGCTTCCATACGGCACGAGCTCAATATCGTAGGGTTCACTCAGACATGCTCGGTCACCTTTCGCCGGTGGGTTAGACGCGTATCCATTCACCAAGTCCCAGGCAATCTGGCACACCCTCGCCGTGACGGATGTAGGCGCCCCCAGCGTCCACAGTGGATTGGGTAGCTCACCATTGAGGCCATTATACCGCACAGAGGCAGGGTCAATGGCATATGCCCAGGGAGCGGTCGGCAGGAGCTCGTAGTCGCGCACATTGTCGGGCAAGTTCGGATAGCTCCGATCCGGCTGCGAGTCCATGCTATACGGCACGGGTATGGCGTAAAGAATGTTACCGTACGAGATGGACACGGTGGCATTTGCACGGTGGTGAACGTGAATTCCGGCGGAGAAACTCACAACGACCTCGGTGGTGCCCTCATCGAGACGGATCCTGGCCATTCCTGTGCGTGTATCCGGTGTGGCACCAGATAATGGGGAGTTATTTACCAGGATCTCGGTGGATGTGGACCAGCCGGGAATACGAACGAGGAAGTCAAATGGCCCATCGGCAGCAACCGTGTACACCAGACGCTGGGCAAACGGATACTTTGTTTCGCAGACGATGCTTACATGCACGCCATTCCTCGTCGAGGTATGGGCCTCCATAGGGCCGAGGAGAGCATGCGCGATCCCGTTCTCGCCGTGTCGTGCAAATGCCGCCGAGACGAATTTCGGATATCCCTGCGGATGGTTGACAGTGCAGCAGGGGTAGTTGGGCTCCAGTCCAAACGTCTGGCCCATTTCTTCGACATTCTGGAACGGGGAACGGTCCAGTCGGTGAGAGATGGGCTGGTTCGTCTGCGCCACGTACTGATGGGCCCACCAGTCCGGAAGAGTCATGACCGGCAGGGCATTGAACGCGGCCATCTCGCACTGATCAGCCAGGGAGTTCTCCCCGAGAGCATGGTAGAGGTAACTCAGCGAGAACATTGTCTCGACGACGGTGCAGAGCTCGACACCGCGTGTGGGACTCAGCCCCGAGATTCGCTCGTCGCCAATGATCGATCCTGTCGCGGTGCCATGGTACATCAGAGTCCAGTTGACGGCGCGCAGAGAGCTGGAAGCTAGTTGCTCGTCGCGCGTGAACCGTCTGTACACTGCTCCGCTCTTCAATCCCATGGCGACGTTAACCCCGTGCTCGAACGGGTCATACCGATCTGTTATCTCGATTGGTATCGCGTCGAGGTCGTCTTTGAGATACATGCCATCCGTATACCACTCCGCCCAGTCCAGCGCCTTCTCATGCAGCATGCGCATACACTCCATCAGCCGCCCAGCCCGATCCCTCGGATCACGCTCATACAGCCACTGCAAGCTCAGCACCAGATCCGCCGCTCGCGCGCGTCCCCACCGATCATCCACATCCTCGTCAGTCTGCTGTACAAACCCTCTATACCCATCTGTCAGCATGGTATGCATCAACTCCACAAACCGATGCATCGCATCCAGAATCCTGCCCTCCAGCTCTGTCCCGGCCTCTGCTTCCGCCAACTGGCTCAGACCGAGTAACATGGGCGATCGGCCCCAGAAATTACGCGTCTCTGGGCTTGTCTCTGGGCCTAGCCATCCATCCTCCTGCTGATGCGACAGCACATGCTCCGCGACACCCCAGACCTGGTCCTTGAGTCGCTGGTCGTCGGTCAGGTACGCCAGAGGAACCAGCCCGTTGAACCAGTATGGCAGCCCCTCGTTGAGATCGTTGTAGTCTGTGTGCCCACCGAGCCAGCGACTGTCTGTCACAATGGGATAGAAGTCATGTTCGTGGCCGGGGAGACCGTCTGCCATCAGATGGAGCTGGTCCAGAAGCCATCCCCGCGGTTTGATGGAGCCGAGTGGGAGCGGCTCGAATGTGTGTGGGAGCACTGGCCTGTCAGTGAGTGCTGGAGCGATAGAATCAGTGTCAATGCTTACGGTCATTGTTGGTGTCGCGCGCATCTGGGCTGGCAACGATCACGTTGCTGAGAATGGGAAGGGAGAGTAGGTAGATTGCCTTCCTCGACATGGTAGAGTCATATACTGCATACACACGATCCAAATCCTCAAGGAAAGAGGAGAAGAATTCTCTTGCGTGAGTTTTGGGCGAAGACAAAACAACAAACACAAGAATGTCGGGAATGTGACAACATTTGCAATTCTAAGGAACGCATCATGTTACAGCTGGCATTCCAACTTGGGAACATACAACAACTAGCTGACAAGCTCAAGAACCATAAAACCTTTGGTCTGAGAAATCGATATGGACTTACTTCGTACGGTTTGATGAAACTTATGGCTATTCAGGATCTGCTACGATGTTATATTGGAAAAGTGTATGCTGCGATTCAAGGGATGGGTTTGCTGGGAATAGAGCCGTCTTCCGGGATGGCAATTATATGTATATTCACTTATATTGGCCTGAACAATGTCCCAGTCCACGAGACGCACGCGTTGTAAACCTCTCAAATCCTCAATGTCAGTCAGGCTGTTTATATGACACCATGATATCCCTATGTGAAAAATCGTAAAGACACAAATAGTGCTAGAAATGAATCCGATGTCTCCAAGGCGAGGGCCCAGAGAATAGATACTATGTCATATCCATCTTTCTGTAATACCCATGCCTATGATTAGACGCATCCTATTTGCTTTTACAGTTCCTAGTCCACATAGAGCACTGCTCTTGTGGCCTGTTAATGGTATACCAGGCATCTGGTGCAGGATCCCTCCTAGGGCACTTGCTTCGACGTCGGGTCTTGAGGAGTCAACGCATCATGCCTCACTGTCGCATTGAGGGAACAGGGTGAGGAATAATGGTTGACAGGAATGAAGTCCAAGTGACAGGCCAGCCATGGTACTGCAATGTGCCGGTATGAAGCTCGCTATGCCTGCTCATTGCGGATGGCTTACAGCGGATGGCATCTAGAAAGTGCAATGAGCCATGAATGAATGCTTGACGTCGACTATCCTTGGGCAAGGTGTAACTTTGACATGGACTGACTATTCGACGCTTAAACGGCCATATACAAGCATACTAGAGTCACAAGATAGAGACGTTTTCATTACTTTCATCCTCATAGTGCTGCTCATAGTTTGTAGTAAACTTCATTGATCCAAGCTGGAAATTGGCCCTCTTCTGTAATATCCACAATACTCCGATCCAAGCTCTTAGTCCCAAATATGCCAACCCACAGGTAGCTCAGGAATAGCACTGAGTATTATACTGCGACCCGTGTTCTGCTGTAATTCCTGATCAGGACACGGTTATGGGAATGATTGTCGGCACGTCTAGATCAATTGCGACAACTCTGATCCACAAACTAGAGTGGCATCCTGGTGGCCGGACTAACATAATGACAAGATGTGTCTAGATTCCATGACAGGGTGGCTGCGAGTTCTTCTGTCAGTCAGTAGCCCTAAAAGAGTACAGGGAGAGAGTGTATAGCCCTCAAGTCCCATGAGCGAAGCATATATTAATCGTAACATTCTCTCCACACCAAGAGCAGCCAGATTGCTAAACCCTTCACTACGAAGAAGAGACTTGAGTTGAATATATGAAAATGGTGTCCTATCAATATCTACATTCCTTGCTGCCATTGATCCTGTCCGGTGTGTGTGGTCTCAACTTTGGCTGGAACTGTCAGAACACCCCTCAGGCGTGCCAAAATGCCTGCTACGCCGTTCGCTGCGGAAGCCCATCCATCACCTTTTTGACTCGTGGTGATCCGGAGGACACGGACGATCAACGGAAGAGGGCTGGCTGCAGTGGTAGCCCCTGCAGTATACTCCCATGGGCCGGTGCTGGAACCTCATGCGACGAGTACCCATTCGCCAGTGTTGAGGAAGGCGGTTGGGAGGCCTACCAGCGGTGTATCCCTCTGATTGAAAACCAGCGACAGGGGGGTCAACTGGGGGGTTTCTATCGCCGTAACGATGTGATCGAAGGAACGCAGTTCTATGTGTTCTTGGTCAACTACGAGGGAATGTACGTATTTCCGGTGACGTCTGGGGCTGACCTAGAAAGACTAATGCAGACATAGTCGCTATTGCGACAACGCAATGAACTGCATTAACGACGGTCAGCAGTTCATGACGCATCGGGCACTCACCAAGAGGAATGAGGTTGTGCAGACGACACTTTTGGTCCCTAACCATACTGGAACAGCTGACGTTCCCAGCTTTCGAGAGTTCGTCGACGAGGACGACCTCCATCTGATCCTTCTTTCTGGTGAGACTACCACGGATTTCGTTGGGGAGGAGGTGGACGTGAGTGGTATTGGCTTGGTAGAGATTGTAGCAGAGGAGAATCCAAATGATCAGTAGGGAAGGCCTCGCCCATGGGAATTTGATGGCGTAACCATCTTTGTGTTCTAATTCTGTCTTTGCCTTCTCATCTATGAGAGATGTCTATGCGTATCCCTCCACCATAACATCTAACTTTCAGTTCCTACTAGTCTTGCTAGAGGTATGATAAGTGGATATCGAAGACACCTTGTGAACTAGGTATCATTCCTATGTAATACTGCGTGAAAAAAGGCAGAGTGCCGAATCCGATAACAGCGCTGAGTGAAGTATGTAATGCGAACATGAACCCAAAAACATCCCCAATCCAATGGATAAAGTATCAATCTGCTCTCACTATTGCCCAGCCCCATAATAAGCAAGCCACAGGCTGCTTTCGGATAAAATACCCTCCTGGGCGAGCATTAGAATGAATTAGATTCCCCCTGACTGTGGTTTCCGGAGTGTCGCCGCCAGCCACAATTCTCCTTGACCATTCAAAGAACATGTCAGATGCTACAGCCTTGATCAATATACGCATCATGCATTCTTCCAAAGTTGTCTAGAATGCGACGGATTGAGAGACGACCCCCCCCAAAAGCCCTGCTTATAGCCGTTTCCACCGACCCATCCTTTGCAGTCTGCTGCCTTGTCTCGGTCCATAGCTGCATTGAGCCCTCTTCGTCTCCAGCATAAAGCTCCTGCCTACTCACTTTACTACTTGAGCCCAGCCAGACAGTCTCTCAGAGAGAACTCCAAGTTGCGACGCTCGCCATCATGACCAGTCAGCCCCTTATCCCACTCTTCTGCACTGCCACAGTGACTGCAGCTGTAAGATACAATTCCTCCTTCTTCCTGGTATACATATTTTGACATAACGCTAGCAAATCAATGCGGTTCTACAGACTGCCTACTCTCAGGACGTGGCTCAAGATGAACTCGACGCTCGCAGCCTGTACTTCATGGTGGACAGGAGCATCCCACCACGGGGCACCACTCCGACTCTCACGGTGCAGGATCCGGGTTCACTTCCATTTCTGAACTGGGTCCCAGAGCAAATCGGCCAGTTCCTTGCGGGTAGCGTCCCGTCGACCTCTCCCTTGTCTGCCACGGACTTTGTGATGATCGATGCTACCACCACGCAGACCCAAATGGCTCTCTACGTGCGCATCAAGAAATCTGGAGCTTTAGGCTCTGTCCGGCTCGCACTGCAGGATATGAATGATATCCCATTGGCGGTGCTTAATGGTACTCTAGGGTTTGACGAAGTTCAGTCTGGGTATTCAGGCGCGTCCGGTGATGGAAGATAGTGTCGTTTGTGTCATATAGTTTGAACATTCAACACGCCCTGCAATGAAATATGCTCGTATAACGAAATCTCCCTTGATGTTTAGTTTTCCCCAGATCGATATGGATTGCATCGTCATGATGGCGAGCCACAACAGACTTTGGAGAATTTGCCCTACGATTCTTTTATGGCAAGTCTCGACTGGGTGTCGAGACTTCCTCTAAGAGGTTGAAGGAGCATTCAGCTGAAAGACCCTTTCCCATACCATACACCATATCTTAATTGGAGTTTGAATTTTGACCAAAATTTTATCACACAACTGCTCCTGCACTGAATCGAAGGAGAGATCATCATCTAACTTTATTTTTTTTTCTGTCGTAGATCTGGCTACTTGTATGGTGTTACAATATGAAACAGTCAATGAATTACATGGTAATGATTTTCTTCAACAGTGAAAGGATATGTTGAATATCCTTCAGCTAAAATTCTCTGGTACATTGTGAGAGGGTATCAGCAGTCCACGCTCATCGACTACTTCCTCTCCACGCCTTTTTTGGCAGCATCGCTGCTAGGACCACCGGGAGTATATTCGTTGTTGGGGCCCTGGGTGAAGACAACCGAGTTTTCGGTGCTTTGAGTGAAATCTACAGTGAGAACGGGTCCGATCTCTGTGATGTTGACGACGGTTCCGGCATCGAAGTCACCTGTACCAATGTAGTATTTGACGACAGGCTGGAAGTAGAAGTTGTAGTTGGGGTTAGCAGGCACCGTGGCTACGGGAGTGATGCCCTGAGTGACAGGGTCTCTGGCCCCCATGCCAATAAAGATATTGGCTAGCCCCAGAATTAGCTAAAGCTCGACACTGGTATAGCTTATCAATGAAAAGAAACTTACTCTCGGTAGGATACTCGAATGTTCCATCACAGGAGATACCGTAGGCATTGGGCTCCTGATTCTGAGTCTGGGTGACATCCACCCACTTTGGATATAGTCCCTCGGTCGTGGAGAGGACACACATGGTGCCGGGCTGCTCTGGGGGAGTCTCGCCACTCGAAAGAGTCACCTGGTTGGCAGCACCTGTAGTCACCTTGACATGGTCACCAAGGGGGGTAGGGGCCGTTCCCAGGACGGCGAAGAACTCGTTGGTCATCTCGAAGGTGGCCTGGGAGTAGTCACCACTCTCGATAATGCCAGAGGACTGGTAGACGTTGGCAAAGACATCTGGCTGGCCAGAGGGAACGGGAACGGTTTGGAACAAAAGGTAATTACGTGGCTGGCCACTGTAATTGTAGACCTCGATAGTGTAGTTCTGGGTGGTGGACATTGTGGATCGTTATCGCAGCGATCTATTTTTGCTAATTTAATTTATCATGTAAAGGGTGCTGGCTCTGGAAACATGTGGCTGTAGGCTGATGTCTACTCTGAATTTATAGCACTCTTGCCAGGCTCAAGAGTCCTTGACAGCATGGGTCTGACCCATGCTTTGACCTGCATAGACAAGCAGGGATACTGATCTGGACTCAGTCAAAAACGTCTCCAGCGCCACTGATGCGTACATTATCACTTAGTTCAAGTGATATGTGCTTTCAGAAATGAGTGATCACAGGATACTAACGTCCATTACTTGGTCATCAAACTCTTTGAAACTTCCTAAGCGGACGCAATGACGAACTAGGTTACAGTCTAGTCATCTAGGAAGTGCAATTAATTTGGGTCTGTCTTCATGAAACATGGCTGTTGTACAAGCTCATCTAGTCCAAGGGCTCCATGGTAATCCAGTTAGAGATGGAAGTAAATCTCTCATCAGTCTCATTTTAGACCTTGGGCAATTTTTGGTTGCACATGTTCTATGGCTTGGTATCATGATGAATACCATCTACCGTCGCATAACTACAGACTTTATGGCTCATGACTATGAATGACTATATGTCATCAGACGTAGCAGATAGTTCTCAAGAAAGGTTTGGAGCTATCAATGGCCATCAGCCGGTCAGGAAAGTTGACTTTCAACCAGATCAATATCCCAAGATGAAGACTTGTGGTACCCTGTCTCAACTGAGGCTGCATTCGGCAAAGGAATAGCTTCATCGCATATGATCCATGTATCCTTTGACGTGTGATTGCTTCATGACCTCACAGCCACAGGTCTAGGCAAGGTAAATGAGACCCTTTCGTCTTTGGCTCGGTCCAGCCAGTCACATACTATGAGCTGTTTCGATGCCTGAGCAAGAAGGCTGCAACCCTACTTGCTGTCATTGATCAGCACGTAGATAGAGAGAGGCAATTCGTCTGTCTGTAAGTCTACCGTTCCAGGCCTAGGGATGTCTGGCCAAATCTAAACCCAGTCTGAGTATTATTGCATCACACGTATGTCTTGATCAAACCGATCATGACGATATCTCGGGATCAGAAAATAGGTATACCCAGGACAGCCCGTTGTGGAACTGGATATATCACACGCTGATTCTTGGAGGATATCTTCTTCGCAGCGTACAGACTGACCCCCTTGAGCTACTGCCTAGCACACTGATACTCATTATGTCGACTCTGACGATCCAAGTCCTCAACAACAGCGGCAACAGCAAGATTTACTATCTGTTTTATCAGCCATTTTCAGCTCAGTTCACACCAATGGCATGTGTGACCCAGAAGTCAACGACCATCACGAACAACAAAGCCGCAACATTCATGGTCGAAATGCCCTCTGCTGTCGTCTGCGGAACTAGTCCCAATATTCCACTGGCCCCCGGTGTCAATGTAAACATCGAAGAGTCAACAATTATTACACCTCCGCAGAGCGTTTCTATCGGAGTTCAGGGCAACGACCCATACTTTCCTTCTATTGACGCAGAGGCCACTGGAGGTAACTGGGCGAAAATATCGACGACGAGATATGACTCAAACCCGGACGGTCAGTTTTGGATTCCCCCATTACGAATTGAGGTTGACTGATTGCTAGCACATCTGTTTTGTGGTCTGGGTGTTGTCCAGGCTTCTGGACGAGTTACTCCCAGCTGTGTATGGGAGATTGAACCGATTTCGAGCTATCCGGTTCCCGATCCTCCCCAGCCACTGGTATTCTACATTTCCAGCGATCCGAATCTAGATATTGGAACAATCACCACGGCAAAGGATGCAGTACCCGCTGTTGCTGTTGACTTTACTGGTACCGGAGGTACATTCTGTCTGGTCACGCAGTTGTCGAATGGTTCTTTTCAGGTGAATCCTCCTTCGGATGATACGAAGCTGGGTCGTCGGGAGTGATGTGTGCTTCGTTCTTTGGTGTAGGTATATATAATTTAAACTCATGTATATGCATCAGATAATTGATAATGGAAGTCAGTGGTATAGCAGACCTATGTGATTAGCATGCGAGTATTGCAACCTCCACCCAGCGCCATGAACCATGGAAATGTGCACGTGGCCGGGGTAAAGCGTAACATGTATTAATTCTGCCAATTCTGGGGCCCCGCATTCTGTCTGATATGGGAAGGTATTCATGGTGGATGTCACTTTCCCTGTACTATAAGTGTTGTTACTGTCTGCTACCTGGACTGTAGGATTGACTGATGTGTCTTTCCATTCCAGCACTGGCCTGCGTGGGGGTTCACCGCGAGAATATGCGTTGTCCGGATCCATGCAAGGGCCAAATACAACTATGACATGGGCTATATGATTGTAAAAACTACTATTTGACGCCCTATCATATGTCCGAATTCCTACTGCTTGGCACATCGATCAAGGAGGAGAGGGTGACAATGGCACACTTTTGAAGCAACACCAGACAGCCGAGTGTAACCTTGGCAATGGTAACAATGCAACATGTATTTCTTATTTATTCAGCAGGATAACAACACTTTTGAGAAATCATCAAATTATGTATTCATTTGTTGTTCTATCACTTGGCGTAGTGGCTGCTGCACTGCAGTTGCTGCCCCCAGTATATCAGGCTAATTCAGGGCCGCCATCTCCTGGGTTCAATATACACGCTGCCAGGAAAACAGTCTATATCAATTCAAATTTTACTTCACACAAAGATGAGAGTGGATTGACCCTGATACCCCCATCGGCTCTGGAATTCGCGAAAACATTTCTACAGGATCTGGCGGAGGTGACGGGTTCGCGGTGGCAGATACAGCAAGTCGATCATTTCCCACAAGCGGGGGGGATCTTCCTAGACAAACTCGACGACTGCAGCAGTATCACATATGAGGATGGCACCCTGACCGAAGAAGGCTATGAGCTGGATATTCAACCCCATCACGTCTCGATCCGGGGATCGGGAGCTCGAGGGATGTGGTGGGGGACTCGGACTCTCCTGCAGCAGTTGATTGTTTCCAACCATGAACGACTGCCTTTGCCTGTCGGTCGGATGGTAGATGTCCCGTCGGTTGCAACACGGGGCTACATGCTTGATGCAGGTAGGAAGTGGTACTCGCCTGCATACCTGAAGGAGCTCTGCACATATGCCTCGTTCTTCAAGATGTCGGAGTTTCAATATCACACCAGCGACAACTATCCTCTAAACCGCGGGCATAACGAAACGTGGAATGAAGTCTATGCGCAATTCGCGTTGCGTCCTGAGAATTCGGAACTCCACGACATCATCCAACGGGCAAATGAGACGCTTTCGCAAGACGAGTTCGAGGACCTGGAGCACCACTGTGCTCAGCGCGGCGTGACAATTATCCCCGAGATTGAGGCACCAGGCCATTGCCTATTTCTCACAAAGTGGAAGCCGGAGCTGGCGCTGGCGAAGAAGGATCTCCTAAACCTCACTCATCCAGATTCAATACCGCTGGTTAAGTCCATCTGGAAGGAGTTTCTACCGTGGTTTCACACGAAACAGGTGCATATCGGGGCGGATGAGTACGATTCGACATTGGCAGACGTTTACATTCATTTCGCCAATGAGATGGCGGGTTTTATTAAAGAGGAGTCAGGAAAAAGAGTTCGCATCTGGGGCACGAACGAACCCTCGGAGACTCTGTCTATCTCAAAGGATATCATCATCCAGCACTGGCAATATGGGGAGTCGGATCCCGTTCTTCTCGCAAGAGATGGATACACGCTCATCAATTCGGAAGATCGCTGGGCATACATGTCATTGAAAAATGACCATATGCCAATCTTCCCGGCTCCATATCCAGCTCTGTTCAACAACACCCGAGTGCTGAATTTCGCCGATGTCAAGGGCTGGCAATGGCAACCATCGTTGTTTAATCCGTTCAACGTGACTGAGCAACTGGACAGCCGTGTCGTCCAGGGGGCTATCCTCGCAGCATGGAACGACAATGGGCCAGACGCGACGACCCAGCTGGAGTCTTTCTACGCCATGCGTGATGGTATCCCGCTCGTCGCGTCACGAGCATGGACAGGCAGCCGCGGCCCAAAATTGGATGAGTCAACCCTCGCTCTCTCTTCGAACCTCCTGACATTTGGTGCAGTTGGTCAGAACCTCGATCGAAAACTCCCCAAGTCTCACCATTCCCATCCTCGACATTCGCTAGCCAGCTGGACCTCAAACACACACGATGGAAAGAAGGTGCATCTCGGATACGGCAGCAAAGGCATGAACTACACGCTAGAGCTTGATGCCCGAGGACCCTTTGTCCTGTCTTCAGCAGACTGCAGTCTCAGTCTTACCCCAGATGGCAGTTTAATCTTCAGCTCAGATGGATGGCAGTATCCGCTTCGTTCAGTGTACGCACACGACGGCTTTGACGCAGGACATCCGGGGCGAATCTGGACAAACCAAACCTCTTCAACACATGAACCGGTGAATGTCCCGCTACAGAGTCACATCACCATTTGCACAGATGTTATTGGCGGTAGCCGAGTCTGGGTAAACAGACGATTCGTCGGACGATTCGAGGTCTTTGTGTTTGGCGGGAAGAATCGGCTGTTCTCGTGGAGTCAGATGGCTTTTGTGGCGCCGTTGGAATGGAAGCAAGGGAAATTGCAACGACTCAAAATTGGGGAATACGACGGGCACCATGAGATTAAGTAAGGCTTCTGCATGAGGGAGATGAAGACAGACAAATCATGATGCGTCTCTGATATTTATCCACTGCATTAATCCAGCCAGGTCACTTCCCTTCCTCCGCAGTTTCCCCGTATGTACTCCGTACATTGTGAAGTAATCGAGAAACAATAATATGCTGGCGATCCCAAATTCGGACAAACGGATTCTAAACCCTTATAAATAGTAGACTATCCCTGCAGATCTGCGCATTTTTTTACCGCTGTTCACTCAACTCACAATGCGTCAAGTTCAATTGCTGATGGGCCTTGCCCTCGCGCTCGATGTGGTATCTGCCCATCCATCGAAGTCCTGGGGCTTGAAAAAGTTTAAGAGTCTTGTATCCTTTGGCGATAGCTATACTGATCAAGCACGGATCAATTATTTTGGAGGCCACGGAGGAGCAGCTCCGCCAGTTGGTTGGGAACAGCCCGACGTACGTACCCTCTTCCCGCAGGATCGACGAGCCAACAGGTCTGAAAGATGAATAGAACAATAATACCGCGTCTGGTGGCTATGTCTGGGGCCATTATGTCTCCCAGTACGCCAATGTAAACCTCTACAACTACGCGGTCAGCGGCGCTGTCTGCTCCAACGAGATTACCCCGCGCACATTCTCCTCCATCAACGCTTTGTTCCCGTCTGTGCTCGAGTACGAAATCCCTGCCTTTATCGCGGATAGTAAGCACAAGGTCTCCGGCAAGAAAGATTTCCTTGATATCCCCCCCAAGGAGACCGTCTATTCAATCTGGATCGGCACCAACGATCTCGGCAATAATGCCTTCATCACCGACTCGCAGGTTCAGGGCAAGACAATCCCGGATTACATCAATTGCGTGTACTCTGCGCTGGACCGGTTGTACGTCAATGGGGCTCAGTACTTCGTGCTCATGAACCTAGCGCCGCTGCAGTTGACGCCCATGTACGCAACCCCTGAGCACGATGGCGTAGGGGCCAACCCATACTGGCCGAATAAGCCCGAAAACCGCACCCTCGTCAGCTATAGGATGTGGGAGCAAGTGTCGACGGTCAATGATGTGTTCAAATATCAGACGCCGTATGAATTGCTGATCGCCAAGCGGTATCCCGGAGCAAAATTTGCCGTGATGGATATGTACACTCTGGTATGTTGTTGCAATCTACACCTCCAAGATGCACGCTAACATGACACAGTTGTCTGATATCTATGATAACCCAACGGTGTATTTCAAGGGCAGTGCTCCTCCCAACGTAACAGGGTACAATAGCCACTGTCCTGTCAGTGGTGGGGATTGCACTCGTCTTCCCAACCCAGAGTTGTTCATGTGGTTTGATGAGTTGCATCCCTCTGAAAGGACCGACCAGATCATTGCAGAGGAGTTTGTCAAGGTGGTCGAGGGGAAGAGCAAGTATGCTACATACTGGTGATGCCATCCAAGCACCTGTATCTCATAGTTGGAACAACTTCTCTGTTCTAAAATATGTATTATACTTGACCCATGTGCCCGTTAGGATAGCCTTATGAGGCGCTACACATTGCCGTTACCCCATGCAAGCAATTCTACAAGTACCTGAAACAAGCCATTCAATCAGGTAGCTGACAGCAACCGGAACCCCTCGGGTCATCAGTTGACATGCATGACTCCCAAGCCACCTCCTTAATGTCATCTCTCAGGCGGGAGATCCCTTCTTAGCCTCTCACTATCATTGGGTTCCCCGCAACAATACCCGAATCCACCAATCAACCGCTCTACAGAACCAACAGTTCCAATCATTGCAAGATGCCAGCAAAGCACAAGGCACCTCGCGAGTCTGCCTTTCCCTTCATCACCCATCTAGATAACGCCAGGCTGCCATGGCTCGCGAGAACCCAACACAATGGTCACGCTCTGTGGTGCCGCAGTCGTCAACCCCTAGGACAGTCCACCATGTCCTCCGCCCCGGAACGCCTTGAACCGCCCCCGTACCCCATAGCCATTCGGGCTGAGAACATCGCCCGCCACGAGACCGAGTTTACCGTCACCAATCGCCCGGAACCATGGCACAGTCTCGACTACTCCGTCGAGCACGAGGGTGTCACCCTGTTCACGGTCCAAGGCCAGCCCTGGAAACCGAACCAGACACGCATGTTCTTCGACCGCTCGGGACTTCCGCTCTTCGAACTGCGGTGCCAATGGTACGATTCCTCCACGCTTTCTCTGCGACTTCCCGGTGGGGCGGAGTGTATCCTCGAGGCGAAGCTGCGGGTTGCGATGAATGCGCCGCGGGCGGTGGTGACATTTCGGAATGCTGTGGCTCAGCGGGGAGGATCGGATGGAAGGAATCCGGGGGAGGTTGTGTTGGAGGTGTACGGACAAGATCTATACAACGTGCTCCAGGTGGTGTTTGTGCATAATCGGAGCGTGGCATACATCCGCCGTGTGACGGACCGCAGTGTCCTTGGGCAGGGACAACGGCCGCCGTTTCGATACCGGCCGAAGTGGACAGTGCGTGTGGCGGAGGGTGTTGATATATTACTTGTGAGTATTCACCTTGGGATCATACTTGGGTTCCACCTCTCTTATTGATGAGTTCAGATAGCAGTTGTGGTGGTTATTGTCGGTCAACGAGTTGGAACTGAGCTCAATGAGAGTTGACCGCAACCAGAGGTATCATTTTGGACAACCTATCAATATGAGTCTCTAGTATTGCTGTCATGAGCGAGGACCAAGTATCAAGACGTGGTGAAGAACGTCACGACGCAGATGCAAACTTAGATAGCTTCTTACAGAAATGGGATATTATCAACATTGAAGGTGGAGAGGGAAGCTCAAAGGGCTCCGAATGGTAAAATGAGCCGAATCCATGGCTCGAAATTACACCAGTTATCTCACCTCGCATCAACACTAATAGCCCTGCTGATCATTCCAGTACAACGTCCCGGGGTGCACCTCTGGTCCAGTAGCTGCAAATTCCCAGCCAAACTTCAACTTGACCCATTGCATCAAGTGGGCGGCAACCTTGAGATGTCCGACATCTGTCGGATGCCACAGCGGCGCGATATCATTGTGTTGCAGGATACCCGTAGTGTCGAAGTAGTGGATGAAGCCTTGCTTCTTGTAATGCTCGTACACGCGCTTGATTTCGTCGACGAACAACGGGCCCTGGACATAAGTGTCCCCGGATGCCCCGAAACCACCCCACAGAGACTGCGACTGTCAGTTTATGGCCAAAGCGGAGACGGACATACGTACCATCAGAACAACATCTGCCTTGGGCCAGATTTCGTGAATATTGCCGACGAGTTTCACGTAGTCGTTATAGTAGTCCGTGCTGGAGACGTTGTTGGCTGGGTTGTTGTCGTTAGTGCCGATGTTGATGACTACCAGATCTGCCGGACGCTGAGCTGCAAAGTTCCATTTTGGCGGGTGTTCCCCGTAGATCTCGTGTGCGCGCCCCGAGGTATCGGAAGTGCGGTACCATTGGTAGGACTGGACAATTTAGTAGTTGTTTCTGAAGCAAGATGTGGATGCTTACCTGACCGCGAGGGTTGCCCCAGCAGTTCTGATCGTGCAGGCAGATACCAGGGTAGGCCTAGCAGGTGAGCAGAGTCCGCTGGAAGTGTGATATGATATGCGACCACTTACAGTAATTGAGTACTCGACATTGCCAAGGCCAGCTGCGAAGTCATATGCCCAGGATGAGAGTCCCTCGTATGTCGCGAAGTCGCCGGAGCTCAACCTAGAGACCACTTAGCTCCAGGTCTCTTGGCAGAATAGTTAGAGCTTACGAATCTCCAATAATCTCGATCATTTTCGAGTGCTCAGGCACCTTTGAGATACGTGCATCTGTCGCAACAGACACACCCACCAGCTGAATCGTGCATGTATGTCAGTAGTGGTCGCCTGAAGGAGCCGTTGAACTTATCCATAAGCCCAGTTGGTCACTGTAGAGATTAGCGATGTATACCTGGGCAGTTGGATACAGAAATACGAACCTCTGAGTTCAAACGTCTTTGCATCAGACGAGCTGGTTAAATTCAAGCCAGTCGTCGCAGATCCGACAAATTGATATGTGGCATTGGCAGTGACGTTGGAGAATTGCCAGTCCTGTTTCTACAACAGATGAGGCACTGCTCCCCAAATAATGGCTGAAATGTCACATACCTGTATGCCACGAGAACGCCTTGGCTCGTGTATTGACCGAAGCTCAATGCAAGCTGATCGGTCAGTTACCGACTCCTCTGGATGCAGAGGCGAAGCTTACTTTTTCTCCAGTGAAAGCAAGCTTAAATCCAGGTGCACTATTGGCAGCCATCAGAGTCTGCTTGTATATACCCAAATCGCGCCACTTACGACCACCCTGGGATCCCACTGTTAACTCTTGTTCCTTCTAATTCTTGCTCAACTCACAAGAAATGTGCTTGCTATCCCATCGTCCTTTGTAGGAAATCTCCTTTGCATTGGGCTTATACGTCTTCCATGCATTCTTGTCTAAGGAGATAATGTCCGCTTGGCCAGGATACGGGTTTAGTCGAGGCTGACCATTCTCCAAGATTGTCGCTGATGCGCAGAGAACCAGCGAAAGCAGGACAAGCAACGAGAGATATCTCATCTTGTCTTCAAGTTGACCGTAATCTGAAGAAGCCGTTCCTTTGAAATGGCATGCACGTTGTCCTAAATACTTTTCCACCAGCCGTCCCGCGCCAATAAGCCAACGCGGGGAAGCTTGAATGAGGCGGATGCAACCCACAATACCCATTGGTGACTGAATTATGTCTTTTACTCCTTGGTTTCCTGCAGAATGAATGTGGGGTTAGAGTACTCCATATGAGTCTTGAGGAATTTAGCCGAAGTCATGGTTATAGGACGGAGCTTGTTCCGTGTTGAATCCAGCGCAATGCCGTTTCCACCGTCCATATCGATGGTCGAATGTGGTTTCCAGCATGTTTTATACAGTAATTGTCCATACAACAACATACTACCATTTATTACCTGGTGGGATTCTCAGAAATGTATATTCCATTGAGCCAAGGCCAAGTAAGTAAGCGAAGGCTTTCTGGATGGACTCTTAGGCTTCTTTCTAATCACAATATAAAAACAGGAATACAGCTCCAGATATTTGAGCTCACAATGGGCAATGTGTAGAGAGAGAGAGGAGATGCTAATTGTATACTTTAATAATGCTAGAAGCTGACAGGCTCCCTCATTACCAAGCACAGTGTCGATCCATTTTGTACAAGATGATTGGGGAAGCTCATGAATGCCTAGATATACATATATATATATATGTGTGACGAGTCGGTGCTTTCCCGCAATCAACCGAACTGAACAGCTATTAACAAAGCCTATGTCTTTCTGTTTGTTATTGATCCCTCAGCAGACATGCTTGACTTGAATGCATGCCGCTCCCACCATTGGTAAAGCTGATAGTAACTAGCATTCCACCATAGGCACTGGATCCTGTGGAGTCTATTCCACGCCCCAACCCAAGCAAGACCAAATCTCCTCCTTTCACTAGAACTTGAGTGTCTTATATAAACCATTCCTCCTTATTATCAAGCACATACGACCACAGGGTGTGGAGAACAGGGCTTCCCGTCCGCTCAGCCGTACTTAAGCCACACGCCGGCCGGTTAGTAGTTGGGTGGGTGACCACCAGCGAATCCCGGCTGTTGTATGTTTTTCATCTTTTGTTTTTTGTTGGTGCTGATTGTTTTAATGTGCTCCAAACACATTTTTTTAGGATCATTATATATAATTACATGCTGCCCTGTTATTCATGCTTTAAGGTCTGTTCTACTGCTGCAGTTAGCTTCACTACCTACTATTTTAGGCACTGTGTATAGCCTCCTATACTCTATTAAATCTACCTCTACCTTAGCCTCTGCCTTAGCCTCTCTACCTATCTTACTATTATTATCTATCTTTAACCTCTTCTTTAACCTTATCTTTACCTTTATATGACTACTCTTTCTACTAATCTTAGTCTACTATATAATACTCTTCTTTTTAGATTTAGTTTACTATCTACCCCTTCTGCCCCTTCTACTCTATGGTTTTTATAGTATATTACTCTTTTCTATATATAGGATTATATAGTATAGGACTATATACTAATTATCTATTATTCTACTTTGCTATTTATTCTATTAATCTTTTTAATCTTTCTTAATCATATAGAAATCTTCTCTTTACATTTAGTAGAATCTCTATATCTAATACTCCTATATCTATTTTATAGTTTTTATAGTATATTATTTTTTTCTATATTATAATAGGAAACATCCAGAGGCTTTAGGATGCTTTAGGAATGCTTCTTATTGAATAATGCTTAGATATTATAGTATTAATTTAATAACTTTTAGACTATAAGATAGTCTTAATTACTGATTAATAGAGAGGTAAGGATTAGTCTCTATATTAATCTATATCTTTTCTATACCTAACTATATTCTATTCTTTATCCTTACATATATATAGGATTATATATTAATTATTATTATGTTACCTATCTTATCTATTTTAATATCTACTTTTACTATATACTATATCTTTTTATATTACTTTAATAATATATTCTATTACTTTATATTTAGTATGCCAACTATTCTTATTATATTAGCTACTCTCTTTCTATAGTATATTTTAATCTAATTAAATCTAGCCTTTATCTTTTATTATGCCTAATACTTATGACTTACTATAGCTACTATACTATACTAATATATAGTCTTATTTTTTTTATTAATATATATATTATTAGAACTATCTTAGTAGGATATATAATAGAGAGCTATAAATCTGTAATAGGTCTAAATATTATATTTCTTATGCTACTTAGATATCTACTTTTATTAATTATAATAACTATTTTAATTATTACTCTAGTACCTACTTAGCTAATTTATTAACTACCTCTACTAGTATATCTAGCTTATAGACCTATAATACTTATTAGGTTATTCTACCTATATAGTAGTAGGCCTATACTAACTATAACTATTATTAATATTATCTTTATAAGTCCAATACCTATATATAGTAGTAGACTAATCTAACCTATTATATCTATTATATATCCCTTCTTAAGGATTAATACTACTATAACTACTATATAGACTACTATAGCTACTATTATTATATATATTAGGCTCTTCCTATAGTATTCTCCTCTTTTACTAGTAAATATTATCTTTTAGAATTAGGATGTATAAACTAAGTCTATCTCTTTTATTATACTCTTTATTGGCTCTATAAGATTAATAGGAGCTAGGGCTTAATATATAATTAGTACTATTAGAATAGTATAGTAAAGATAGAACCTATCCTAGAGTTATTAAATACTAATATCTACTAGTACTTTAATACTAATGTAATATTGTGATATCAGTGAACACATGTCAGTGGCGATAAGTGGTAGATATCTGGGTTGACCTTAGTAACCTAAGGTTAATAGTGAAATCTCTGTAATACCTATAACTATCTATTATATAAAGTAACTAGATAGTATAAATATAAATAAGAGTACTATCTCTAATAATAAAAGAGAGTAAGGCCTAGCCTACCTCTCTCTTTATTCTTAATAAAATTATATAACTATAGTAATCTTATCTAGTAGTATATCTAAATTTATAAAATTATAATTAATCTATAAAAACTCTATAAGACCTAAAGTTTACCTCTAGTAAACTTATATTACTCTTCTCTAAAATAATAACTACTAAACTATAATTAAAGTAATAATTTAGTAAGTCTAGTAAAGAATTTTATTATAGATAAATTCTTTATTAAGTATATACCTAAAAGAGATACTAATACAGTGAATACCACTCTACAACAGAAAACAATTTTGGGGTTGATATGGTGATACTGAATCTGTAAGGCCTCCTAATGGTATTAGGAAGATATCTATCTTACCTATGCAAGGATATCTCAGTCAGCCCTTACTAAGCAGGGGGTTGGGTAAATTCTCTCTTATAGAGAAAGAATCTAAACCTAGTATTAATCTACTTAATTATCTAAATTCTTAAAACCTAAGCTATATAGTATCTATTCTTTTATACTAGTCATATTCTATACATAAGATCTAGTCATCTCATAATTTTAATACTTAACCTATTGTGATATCAGTGAACAAATATCATGAGTAGATTAATGATTATTAAGGTTAACTCTGGGTTACTAAGGTTGATCTAAGAAATCTCTATAATATCTATAATATATCTTTTAGATAGATAGCTAATAGCTAGATATAAATAGAAGATCTTACCCTAAGTAAGTAAAGAGGTATTAGCCTAGCCTATCTCTTTTTATCTTTAGTAATACTATCTTATCCTTAGTAATACTATCTTATCCTTAGTAATTCTATCTAGTAGTATATCTAAAATTATAAATAATAAGAAATTAAATATTCTTACTTTATTAGATCTAGATTTATCTTAGTAAATACCTACTGCTCTTTCTTATAAGTAACTACTAAATTTAAGCTAAAAGATAGTAGGGTAGTTATACTTAGTAAAGAGTTTTTATTATAGGAGAACTTTTTATTAAGCCTTATTAGAAGAGATAGAAATAAAATAAGATATAGTAACTTTAGGCTAGAGAAGTATTACTTAGTTACTAAAATAAGTCTTAATAAAAAATAATCTCTATAAGATAATATTCTTAAATCTCTTTACTAGAACTACTAGTAATAATTAGCTACCTATAATAAATAATCCTATTAACAATCTACTAGAGGATATAAAATAAGCCTTTACTAGGTTATTTAAGATAGTAGCCTAAGAAGTATTACTTACTAATATTAATATATTTTTTTAGAGTATTTACTAAGAGTAATATAGTAAATAAGTACTACTCCTAGAATTATAAGAGATAAATTATTATTATAGATTATTATCTATCTTTAAGGTCTTAAATCTTACTCCTATCTTAGAGTATAAAGATATATATATAAAAGATACTATTTAAGAATAGTAAAAGAGAGTTAAAAAATATTTTAGAGATATCTTATTAGTAATAGGGAGAGTTCCTTCTAATCTAGAATATCTTATTATTATAAAGTAAAAACTTATAGGATATACTTATAAGAGATAGGAAGTAAATAAAATCTAATTATAAATTAATCTTATATTAGTAATTACTAATATAGAAATCTTTTATATATAGCTACTAAAGAACTTTAAGAAATATAATATAAATAATAAAAGATAAAAGGAATATAAAAGCCTTATCTAAGGTCTATAATCTATATAGCTATATATTACTATCTTAGATAAAGCTATAGTATATATCTCTCCTCTAGTATATAAAGCCTCTCTTATTTAAAAATTTATTATTAGGAGTTAACTAAAGCTTGAGAAAAGATAGATAAAGGACTAAATATAATTATAAATATATAATAAAATAGTTAAATACTTCTTTCTCTATAAGAATAGCTTAACTACTACTTAATAACTTAGAGGTAACCTATAATTAAAACTATAATTTAATTAATATAGTAAAGATCTAATAAATCTAAATATAATTACTAGCTCTCCCTAGCTAAGGAGAAACTTCTTATAACTAAATAAGGGTTTACTAAAGTAGAAACTATAGTATTACTAGAATAAA